CATCATCATCATCTTCATCAATACCAATCGCAACGAGACTTGCGTCCCGGTTCTCTCCATTTTCCGTCGGTTTCACACGTTCATTGTTCTTTAGGTCGTCAGGCCGTTTGCTTTCGCCCATGAACGCGAACAGATAGTCCGCATCAACAGCAGGCTCAGCTAACTGTGGCAGCCCGATTGGGACCAACCCAGTTTCAGTTGGCGGGCTGCCTAGTTTAAATGGCTTCCATACACCAGGCTTTGCAGCTCTGGCGACAGATCCTTCTTGTCGACCTTGGACTTCAGGAGCTTGGTGAGCTCGTGGAGTGCTTCACACTTCCCAGCGTCGTGCACCTGTTTGCACAGTTTGCACCGCCGGTAGCAGAAGTGCCCCGAGTGGGACGGGCTTCCGCACGCGGCACACGGCCCATACTGGCGTCGACCATCTCGTTCACGGTTGGACGGGCCTCCTCCGTTCCTGAAGCGTCGGTTATCAGACCGAGCGAACGTTCCTTCGGCTGCGGCCCTGCGCTCAGCATCGTTAGCAGCAGCGACATGTCCGGTAGACCCATCCGAGTCGTAATCAGCGTCTGAATCCTCGTCCGAGCGTTGGTCGTCCGAGTATTGACGCTCATCTTCGAAGTAATCCTCGTTCGCCTCAGCATCACGTCGGGGGGCGTATGGAGCCTCGTTGCGGGCACCGACCGAGCCTCCGACGTTCCATTCCACCATCACATCGGCCAGCGCGTCAACCAAAGTGACTCGGGACTGGTACGGCGATCCATCGCGTCGGTCACGGCGACACGGTCGTTGCGGCGATCGTTGTCACGGCGACGTCGTTCGCGACGGTCTTCGTCGTGGTAGCGTCGTTCGTGGCGGTAGCCACCACGAGAATCCTCGTTCGACCTCGCATCGCGTCGACGTCCATCATCTTGACTCCGAGAGCGGCGGAACGACGATTCTCGGTTAGATTTGCGGTCACGGTGACGCAGGATGTCGTTGATCATGTCTTCGAGGTCATGGATGCTCTTGACCTGGACGTGGCACAGACGGTCTTCTAAGTTTCGGTCGTCACACGTGACCAACAAGTGGTCCACGTGGTCCTTCGCGTCACGACCACCGTTTTCAAATTGCACGCCGGCGTTGCGAGCGCAGCCGTTGAGCCGGTTGAGGTAGTCACAAACGTGTTCCTTGTCTTCCCGCTTGGCCGAGTAGTACCGAGCCTTCGCAGACTGGGAAAACTTCGAGCAATAGTACTTGATGAACGCCTCGCTCAGCAACTTCCACGTGCGTCTTGTCTTGCGTGGGAGCTGGCGACACCAGTGCAGGGCTCCATCCCTGAGCATAAGTTCGAACGGCATACACCACTCGTTGGGTGGTGCATGCGTTCCCTTCATCTCATAGATGAACGTTCGGAGCCACTGCATGGAGTGCTCGCTCTTGTCGCGCGTTCCGTAGAACGGCTTGATGTTGGCGAGAGGCAAGTGCGTGGCGATCTCGAGCTTTGGGGTTGAGCTCTGGTTGTCGGTCGCGCTTAGCTCGCGCACCTGACGTGCCCATTCGCTCGGTAGGTCCCCTTCGTAGTAGTCGGTCCCGAGGTCGTCGTCGCTGTCCGACGAATCATCTTGGAGGTCGTAACGTCGGCCGGACCGACGACCGGTCGCTCCGCGTGTGCCAGACGTGGCGAATGAAGCCTCGTTCTCCCTAGCCAGACGTTCACTACGGTCCGTAGATCGTGGAGTTACCATGTGCGAGTCTTGCATGTACGGCGAGGCTTCGCCCTTGGTTGCAAAGACACCGTCATCAGTGGCTCCCTTCCGAGGGGTCGCTGGTAGCGGGACCTTCGACGGGTCTACTACCTCAGAGGTCGAACGAAGCATCGTTGGGCCTCGCGAACTGACGTCCGCCACTCCAAAGAAATTACGCAGCTTCTTCCTCCACTCGGTTAACGCCGTGGCAGCGGCGGTCGGCGTCCAACTCTCGAGCGCAGCCTCCGTGGGGAGGATCTGGGGTTCGCACTCCATATCTCGCAGGAGGTCCACAGTATTCTGCGCAACGTGCCGAGTGCTCGTTGAGTTGATCGGCGTAGCCAACGCCCCTCCGAGGTCCATCCAGATGGCCTGGCGGACTTGCTTCGGGGAGAACAACTGCATCCATTCGCTCTTGGTCTTCATCGTGTCTAGGCACCGGCCTAGGACCTTATTGGCCGCCGGAGTATCCCCGTTGAGGGGAGGACGAGTGCCAACCGGCTTGGAGGTTGCCCCTCCTACCGTCACTGAGGGTTTGAAGTCCTCGGTGGCGCCGTCATCCGCGTCGTAGGCGGGGTCGGGGCCCGGCATGTCCTTGAACGTGTCGGAGAGGTCGCGGGTAATCGACCTTGATCCTCCACTGCGACCTGCCGACACAACCGCAGCTTCCGAAGTGTCGGACATCGCTGTCCGGACATCCCAGTCATCATCTTCGTCATCTTCTTTGGCGTCCGAGGAATCAATCGCCGTGTCGTAGCTCACCGAACGCTCGTCAATCGACTCCATCCAATCCGTCGGTGGGGTCGAGAATGAGCTTCCGGAGCGCACCGAAGTCTCGTTGCGCGTTCCACTCGACTTGGCCGGCGTTGCTGGTACCGCTGACTTGACTCCCTTTGCCATCTTCTCTCTTCTTCTTCTTCTTCTTCTTCTTCGCTTCTCTTCTTCTTCTTCTCCTCTTCGCTCGTTGGGGGTAAAGACCTACAACAACCAAGACACACAGAAGGTCACACCAATCCCGGGTCGCGGCACCAGTTGTGGTGTGGTAATACCACTAAAATTCTCTTCTACCAAAAGGTATTAGAGACGCTAACCCGCAAAGGTAAGCGCTTATTGGATCAAAACCTGAAGACCAGGAACGATCCCTTACACCGGGTCGGTTGCAAGTGCCTCTGTGCACCTTAGGTTGTCTTCGGTCAACCCAAAAACCTGTACCGCTAGCCACGAGCTACGGCTAGGATACTATGTAGCGCTTTCGCGCAACCCCACTGCAGTCCCTCAGAAAGGAAGGGTACCGGCGTGTTAGGCCTTATACAGGGGGACCAAGGTAAAACCTCGGTAGGTAGACTAATACACTCAAGGACACTCTAATCCCACAAATATATACTGAACGATACCGTAACACCGTTCCTGCCTCTCCGGCCACGCCAACTCTTGGCGCTGCCAAGGAAACTCTCGGTCAATGCACGATAAGCTCCCCGACAGGCATCCACACGCAGCCGAGCGTGTCCAGGCACTACAATAAGCTAGCTACACTTACCGAAGTCGGACTTGACCCTTGTTGGCTTTGGGGGAAGACTGTCTTTTTATTACTGAGTTTTCTGAGGCCCTCGGGGCCTCGTTCTGGTCATCCTATGATGAGTCCTATGTCCCTATACAAATATCTAGTGTGAACGATCGCAATAAGGCGATTCCGGACACATCAAATGGCGGCCGCGGCTACACTAATAAGTGCGGCCGAAGTACGTAACTGAATGCATCTGTACCTAAACGTGGGTACCATGAAGCCTCGTTCGGGGTTCTATTAGAACCCGACGAGGCTTCGGCCACTGACTGTCACTCTACCGAGGATAATGTCATCATCTAATCAGAAGCAGCCATCTCCGTCTCTCGCTTGACCTCGCCTTGATTGCCCCTTGATTGAACTTGATTGTCGGGCTGGCGGGTCAACAGCGTTGGAAACTGCCACTTTCCAATACCACAGGGTTAGTATGAAGTAGAGCGTAACCGACCTACAGCAGACCAGGGGGCTGTATGAGGTTCGAACTGCAGTGCTTACATTCCCTAAGCCCGCATTTGTGGCGATACGATTATACTGGAGCAGTGGTCGTGAACTTATCCGGTTAACACGAACGCCTACTCAGCCAAGTTGCCTTTCCGTCCATTAGTAGGGGGTTGCTCGCACAGGATGACAGCAGCGACGCCCAAGACTTATTGACGCCTGAACAGGACAAGCGCGAAGTGACAAGAGCCGAGCACGAAATAAGTCAAGGGATGATCCAAACTACACATGTGGGCTTTATATAACTCAATGGAAACCTCCATTTTGATAAATGGAGAGTAGCACATAGTGACCATGTTACGTTGGCGGCACCAAGTGCTAATAGTTAGCAGGTGCTTCCAAGCCGATAAATTATAAATTATTAACACGGAAAACGCTGTTGAGAAATCAAGATAGATTCCAGGAGAGCTCGAAAGTGGTTTCGTTACGCGAGCCTGATTGTTCTACTCACAAAACCAGAAACACCTACAGCGTGGCATTCGAATACATACTATGTGATTCATCAATTATATATCGCTTTGTGACGTAGATGTTTGTAGATCTTGCGATATAAGCAAGGTCCAGGAAACAACTACATGGTATCGGTGGCAACAACCAGCGTCCATTTCAACATTACCGACCTTTCGAGAAGTACTTCAGTCGTAAAAGATGTAATATTCCTATAGACACGGAGGTAGCCTCTTGCCGGGAACTAATCTAACAAAAATTGCATGTCGAGGGCCGCCGTGACCAGGGGGGACGGCCAATTTGGCGTCTGATGGGGACGGGCTCGGTTGGAGGTGGCAAATTCTCAGATGTGGTTGACGTAGACCATACATATGGCCCAGAGGTAAATGTTTCTTCCAAGTCTCCAAACCAGGCTGAAATGAATATGGGGGAGCTGCACAACTTGGCTGTGCAATCGGTGGGTAGAGAGGCTGGAAATGCTATGGATCGAGCTGGAAAGCCACCGGGTCTGGTAAAGTCGCCGTGTAACCAGTTGGTCTGTAGGCATATGCTGTGTATCTGGGGTGATCTTGCGGACAAAGGTTGAAACCAGGCGCGAAGCCAATATCGAACCCGACTTCTGCCCCGACCACACCAAGACTTTGAGCTGGGAAGTTATGCGCATGTCTCCTGAGATGACCCGGTGTGATTGCCATGCAGCGACACTTCGTTGGCTGCCAGCAGTAAACCGGTAGCTTAATCATCTACATGCACTGTAGCCGCACTGCTCACTTGTGGACGCTTCTGGCGCAAACGCGTATCCTTAAATTGTACCCATTAACTCCAGGCACGCTGAGTCCGTAAGCCGCACGTCCACAGATTATGTGGGCACAAGACAGGAACTTTTTATAGAAAAGACATGAGCACTCAAACGTACTCAGGTGCACCACCCACCCGCCTCGTGGCATGCCATCGTGGTGCGCGCGGCGTACAGACCATTTCACAGCTTCCCGATAGAACTTGGCAGCGGTAGCCTTTTCTGCATCTGTTAAACACTCGGGCGACATGATGACAGGAGTTTTGGCGTTGCTGGGGGCCTTCAACTCGTCAAGATCAGACAGTTCGGGGCGGTTTTCCAAATGATCACCGCAATGATATAGCACGCGAACAACTGACTTCTCGGTCGTCGCGTAAACGACGACTCGGTTGGTCGACACTAAGTTCGGGCCAGCTGCTTATCAACTTGAGGCGGGGCGTTTGGTCCAGATGCCATAGGAGGTGGTACACACAGCGAATAATCTTCGGCAATCTTCAGTAGCTTCATCAACAAACGGCGCGTATCCGCTGCCTTCCGCTGCGTATAGCGCTTGATGCTGGCATTGAACACTTCACATGGGTTGTTGGTTGTAGCGTATCCCCCTGGAGAGAGTGATAAATCTGCCATCTCCAGAAGCGGCTATGAATCCATTGTGCCGCGAAATATCCCAAAAAGACGTGCAACCTTCTATCGCATTGCCACTCTTGAGATACACGCCACCACACCTCCCAAAAATCGGTTTGGTTGAGTGTGTAGGCACGTCAAGAATACCACGATACACCATTGCTCGCACAGAATCTGGTAAGTGTCGCACTCGCTTGCGTACATTGTACATCACGTGGAAGAAACACATCAGGTACGGACAGGTTGCACATTCTGCAACATCCCGCAGTCCGTTCAATTGGGCCTCTTCGGCGTCGCCAATTATCACGTCAACTCGAAGTGGTCTTTCCATGTGGGTCCTGAAAATTCGTGCGAAAGCTCCAATCGATTCGTAATACTCGCGTCGGGTCCTTTGGCTAACAATGAAAAGCGCGGCTAGGTGGTAGCTTCGGTGGCGATCGGTGAAACCGCACGTAATAACCGGGTAACTGATGTCGCTCAGCTTGAAAGTAGCATCCAAGTGAAAAATGAGAAATACTTCGCGATCCTGTAGCGAACTGATGTTTTGCATTAGCTTCAAGCTCGTGATTCCAAGTATCAACGGTTCATCATCTTCCCCGTTCCCGACAAAAGGGAAGCCGTGCTCATCTTCACGATTTCCAAACACAAACGCGGTGTCGGGATCCACTCCAGCAACGAAGGCCTTCGCCTTCACTAACTCCTTCGTCCTGACAATAGAGTTTTTAGACCCCTGTAGCCATCGATTGTACTTGACACTACGCAGAACTTGAGGGCACGTCGGAAACCCAAGCACTGGAGGTTGGTATTTCAGGTGCACGAAGGATGTTGCTCCAGATTAAGCGTGGTGGTACCGCGTTTTCGTCAATTCGCTGGATGTAGTCGCGCATTTCACGTGTCACCTTGGCGCGAGGAGGTAACGAACACGCTATGTCTCCACGCGCGTATGGCTGGCCATTTGTGTACGCAATCCACCGCTTCGAAGTCGGGCACTCATGCACTTTCCAGAGCGTTGCACATTTAACAGTTCCTTTGCAGTCTGGACTCTGACAGCGAAGGCGCCGCTCAGCCATCGAGTGGTCCCCGGGGCAAATCATACACTAGCGCGTCCTCACCCAAAATATGGCAGAACAGCAAAATCGCTCCCAGCGAAACTTGACGAACGCATCTTCGCCTTGGAACTCGGCTAACTTCGTCCAGGTGTGGTCTGGAGACATCTGAGGTGGGGACAGCTGCAGCTAGGCTCTCTGCAAACTCTCGAAAGGTACTGGCTTGTTGGATTTCGAGATAAGTATCGTTCTTCACACGATCCATACGTACTCAAGGATGGATTGCTTTATGTGCAATTCACGGACGACAAGGAGTCCAAAGTGATGAGACTTTGTGTCCCGAGATCGCAGCGCAATCGTCTAAGAACGAAGATTATCGAGCAATTTCATGATTCCAGTATTGCCGCGCACCCAGGAATTCGTCGTACGTACCTCCGTATCAAGCAATGGTACTACTGGGCGTCGCTTCATGAAGACGTTTCCGATTACGTGCAAAGTTGTGAAACCTGCACACGTTGGAAGCACAGCAACGCCAAGAAGAATGGCAAGCTGATTCCGATTCCAATTCCTAAGGAATGTTGGGAAGTCGTCTCCATGGATTTCGTCACTGGATTGCCAGAATCAGACGGCTATGATGCTATCATGACCGTCGTGGACAAGTTGTCCAAGCGTCCAATCTACTGTCCAGTTCACACTACCGATGATGCCGAAGAAATCGCTCATTACTTCTTCGACAATGTCGTTCGGCATCATGGAGTGCCTGCGGTAATCATCAGTGATCGTGATCCCAAATTCACGTCACGTTTTTGGAACTCTCTCGTGTAGATTATGGGTGTACAGTGAATATGACAACGTCATATCGCGCTCAAGCTGACGGCCAAACCGAACGTCAAAACCTGGTACTAGAAGATGCACTCCGTTGCATGGTCTCGTATCCTGGTGATGACTGGGCTGCCAAGTTGGGAACGATTGAGTATGCTCACGCTACGCTAGTCAGTGCTTCTACCGGACTTTCGCCATTTGAAGTAGACACAGGACGTAAGGAACGCAATCCCTTCGGAACATTTCCTACGCTGTCTACCACAGTTCAAGTACAACAAGGACTGTCTGAGTATGCAAACCACTTCAAGGATATACGCGACAAGAGTATCGGCAAAGCCAAAGAACACCTACTCAAGGCTCAAGCATCGCAAAAGAAGTACTACGATCAACGTCGTAGCAACGTCCAATTCAAGGAAGGAGATTTGGTTATGCTGGATACACGCCGTATTCCACTCAAGCATGCTGCGAAAGACATTGACGTCAAACGTGCAAAGTTAGCGGCTCGTAAAGTTGGTCCGTTCGTGATCAAGCGCATGATCAACGACAACGCTGCACGTCTGATTTTGCCACGCAGTATGAAGTCGTTGAACCCTAATTTCAACGTAGACGTTCTCAGCCATTACGTCTCCAACCCGGACAAGTTTGAGACTCGTGTTCTTCCGAAAGCATCTCGCATCATCACAGATGAAGACACTGGAGAAGACCTCCACATTATCGAGCAAGTACTACGCAAGCGCCAGTTCAACCGCAAGACTGAGTGGCTTGTCAAGTGGCATGGTCTTCCAGACCACGAATCTTCGTGGGAACTCGAGAAAGACATCAAGCACGTCTCTCACTGGAAAGTTCTCGTCGACGACTTCAAGCGCCGTCAACGTGAAGTCAAACCCGGGAGGATGTAAGGATCGAGACGTGACGAGCACGTCGTCGGCCCGCCCCGTTCAAGTGCAAGGCTAGGGCGTAAGCATTAGTCTAGCTTAGACACCTTCACTCATGACAATCAAGAAACATGCACATGGTGCATTACCTCTGTCAACTACATTGACGTTTGTATGACGCACGTCAATTCACTTCAAATTGAAGTGGATTGACCAATCAGATTGATTTACTCTAGCACCGCCTTGGGCACTGCCCATACGGCCGGCCACAGGGCCTTAACGAAATAAACTCACTTTCAAATTTGCATCCAACCACCTCAACGCTTTCGGCATCGCGGTCAACACTTCCTCGCGGCCTCTGCGTCTCCTACTGCTCAAGCCTCACATGTACCGCAGTTGTTTGCCATCGGTGTGTGAAATACTCATGCGTTGTGCCATTATGCACTGGTCCGAACGCTGGCTCTTCCGGCCCGTCCGCTAAAATCGTGACGACACGCTCGGCCACGAAAATCAATGTTCGCTGTTTGTCTCCCAGATCGAGTCCAGCTTGGTCGATTTGGCCGTAACAGCACACCGCCTGTCGTTTACAGCGTTGACATGGCGGTTTTCCACGAGTTTCTGAGCCACTCCCTTGCGCTGCTCTACACGACAGAGTTCGTGCTGCTGATTGAGCTCACGGAGGTCATCATTCCTAGCATCTACAGTAAGTGAATATTTTGGGGACCATGTTTCTTCACTCACTAACTAGCTTGCTATGGTATTTTACCAATCAGGTTGGCGGCGTACCATCTTCCCAACTGCGTGTTCCTGAGCAACCTTCACGATAAATCATGTTGAGAAACATCCTTGCGCTGATGGGCTACTCGTCGCTGGAGGTCGTCTCGCTCATTGCGCTCGGGGTCATCCTGCAGCGCCGTACTCGAATCTCAGTACTGCGGCAGCTCGCCTTCGTACTGGAGACCCATTGGCAGCTCATCCAGGCGAACATGTGTTTGTGGATCATTCTTGCTGTGCAGGCCCTTCTGGAGCACTACGGAGTGGACTTCTCGTTTCGCTTTGAGTGGCTCAAGCGCGACAAGTGACCAACTTCAACTTATACTTACTTACTTACTTACTTAAGTAATTGAAAGCTATTTCGTACTTAAACGAGATCAATAACACGGAATAGTGATTCTTAAGTTACAAGTATCCTTCTTCTTCAAGCTCGGACAGCGATGGGGGGACGCAAGCACACGTCGCGCCTGGTGTTCGCCATCTTCTTCTTCATCGGCATCGGGTCGTCGCTGCCGTGGAACGTGTTCATCACTGCGCAGGCCTACTTCCAGCGCCGGCTGGCGGGCACCTCGTACGAGGACTCGTTCCTCAACTGGTTCAGCATGGCCTTCAACGTGAGCACGCTCATGACGATGCTCATCCGCACGGCCGTCATCGCGGAGCGCATGGCAGGGGCCGTGCGCACCGTCTTCTTCTCGCTCATCGTCATCATGGGCGTCATCTTCGTGCACTGCGCCTGGACGCGCATGCCCGAGTTCAACGGTGAGTTGATGTAGCAATCACATTGACACAAATGATACAATTGTCAACTCACTATTGTGAATTGTTTTAGGCTATTCGTTCTTCCACACGACCATGATGAGCATATTGCTGGTGGCTTGTGCGTCGACGCTCATGCAGGAAGGACTGCTTCGCATTGTGGCGACATTCCCGCCGCAATACACGCAGGCGGTGGTGAGTGGGCAGAGCTTTGCTGGACTGGCGGTCTCGCTGTCGAATTTCGTCATTCTGTGGGCGGGTGAAGACGACACGAGGCTGTTTCACGGCCTTCATGCCAATGCGGACCTGTGCGCGTTTCTGTACTTCGTGCTGGTGTTCATCACGCTCGTGCTGTGTCTGCTGGCGTTCGCGGTTTTGACGCGGATGGCGCTGTTCCGCCATTACCAGAGTGTCGACCACCCAGGCCACCACCAGAAGGAGTACTTTGACGACGCGTCGAGTGAGGCAGAGACCGTGGACACACTGAACCCCTCCCCACGGAAGCGATTGCTCGACGAGGAAGATGGCGGCGAAGGAGGTGGGGAGAGCAAGGCGGACATGATGGAGGTCGCGTTCAAGATCAGATCCTACGCAGCCGCGACGTTCTTCATCTTTATCGTGACACTGGGCGTCTTCCCCGGCATCACTTCGGCGATCAAGTCCGTGCACCCAGACAAGGGCCTCTTCTTCGACAAGTTGTTCACGCCGTTCACGCTCATCCTGTTCAACACGTCGGATTTCGTGGCGCGTCTGTCCGCGTCGTGGTGGCCCGAGCTGGGCCAGAAGAAGGTGCTGCTGGCCAGCTTGGCTCGACTGGTCTTCTTCCCGCTGCTGATGCTGTGCAACCTGCAGAACAAGTCGCACGAGGTCATCACGACGGTGCTCTTCCGCAGCGACGCTCTGGCCATGCTGTTCATGGCCGGCTGCGCCTTCTCCAACGGACTGTTGTGCACACTGGCGTTCATGGAGTACCCCAACCTCCTCCGCAAGAACGCAGAGAAGGAGTTGGGCGGCAGCATCATCTTCTTCGTGCTGTCGATCGGCCTCACCGCTGGCTCGCTCATGAGCTTTGTGCTGCGCGCCATGTTGAAGCCATAAGCCTAAAAAAGCACTCATGGCTACACAAACTAAAGACTAAAAATTACGTGTACCCAAAAAATATATGTGCCCGACCATCCAGTGGCGATCATGATGTCGAAGCTCGAGTACCTGCAGCGCTACATGTCTGGCGGCGGCGACGGTAGGCCCCCAATCTCCCTCTCCTTCACCTCTCCATGTACCTAAGATAGCCCCGCACCTGCTGACGCTGTTTTACTCGCTGCTGTAGACGCTGCCGACGGCGAGAGGAGGAGGAAGAAGAAGGTCAAAAAGTCCAAGAAAGCGTCGAAATCCTCCGCTCTGGGCACGCGCGTGGTGGACGCGGACGACGCGTGGGAGCAGTCGGCCCCCACCCGCGAAGACATTGAGAAGAGGTGGGAGCTGGACGCTGCGGAGGACGAGCAGCCGCTGGTGGTGGCGGCGGACGGCGAGGAGCTCGTGGACCCGCAGGATTTGCCGGTCTACGTGGACTCGGACAAGTATCTAGACGAGTTCAGGGGCTGCAAAAGGTCGAAGAAGAAGGAGGTCGGGGATGGAGACTTGTCGCCACCTCGGAAGAAGGCAGGGCGGGGACGTGGCGGAGGGGACGACAGCGATGAGGACACGTCGCCTCCAAGACGGAGGAAGGAGGACGCCTCCCCGCCAAAGAGACGCGAGGGTAGTGAGAGGAGAACAACTAGGAGAAGGATGGAGGACAGTGATGAGGATGCAGAGGATGCATCGCCTCCGAGACGTCAGAAACGTGATGAACCCCGCGGAAGGGCTGAAGATGCCTCACCGACACTACGGGCGCGTGGTGGGCGTGATGACGACGCGTCTCCACCTCGTCGGCGTGCTGTGGAGAACTCGTCACGTAGTGTGCGCAGGGACGATGAAGACGATGCCTCCCCTCCTCGTCGAAGCAACGCGGGATCATCGAGAGGTAGACGCGAAGCTGATGACGATGCCTCACCCCCTCGCCGCACAGGATCGTCGCGGCGTACGCGCGATAAACACAGTGGCGATGCCTCACCACCTCGGCGTGCTCGTGATGAAGAAAGCAATGGCGCATCTCCTCCTCGCCGTGGTGCGGAGACTGAAAAGGAGTCTCCAACTGTTGAACGCAAGCGCAGGCCTTCCGTGAAAGACGACGATGCTTCGCCTCCACGGAGGTCTCGCCGAGATGAAGCGGATTCGAGTAGAGGTGAACGAAAGCGCCGCCAGTCGCCCTCTCGATCACCTGCTGCGCCTGACCGGCAGCGTCGTGTTGATTCCCTCGGTCGAGATATCCCCCCACCCTCCAGTCGCAGTGGAAAACGCTCGCCATCGGCTTCTAGGAAAGAAGTCTCTAGTGGACGTCGCGAGAGAAGACGAAGCAGAAGCAGCAGTCGACGTCGTGGCAGAGATCGTGACGCAAGTTCTTCTCCCCCAAGAAGAAGAGAGCGAAGAAGTCGCAGTCGGTTTCCTCGCTCCCGTCGTCGCCGTGATAGTCGGTCGCCCTCAGCCCGACGCCAGCGTTCGCCCAGAAGATCCACAAGATGGGGGTCACCCCGCCGTCGTAGTCGTAGCGGCAGCCGTGGCAGACTGCGTTCGCCTCGCCGCTCTCGGTCTCGGTCTCGATCTCAAAGCCCAAGGAAGAAGGAGGTGCAAACCAGCACTGACAAGACCAAGAAGGAGCCCAAGGCCGCGCCCAGCGACGCGAAGGAAGAGAAGAAGGCTGGCTTGTTCACTGCTGCTGAGTTCGAGCATCAGCGCAAGATCGCTGCCAAGCGCAAAGACGTCTTGCGGGGTGTCGATGCAGCTGAAATGGGCGCCAACGCGGAGACGGTGTATCGCGACAAGCGTGGACGTAAGCTGGACATGCTCAACGAGATGGTTCGGCAGCAAGAGATCTTGGACGGCAAGCGCAAGCGCGAGGAGCGTGAAGAGTACGAGTGGGGGACAGGCGAAGTGCAGAAGCGTGAGCGGAAGTCCCAGCAGGAGCTGCTGGAGGAGATGAAGAAGACGCCATTCGCCCGCCATGACGACGACGAAGAGCTGGAACGCAAACGTCGTGAGCGCGTGCGTGCTTTCGACCCCATTAACAGCAAATTTTTCCAGGAGGACCCGCTGGCGGAAGGCAAGAGCAAGAAGAAGAAGAAGAGCAAGAAGGACAAGAAGAAGGCCACCAAGGCAAAGCCCAAGTACGCAGGCCCGCCTGCTCCACCCAACCGCTTCGGAATCGCTCCCGGCTACCGCTGGGATGGGGTTGTGCGCGGAACGAACTGGGAGGAAAAGATAATGATGCGGCAGAATGCCAACGCGGCCGTCAGCGAGGAAGCCTACAAGTACGCCGTTGCAGACATGTAATGGAAGCTGGTGGGAGGGCATATCGGTTCAACATGGATTTGCTTAGTTACTTTATGGAGCTTGTGCGTGCAAGTGGGTTGGGTGTCGATCCATGGGGTTCTTGGACCGACGGTGCTGCTACTGACGTCGCCTATGCCAGGTTGTACTCCTTGTACAGGTCGATCACGCGCTGCACGTCGCGCTTGCAGCCCAGGAAGATGGGCGAGCGCTGGTGGATGTCGGTGGGGACGAGGTCCAGGATCCGCTCCGTGCCGGTCGTGGACATGCCGCCGGCCTGCTCCATGATGAAGGACATGGGGTTGCACTCATAGAGCAGACGCAGCTTGCCGTCCTTGCTCTTGCTGCTGCCCGGGTACAGGTAGATGCCTCCGTACAGGATGGTACGGTGGATGTCGGACACCATACTGCCGACGTAACGCGCCGCGTACGGCTTGGGCTTGGTCTTGCACTCGTCCACGAAGGCCTTGGTGGCGCGGTCCCAGTGCGCGTAGTTGCCCTCGTTGCACGAGTAGATGGTCTTGGGCTCCTCCGGGATGCGGATGTCCTTCTGCGACAGGATGAAGGCGCCGATCGTCGGGTCCAGCGTGAAGCAGTGCACGCCCTTGCCCCACGTCAGCACGAGCTGCGTCGAGCTACCGTACATGCAGTAGCCGGCCGACACGAGCTTGCTGCCAGGCTGCAGAATGTCCTTGTATCTACGTAAAACCCCGCAAAAGTCAGCACACTATATCGCAACGTAATGGTGATACAAAAGTTGTAGCTTACCCGCCCTCGGACGCGGCGTCGCGCTGGTAGATGGCGAAGATGGTGCCCGTGGACACGTTGCAGTCGATGTTGGACGAGCCGTCGAGCGGGTCGAAGGCGATGCAGTACTTGGTGCCGCCCGTCTCGTGGTCCACGATGATGGGCTTCTCCTCCTCCTCCGAGACCATAACCTCGATCTTGGTCGAGAACTTGAGCGAGTTGACGAAGATGTCGTTGGCCAGCACGTCCAGCTTCTTGACCTGGTCGCCCGTCGAGTTCTCCGAGCCGTCCAGGCCGTACAGCCCCGTGAGGCCCGCGCGACGCACCGAGCTGGCGATGACCTTGCAGGCCAGCTCGATGGACGTGAAGAGCACGCTCAGGTCGCTGTTGCCCTGGATCTCCTTCTCGGCCAGGATGAAGCGCGAGAGCGTGATGGGGTTCGAGTGGTCCACTTGGGCGGCCATGCTGACGTACGACGAGGCGGAGCGACGGAGAACGGCGGACGAGTGTGTGCGGTCGCCGGAGCAGATTCGAGAATGACATGAACAGCCGTGGGCTGCCCAGACCTGCGGTGGCGGCGGGGAGTTGAAGTGGAGCAGCGAAGTGAGACGTGTGACGTCCTGCCGTGTCATGCAGCCATCCTGAAGCCGTTAAAATAGGACAAAAGTCCGAATTGGAGCGTGAGATTCGGAAGAAATGCCGAAATGAAGAGCAGGATGAGGATAGTAGCCTAGAATAAGGAAAAACACATGGCGCAAGTACGTGGCGAGACAGATGATGGATATCCCATTGAGGTTCTTGCTGCGAGGACGACGGAGTGCTATTGGTCTCCTGCTTAGTGCTGCTGGCCGTACTGCTTGTAGAGCTCGATCACGCGCTGGACGTCGCGCTTGCAGCCCAGGAAGATCGGCGAGCGCTGGTGGATGTCCGTCTGCGGAACAAGCATGGACAAGGTTTGTAAGTTTTTCACATGTTGATGTGCTGCACCAATTCCGTGATAGCGATCCGACGTACGGGGCACAAGTCCAGGACGCGCTCGGTGCCGGTCGTGGACATGCCGCCGGCCTGCTCCATGATGAAGGACATGGGGTTGCCCTCGTACAGGAGGCGCAGCTTGCCCTCCTTGTTCTGGTGCGGGTTTGAGACGAGTGGTTAGATTGCCGAGGTGATGTTGAACAGGGTTGAACAACTGACGATGCTTGCTTACCTTGTCCGTGCCGGGATACATGTAGATGCCGCCGTAGAGGATGGTGCGGTGGATGTCCGAGACCATGCTGCCGACGTATCGGGCGTTGTACGGCGTCGGCTTGTTCTTGCACTCGTCCACGAACGCCTTGCTGGCTCGGTCCCAGTGGGCGTAGTGGCCTTCGTTGACCGAGTAGATCTGCGCAGGATTCACAGCGAATTCGTCACGGTCAAGGAGGATACGACAGCGAACTTGTTCAGTTCACGCTTACCGTCTTGGGGTTCTCGGGGATCTTCATGTTCTCGTTGGACAAGATGAAGGCTCCGACGGTTGGATCGAGGGTGAAGCAGTGCACGCCCCTGCCCCAGGTGAGCACGAGCTGAGTGGAGCTGCCGTACATGCAGTACCCCGCTGCGACGAGCTGGTTGCCGGGTTGAAGGATGTCCTTGTAGCTGCACCGGGGTGTTCACAACAAGGAGGACGCTCAGTCATAGCTCAAGACAACACACAGGCACTCCGACCTTACCCGCCCTTGAGCGCACGATCGCGGTGGTAGATGCCGAAGATGGTGCCGGTCGAGACGTTGCAGTCGATGTTCGAGGAGCCGTCTAGAGGGTCGAAGGCGATGCAGTACTTGGCTGGAGGTTCATGGTGCAACACAGGTGAGTGCATGTAACAGTCTGCGAGCAATAAAGAGGTGCTAGAGACTTACTGCCTTCGCTCGAGATGTTGTCCACGCAGACAGGCTCGACTTCCTCTTCAGAGACCATGACCTCGATCTTGGTCGAGAACTGAAACACACCATGTGACAGGTCAGCACCCGCTGATAACTCGATCAGCATTCAGAGCACGCACCTTCAACGAGTTGATGAAGACCTCGTTGGCCAGCACGTCCATCTTCTTCACTTGGTCGCCCGTGGCGTTCTCCGATCCGTCCAGACCGTAGAGCCCAGTCAACCCGGCACGACGCACTGAGCTGGCGATGACCTTGCACGCCAACTCGATCGACGAGAAGAGCACGCTCAGGTCGGCGTTGCCCTGGATCTCCTTCTCCGCCAGGATGAAGCGGTTGAGCGTGATGGGGTTCGAGTGGTCGACCTCGGTAGCCATGGTGAAGCAAGACGAAGGATAGGAAGGAGGCTCTTGGGGACGGACGAGTGTGTGTTGCAGCGCGAAATGCGGAATGGCGGAGAAGGCGAGGCAGCTCTCAGCTCTCAAACTCCACGCGGTGACGTTGTTTTGTCAGGGGTCGAGATATCCACCACCGCAGTGACACTCGTGAAGGGTGACAAGAAGGAGGATGGCGATCACCAAGCAGACCGCCGGAGGATTGCCACGATGAGGTAAACTGCAACCGCTACGCAAGATGCCTGGGCTTGGGCGGTGGCACATAAACATCGGAAAGTGGCGCGTCATCGGAAGTGACTGCCAGTTCGCCTTTGCTGGCTCGAACTTTCGCCCCAGTCTGCTTCAACTTGTCCAGCAGTGCCATACTAGCACTCAAACGCGTTCTGGTGTTGCAATCTCCGCAGAGGTTTAACAACAACACAAGAGGAGAGCCGAGAGCTACCGCATTGTGCATGGTATTGTTTTCTTCTTTTTTTCTTGTTTTTTATTTCTACTCGTAGCTCACGTCCAGAAGCAGCTCAGCCAAGCCGGGAAACCAATCTGCAGTGCGCAGCGCCGACCACAACATCCAGGCGAGCTCCAGATCCGTCCGTCCACACATCCTCTTGTTGTTGCGGGGGACCGACCGACGACAACCTACCTAAGCCAAAGCAATTCTCTGCTTACAGCTTGTTCATCGAGGCAATGTCCACCGACTGCACGTAGTCCTCGAAGCCCTCGATGGCCTCCGTGATGTCGTCCAGCAGCACGAGGTCGTCGATGATGACGCACTGCACAAGAAGCTTCTTGATGCCGAAGGCCACGGGCACCAGCTTGTGGCCCTCGCCCCAGGTCAGGCCCTCCACGGGCAGCGCCTTGATCTTGGCGGCCAGCTCCTCGAGGTCCGTCTCGGCCTCCCAGGGCTTCACCTCGATGACCACCTGCGAGCGCTCCACGGGCTTCTTCTTCTCCTTCTTGGCGGCCTTGGCGGCCTCGGCGCGCTTGGCGGCCAGGGCCTTGGCGGCCTCGTCGTCCTCGTCGTCGTCGTCGCCGAACAGGTCGTCGTCGTCGTCGTCGTCGTCCTCGTCCTTGGCGGGGGCGGCGGCCTTCTTGGCAGGGGCAGCGGCGGCCTTGGGGGCGGCGGCCTTCTTGGTCACCAGGATGGCGCGCAGGCCCAGCTTGGCGGCCGCGTGCACATACCAGCGGTAGACGTTGGCGTACTTGGCGGCATCGGGCACGGCCGAGAACTGCTGGAACAGGGCGGCGTCGGCCGAGCTGAACTGGTAGCCCTCCACGTAGCTGCGGTTGGTCAGGAAGCCGTTGAGCTTCTTGAGGCCGGCGTCCGTGTCCAGGTTGTCGAAGGTGATGCCCATGGTTGCTCTACTTAGGTGGTTGGCTTGTGCGGATCCTTTGTCGCTTGGGGGAGCTTTTGGGCGCCCTTGGCTGGCCAGGAGCGACGGCGGCGGAGGGTAGGGCATTATAGACGGAGAGGTTACATGCATAGTGGAGGCAAGTGTGCGGAGCGGATCTTTGCGCCCTCTATTCGGAGCAGATCTTGAACGATCGAGTGAAGTTTTTTCAACATGGGAAAATGGGGGGCGCCGCAATGCTGTTGTGAGGCAGCGATGTACTGTCGATATGGCAATGCAGTTGCGGTGGTCGGCCGTGCATGGGTATGAACAGCAGCACCAAAAATTTGCGGCTGGTCTGATGCAAATGCGAGTAGTGTGGCGTTCGAGGATGTGGCAAGTTTCAACTTTCAAGACATGTCACCACTTCAACGTGGTGCTGCCATAACTCTCCAATTGCCTTACCTACCGTGTTGGCTATTGATAAGTAGGTAGTCCAAGCATAATATGTCAAGTCCGCTGACCTAATAATACCCCCCCCCCCCTCAGCACAGTACAGTCAACTGCTACGAGTACTTTCATCTCTGACTCCGAGGAGGTCCTCCAGCGCAACACTGCGATAGAATTTCATCTCAAATGCCAGGATCAACGCGAAAGCTGCACCGAGTCGCCCCTGCGAGCCTGACGCACGTGGATGTGATGCTCGGGTCTCTCACCGCGACGTCCGAAGAGTTCGCGCATTCATTGGTGGCGAAGGCCGAGCAGCAAGGAGCCACAGTCACCTTCCAGTCGTTGGACAACTTCAATCCAGACCACCTCGTCGGACCAAGTAGCCCCTACCGATCACCCTCCCGAGTGCTGGTCTTCGTACTGTCGACTCACATGGCCGGCAAGCCAGCTTCGACTGCCGAGGCGTTCTTGCTGTGGCTTCAACAGTCTCCACAATCAATTTGTTCCCTACATGGAACTGTTCGGGAATCCGAAGTGGAGCCAAACATTGAGGCGAGTGCACCGAGAGCTATCACTCCGTCGAGTTCGAGTCCACGGAAACATCGGATAACTACTGTGCCGAAGACTGCTGCAGAGTTGCAAGCTCAGCCCCCGACCAGGCCTGCCTCTAAATCGTCCATGGTCGTTAACTGGCGGTACCCGTTCGGTGGCAGCGACAACTCGTTAAGACTCGACGACGGTCCTTTGAGCGGTGTCCAGTATACGGTATTCGGTGTGGGGAACTCGATCTACCGCACGTTCAACGCCACGGCCAAGTACGTCGACACGAGGCTTCATGAACTTGGCGCTCTGAAAGTTTTCCCGCTTGGTCTGGGTGACGCGTCGAAGTGGATCGACGTCACCTTCATGAAATGGGAGAAACAACTCTTACATCTCGTTTCGGCTCCATCCAATAGCGCAACTACTACGAATGTCAACGACACCAATGCGCACGATGCTGACCAGGAGATCACCCTTGGTCCAACACCCGCGGATATTTCGGCCAGCCAACAACGCGCGAAGAAGCCGTCGTTTACGAGGTCTCACAGTTTTGCTAGTATGCTTCTAAGGCGACGCAGCGCTTTGGAGCCGAGCACACCAGTAGTGATGCCCCCGCTAAAGCAATAAATTGTAGGGGCTAGATACTTTTTAACTGTTCTACTTGCTGTACACCTGGGCGACATCATTTCTGGTTTTGCTACCGAAAACATTATTCGCAGCTGGCGTTAATTTTTCTCTGAGGTATAAATGGCCATGCATTGCTGGTACTATTTCACGCATGAAGCGCTCTCATTTTTCTTGTTGTTGTGGCCGCGTGAAATAATAAGAAAGGTAGGTCTCAAATAGTTATGCTTGCTAACCACCGCAACAATTCGACAAATTATGTAGTTTTTGTTGTTGTTGTTTTTCGCTTCGAGTCCCGCTGTGCACCTCAAGCACTGGTAAGCTAAAAAACCTTTGAGGGGTATTGTGTTGGTGGTTGCTACGGCAGAGCATAAGACTCGATGCCAAAAAGATGAAGCATGATGCTGTGAAGCTTGTGGTGCCGTTACCGACTATCAATAGGCTCAGACCACGATCCCCGAGACGAATGAGTGCCAACTCCCCCAAATTCCTTGCTTACCAGAACATAATACCCTTGCATCATCCCACAAACGCCCGCGTCCTTTACTGCATTCCTTGCATTTCGTTTACCTCTACGGTCTCAACCCGAGAAACATGCCGAATGGGTCTGAAATCTCTCCGAGGTTGGCTTGCGGTGAGCTCGGATTCAGCGAGCCGAAGCTTCCAGGGCAAGTTCGACGGCGCTCTCACCGACTATCGATTACCAATTGGCGCGCAAACAGCATCTCCGAAGGCAGTATTACCCACGTCGACGTGTTCTTAGGCTCCCTCACGTCAACATCGGAGCAGCTTGCATCTTCCATCGCGGAGAATGCCAAGCAACGTGGAGCAGAGGTGACTATGAGATCACTGGAATGCTTTGCTCCGGATCAATACGTCGACCCAGACTCGATTTACCGCGCACCATCGCGCCTCACAGTCTTCGTGGTGTCCACCCACGCTGCTGGCAAGCCGTCTGCAAACGCTGAGAGTTTTATACAATGGCTTCGTGATGCACCAACGACAGTTCACACTCCACCAGTCGAGTCTCTACAATCCGGAGAAACTCAAGAACCCGACAACACAGCGATGTGTACGCCACCAACGAGCAGCTCTCCAACCAGCAAAAGCCACAGCCCCCGAGAGCTCCGAATCAATTCCGCAAAGCCTGAGGGTCTTCACCGCCACCACTCGCTGTCGGACGCATTTCGGGCGAGTTTCCACGTAAATTGGCGTCATCCGTTCGGCGGTGGAGAGTCTTCAATGAACGGTGTTACCAAGCTAAATGGGCCTCTACTTGGTGTTCAGTACGCAGTTTTCGGCGTCGGCAACTCCGTTTACCGCACATACAACGCCACTGCGAAATACATCGACTCGAGGATACAGGAACTCGGAGGAGTGCGCGTTTGCCTGCTGGGCCTCGGGGATGTATCCAAAGGCATCGAAGCTGTATTCAACAAGTGGGAGTCGCAACTGCTTCAAGTCGTCTCAAACCAGCCGAGCAGCAACGCGGTTAGTGCACCGAATACAGCGCGAGATCCAGTAAAACTGCCGAGTCGACTGTTGCTGCCTTGTGCTACTGGCAACGCGGGGGTCGGCGCTGAAGAGGTCGTGGCGGGGCAGTCTGTGATAATCGGCCCAACACCGGAGGATTTGAGGAAGCTGGAAGTGTCCGGGCGAGGGGGAGGCAAAATGTACCAGCGGCGATACAGCAGCGCAATTACGATTTTGCATACTCGACATGCGTCCCCTGACAAAGTCCCAATGCCACCGCTCACGGCCCGTAGATAAATTCGATTGAATGCAACTTCACACCACCAAAGTGTTCAGATTTACTGTTACAATGGCAACACAGGGCTTTGAGGTGACTACGTTGTAGATGCCTCTGGTTGTAGCGTTGCTCAAGTCTTTACACTTCTTTCAGGTTCGGCGTGGGCTACTAAGTTGCAGTTTTAGAAACCTAAATACCTATTGAGGTCATTCTCAAAATATGAATTGGGTTCAAAACCATCTAGGACTGGCGTATTACGGCTAAATTCAGAGAAGCTGTAGTTGTAAAAACGCAGTAAAGCCAAGTAGGTTTGCCTTGAAACTATCAATAGTCTGAATTTTCTACAAGATATGGTTGAGGGGGGTACTATCAGGAAGGTTTCTGCTTTATTGACCGATTACAGCCTTCTTTCGTGCGGCACGAATCGTGCCTAAGACCTGCAAGTACAACCTCCATTCTTGAGTATAACTGTGTGGTTATGTTCATGGGCTTTGATTGAACTAAGCGGCCTGGCACTTTTGAGTTGCCAACGGAAGAGCAAAGACATGCTGCCACTACTCTATCAATAGCAAGTACCCTGGTGCAGCTCGACGCACCAAAAACATCTCTTGTCAGCTCTACGTAAGACTGCGACCGACTCAACTCTCAGACGGAATTGTCGAGCGAATTGAGTGTACAGAGGCCACCGATAGGCTTGGCTTCTTTTCTGCAGCTGAGAGGTAGGCAGCATGGAGCAGAAGTCCCCGCGTTCTTCAGTATCAGCAAATTACGATCACGCACACCCCTTTCAGGTGGGGCACCCGTCGGCGATTAGAGCCCACGATTCTGGCGAGTGTTTCATCACCCACGTGGACGTCTTTCTCGGGTCGTTGACCTTTACTTCGGAGCAACTGGCGTGTTCACTTGCAGTACGCAGTAAGGACCGAGGAGCTCAGGTTACGATCCAATCGCTTGCAGAGTTCAAGCCGGAGCATATCGATTCCACTTCGGTCCCTTTCCGAGTTGCAGTCTTCGTGATCTCCACCCATGCGGCGGGCAAGCCAGCGCCCAACGCTGAGCAGTTTCTGCTTTGGCTCCGCAAGACGTCGGAAGCAAATCACACAGCAACGAAAACTCCACGACAGTTCGAAGACGATTATCATCCTGATGCGGCTAAAGTCTCCCCACCACCACACGCGACAATTGATAGTCACACCAGAATGTTCACCCCCAGCACTCGACATTTTACACTGACCGCATCACAACCTGCTTCAGAAGCCCCCGGTCGCTCTACACAGACAGCAAAGTCAAATTTCCACGTGAACTGGCGACTCCCGTTCAGCGGAGCCAAAGCGTCAAAGGTTGAGTGTGAGCCCACAGGGGCTTTGCATGGGTTCCAGTACGCAGTCTTCGGTGTCGGTAACTCCATTTACCGCTCATACAATTCAGCAGCCAAGTACGTTGACAGAGCGTTGAAGAGTCTGGGAGCCGTACGGGTATGCGCTCTCGGTCTCGGCGATATTTCGAAGGATATCGACGAGGAATTCACAAACTGGGAGAACGAGCTGTTGCGGTTGGTGTCCGGCAACTCTGGCACCTCATCACACGCCCCTCTTACCCCCGAGCGAAAACCGATTCAGCCATTGTCCAGAGCTTCACCCCCAGGGGCTCCAAGCAGTACAAACGCCAAAATCTGCGTTGATGAAGTAGTGGAGGACAAGCAAATAGCTACTCGTGGGCCAACAACCGCCGACTTGGAGATGTTTATCGGGCCTGTCCAAGAGCAGCAAGAGAGGACGAGGCAGAGGCGGCACAGTAGTGCGACCACCATGATTCTGTCGAGGCGAGGGAACTTTGGTGCCAACGCACCAACTGAAGTCATGCCACCGCTCACTCATCGCTCCTAATTACTCTCCAATGCGTCAACTTAACGACTACTGTACTGGTACTCAATTCAACTCGATAAGTTGCTTAACTACACCGCCATTTCTTGCCACAGTTCTCGCCACCAAAAGGTTTGTTCGTTTAGCAGTCGAAACTTCAAGCTCCATCCCCATAAAACATGGACCAATTTTGGTGTAAGATCGAGAATAAATTTATATCTCACCCCCAGTTTTCTGTTGCGAGCCGCAACTCGCGATCAGTTTATACGCTGCCAATCAAGTGGTGGTACGGAGCAAAATACGAGCCCAAGAGGATGCAAATAAAGCCGACTATCAATAGCCAGCACGAAGTACTGAAGTATTTGGGGCCTTTCCACCAGGCACTGACAGGTGAAGTGTTTGAGGTCGTGTCACCACACGCTTCTGACGACCAACGATGTCCCTGCTGCCAAGCCCCGAGCCAATACCTCCCTTGGAGCACAAGCCGCGACCACCCCCACTGCAACAGACTCGACGAATTTCCCTCTCGTTTAGAAAAATCACTCAAGCCACTGGATGCATCACCCACTTGGACATCTTCGTCGGGTCGTTGACGGGGACTTCGGAGCGGTTTGCCTCGATTCTGGCCGAGGATGCTGCAAAATACGGCACCGTGGTGTCTCTAAACTCGCTGGAAAGGTTTAACCCGGAATGTTTCAACGACCCCGAAGGCCCACACCATTCCAAGTCGCGGTTAACTGTTTTCGTTGTGTCAACACATTTCGCTGGAGGACCATCTCCGGATGCTGAGGCCTTTTCGCAATGGCTGCGAATCATCTCGGGCGATTCCAGGGCGCCCACGATTGACCCAGTTATACCAGAGGAACCACGGCCGTCTGAGGCAACGACAATAATGGCACCACCCGTGAATGACCCCTCTAAGCCCAAAATGAGACGATCGACGCAAATTGTCGTTCCCACCCCCGCAGCGAAACCTCGTCGCCAAACTTCGTTCTCAGCTGCAGTGCGCCCCATTCTCCGTATGAACTGGCGACAAACTTTCCTCAGTAGGAAAAACTCTGCAAACGCCAGCAAACCGAAGAGTGTGATGCATGGCGTGCAGTACGCGGTCTTTGGCGTGGGGAACTCCATGTATCTCACTTACAACGCAATGGGGAAGTTCGTCGACGCAAAAATGCAAGTACTTGGGGCTGTACGGCTCTGCCCGCTTGGTCTGGGAGACGTATTGGGTGACATCGACGACACGTTTGCCAAGTGGGAAGCGCAAGTGCTCCAGCTCTTGGTGTACCAAAAACTTGGCCCTCCAGCGAACATCGCAATTCAAGCTCAAGCACAACGCCGAACAACGTTCACTGCAGAGGGCAGCGGTAGGCAATTGACAGTGCAACGGACGCTGTCCGACCCCTCTTCAGGAGAACCAGCAGCTCCCAGAAACCAACCGCAAGCACCCGCGCAGGAAGACGAAGTTGCTCCTTTAAGGCGATCCAGTATCGTGCGTAGGGCTTCGCCCCCTCGAGCATCGGCTGGAGGAACAACAACCAAGTTCTCTGCCCAGAATCTATACGGCCATAACATTCGACTACGTTTCCGCTGCCGATACGTTAGCAACGATAACCAGCAAAAGTCACCGCGAAAGAGCACCAAGTTGCCTCCTATTGCCCCCAGCAGCGAGAAGAAGGCATCTGCCAAGCTTCACTTCAACTTGTCAACAATCAAACGAGACGCCTCTCACATCCGACACCCGTGTATCGCCCTGAGATCAATCACAATGCTCACGCGCGCCGATAATTCAGCTAGTGCGTCGACATTTAAAGACGTTTCGCTGGTTCGACTCTCTATCCTGGATCCAGACTTGGCGTTCGAGACTGCCGACACGTTCGGGTACTTCCCACCCAACCCGAAAGAAGTCGTGGACGCAATCGGCTCCAGAATGGGGCTGAGCATGGACTCGTGCGTTGAATTTTCCTTTCAAGATGATCCAGGAGTTTTGACTGGAAGCTGCTCCTCCGTATCAGGATCTGGGGCTGACCCCCCTCACAGTCCGAATCGAGATCGCCACCTTCCATTCCCAAGCCCATGCAGCATTCGGACAATACTCAGCGACTTTTTAGAGTTGCGGACGATCTCGAGGGAGTTCGTTCGCATAGCTTCGGGCTTCGTGAGTGACCAGACAGAGCACGAACTCTTAGAGAACATGGCTTCAATCGATGGTTCTGCTGCGTTTGCCCGAGAGTTCACACCTGCGAAGTTTGGGATGCTAAAGTTGCTGGAGCTGGCGCCAAGCTTACAGATGCCATTCGAGGTTTTCGTCAATTTGACACCGCTGCTCAAGCCACGACTGTACTCAGTTGCAAGTTCACATCTCCAAAATGACCGGGAGTTCGACATCGTGATAGCACTAGGCAATCCAAAAGAAGCGCATGGCCTCTCAGTCTCCAACTTCAGACGAATTCTCTCTCGATCTGATGTCCAAGTGCCGCCAACAAGCAGCAGCAGTACTGTGCAACAAGCAGAGTCTGAACCTGTTCCCGTCTTGGCGCTACTGCGCGGATTCGTGGCCTTCTCGCGATTTAAAACCCCTGTGGATATTGCAGCCCCAATGATCATGATCTGCAACGGAATCGGCGTGGCTCCGCTCCGAGCGCTGCTTCAACACCGAGAAATCGAGTGTGAGTGGAATCAAGCAAATCTGGAGCAAAATGGACAGGGCGGGGGCACAGCGCCAGCACCACTCCAAGTGAATCCTTCTTGTGGCAAGAACCTGCTGTTCTTAGGGTGCTCCAACGAGTCCTCGCTTCTGTTCGAGTCGGAACTGCGCACTTGGGAGAGCAACGGCGTCGTAGAGCTCCACGTTGCGTATTCCTCCGAGCCCGGACAGCCGTCAGAGCACGTGCAAGATCTGGTATCAGCTCAGAAGGAGCAGATCGCTGCGCTCATGTCCAGCTCGCCAGAAGCAAGGATCTTCATCTGCGGGAAGATCGCCATGGCTCAAGCTGTGCACCAGATACTCTCGGCGCCTGATACATCGTACAACAACAATTGGTATCAGAAAGCTCTGCTCAGTGGTCGATACATTGAAGGCATCTTCGGGTGAGAAAAGTTTTTTGCTTCCACTATCTGCAACTGGCGACCGATCTCTCACGGGACGTCTGGTGTGGTGCAATTAGTCCTGCAGGAACGTATTGGGATACGTTTACGCGCTTTTGAAGAACACTTGAAGTGTGTTTTCCAGAACTGTGGCAGCGACGTGGTCCTGGTCTTCGCCTCGAATCGCGCTGATGATCTCCAGCACCTGGCTGAAATCACAACGTGACACAAGGTGATAAGTACAACTTAGCCTTCACAAAAAGTATGGCGAAGCTCAAATCATCGTTGGGGAACGTACATGAGGGTGCACGGCTCGTTGCGTCCTTTGACGAGACAGTCGGGGGAGTATTTCTCCGCCTTTTTGCTTTGCCACGAGGTTTTCACGTGGCCGTGACCAGCATGCGTTGCACGGATATCGCACCATGGAGCGTCTGGATACCAAAACGATTTTTTCAGCTTAATACTAACCAGCAAGATAAAAAATATTTATGACCGCAACGAACCCGTCTCGATCATCAACCGGTGAAGGGGAATGGCCTTAACGCAGTCCAAGTTTTCCGCGGTCTTCAACGAACAACCGTTCACTCCTGCAAAAACGACAAGTATTAGATAAGTTCGAAGTAGAAAAGTTTTGCACCACTTTGGCAAAATATCAGATAATTTACCGATGTAGAGCCCCAACTCCACCAATTTCAGCATCTCCTCCTTACCCCCCGTAAACGAGTGCACCACTCCATTCGAGAACCTCGACCGGTGCTTCGCAATCATGGCTACATTCACGCATTTAATGCCACTCATCAGCAACAAACTCAGTACCTCGGTTAACGCCACCTAACCTACCGTAGAAATCTCCATCCGTGTTTCTGTTGTGCAGGAACAATGGCAACTTTGTGCGTTCCGCCAATTGGAATTGTTTCTCAAAGTATTTTAGTTGCGTCTCCTTGTCGCAGAACTCGAGTCGGTCGTAGTCCAGTCCGCACTCGCCGATTGCCACCACTTTGCCCTCTTTTTGGCCTTGTTCGCACACAGCCAACAATTCGGCAAAGTAGGCGTCGGGGTCTCGCCCATCGGCTTCGAACTCGCTGCAACGAGTCGGGTGCACCCCCACAGTGGAGAAAAGTTGCGGTAGCCCATCACCCTCGTTGCTTTTTGCCAGTTGCAGAGCTGCTTTGCTCTCCTCGAGGTTTCCGCCCGTGACAATGATTTTATCAACGCCGAAAGCTTTGGCACGAGCCAAAGCTGCGGTCAAGTCGGACTGCAAATTGCCGAGTGTAGGGGACGAGTTAGAGAGTGCAACTTGGTGGAAAATGTAAAAGAAAATATCGGCAATTCACCTCGTGCTTTTGCTTCCCACGGTAGACGCCCGTGAAGACCGGATCCGTGAGGTTCGCGCCGATGTCGATCATCTTGAGCGCCATTTTGCGAGTGGTGAGCAGCATTTTTTGACGCTGCGTTAAGTACGACGAGATTTGTGCTGAGAAACTCGAAAGTGTTTACCCTGTGTAAAGCAGCTCGAAAATCTTTGTACTTAAAGGCAACTTCAAATTCAAAAGAGATCTTGGCGCTTTTGCGCGGGAAAACAACCGAATTCATTTCTCCTTTTTCCGCCTTGGCAACAAGTTAAGCTAGTGCTAACCAGGTGAAGAGCTACGGGAACAAGAAGATGGCGAAGGGCAAGTGGATGAGCGAGGCCGAGGTCCAGCAGATCGTGCAGATGCGCAAGGACGGCGTGCCAGTCTCGACCATCGCCAAGGACGTGGACCGCAGCACCAACTACATCTACCGCATCTTGAAGAGATTCAGCACCCAGCAACAGTCCCAACAGCAACAAGAGGCAAATGTTACGACCACCAACACCCCCGCAACTCCTGCAACTGCGACTGCAACACCCAGATCCGTTGCAGCTCCAGTGCAACAGCCTCAACAGGCACAAGCCCCCTCCGACGCACTCTTGTGCGCCGTCGAGAGCATGGAAGTGTCCGCCTACGAGTCCATCCCAATGCTCAAGTCCGTCGGCAACTCCACTCAAGCTCCAGCAGAGCTGCAGCCTGGCACAGTCAACGCCAGTGTCGCCTTCACGTCCAACGCCTCCAAGCCCCAAAGTGACGACACTCCAGACTTTTGGCTCCTCTCGGACCCTGAGCCCAGTCGGGCACCAGTGCAGCCATCCAAGAAGCAGAAGACGCCATCATCGGCATCAGTCCCGGCGTCATCGGCGTTGACTGTCACCCGCCAGTCTCAACGCTCCCCCGAGTCCTCTTCAATGACCATCCAGGACCCCGACAGTGCCGGACTCGGAGAGCTCTTGAAGCGCGTGCAGGACGAGATCCGTAGACTGGAACACCGGAGCCAAGGGGACGTCTACGACGCTCAACTGCTGCAGACGCTCGTGAAATTCCACGCCGAGATGCTCCTGCTGCAGCTCCAGAAGACGCAGTTCACTACTGCCACCAGACAAGCCGCGGACGAAGCTGCTGAGACCAGTCGACTGCTGAGAGAGCGGCTGGGGAAGGAGATCGCTCTGCTGAACGTCCAGGCGGACCGAGAGAGGCTCGAGCTGGAACGCGAGCAGATCAAGCACAAGGCCACCACCCTGTTGTGCCGCAAGCGGCTGCTGGACGCCAACGCCTCGCCCATTGATGTGGATCAACTGTTCCCTCGCCAGTAACGCCCCATTTTGCCAGTTTTGATCGTCTCCAACGGACTCCAGGGGGGCATCTGCGTTCATTTTCGTCAAGTGCGGCATTCGTGAGACGTCGTACGGCTTCCGCGTGCTTTGCTTTGCATCCCTCTATGTTGGCATTTTTTATGCGGTTATCGATTGGCTCTACCAATACAGACTGCGCTCCACACACTTAGTTGCTCCCCGCGCTTCGTTTGACGCCTCTGATGATACTTTTTCTCGCTCGCTCGCTCGCGCTGTTCGCTGCGCTGGATTATATGGGACTCGTACAAGATGACAGGACTACTTGGTCTGCCGCACTAACTGGAGCTGATTGGGGTACATGTCTTCGCCTTCTTGAGCAGAGAATCCGAGTTTGCCGCCTCGTCCAGCGCTAACTTCCGCTTCGCAACGGCCAAAGCTGCTGACCCCGAGCTTGCACCGTCGCCATCGCCTCCTACACTATTACTATTGCTATCGTCACTCTTGGTCGAGTCATTGCCGCCATCCCTGTCACCACTTTTCTTGGGGCTCCCACTTCCGGTTGCTCCATCCGGGTTGGACAGCTTCCACGAGATCTTCTGAAACACGTTCTTGAATTGAGGTGACCGGGCCTTCTTGCTCTGGTTAGCCTTCTTTTGAGCAAGCAAGCTGCCACCACCACCCAGAAATGATTGCGTGTCCACATCGTCCTCTTTTTTCTTGCGTACAGGCAGCTTGAGTTCCCGTTCTTCCTCTTCAATGTCAGCTCCGCATGGAGATGTCGTGAGTGCTGCTTCGCCAGGATTCCCTTCTCTTACTGACGTCTTAGACGCTGGTTCATCTTCGTCGTCGTCATAATCCACCAGTTTTACTGTCCGTGGGCGGTTCTGGCATGGTACCTCTTCCTCTGACAAGCTGTTCTTCTCCTTTTTAGGCGTGGAATCAGTTGTGTCTGTTTCTTTCTCCCAGTACAGCTCCTCTTCGTCGTCAATACTGCCTGCCCGTACGAAGCGGATCTTATTGGAATCGGTAGAATCCGTCGGTTCGTCCGCCGATCCAGAGTTACCATTGTGACGTACACGGATGGCCTCGAACACAAGAGGACATTCGCCTTTGTATGTCTCGTAAAACTTCGTGTAGATGTGTTCGACCAACGAAGTCAGGTTTGTCTTCTCAACAAACGCCAGTACTTCCAAAATTGCCGAGCTGACAGCCCCCGAGTTCGGTTTTCCAATCTCCAAATTCGCCAACATTGGCGTGAATAGGTCGTTCTGAATCAGAAATCTGGAAAAGAAGGCTTCAGCTCTTACTGCACATGCTCGAACAAACTTCACAGCGTCTACAAACACAAATACAGTATAATGAGCTCGGCCATCCACAAGAGCGCTGCTTCAAACGAGAATATTGCAGCACCTGGACGGTGGCCTGTCGGTTTACGTACGGATAACGAAGAGTTTGTTCTTGGATCGCAGCATTTTCTCGGCGTAGGTCGCAATCGGTTGTCTTCCGAATAGATACTTCACGCGGTAGCCGTGATTTTCAGTGCAGAACGTAAGCAATTCCATGATACTGTCTTGCAGATCAAACATCGCGGATTTATCGTGAACAAAGTTGTTGTTCTTCAACGGTTGGAGCAGCCAGTGCATGTAGTTAGGGTAGAGCACACTCAGAAACTTGTCATCCTGGAGAGTTGGCACAAACAACACGTATCCCAACCAGTTAGTACAGGAACAAGCCACGGGCGATATGGGCCAACCAACGTACATGTGCCAGGGGTACTCGGAAAATCTCGCGCAGCAAATTAAACAACTGGATCCGCATCGGTTCGTCGCGCTCGAAAACGATCAGCAATGCAGTGAATAAAGAGGAATCCTCCGTCCACGAGATGCGCTCCTTGTCCGAGGTTGGTGCAGGTATACACTTTCCTTCGCTTGCAAGGTAAGTTCGTAACCTGTCAGGTCCCTGGTAGAACACCAGCACGTTCAGGATATCCACGGCCAACGCGATTTCCTCCGGCTTTGACTCAGGAGAGCCCAATACAGGAGCGAACGCCGCAAACAGGTCGCCATCGCCAAAGAGATTGCCAATGAGGGAACCAAACACCGGCGGGGCACCGAACGGGTCGCGACGTTGCGGTAACCTGTCCACCGGTTTAGTCACCTTCACCAGGTTGATAATCGCTTTCAGCAGCCCGAGGCCATCCTTTCTTTTCTCCTTGCTAGCCATAAGCTCCTTACTGCAGAAATTTGAGCACAAAGCACACATTAGCACACCGTCCAGCTCTCACCATTCCAATTCCTGATTATCACGTACATGGCCTTCGAGTAGTCGTCGCTCTCGGAAATGAAGGACAAGATGTGGAAGTTGTTCTCGTTGGCCATGTGTTCCAGCAAGAGAACACAGCTATCCGGCAGTGAGCGAGACAGCACATTGTCTTTGATCACCTGGATACGGAAGTTCATGTGCACGCGCTCCACCACACTGTGATCGGTGATAGGGACGACCTGCAACGGGCACCAGCCGAAAAGTCAACACTCCGACTGTTCAACCATTCAACTAACGGACCCGACCCGCCAGCCAGCCACGCCACGCACCTCGTGAAATCCCCCATCTCCTTCCAGCGCCGTTCGGAAATCCATCTCCCGGATTAATCCCGGGTTGTAGCCGAACACGCCGACTACCGAGATGAAGTTCGTCTCGCTCAGCAGCACCTCGATCAAGCCGCGATTGCCCAGCTCAACTGTCGGCAGCAACACCATCACTTCAGTCAGCATTGCAACATCCTACTGCCAACTGATCACTGCAGCCACGCACGGATCGCGTAGAAAATGTCGAACAGCTTGTGCAGCACCGCCTTGTCCGCATCCAGCTCGCTCACGTCGAACAGATCCAGCAACTTGACGATGTACGCTCCGCCCTGCAACACCCATCAGCCATCCACTCCACCCACTAATAAAACGTATAATACGGACCTTGTCCGCCAGGTCTTTGAGCACTTTGGAGCGCACCGTCGGGTGCGACGTCTTGAGCACGAGCAGGATCTCGTCCAGGTGCTCCACGTCGCACGGCGGCAGGTCGCGCCTGCAGAACAAGAGGCAGCCAAGCCAAACGGTCAGAGAAGAAGAAGCCGCCACCACGCCACGCCACGCCACGCTGGACGCGTGCGTGCAGTCGCTCGCTTACGGCTGGATGTCGCCGCGGAAGAGCTGGTCGATGCTGCTGTCGCTGTCCATCGTCGTCTCTCGCCCTCCTCGGCGGAAACCACCAGCCAGCGGGCGCGTGAATTAGCTGGCAGGCAGCGGCAACTTTTTGGCGGAGTGCGCGCGCGTAACGGCGACACTTGCAGAGTGAATGCCGTCAGGTCTCTCCCCTAATTATCCGGCCAATGGGCGGCGGCGGTCTGCTGCGGGTTTCTGCCTATGAGAACCGAGTTGAGCCGCCTTTGAGTCACTTTGTCACGGCCGGACGACCGCGCCGCCCAGGTGTTTGTTGCCTGCCGCCCCCCGATGGGGAAGGGAAGCCTCGCGCTTTTGTGGCGAAATCAGAACTTCAAGCCACCGCAGGCGAGCGTCGCCCGCTCGTGCTGATGAGATGTCGGGCCTGGAGACAACTGGTCATCGGCAGTCGACCGACCAGCTGACGCCAAATATCACGGTAGAAAATCACAATAGCCGTCAAAAAGTGACGGTTTTGTTTCAGCCAATAGACAATCGCCGTCCTTTTCGGCCAATCGATCTTCGTTCTGCAAGGTGAGACTTCGGACGCTACGCTTGGACTTTCGGTGCAAATGGCGGGACGAGAGTTCGCGCATGTCCAGCCGGTGCGTGCGCGGCCCCCTGGCGGCCTGCGGGGCGGGCAGTGCCCCCTACTTTTGCCCCCACCTTCTCTGCAATGGACTGTTCTAACTCGCTGCAATTTCTCGCGCTCCGATTCGCCAGGACAACGCCGAGATCGAGCGCTCCGTGCTCTCGCAGGAGGTACGAGCGTCGACCCCCCCTATCGCGCTTCATATCCAGTCTCCTGGCGCCCCCATTGGCTTGATATTTAGGCTAATGGATTGAAATCGTATTGTGCTGTGTGGCTGTAGGTCGAGGCGCTGCGCAATCGGTTGGGGCTGCGGCAGGTGGACGTGTCCAAGGAATGCGGCGTGAACGCCAGTATGCTGTCGCAGTGGATGCTGGGCAGGTACAAGGGCAATGTCGGCCGAGTAAGTGATGGAGTTGTAGAGTGTTGAAGCGCGTGCAATGTTGCGAGAGCTGGAGGTTGCAGGGGCTAACTGGTGGTGGATTTTTTGGCAGATTAATGGACTGATGGAATCGTGGCTGATTCGACGACGCGGAGGGAAACCCATGGATAAGGGCATGATGCGTACGATACTGGAAATTTTGCTGCGCATGTAGTGGTGAGCTGGGGCTGACATGTTTCTGGGTGTCTGTGATGCACAGTGTTCAACTCGACGGCCAGCTCACCCAAACTCAAACGGCGACTCGATGACATGAACGATCCCCTCCAAGCTGCGAGGAGGTACGACAATAGTATGAGGTAAAAATTGATGTGTTGTATGTTATTGACGTCATATGAATTTCGTGCAATTTTCTAACAGGAAAGATAGCTCGATCCTTGCGCAGCGAAGGCTGTACAACTACCCAAAGGTACGTCGTGCTCTGCTGCTACAAACCAATAATGTTGAACGAAAGGCCAAAGGATTAATCGATCATGTTGATTTTACGTTTACTGTGGTGGCAGTTCCCAACTCGCGATACTCTGCTGATCCCTATCCGACTCGACATAGACATCGAAGGCTACCGATACATTGACTCCTTCTCGTGGAATAAGTACGTACTGGGCACGTTACTTCATTATGGGAGTGTTGCTAACTGTAATGTACTACTCAAACTACAGGTACGAAAAGGATTTTACGTACGAAACGTTTGCTGCTGCGCTAGTTAGAGACTTGGACCTCCCGGAGTGCTTCTATAAGCGAATTGCCAAGTCGATTGAAGAACAGGTTGAGAAGGCCCAACGATCACTGCCTTGGCACGAAGCTGTCACGATGGAGAGTCTGCATCCGATCTTCATCAACCTTCGCCTGAACGACACTATCTATATTGACCGGTTCGAGTGGGACCTGAATAACCCCAACAACTCGCCCGAGCGGTTCGCTCAGGTGGTTTGTGAAGACTTGGTAAGTTCGGCAGCTATGAATCAACGCAGTGTGCTGGTTCTCACAAAAATCGCTTTTTGTTGCGCAGGGTTTGAGCGGTGAGTTCGAGGCTCAAGTCGCTCTATCCATTCGTGAGCAGCTTCGAGACTATTCCAGAGTAAGGAACCACGATGTGTGCGCAAATGCATGCGTCTATAGCTCACGTGACGCGCTATGTTGTGCAGCTCATCCGAGAAGGCTTGAAGGATCGAGTCACAAGACTCCCACCTGTCTCCGCGGCGTTCCGTGACCGTCTGGATGCCGATGCGTGGGGCCCCTCCGTTAAATACATTTTGGCGGATGACATCCCTCAACTCGAGCGAGAAGACTTTAAGCGGATGAGACCGCTGTCGCGCCCCACGCTGCTGGTGACCCCGCCACCGCAACAGACAGCGCGGCCCAATCGACCGCCCAAGCCAGTGAATACCTTCCTCATGTTCTGCAGGTATGGTGGTTGCTCGTGTGCAGCCTGCGAACAATTTCTCACCTTGCTCTTGCTTCCAGACAAAACCGAAAGAAGATCATGGCTGACCACCCCAGTACGAGCGCCAAAGATGCGTCCAAGATTCTCGGCGATATGTGGCAAAAGTTGTCTGAAAAGGAGCGAGCTAGGTACGCATACAACAGATGGAGTTATGGTGCAGTTGAAGCGAACGAGCACGTACTAACCTTATCGTGCCATGCTGCAGCTACATTCCAATGACGGAGATGGAAAACCAGCGACGCATGAACGAGTGGCGCATGAAGGAGAACGCCTTGAACGGCATCCACACAACCCTCACTGGCGGCATCGCTGGAGCAGCTGCAACCGCATCCAGCCAGACGAACTCGCCCGCCATACCGGGCACACCAGTGCTGCTCGCTCCTCGGATCACCCCTAGCGTCGCCTCCTCCATGGACGAAGTAGACGACGCGGATGCTGACGAGGACGATGAGGACGAAGACGACGAGGAGGACGACACTGCCAGTGCCACCAGCGTCGCCGTCTGATAAGTTTTGCATCCCAACCACTCGGCCAGCACTTTGCTGGCCCCTCCAAAGCTCTGCGTGTCATGTGTATATTACGTCATTCTTGCCACCTCCGTCTACGAAGCCTCCTCGCTGTCGGTTGACGGTGACAGCCGCCACTTGGACTGGTAGTAGTGGTGCTCCAGCTCGAACAAAGCGGACGAGATGTCGGCGCTCAGGTGCGAGATCTGCGCGTCCACGTCGTCGCATCTGCAGGCAATGGATACCGTTAGTGCCTGGTAGTTAGTTGGTTAGTGTGCATTTGTTTCTCACCGCTTGAGCAGCTCGTCCGAGGTCGAGTCGACGTTCTGGCTCATGCCCTCGAAGTCGCCGAGCGCGAGCGACAGCTTCATCTCGGACACGAGCTTGAGCAGCGACTCGCTGGCCTGCACGAGCGTCGTGGCATAAATGGAGCTCTGGAAGGACTCGCGCGTGGTGTTGGCCGAGTCCTTGATCTTGGCCGTCTTGATCAGCCCCTTGAAGTTCTCCACCAGCTTCTCCACATTGTTGTCCAGGCGCTGCCGGTACTCCTCCGCCATGATGCGAAAATGGCTGACGTCTTTCTTTTTTACAAATGATACTCACTAACTTTACTTTATGTCCACTACATAATATATATGATGTTGGATAGGTTTTTATGTTGCGATGGAAGACTCGCCGTCGCTGCGCTTTTCGAGCCAACTAAATGCGTAAATGCATTGAGCAGCGACAGATGAACGCAGATAGCTAGCGAGGTGTCCATTGTCGCCATCACCGCAACAACTTGCCCAGCGTCAATCGGTCCGTTTCCTGGGCGGCGCTTGGTCATTCGATTCCAAAAACGGATCTTTGTCGAGGTTTTTCGGTATAAAACCTCTCGGTCTGAGTATACCGCCGAAAGGGGGGCCTAACAGCCGCCTTCAAAGGCAGTTCCGCTGCATTCCCATCAGGTGCGTGAAGAGAAGGAAGGCCACCTCGGCGCCGCGCTGGCGGCCTAATGGCGCGCTCCACAGCCCGCAGAGCTCGCGTCCGCCAGCGCCACTACAAACTGCACCTCCACAGCTATCTAACACAGTGCCTCTTTCTTTCCCTACGCCCCCAGAACTCCCCGCAGAACCCTCTAAGCAATAGTAATGCTGGCTCAGCTCGTGGCAGACGTGTGCCCGTCGTCGGCGTCGTTTTTCGGCTTCATGGGCGTCGCCTCCGCGCTCGTTTTCGCCAGTGCGTTGCCTGCAGCAGAGGCTCTCTAAAGGTTGTAGTGCTGGGTCTCTCTAACCTGTTGCTGCTGTTGCTGCTGCTTAGACCTGGGCGCCGCGTACGGCACGGCCAAGTCGGGCGTGGGCATCGCGTCGATGGGCGTGATGCGGCCGGAGCTGGCCATGCGCAACATCATCCCCGTGGTCATGGCCGGTGTGCTGGGCATCTACGGGCTGATCGTGGCGGTGATCATCCAGGGCTCGATCGACCCCCCGAACGGCAACGCGCCCAAGTACGGCTCGTACACGGGCTTCGCGCACCTGGCGGCGGGTCTGTGCTGTGGCCTGAGCGGCCTGGCGGCCGGCATGGCCATCGGCGTGGTGGGCGACGCGGGCGTGCGCGCCGTGGGCCAGCAGGAGAAGCTGTTCGTGAACATGATCCTGATCCTGATTTTCGCGGAGGCTCTGGGTCTGTACGGCCTGATCGTGGCGCTGATCCTGTCGCAGAAGAAGAGCGACTGCCCGTCGGAGTAAGATTTCTTTCGTGGAAGGCGGATGGCAGTGGCTCGGTTAAGTCGCTACTGCTATCCGTGTTCGTAGCTTTTGAAGGAAGTAGAGCGGCGACGTCAACGGGAGCAGAGGTGGCTGCAGCAGTGCGGATATGAATCGTGTTGCCATCTCACCTCCTAGGCTTCGCTGCAAGTGATAACGCTAATACTACAACCCTTTTGCATAAGTTACGAATGATCATTCGTCTTCCACCCTTGTTAAACGCAACGTCAGCCATGCTTCTGAAGCTAGTCAAGCCACCACATTTACTGTTAGTCCAAAACTAGAGTGCTTCACCACAAACAATCGATGAACCACGTCAGCGCGAGCACGTCAAGAGTCTTTGATACCAAATGCGAAGATTTATTTGCTGTTGCCGACCGCGCCAGCCTCGAAGAATCGCGGGCTCGCGTTAAAAAGATCGACTACATTGTCTCGCGGCCAACATCTCCGACATACCACGCGGAAGCGCCAACCGCTACCACCTGCCTGAACCTGCTTACTCCGACGGGCAGTCGCTCTTCTTCTGCGACAGGATCAGCGCCACGATCAGGCCGTACAGACCCAGAGCCTCCGCGAAAATCAGGATCAGGATCATGTTCACGAACAGCTTCTCCTGCTGGCCCACGGCGCGCACGCCCGCGTCGCCCACCACGCCGATGGCCATGCCGGCCGCCAGGCCGCTCAGGCCACAGCACAGACCCGCCGCCAGGTGCGCGAAGCCCGTGTACGAGCCGTACTTGGGCGCGTTGCCGTTCGGGGGGTCGATCGAGCCCTGGATGATCACCGCCACGATCAGCCCGTAGATGCCCAGCACACCGGCCATGACCACGGGGATGATGTTGCGCATGGCCAGCTCCGGCCGCATCACGCCCATCGACGCGATGCCCACGCCCGACTTGGCCGTGCCGTACGCGGCGCCCAGGTCTAAGCAGCAGCAACAGCAGCAACAGGTTAGAGAGACCCAGCACTACAACCTTTAGAGAGCCTCTGCTGCAGGCAACGCACTGGCGAAAACGAGCGCGGAGGCGACGCCCATGAAGCCGAAAAACGACGCCGACGACGGGCACACGTCTGCCACGAGCTGAGCCAGCATTACTATTGCTTGAGATCGGGAGGTCTGACGACTGCCACACACAATCCACGCAGTTAACTTCCTGTGGTCTATCGCCAGCCTCGAGGGCTCCAAAGATCGCCGCACCTGCTTTTTCTATTGAACTGCTCGTCCACGGAACGCGAAATGAGGTCTCACATGAAGCGGCGTTTTTGGATCTGTGTACACTCGCACGACATTTACTGAACCAGCTTCCATGGATGTTGCACGAACGAGTGTAGCCATCTTGTGGGAAAGCGTATCTTCAGCGGATGCACATCAAACCAGATCATTGCTGCTGGAAGGATGTCATCGCCGTGGCTGTGCACGCTGCTGCTGGCGCTGCTGGTCTACACGAACGTATGGCCTCTGGATCGACTCCCAGGTGGGGACAGCGGCGAATTACTGGCGGAAGCTTGCGTCGGCGGCGTGGCGCATCCGCCAGGGTACCCCTTGCTGCTCTCGCTGCTGCGGCTCGTGCGCTGGGCAGCTCAGCAATGTGGCGGTAGTGCGACGGGGGGAGGTGAAGCGAGCTCTGGGCACTTTGCGATATGGGCCAATGCGTTGAATGCCGCCACTGCGGCTGGTGCAGCGGCGTGTGTGACCCACACAGTCCACTTGCTGACGTCTAAGAGTTCTTCGGTGGAGGCGATTGCTGCTGGACTTTCCTTCGCTTTATCGAAACTGACCTGGGAGTACGCGAGGGGCGTTGAGGTGTTCGCACTCAACAACTTGCTTGTGGGTGTACTGCATATACTGGTGGTGAGGCACTTTATGCAACGTACGGTGAAGAACGCCTGTATGGGGGCTTTCGTGTGCGGCCTAGGACTTGCGAACCAGCACACCATCGGTACGAAGAAAGCAGAAGTAGTGCCTCTTGAGTTCACGTGCTCTGCGAAGTTGTGACTTATATTTTGGCGCGTTCGATTTGCAGTGCTCTTCGAAGTTCCATTCATCGTGTGGGTCATTTTCACGCGTCGATTCCGCGTGGTGGAACTGCTATTGGTCACTGCAGCGTACGTGTGTGTTTTGGCACAAGCTTAGCATCTGCTGTGTGGACTGTGAGAGTTTTAACAATTGTGTTGGTCAACGCAGCTTTTTAGCTGGTTTGTCAATTTATATCCAAACTATTTTATCCGCACAAGAACCAACACCTGGAACGTGGGGAGATACTTCGACATGGGCAGGTTGGGTTGCACCGATCTCAGGCTGGTCTACCAAATATTTTTCTCACCAATTACTTTCATCGTTGTTTTGAAGGACTCTTCGCTCATGTTCGTCGAAAAGAGTATGGAACGCTCAGGCTTTCGCCCCTCCAAGGAGATTCAGAGGTAATCACGCCTTGGTCCCTGGTATATTATCCCCGCACTAATGAAGCATTCCGATCCACGCTCCTACGGGGCGCAGGGTTTGTTGGAGCGCTTAGCGGTGTATAGCATGGACACCATGGATGACTTCCACTGGACGGGTCTAGTGTTGATGGTCTTGGGCGTCAAAACGCTGCTATTTCCCGAAAGTGGCCACAGCAAGCTTCAACAGGTATCGATACCAAAATGCACCAAAAGAGTTAGCTGCAGACACTAACCTAGCTATTTTCCCCAGGAAGGCCAAACACTGCTTCGTGGATTTGTTGGGCTTACGCAGGTGTCTGCCTTGGTTTGCTATCTCGTGGTGTTCCATTCATTGGCGAATCTCCCGCTCGATTCGCCGATGCCTCGCGCCGTCTCAAGCCGCTTCAATATGCAGCCTAACACAATTCTCGCTATTTGGCTGGGTCTCGGTCTTGCAGAAGTTACACCGCGAATTGCTTCCGTTGTGACCTCGGATACCAAGTGGACTAAAATCGTTCGGTTCTCTTTTTGCCTAACACTACTGGCCACTCAATACCAGCGCAACCAGCCTGCCGGTGACGTCGACTCGGTTGGAGACGTGATCAGAAAACACGGAGAAGATATTTTTCACGTGGTGCCACGCGACGGTGTATTGCTGTCTTACACCGATATCAACTGGAATTCACTACGTTATCTTCAGGTACGAGTCAAAAAGTTGGTGAGCTCAAGTGTAGTCGACTAATCTCTGAAAATCGCTGCGTATGTGTAGGCGTGCGAAAATGTCCGGCCTGACGTAACACTTCTGAGCCTTCAGCTCCTGCCGTTTCCGTGGTTTACCCGTCAGCACAAACTGTATCCAGACATTGTATTCCCGCCAATTCGGCAAGAAGCCTCGACAGTGAAAAGTTCTCGAGGGTACGCGCAGCTCTTACACGACTTCCTGGCTGCGAACGTGGAGAAACACGGGGATCACCTCTTCCTCGACTTGCACGCTGTGGTAAGAGTTTCAAAGTTTGTACATGGGTCGTCAAACGCTTACTCTAACCTTACGCGGCTAATACGTGATGCAGAATGACGAAGACATCGCCCCAAACGGCCAGCACCTCGGATTCACGCTCATATCGAACGGTTTAGTGTGGAAAGTGAGCTTGCCACCATCCAGCGTTGCCGACGGTGACGCTCTCTACTCACGATGGAAGTCAATGCCGCCGCCAGTAGTGAAATTCACCCCCTCGTTGTACCCTGCAGGTAGCTGGGAGTTTGCAGCAGCTACTATTGCGAACGATGCTCGGTACCAGGGCGGCCTGTTCGCTTTGAGCCACTGGATTGAGCGTGGGCGAGCGGTGCAGCACGCGAGCGAAGCTGCCAAATACGTGCTTGGAATGCGTCACGCCCTGCATCTACTGACCCAAGTTGGAGAAGATGCAGTGGTCGCCGATGAATCTTGGGGACTCACGTATAAAGCCTACGACCTGTGGAAGAACACAGCGCTGGCAGCCATGCGGTTCACAAGTGGACTCGAACTTATCGGGTCACTCATCACGCCCTTGAAAGAACATCAGAAGCGCAAAGGAGCAACTCGCCAAGACAAAATGGAGCTCCAAACGCTACAAAAGTTGCTGCAGCATCTGGACGAGAGCCGACAAACTGCAGTCGCGCGGATTGAAGCTCTATTGCCGGACATGAAGTCGCGCCAAGACCCCGACGCGAAAGCCTTCGAGAACTTCATTGCAGCTCAACGGAGCAACAACAAAGACAAGGCAAAGAAGAAGAAGAGCAAGAGCAAGAAGAAGACCAAGGTCAAGGAGAAGACACAGGAGCCATAACATGGCTACACTCACTTCAGCATGATTTGTCACTACCCACAGTCTAACGTCGCTATGTGACAAATCAACCACAGTGTTTACGCCTTTTCGTTTTCGTACTTAATCGAGCCTTCTATCGCTTGGTTCTGGATCGGTCGAAAGATACACAACCGCGTCTCCAGCGAGATATCTCTTCGTGCACTTGCCTGCACGTGTCCGCTCGCTACAGCAACTTCTCCATCATGGTACGCACCTCCTCCACCTTCTGCACGCAACAGCCATCTTCTCCCGTGCCCTGTAGCCCCCACAAGTGCACTAAACCGCAGCTGTCTCCTCGCAGTCAGGCACAGTCAAGACGCAGGCCGAAGTGAAGGACATCACGCGCATCGAGCGCATCGGCGCCCACTCGCACATCCGCGGCCTGGGTCTGGATGACAGTCTGGAGCCGCGCGCGTCCTCCCAGGGCATGGTGGGCCAGACGGAGGCCCGTAAGGCGGCGGGCATCGTGGCCAAGATGATCGAGGAAGGCAACATCGCCGGCCGCGCCATCCTGTTGGCCGGCAAGCCCGGCACGGGCAAGACGGCCATTGCCATGGGTATTGCTCAGGCCCTGGGAGAGGACACGCCGTTCACGACGATCGCTGGTAGCGAGGTGTTCTCGCTCGAGATGAGCAAGACGGAGGCGCTGACGCAGGCTTTCCGCCGCTCCATTGGCGTGAGGATCATGGAGGAGACGGAGATTATTGAAGGAGAAGTGGTGGAGATCCAGGTGGACACCCCGACGGGCGGTGTGGGCGACAAGGTAGGCCGCCTCACGCTGCGAACGACCGAGATGGAGACGGTGTACGACCTTGGAGCCAAGATGATCGACTCGCTGACCAAGGAGAAGGTCGAGGCTGGCGACGTGATCACGATCAACAAGGAGTCGGGCAAGATCTCCAAGCTCGGGCGCTCGTTCACGCGCTCCCGGGACTACGACGCCATGGGCGCGCAGACGCGCTTCGTGCAGTGCCCCGAGGGCGAGCTGCAGAAGCGCAAGGAGGTGGTGCACGTGGTGTCGCTTCACGAGATTGACGTGATCAACTCGCGCTCGCAGGGCTTCCTCGCGCTGTTTGCTGGTGACACTGGTGAGATCAAGGACGAAGTGCGTGAGCAGATTGACACCAAGGTGGCTGAGTGGCGTGAGGAGGGCAAGGCCACGATCGTGCCCGGCGTTCTGTTCATCGACGAGGTGCACATGCTGGACATTGAGTGCTTCTCGTGGCTTAACCGTGCTCTTGAGAGCGACATGGCGCCCGTGCTCATCATCGCCACGAACCGCGGCATCACGCGCATTCGTGGAACCAACTACAAGAGCCCGCACGGCATCCCCATCGACCTGCTCGACCGACTAATGATTATCCCCACGAAGCCCTACAGCGAGTCCGAGATGCGCAAGATTCTCACGATTCGGTGTGAAGAGGAGGATGTGGAAATGACGGATGAGGCCAAGGACCTGCTCACACGCATCGCCGTGGAGACGTCGCTGCGATATGCCATCCAAATGATCATCACGGCGTCGCTCGTGTGCTCGAAGCGCAAGGGCACGGAGGTGGACGTGCCCGACATCAAGCGCGTCTACTCGCTGTTCGCCGACGTCAAGCGCTCCACGCAGTTCCTGATGGAGTACCAGCACGAGTTCATGTTCCACGAGGTGGATGACGAAGAGGAAGAGGACGAGGACCAGAACATGGAGCAGTAGATGAGCACATGCAGTTGTGTGACCTATAACAATGAAATCTCCCTTACTATTGCATTGGTATTTGCATTGCGTTTTGTTCTACACTTTATAGTGCGGCGTTCATTTGACCGAGAAGAAGGAGCGCAAGTCGCGCTGCTTGGGTGGGCCGCTGTGCTTCTTGGCCTCCTTCTTGGCCTTGGCGGCCTTCTCGGCAGCCGCTTTCTTCTTTTTCTCCTCCAATTTCTTCTTGGCAGCCTTCTGCTCCTTTTCAACCTCCTCGGGCGTCAACTCCACCTCCTCGTACGCTTTCTCCGTGACCATGTAGCCCTGCTCGTTGATGCGCGTCTTGGAGACAAGTACCCGCCTTTTGGTCGCGATAGCCGGCTCCTCCTCCTCGTCCTCCTCCTCCTCGTCCTCCTCTACCTCGGATTCCACACGCTTCTCAACTTCTTCGGCCTGCTTTGCCTTCTTGGTCGCAGCTGGAGAGGCATTCAGCTTGCGCTTGACATTGCGACTCTTAGGAGCCGGCGTGCTCGTTGCCTTGGGCGCCGGCGCCTCGTCCCCTTCATCTTCGTCATCACTGATCACCCTCTTACTACTCATCGTCTTCTTGACGAACACCGGCGCGTCGGTCTCGTCGTCATCCTCGTCGTCGCTGTCGACTGTGAGCACGTTGCTCATGTCCAGCTTCTTGGCCTCCGCCGGCTTGCTGGCCGTTGTCTTGCTGGCTCCATTTCTGCTAGCCCCGCTGCTCTTGGAGAAGCCTGCGGTCTTGCCACTGCTCTTGAAGAATGAGGAGCTGCCGGAAGCCACGGGCTTCTTCTTGGCCGACGCGTTGATGGCGTCGAAGGCCGAGATTGTCTCCTCGCCCTGCTCCTCCCCGAAGTCCTGGCGCGCCGTGGCCTCCGCGCACTTGATGCCGCTCGCGTACAGCGCCTTGGCCGCGGCCGTCAGTGGCGCGTGCTTGTCCACGCCGCTCAGCGCGTCGTTGCGCGCCTGGCGCTCCTGCGCCCAGCAGGCTGTGGCCATGGCCGCCGCCTCGTCCTCCGCGGCGGCGTTGGACTTGCCGTACAAAGCGTAGATCTGCTGGCACAGCAGGTCGTCCGTCTGCTTCTGGGTCTCCACGGTCAGCGACAGCACGCGCGCCCTCGGGTCGCGCTTGGCGGCGGCTGTGTCGCTCTTGTCCGCGTCATCGGCGACGGCGGCGCGCTTCACCAGCACGCGCAGGGCCTGGACGGCGTCGTTCTCGGACGAGAACTGCGCGAGCGCCTCGGCGCTGGCGGCCGCAGCCACGCGCGAGCGGATGCCGAGCGTCCGGTACGACAGCGGCTCGCCCGCGTCCAGCACCGCGGACGAGATCTCCTCCAGGCAGCGCTCCATTGCTTCCCGCCAAAAAGTTGGCAATTGGCGCTGTGGACAATCTTGGATTCACCGATTTTGTGTGATTCACATAAAATCGATTATTTTAATTACTGATGTAAAATCTACAGAATCGATAATCCCCCGTGTGGATTATTTCCCGCAAAAAATCCAGGACTTTTGTGTTCCAGGGAGGGAGGCAAACTGCTTGCAGTGCGGTATGCAGCAGAAGACTGGAGGCGATGTGTTTGGTGTTGTGGGCAGACTTCTGCGTGCCACTTTCCTGCTGAAACCGGATAGTTTGCAGGTTCCTCTGTTCCTCTGTTCCTGAAGGACAAATACTGCGTATAATTTGCTTAATGCAATGCAGCTGGAAGTCCAGTGCACTGGAAAGTGAAATGAGCAGTAGGAGATGGTTTAGACCGAACGGAATCGCCTCACACTGCAGACACAGAGGCTACCGGTATTATTGTGAAAACCGATTAGTTTGTCCTGCTGAATTAGTCGGTTAAACATCGCTCATAGCGGATTTGAAGACTAATAAATCGGGGATGTCTCAATTATAATCGGAGTATAAATCGGTCATCGGTCTCGTAATTATGTGCAGCCTAGCTATCTCGATCAACATGCATAGTGCAGCGGCAACACCGCGCTTTAACGCGTCGCCTGCATATCTCAGCTACATGTATTATAGAGTGCGGCTTTTCCTGCTTAGTTCTGATGTTAGTGTTGTAACCTTGACTACCTAGCCAAGAGCGACTGCAACGATTGTTGTCTGCCGGCTGATTTAGCCTACGAGGAGCGAATGCCGGTTGCACATCGGACATTCCGTCTGAATAGCAAGCAAATCGGCCGGCTCTGGCTTAATCGGCCGATTAGCAAATGTAAACCCGACTCTAGTAATATTGAGTATAAATCGAGGTACTCCAGTCTAATTAGGAGGTCGGATTTATCTAATCGGGGTCGTCGGTCTTATTAAGCCACTAAATCGGCTGATTAACAATCCAATAAGACATTCTAATCGGTTTTCACAATAATACACGCAGATTCAAGAGCATGCGGACGACAGCTAATCAGAGTTTAGCAGCTATAATACTGAAAAGCGATCCGTCCCTAGACTTGAATGACTTGTTCTGCGGTTCACCCTAGGTCCTGTAGACTCTACCTGGTGAGGCGGGAACGTATCCGAATACCGCGCCCTGGAGGACATTCGCGTCGTTGGATTGGTCGCGCAGACATGGGGAGGACCACACCTTCTACGAGCCCTGGGGAGAGCCGGGCTCCTGGGCTCTTGGGTGAACCCAAAAAGTCGCGAGCTGGGGCTCCTGGGCTCTTGAGTTCAATAGGTTAAGTGAAAGGAGCCCTCCAGAACTGCACCTGTGTTAAATATCTCGCTGATGATTGGCCGTCATTGAAGTATCTCCAGGTTCTAACCTGAAAAGGCATAGGAAAGAGGGCTTCTCATTGAGGGGAAGGAAGGACTATCGGCGACGCTGGGGTGGCCTCGGAGCGGCTGTACACATATGAGCGGCGCGAGATCTTCTAGTGTGGCGATCTTTGAGCTCGATCTTCTAGCGTGGCGCATCGATCACGCGAAGTTGCTCGCCTTAAGTCTAGGTAAAATTGGCCAATCAGATATTACTATGAAGAGCCCGTCATAGATTTGAAGCTAAATTTGGGAGGGGAGCCAATGGGGAGCCCGAACCAGGGCTCCTTGATCTCGTACTTACCATGAGGGAGCCCATTTTGTGCGACTTTTGGCTCTCGTTTTAGGAAAAGCCCACTTTTGAAGTAGACAGGCTCGGGCTCGTAGAAGGTGTGGGGAGGACAGTTTCAAACCTCATCAGTCACCGGCCAATAGAAAAGCCACCTCGAACTAACTTCCAGACCGCCGGAACTGGAACTGTTAAACGAGTGACTATTGGTCAAAAACTAGGCACCTAGAACTTCAAGTTCTAGGTAATCATTTTGCGAGCCAATCGGCTGCAAAGATGGCACCCCGTGTGACGTAGGCAACCTTGCTTGCACATGCAAGCCGATTCCTGCCCGAGCACGTTCAGGAAAGTCATGCCGTCGGCACCGACGTGCTCGTGGTGGTGCTGTCGCTATTAGAATTGTGAAGATGGGGGCTTCATGCACGTCCATATCGCTCCACACGCATGGAGAAGGACGCACACACCAGTTGAACTAAACTGCTCGTTGCATTTGCAAATAAAGAACTCCTAAAGCCCAGCCTATCTACCGGCCGAGACTCTCCTGCTGGTGTGTTCGTCCATCCACGGCGGCCACGCCCATACGCGCGTGACCCCGTCTTCTTCTCTGTAGCTAGCGGGTTGGATACGCTTACTTCTGGTTGGCGAAGTGGTTGTTGATCCACTCGCTGGTCACCGACTTGGGGCGCTCCAGGGGCAGGCCCAGGGCGCGGTCCCAGAAGAGCTGCGAGAGCACACCGATGGCGCGCGACACACCGAACAGCACCGTGTAGTAGTTCTTCTGCGTCAGGCCGTAGTACTGCAGCAGCACGCCGCTGTGCGAGTCCACGTTCGGGTACGGGTTCTTGGTCTTGCCGTGCTCGGTCAGGACACCGGGCATCACCTGGTAGATCGTGTCCACGATGCGGAACAGCTCGTCGTTGGGCATGTACTTGAGGCCGAACTCGCGCTGGCACGTGTAACGCGGGTCCGTCTTGCGCAGCACGGCGTGGCCGTAGCCGGGGATGACCTTGCCGGCGTTCAGCGTGTCCCAGGCGAACTGGGTGATCGTCTCCTTGTTCACCTCCAGGCCCTTGGCGTGGAACTCGGCCTGCAGGTCGAGGATCCAGCCCAGCACCTCCTGGTTGGCCAGGCCGTGCAGGGGGCCGGCCAGAGCGTTGAGGCCACCGGCCAGGGAGAGGTACGGGTCCGACAGCGTCGAGCCGACCAGGTGCGTGGTGTGGGCGCTGGCGTTGCCACCCTCGTGGTCGCTGTGGATCACCAGGTACAGACGCATGAGCTCGTCGAACTCAGCGTTGTCGAAGCCCAGCATGCGGTTGAAGTTGGCCGAGTAGTCCAGGCTCGAGTCGTAGGCGTTGTTGGACTCGCCGAAGTACGTGTTGCGATAAATAAGGGCCGCCACCTCCGGCAGGCGGGCGATGAGGTTCATGCTGTCCTCGTAGGTGTACTCCCAGTAGGTCGACTTGTGGATGCCCTCGGCGTACTTCTTGGCGAAGATGCTCTCGGTGTTCATGGCGGTCACGGCGGCCGACAGCTGGGTCATGGGGTGGGCGTGCTTGAGGTCGAGGATGAGCTTGCGCACGTGCTCGGGCACCTTGGCGCGCGAGTGAAGCTCGGCGGTGACGCAGGCGGCCTGGGCAGCCGTGGGGATCTCACCAGTCATAAGCAGCCATAGTAGGCCTTCCGGTAGGGGCTCGCCGCCCTCCTCCTTGGCGGGCAGCTCCTTCTGGAGGTCCGGGATGGTGTGGCCGCGGAAGCGGATGCCCTCCTCGGCGTCCAGCAGCGACGTCTCCCACAGGAGCGACTTGATTCCGCGGGCGCCGCCCAGCGTCTGCTCCACGGTGACCTCGCCCAGCGACTTGTGGCCGTGCTCAGCCTTGAGCTTCTTGAGCGCCTCCTGGCGCACGGGGATCTGCTCCTTGAGCTCGTCCAGCAGCGTGGGTGTGGTCGTGGACAGCGAGCGGGTCGCGGCGGGCACGGCGCTCGAGCGCGCGGCCTGGCGGAGGGACTTGATGATGGCGCTCATGTCTGCGGTCGAGAGAATGATACAATCGGTTAGGTGACGTGTTAAACGAGATGTGTGTCACGCGGATCTTGGAGCCGCAGCAGATGGCCGGGGCTCCAGATAGCCGCGTGGCAGCATGCACATGCATGGCTTGGAGGTGGTGCGCACCTGGAGGGGAGGGTTGCTTCTTGCAGTCGACGACGGGGGAGTGTCTTGTGCCCGGAGGATTGCGAAATGGCCGAGTGAGCGTCTGTGGCTGCGTGGGCGCGACCATTGCGGAGGCGTGGGCAGTTCGATGATTCAACTAGGTCGGCTTGCGCGGGGTACCTATTCTGACAGGTCAATGTACTAACAATTGAATAAGGCAGAGTGTTGGTCACTCTCGAGAGTGAAAGGGACGAGGTTTTCACAGGTCAAAATCCGCGCCGCGTGCGCTGATTGGATACCGAGGTACGTAGCCCGGACGGTCCTCCAAGCATTGCGCTCAAAGTCGTGATGGGTGTTGCAGCGGCGCTTGACACGCAAGGCGCTTGCCTTCCTGGGCCGGAATTGTATCGGCGGCCAGCTGGAGGGCAGGTCCTCTGCGAGGAAGCTCCCGCCGCGATGGTACAATGTTTAACGTCGGCGGCGGGAGGCAGAAGCCCGGCCGCTACGACTGCGTTTTCGCAGATGACTGCGCGCGCAGGACTCGGAAGCGCAAGGCGCCCATAGTCGCACTTCAAAAGTGCCTTGCTGCCACGCGTCGAGACTGATTCGGTCTGATTGTCGAGGCCCTAGCCTCCTTCCCCGCCTGCCGCTGCTTGGGGCGCAAACTTTCTGCTCGGACGCCGGATTTGCTTCAGTTTGCAGGCAGGTGGGCCACCCGTGCAAGTTCAAGCCCCTCCTCTCTTCAGTTTCTCGCTCCGAATGTCGCGCGCTCGTTTGCAGGCCGCGCACCAAGCACCAGAGCCCGCAACGTTTGACGTCGACATCGCACGGCTCGTGCTCCTTGAAGTTTTGACGTCAACATGTTAAACTCGAGGTAAAAGAGACCGAGCATCTTCACGCACTTTCAGAGACCGAGCGCGCTCGGATCGGGAGTTGAACATGGATCATCCCGTGCGCGCGGCAACTGGCTCGAGGGCACTGGCCAAATCGCCGCCATTTTCCGATCCGATGGACGTCAGCAGGGAATTCCGCGCGCGGAGGATGCTGCGCATGCCGACACCGGCGAGCATGCAAGTGTGCGCGGCGGCGCCACTTCCAGATCGATCGCGCTTCCAGCAGCGGAAATTCCAGACTCGCGGCCGGCTTCTAGCACTTGAGAACGGGAGCGCGGCCTATCCACTCGCCTTGACTGTGAGGCGGATGGCGGCGTGAAGGCTGTAGTGGCTGCGTGCATCTGCGGGTGGTGTTTTGGTGCTCGGGCCAAGCTGGTGACACCGGAACAGCAATGGAGGTGGCGAAGTGTGGAGTTTTTCGTGGAGGTGGCTCGGGCTGCTTGGCGCGCCGATGGCAATGCGGCCTGTCAAATCCTTCAACCGGTCGGTCTTTTGCTCGGGTACACGTTGTGTGGCACCTTGAGAAGAGCCATGACCGCCCAGGCGAGGAAGACTTCCCGGTCTTGCTGTACCTGTGGACGTGTCCGTCGAATTGGCTGGCAGCCAAGGTGGTGACTGCGCTCGGCAGGTTTTGAGGCAACGCAGGCGACACTGGTGTGCTTGACAATGGCTGCGCGCTTACCAGATCTACGGCGTTTGCTACCGTAGGCTGTGAGCTGCAGCAGCATAGTCGAAGACGCGCATTCCACCGCTTCGTACCGAGTGCAAGCTACACCGCCAATCCTCGTAGCGTTCGAGAGCGATCGGTGAGCACTCGCTGCTTTCCGTGGTCTGGCAACTGCTCGGCATTCGGCAGGAACTAAGACGTATTGCATTTCAGGAGGCTCGCGCGTTGAAGTTGGGACTTCCTGCAGCAGCTCTGTGGTTTTGGAGTTGAGCACTGCTTGAGAATGGCTTGCTCCCCTCTGCAGCGCTTTCGACTGTGGCGGCCCGATAGTCGCGAGAGCTGCTTAGTCCTTGATAACACTGCACGGCTTGAGCTGTCAGCTCAAGAACAGCGTCGAAGGCGCCATTCCGCTAGTCGGTGGCATAAAGATCGTACAGCGCACTGTGACCGCACAATGCCAGGCAACTTGACTCGGACGCTGTACGCTGCTTTGGCAGGCAAGGACAGCTCATTTGCAATGGTATCGCGGTGACGGCAACAGCGTATGGCACTTGCATTTCAGCTGCCGGTAGCAGCGGCCATGTCGAGTGTTGAGTGTCGAGTATTTCGGTTCTCCCTCGCGGTCGGTAACAGCCAGCATTGACTGGAGGAAGGCGGCACGCGAAGGGCGTTTCGATCTCCTGCGATTGCCACCGCGTTTAGTGCACCACGCTTGGGACTTGCATCGAATCGAAAGCGCCACCACTTGCTATGTATGAGATGGTACTGCACTGGCGGATGAAGCTCGACGGTCGTCACGGAATTGCCACTTCGCGTGTGAGTGAGCCCAGGCTGCTAGCAGACGTCCGCCCGGTTTGTCACGGACGCGAATCCAGCGGCATTGGCACTGTTACATCGCCATCGCCGTCGCCATGGACTGAAGGCTGTCGTAGATCCTGTCGAGCACGCTCAGCAGAATTCTCAAGACGCACGAAAGGTGTTTTGATCGTAAGCCGTTGATCATTGATTTGGTTATTGGTGAGGACTCTACTGCAGTAGTGCATACGCATTCGTGGGTTTTGTTCCTTCTGAAGTACTTCGGACCCACGTCGAGTCTGTTCAAGGTAGGTGCTGTGCCGAACAGCGCTCAACGGCGCCGTAGAATCGCAGCGAGCTCTTCCTCCATTGCCCGAAGATCGCCTGGCTTCACGATTTCGACAACGAGCTCGCTGTTAGCGTTGAGCTGGGACGACTGCTGACGGCCAGTGAGTTGGGTCGAGCGCTGATTTCCATCGACTTGCTGGTTCTGGCCACGGACCTGCTCGATAACGCTGGGATGCGGCTTCTCCTCGAGCTCTGGCTCGTTGAAAAGTGTGAGTTGAGCCCGGAGCAAGTCGATAGTTTGCGCTAGAGGCTGCTGGTCGGCTTGCTGCATACCACGGCTGCGCTTGGTCTCGCGAGGGTCGCCCACCGCCAGCTCCAACAACATCTTGCTCATCGTCTTCAACTTCTTAACTTCGTCCGTCAGAGCCCTTACAGAGTCTGTGAGGGCTTCAACTGCCGTCGACTGCACCGCGTTTTGGGAGTTCAGGTCTGCGATCTCTTTGGTCTGCGCCTCGATCTGCGCACCCAACTGCACACATTCTGCGCACTCAACTGCACACCCGGTGCTGCGATCTGCGTACCCAGCGGACTAATGAGGCCGGCTAAGCCATTCATCGACGAGTGAAGCCTCGCTTCTCGAGCCCGGAACATTGTTTTCGCAGCAACCTCAGTGAGAGCAGCGTCCGTGGAGCCCGCGTCAGAGTCCAGCGAAACGTAGGGGCCCTGCGCAGAAGTTGGATCGAGAGCTGAGCCGGGAGTCAACATCGGAGTGTCGGGTGAAGGTGGCGGCTTGGGCGCCTTGGCTTGCCTGGAGATTTCAGAGATGAATCGCTCGCTTTGGTCCTGGACGAACTCAGTCCCGGCGACGCGACGCACGACGTCGTGAGTCGAACAGCAACTTGTTCGTAGGAAGGTTTGCGTCATCCAAGTTGATCTCCAGCTCCATCAGCGCCGACATGGCCGTGGGTGTGAGCACCGATAGGCCAAATTGGAAGTGATGACGGAGAGCTGCGAGCGCAGAGGACTGCACCTCCACGGACCTCGGTTGACGCCAGTAGTGATCTTCTGGGTGCAGTGGGTCAGTTGACTGCAGCGGCGCTGGTACGCTTGAGAATGGAGACGGTTGCCAATTCTGCGGTGTTTGCAAGGCTGTGGATTGCAATGCCGTAGCCGGCGACGAATTGGAAACTATGGCGGGACCGTGCTGGACTGGGCGCTCGGCAGGAACCACGGCGAATTGCAACTCAGGCCATTGAGGCTGGAACCTATTGCGAAAGCTTTGGAGTTTGGCGTTTTGCGAGATAATCGTTCGCGTTGCTGTCGACTGCGGTGGTCCCGAATTCATGAGACCTGCTTACTCCACGATAACACCCCGTGGCTGGAGCTGTCAGCGCAAGAACAGCGATGGAGGCGCCATTCCGCTAGTCGGCAGCAAAAAGATCGTACAGCGCAAAGTGGCTGCACCAGTGTCAGACAGCTTGACTCATGTGCTGCACGCTGTCATGGCAGACAAGGTACTGATCGGTGCACCGATAAAACGTATAATGAGGATTGGGTCGCAGCGCTAGCGTTTGAGCTCCAGCACCGAAGCATTTGCAATGGTATCGCGATGACTGGCAACAGCGGATGGCACTTGCATTTCAGCTGCCGGCAGCAGGTGTCCGTAGGTTACGTGGGCATGGTCGAGCGTGGAGTGTCGAAGATTTCGGTTCTCCCTCGTGGTCGGTAACAACCAGCGTTGGGCAAGTCAAGTGGTGATGGCTGCTGCATTGAGACGTCTCTAAACCTCCAAGTAAACGCACGCGAGGAGCGTTTCGATCTCCTGTGACTGCCACCGCGTTTTAGTGCACCGCGCATGGGACTTGCTCGCATACGAAAGCGCAAGCACCTCCAGTTGCCATGAGATGGTACAGTACTTTTACTTGCGCATGGAGCTCGATGGTCGTCACCGAATGCCACTTCGCGTCGGCATCTGGCAGAGGCAAGTGCTCGCCTCCCCATCCGGCGCTCTATGTCTGCTGGCAGCCGCCTGCCAGGTTTGTCACGGACGCGAATCCACCGGCGCCGGTACTTGTCCATCGCCTTCGCCGCCGCCTTCGCCGTGGACTGCAGGGCGTCGTGTAAGAGACTTCCTAGTTGCAAGTCAAGTCAAGCGTAGCCATCGGCAAATCCGGCTTGATGGCTTCAGTCCGCCCCGTATCTTCAACATTGCCGACGAAAAAAAAGCTTCAAATTGAAGCCCTCAGTCGATTCTCTAGAGAGAGCAAGAGGGGCAAGTGTCGAGAAATTTTGCTCCTTCTCGAACAGCGCAATGCACTCGGCCCAGGGCTTCCTCGGCATCAACAAGGGCGATCAACATGGGCTCCGCGGTCATCTCTATGCCGTAACTGATCCCATGCGCCCGGTTACGCGTCCGTTTCCAGTAGCCAGCAGCGAGCTGCCGCCGGCAGTCTCCACGAGCATGGCACCAGCTGGGGCATTCATGCCCCTATAAGACCCGCGCGCTTCAAGAGGAGCCGGAGAAACGGTAGTCTCTCCCGCTTCGAAAACCGCTGCAACATCAGACCCCACCCACCAGGCCCCAAGCCCAAGCCAAGGACCAGAGCCATCGAACGCATCTCGGCGGGTGTGTGGCCGCTTCATCTCTCAATTTATTGCCGACGGCGCACCCCCCAAAGACTGTCCTTGCCCCCTATGAGCGGCGCCCCGCCCCCGTCCTCCGGCTTCGCGCCGCGCAGCTACGGGCAGCAGCCGCTGTCGCACGCGCCGCGGTCGTCCATGATGTCGGTCGAGTACGACGGCATCCCGCTGCCGCCGCCGAGCATCCGCTCGTGCGGCTCGCAGCAGTACGTGACGAGCTACATCCCCACGGGCGCCGCCTTCCCGCCCAGCAGCGTGCAGGACATGATCTCCAGCATGAAGTCGTACGCGAGCGCCACGGACCTCGTGCGCACGTACAGCGAGATCCCGTCCGTGGAGGAGGCGCTCAGCACGCTGGACCGCGCCGCCGCGGCGCTCAACGCGCGGCGCTACCGAGACGCGCTCAAGCTCTACCTTGAGGGCGGCTACGCCATGGCCAACGTGGCCGAGCGCCAGGCCAACCCCAAGATCTGCAACCTGCTGACCAGCAAGGGCTTCGAGACGCTCAACTGGTGCGCCAGGCTCTGCGACTGGATCGAGGGCCGTATCAAGGAGAAACACCCGCGGCCTGGAGTGCACAAGGTCGGCATCCCCGTGAGCAACTGGGATGAGGACTGGGTAGGCCCTTTCATGGACGAAGAGGAGGCAAGGCGCATGTGGTACACGCCCGTGTACTGCCCGCACCCCATCGACTTCTCCAACTTGGGCTACCGACTGCGCTGCGTGGAGACTGGCCGGCGTCCGAGACTCATGATCTGCATCACCATGTACAACGAAGGCCCGCAGCAGCTCAAGGCCACGCTCAAGAAGCTGGCCAACAACTTGGCCTACCTGAAGGAGCAGATGCCCGGCGACGAGAAGTCGCTCACTGGAGCCTTTGCAGGCGACGACGTGTGGCAGAATGTGCTGGTGTGCATCGTTGCCGACGGACGCGAGCAGGTGCACCCCAAGACGCTGGACTACCTGGAGGCCATTGGACTGTACGACGAGGACTTGTTGACCATCAACAGCGCCGGTATTGGCGCGCAGTGCCACTTGTTCGAGCACACGCTGCAACTTTCCGTGAACGGCAAGTGCCTGCTGCCCATTCAGACGGTGTTTGCACTGAAGGAGAACAAGGCCAGCAAGCTGGACTCGCACCACTGGTACTTCAACGCCTTTGCAGAGCAGATTCAGCCCGAGTACACGGCTGTGATGGACGTGGGCACGATGCTCACTAAGTCGGCGCTGTACCATTTGCTGTTCGCCTTTGAGCGCAACCACCAGATCGGAGGCGCCTGTGGACAACTGACGGTGGATAACCCGTTCGAGAACTTGAGCAACTGGGTCATCTCGGCGCAGCACTTCGAGTACAAGATTTCCAACATCCTGGACAAGTCGCTGGAGAGCTGTTTTGGCTTCATCAGTGTGCTGCCCGGCGCCTTCTCGGCGTACCGCTACGAGGCCATCCGTGGAGCTCCGCTGGACGCGTACTTCCAGACGCTCAACATTGAGCTGGACGTGCTTGGGCCGTTCATTGGCAACATGTACCTGGCTGAGGACAGGATCCTGTCGTTCGAAGTGGTGGCGAGGAAGAACTGCAACTGGACCATGCATTACGTCAAGGACGCGGTGGCCCGCACGGACGTCCCCCATGACCTCGTTGGTCTCATTTCGCAGCGGAAGCGCTGGCTCAACGGCGCGTTCTTCGCGACGCTGTTCAGCATCTGGAACTGGGGTCGCATATACTCGGAGAGCAAGCACACGTTCGTGCGCAAGATGGCGTTCCTGGTCTTCTACGTGTATCACCTGCTGTACACGGCGTTCGGCTTCTTCCTGCCGGCGAATCTGTACCTCGCGCTCTTCTTCATCGTGTTCCAAGGCTTCCAGCAGAACCGCCTCGAGTTCATTGACACGTCCGAGTACTCGCAGACCGTGCTTGACTGTGCTGTCTACATCTACAACTTCTCGTACCTGTTCGGGCTGCTGATGCTGATCATTATCGGTTTGGGCAACAACCCCAAGCACATGAAGCTTACCTACTACTTTGTCGGAGCTGTGTTCGGACTCATGATGATGCTGTCGTCGCTGGTTGGAGCCGGCATCTTCTTCTCGACGCCAGCTACGGTCCACTCCATCGTGGTCTCAATTCTGACCGTCGGTGTGTACTTCATCGCGTCGGCGTTGCACGGCGAGGTGCACCACATCTTCATGACGTTCACGCACTACACGGCGCTGATCCCGAGCTTCGTCAACATCTTCACCATCTACTCGTTCTGTAACCTCCAGGACCTGTCGTGGGGCACCAAGGGGCTGCACGATGATCCGTTGCTGGCTGCGTCGCTGGACGAGACGGAGAAGGGCGATTTCAAGGACGTGATCGCCAAGCGCCGAGCGCTGGAGGAACTCCGCCGCGAAGAGAAGGAGCGCGTCGAGAACCGGAAGAAGAACTTTGAGGCCTTCCGCACCAACGTGCTGCTCACGTGGGCCTTCTCCAACCTCATCTTTGCGCTGTTCGTCGTGTACTTCGCCAGCTCGTCGACGTACATGCCCGTGCTGTACATCTTCGTGGCCAGTCTCAACACGTGCCGCCTGCTCGGGTCCATCGGCCACTGGGTCTACATCCACACGGAGGGTCTTCGCGGCCGCGTGATCGACAAGTCTGAATGCGGCAACGGCACCGGACGCTACCCGCAGAACTCGTACGTGCAGCTCGAGGAGCACTACGCCGCCCTCGCTGAAGACCAGCGCACCTATGCCTCCGGACGTACCAATGCGTCAGTACGTACCGTCAACGACGTCTCCTCGGCGGCCTAAGCCTGTCGAGAGTCCCAACAAAACCTCAAGTGCTTCGCTGCGATCGCAGCAGCCACCACGCAGAGAGGTTCCAACTAGCAACGCACACAGCAAGTTGCGACTCAACCACCCAGCCCACCCAACCAAGCATCAACTCAAATCCAGTAGCAAAGTCGAGCAGTACCTAGTGAGTCCAGTCAAGTCTTCCGTAGATGATGGTGCATAGTATATTAATCGCCGACCGCTATACAATTCTCATTCGCACTCATTATTGCATTGCACTCCGCTTAGTCAAAGGTCGCGTATCTTTAGATTTGATTGACAAGCGTGGGGGGAGAATGGTTCAGGACGACCAAGACGCTGCGACTGCGCTGCTTGGCACTTGGGAGAGCAACGAAGCGTTCGGCAACACGGCGCTGGACTGGTCTCAGGCGGTGAAGGACCAGCGCGTGCAGCTTCATCTCACGTTCGAGCCTGGGAACGCCTACAAGTTCCGATTGGTGTCAAAAGACGAGGACGCGGACGTGACGTCGAGCTTCCGCCACGTTGCCGCGAGCGAGGGCACGTACGAGCTGCAAGGGGACAAGGGCATTGCTATCCATGGAGACACGTCCGGCATCAAGTGGACGTATCTGTTTGAGGAGAAGGACAGTCTGCGGATTCGGTGCGTAGTTAGAAGGACTATGAATTGACTGGCCAAGTACTAACGACGGTGACGTTGTGTCCAGGTTAGAGGGAGCGAGGCGCTGGGGCAGATGCAAAGGTGTGGACGTCATCTACTTTGCCAGAGTCAAATCAGCACAGTAGATGGAAGGAGGGGAGGCGCATGTATAGGTGCATGGAGACTTTTTTTAATCTTTGTAACAGGGACGCAGTGTGTTGGCTACATGTCCAGGACGTCGTCTAGCCACTCCTCGAGTTGCTCCGTTTCGGCAGGAGTCCTTGTCGGAGCTGGTGCTGTGACAGCAGGCGCGACTGGCGCAGGTGCACTCTTGGCCATAGTTGAAGTCGACGCGCTCAGGTTGAGCAGGAAGTCCAGCTCCGCGTCCCCTTGAGCTGATTTCGGCGGCGTTGGAGCTGCAGTTGACGGGGCAGCGACTGGAGCAGCAGTTTTTGCAGTATTCACCTGCTCGCTAGCAACTTCTTCCTCAGCTCCACTCTCTTCCTCATCCTGCGGCTCGAATGGCAGGTCAATCTGAACAACACAACACACACCCGTCCGTTAAGAAACTACATGTCAAGTCGAAGGAGACATCTCGCTCGCTACACTCACGCAGTATTTCGGGTCGATCCTGTAGCGGGCATCCGGCGGCACAAGTGCCAACTGCGAGGCGATCCAGTCCAGGTCCTGCATAGCAAGCCAACAGCATGAGACTCGAGCAATAGGAGGCAGCAGCAGCGTGCAACCAGCTCACCAGCACTCCGACGGCCGCCTGGTCGTCTGCCGCGTCGTCCTTCTCCTCCCACTGCTTCATGGCGCGGCTCTGGAAATACTCCCCGGGAGCGGCCCCCATCTGCTCCCTGTAGTTCTGCTCCGACGCGAAGAACTGCGTGCGCCCGCCATAGTCGCCCTCTTGTTGCGTCTGCTGGGCGTCATCTTGCGCCTCCTCGCGCTCCTCGAAGCGAAAGGCGTTAGAGCCCAGACTCCGCAGGTGGGACGGCCTTCCTCTCCCCGACGCTCCTCCGCGTCCGCCTGCCGATTCGCCTCTTCCTCGCCCGCGGCCGCGGCCGTGCGTCGCGCGATACTTGACTTGAGACCGCCCCATGCCCAAATGTCTCTAAAGTGATCTGCTCGTTTTCGACCAATGAGGGCGGTGGAAGCAGTCAAAACCCACGTTGAAGTGAATGTAGCCATGTCAAACCTCTTGGGTCTTCTTCTTGACCTTGCTCTTCTTCTTGCTCTTGTTTCTCTTCGTTGCCTTATTCTTGTTGTTCCCCCGTTGAGATGGGACGAAGTTCTCCTAGGCTTTCGCATTGGGGTTATGGCGTGGCTTCATGTCCGGCAACAGCGCTATAATCCACGCGACTGCAGTTTGTCGGCTCTCTCCAAATGCTGCAGCGACTGCTGCAGCGTTTGAAGCTTGATTTTGCCTTGGCGACTTGCTCCTTTGCGCCTCTGATGCTCTTTCAAGGGCGTGATGAGCGATCCCATGGGTTCGAGTCCACTTGTGAACCGCATGGCTGCCAGCGCTGTGTTCTTCCACAGGTCGTAGGCTTCATACGTGAGTCCCCAAGATTCATCGGCGACCACTGCATCTTCTCCAACTTGGGTCAGTAGATGCAGGGCGTGACGCATTCCAAGCACGTATTTGGCAGCTTCGCTCGCGTGCTGCACCGCTCGCCCACGCTCAATCCAGTGGCTCAAAGCGAACAGGCCGCCCTGGTACCGAGCATCGTTCGCAATGGTAGCTGCTGCAATCTCCCAGCTACCTGCAGGGTGCAACGAGGGGGTGCATTTCACTACCGGCGGCGGAATTGATTTCCATCGTGAGTTGAGAGCGTCACTGTCGGCGACGCTGGATGACGGCGAGCCGTTTGGTGTGAGTGCGAACTCCGAGGTACTGGCGTTGAGCGATGCCTTTGTTTTCTTCGCCACATATTGAGCCACGTAAGGTTAGATCAAGTGTCTGGCCTAGATTTGACGTCGTGTCATATCCCCAGCGTAAAATAGCAGCAGCGTTCACGGCGGTGGAATTCTTCTAACAACGCTTTAATTTGATTTGTTGTGCATCTGCTGAAGATCAGGACTCAACACTTCGGTAGAACCAAACCACGTTTGTTGGGAGACCTCATGAATGTGAGCACTGTGTGGTTGTTGCTATCATTGTTGGCTAGTAAGAGTGGCCATGGATAACGAGAGGAATGATTGAAGCGAAAAAGATACAAGACGTTTATGTTTAGCTGAAATCAACTCCGTTGTTCATTAGTGGCGGTGTGGAAAGCGACCACGGCAAAGACTAGGAAGTAGCTTACTTCTTCGACTTCTTGGTGGCGAGCTTGCGCTGGTAGAACTCAAGCTCCTTGCCCTCCAGGATGTAGCCGTCGGCGCGACCGGACTGGCCGGGGCGCGACGAGATGACGGCGAGAAGGCGGCCCGAGGCGACCTGCTCGTCGAGCTTGGCGTCGAGCTCGCGGGTGCGCTGGCGGGCGGCAAGCTTGCGGAGCACGTGGTCCGACTTCTTGACCTCCTCCTCCTCGGTCTTCTCAGCGTTCTTCTTGACGCCGATCTTGACACCGTAGTGGGCCTCGTACCACTGGCGGAACGGGGTGGCGTCCACCAGCACCACGGCGCCCTTCACGAGCGTCTTGGTACGCACAAGCTCGTTGTTCGAGGCGTTGTACACGACATCGAGGATACGGGTCTTGCGGGCGCAGACCTCCGTGCCCCACGAGAAGTTGCCCGTCTCGAGGTGCAGAGCGCGGAACTTCAGGTGGCCACCGCGGACGCGCACGGTGTGCACGCGCTTGCCGCCGAGCTTGGTGTTAGCGGGCTGACGGCCGAGCTCGAATTTCCTTTTCTTGCGGTACTGCTTGCGCTTGCCACCAGTTTCGCGGCGCTTGTGGCGCGAATCGCGAGAGATACCTGATTAAAGTAGTAGAAACGTTAGCGTACTGGGCCGCAAGAATGATATCGATCCGCTCTGTGCGTCGGTCATGGGGGACGGCAGCGGGACGGAGAACCCGCAGACCCGAATGCTGCCCGACGAGGGATGCAGCAGTGGGTCTGGGGTCGGTCGAGAGCGGGGAGTCGAGACTCGGGAACCCGCCACGTCGACGCGTGCGCACTTAGCAGCAGCACCTCCGTCCCGCGGAGAACTCCACGGCGGCGAACGAAGAGAGGGAGACGTAGAAGGAGAGAGGCAGGCGCGGGCCGCGAAGCTTACCCATGATTCCGACGGAGTAATTTCGGTACTGTTCGGATGGCGGAGCCTGCGCGGAAGCGTCGAGCCTCGAGGCGCCCCAACCAGTCAGTGGAAACGGTGGCGGGGAGCTCCAGTCGGCGCTGATTGGGTGAAACTACTATGACTATTTGGTGTGTCGAAACACCAAATCCAAGTGTAAGGTGGTGTTCTGCCACACCAAGTTTCCATCGGAGTTTCGCCCAATCAGCGCCGACTGGATCGAGCTTACCCGCCATTTTTTGCCGCCTGCAAGTGACGTCGTGCGTCATGCCGCAAGAGGACTTCTCCGCGGAGCTGCTGCAGCTCTACTATGGTGCGTGCGTGCGCGCACGCAGTCTACATGACCATGCTCTCCACTTTCTCCCGCGTCGAATGAGCCCTCACACGCGCCCAACCGCGCTCCGTAACCCCTGCAGATCGACTGTTCCCGTACCAGCAGATAACCCAATGGCTCAGCTACGACGGAGGTGCGTCTACCTCTCACTATCACTGCATAATATGCAGCTACAGAGAGCTAACTTTATGTCTCTGGTGCCGGTTCTGCAGGGGAGGAGTTCCTGTTCCGCCGCGAGCTGTCGTACACGCTCGAGAACGACACGTACATCCGCTACAAGGCCTTCCACAATGCCGAGGAGCTCAAGGCGAGCATGAGCAAGACGCTGCCTTTCAAAATCGATATCGGCGCCGTGTTCTCCGTGTCCCCCGCCGACAAGGGCAAGGTCAGCGCCGCGGACTTCACCCCCGAGCAGCGCGAGCTCGTGTTCGATATCGATCTTACGGACTACGACGACATCCGAACGTGCTGCGAGGGCGCCGCCATCTGCAACCGCTGCTGGCAGTTCATGGTGGCGGCGGTGGAGGTGCTGAACGCCGCGCTGCGCGAGGACTTTGGCTTCGAGAACCTGCTCTGGGTCTACTCCGGGCGTCGTGGTATCCATTGCTGGGTCTCGGACGAGCAGGCGCGTGCGCTCGAGAACGAAGCGCGATCGGCTGTGGTCGGGTACTTGTCGCTCGTGGAGGGCAACGAGAACTCAGCCAGGAAGGTCAAGCTGCGTGAACCGCTGCACCCGTCGCTGGAGTGAGTTTACATGTCAATCTGCTTGAAGGTGAGATGATGTTGAGGAGATTTATTAACTTCTTGCTGTCTTTGAAATTAGCCGCGCGTACCGCCTGCTGGAGCCGATGTTCGAGGACGTGATTCTGTCAGAAAAGGGTCAGGGAATCTTGTGCTCGGAGAAGCAGTGGATCAAGCTGCTGGCGATGGTGCCCGATGAGGACATCCGCGCCAACATGACGCGTCGTTGGGGCGCTACGAACTGTAATACGACAGCGAGTGACAAGTGGCGCGAGCTCAGAGATGCCGTGGACAAGCAAGTGCTGAAGAATGCCAATGCCGCGCGCAGTGGAAGCAGCCTCAAACGTCCTGCCCCCAACAGTGACGCGAACAAGCGCTTCCAAGCGGCCGAGCTGCGCACGTGCCTTCAGGAGATCGTGCTGGCCTACCTGTACCCGCGACTGGATGCCAACGTGTCCAAGCAGCGGAATCACTTGCTGAAGAGTCCGTTCGCTGTGCACCCCAAGACAGGACGTGTTTGTGTGCCTATCGATGTGGCCAACATGGCAGCCTTCGACCCCTTCAAGGTGCCCACTCTCGGTCAGCTGCACGAGGAACTCGACTCCGACAAGGGCGCTACCAGCATGAATAAGTACGTGGACTTCTTCGAGTCCTCGTTCCTCAAGCCGCTGGCTCTGGCCGCCAAGCGAAAGCAGCGCGAAGCCCGCGAGAGCGACGCTGCCATGACTGGCGACTGGTAGGTAGAATGCAAAATGTCGCTGCGAGTGATAGAAGGCAGGTGGGGGCAGGCTCAAGCTATAGCGGGTAAATATATTCTGTGCCTCAACGGCGTAACTTTCTAGACCTGCCTGTATTGTTGCTATTGCGCTAGCTCTGATCTGTTCGATACCATACCGTATAACCTTACGTCCCACAGCGGATGCATTGGTCTAACTAGTTCGATCCGCGGGCTGCTCTCGCCGCTTTGAAACGAGAAACTCGCTTGACCGGTTGCTGCAACAAAAATTAATAATGCACACGAAGATCAGGTAAGTGAGTCAACACTGGCAACAACCAACATCACAAGATGTACGTACAACTTCGCCAACAGGTTCCAGTGTCACCGTCTGGCCGGTGTAATTAGAGCCCTGGAAACGTGACTGTCGAGGTTCAGCGAAGGAAGCTCCCGGTACAGACACTGGGGCCGGCACCTTTTCGGCGATTTCGTGCTCCACGATACTGCCGGAAAATGCTGTCGACGCCGAAGAGGCCGACACAAACGATGACGAAGAGGATGCTGGCACTGGCGGCTTGATTGACGGCGACGATGCAGGCGCTGAGCTCGCGGTTGATGGCTTAGGGACTGGCTTGGGCTTCGGCTCTGGTTTGTCCTCGTCCTGCACTCCACCATTAGCCTTGGCTTTCGCCTTCTCCCGCATCTGCTTGGCCTTTTCTTCTAGTTTCTCGTCGGTGGGGCACAGCTCCATGGCGCGCTCGTAGGCTTCAGCAGCTTCCTCAAACTGTTCCAGTGCTGCGAGAGCGCACGCCCTGCGGTAGTGGCCCTTGACCCACGGTTCGTGCAAGGAGACGGCGACGTCCGAATCATCCAGCGCCAGCTTGTACTTCTTCAGACGATGGTACGCCGCAGCGCGGTTGCCATACATAATCTGCAATGTGTGAATAGGTCAGTCAAAGGCCTAGTTTAACACAATGCATCGCCGGATCCATGCATACGTACGTGTGATGTCGGGTCCAGCTCGATAGCCTGCGAGTAGTACTGAGCGGCTGCCTGGAAGCGTCGACGAGAGAACGCCTCGTTGCCCTTGGCCTTGAGCGCAGCAGCCTGTGCCTCCGTCGACTCCTCCAGCTCCTGCTCCTTCGCCTTGTCCTCCCCCTCGGGGCTTTCGCCGGCAGCTTCGCGCGCCTCCAGGTCCTCCATGCGCTTCATCATGTCGTCCCAGCTCCAGGCCGCCTGCTCCTGCTTGAGCCGCTCCTGCTCCTCCACCTCAAAGAACTCCTTGATGTCTTCCTCCGTGGCGCGCGGCACGGGGCCCAGCTCGCTCTCCTCCTCCGTCTCCTGGATCTCGCGGATGTTCTCGTCCTCGTACATCTTCTGCAGCTGCGCGACGCTGCGCACGTCCGTCTTCTTGGCGTCCAGCTCGCGCAGGTTTTCCTCCTGCGCCTCCATCTGCTTACGCAGCGCTGTAGCAGCAGCAGCACAGCAGCCAGTAGCGTTAGTACCATAATCTCAGTCCCTCCTTTGGGTCGTCATCAAAGCTCTCCACACCTTTCTTCTTGCGCTCAATGGCCTCCACAGCCTGCGGAGCCGACCGCCAGGAGAAATAGTCGTCACCCAGGTGGGCCAGCACCTCGTTGGAGCGCACGATCTTGCCCGGCGCCATGGCGCGCTTGCCCAGCGGCACCATCACCCGGTGCGAGAGCTTCTTGGGCAGCTCCGCCAGCGTGTCGGCCACGGCGTCGTAGCGCTCCACCTGCGCCTGCAGCTGCGCCAGCTGCTCGCGCACGCTCTCCACGCGCTCCTGCAGCAGCCGCGCGTTCGCCGCCTCCGCCATCACGCCCAGCGCCGCCATCGTCGTCGTCGAGGATCGAGCCTAACGTTATTGAGCCTTTTGACCAGCCAAATGTGGACTGGTCCCATCCTACAAATACTTCTAGATTGACCCAACCTACATAAGTATGTAGACTGCTATTCTCGGCTAAGTGCGAAGATTGCTTCCTCAATTTCCCCCGAGAACGCCAATACACTGAGGAAGGCAGGCGAGAAGATCGGGCGACAGGTACCATGGCGGCGGGCGAGTGTCAGACGAGCAACACCAAGGACTACGACAACGAGGAGGATGACCTGCTGGCCGGGCCGGAGACGGTGCTGGACGAGGGCGACATCGCGCTGCTGAAGACGTACGGCCTGGGCCCGTACTCGCGCGTGATCAAGCAGGTGGAGGACGACATCAAGAAGGCGCAGAAGGCCGTGAACGACCTCATCGGCATCAAGGAGAGCGACACGGGGCTGAGCCTGCCCAGCCAGTGGGACCTCGTGAGCGACAAGCAGATGATGCAGGAGGAGCAGCCGCTGCAGGTGGCGCGCTGCACCAAGATCATCAACGCCGGCGAGGAGGACGCCAAGTACATGATCAACGTCAAGCAGATCGCCAAGTTCGTCGTGGGGCTGGGCGAGAAGGTGGCGCCCACGGACATTGAGGAGGGAATGCGCGTGGGCGTGGACCGCACCAAGTACGCCATCCAGATCCCGCTGCCGCCCAAGATCGACCCCACGGTGTCGCTCATGACGGTCGAGGACAAGCCCGACGTGACGTACGACGACGTGGGCGGCGCCAAGGACGCGCTCGAGAAGCTGCGCGAGGTCGTGGAGCTGCCGCTGCTGCACCCGGAGAGGTTTGTGAACCTGGGCATCGACCCGCCCAAGGGCGTGCTGCTCTACGGCCCGCCCGGCACGGGCAAGACGCTGTCGGCGCGCGCCGTGGCCAACCGCACGGACGCGTGCTTCATCCGCGTCATCGGCAGCGAGCTCGTGCAGAAGTACGTGGGCGAGGGCGCGCGCATGGTGCGCGAGCTTTTCACCATGGCGCGCTCCAAGAAGGCCTGCATCGTCTTCTTTGACGAGGTGGACGCCATCGGCGGCGCGCGCAGCAGCTCCGAGGAGGGCGGCACGGACAACGAGGTGCAGCGCACCATGCTGCAGATCGTCACGGAGCTGGACGGCTTCGACCCGCGCGGCAACATCAAGGTGCTCATGGCCACGAACCGTCCCGACACGCTGGACCCGGCACTCATGCGCCCCGGCCGATTGGACCGCAAGGTCGAGTTCAACCTGCCCGAGCTCGAGGGCCGCACGCAGATCCTCAAGATCCACGCCAAGAGCATGAACTGCGACCGCGGCATCCGCTTCGAGCTCGTGAGTCGGCTCTGCCCCAACACGACGGGCGCCGAGCTGCGCAGCGTGTGCACGGAGGCGGGCATGTTCGCCATCCGCGCGCGCCGCAAGTCCGTGAGCGAGAAGGACTTCCTCGAGTCGGTCAACAAGGTCATCAAGGGCTACAAGAAGTTCTCGTCCACGCCCAAGTACATGGTCTACAACTAGATCGGGCGCTCGGCTCGCGCAGCGGCGAGCAGCCGGACACAGCAGGCTATCATCGTTGCGCGCGGCGGCGGTATCAGCGAGGCTTTAATAAATACACACGCTTACTGCAGCATTGAAAACCCCACCTCGCCTCACCTCACTCACCCCAGCATGAATGTTGCCGTCGTTGAAGTGCCCTCGTGCAGTGCAGGCTAAAACGGATCCTCTCTGTACAAACCGGGGCATCCGACAATACACAAGTCAGTCTCAGAAACGGCCAGCAGCACAGCAGCAGCAATGGCGTCGTCGTCGTCGGTCGCGCAGCCTGCGCCGGCGAAGCTCAAGACGCGCTCCGAGTTCTCCGTGACGCTGGAGGTGGCGCCCTCCGCTGCGACGTCGTTCTACCGCTACGAGTACAAGGAGGCGGGCTCGACGTGGGAGCAGGGCGCGCAGACCGTGGACGCGGCCGTGGGCGCCTCTGAGGTGGTGCTGGAGGACCTCAACCCCACGAGCACGTACGAGGTGCGCATCTACGAGGTGGCCAAGGCTGCAGACGGCAAGGAGAGCGTGTCGAAGCCCAGTGAAGTCGCCGCCGTGGACACGGAAGTGCCCGGGTGCGGCCCGGACTCGGGCCAGGGCTGCTTGTGCACGATCCAGTGAGCGGAGACCAGGCCAGACCAGTCCGACGTGACGCTGGAAGACAACAAGAGCAACATCCATAACACTATTGCAGCACATCTGTTCATATTCACACAGACCCCGTTGTCCCCGCACTTACACACCGCGTACAGCAGGAGTCTCCTGGAGGTCCTTGGCATTTCCTGCTTCTCTGCCCGGCAGCTTCTTGCATGTCGGGCTCCGTGCCAGCGACGTGAGGCTGAGGTGTGGAGCAGTCGGCCGTCCTGCGTTCAATCTGCGCTATTGTTGTGAAGGAAGGAGGACGTAGCACCTCATTGCAGCTGCGACTTCCACTTAATCAGTCGCTCGTCTTCTGCCGCGGGCGACATCTGCGCCCACACTGCGTCGACGTCCTCCTGCTTCTTCCACCAAGCCACCAAAGCCTCTTGTCCCTCGCGCGTCTCGAAGTTCCTGAGCAGTGCATCGAGTACGTCTGCTGCACGGCCGCTCTCGGCCACGTGCGAACACGCCTCACTCAGCCAGTGCACCGAGAGAGCCTGCTTCACAAACAGTGGAGTCCACAGCTCGCTCAGGTTGACGGCGAGCTGCGGAATGTCGACGCGCAGGTCGTCGTAGTCGTCTAGGATGGTCTCTATAGCGGCCTCGATGTCTTCCGATGCGATCTTCTCACCGGTGCAGAGCTGGACCAGCAGCTCAGCCACGTCAGCGCGCACAGACTGCTTCGCCTCGAGGCTGAACGCCAGCATGATGTGTACAAAGTGCCGCCAGCGATCAGGGACGGCTTCGAGCTCCTCGATGCACTGCACCACCTCGTTGAAGTCCTTGACCGAGAGATACTCCTCCAAAGTGCTGCGCATCTTGCCGGCGGTCTCCTGATCCAGCTCGTCCTCCTCGTCGCTGTCTCCACCGCCAAAGAAGTCCTCGATGCCGTTCTCACGGAGGTACGCTTCCACCTCAGCCTCGTTCGCCCTCACTGCAGCAGGCAGCACACTCTCCGGTGTGATCTCCTCATCCGTCAGCATTCGGATCACCGTCCGCTCGTCGCTCTCCATTTCCAGCACGGACAGCACCTCGGGGAACACCAGCGACGTAAGCTTGCACTCCACGCAATGGGCCAGAGCTTCGGAAATGATCCACGAGAGACCAAAGCAACCCGCAGCCACCAATCGACCGAAGATCAAAGCCGAGTATTGATGAATCAGCGGCAAATCGATGCGCATGTCCTCGAGGAACTCCATGACGTTGGTCAGTGCGGCCTGAATTGAGTTGGCGTCCAGTGCACCGCGCTCGTACAGCCCCACAAGCAGCTCAACGGCGTGCTCGCGCTCGCTGGTCTTACCTTCCAGCGCCGTGTTGATCGCTTGCTCGGCGAACTCGACATGGTACGGGTCCACGGCCAACTCTTGGACGCACGTGGTGGCTTCGTCCAGGTCCAGGATGGAGATGTACTCCTGGATGATGTTCTTGATGCGGCTCGACATTTGCGCGGGCGACAGTTCTTCCGCCTCATCATGCTCGGGCTCCTCCGGCTCCTCTTTCTTAGCCACAATGAGGTTGCTGCTCTGCTTTGCAAGCTGCGCGCTCGAGATCCGCGTCTTGTGGCGACGGCGTTGGACGTCATCGTGCTGCGCATTCTTGCCTTGCTGCTGCAGCTTTTGAGCCTCCCTGCGAACCTCTTCCAGCGTTTTCTGTTGCAGTTCCTGTTGTAGTCAAGCGTCAAATAAATCAATGTTAGCACCTGCTGCTGTGCGAGCGGGTTTAAACACGATCCTTACCTTGCGACGAGGCTCCCACATGTGGTCTCTCGTTTCAAGAACATCCTTCACGAGGAACCGAGCCCGCGACGGTAGTCTCGTGTCGTCCGACAGCTCCACCATACGCAAAATGATGATTTTCATAATCGTCTTTGTCTTCGGCTGGTCGAACTTCTTGCCGGCCGTGGCCAGCATTTTGCACAGTGCTTCCAGGTCTTGCTCATCGGGGAAACGCACGGCTTGAGCCTGGTGTTCCTGTCCATCCTCTCCGGGGATAAGTTCCAATCCGAGCAAATAAAAGATGCAGCCTTGGACTCCGGATTGCTGGATAGGTGCGTAGTTAACGCGGTTAGCCCAATACATTTTTTAAACCGGTGGAGTGAAACATCTTCATACCTTGATCAGATCCACCTTGTACAGCTCACCGATAAAGCGGATGTTACCCAGCATCTTGGCCTTCGCACGCATCGCAAGCTTTGGAAAAGAACACCGCGAAATTAGACCAGCAACTCACTCACAAGAACAATATGGCTGCGAGATACGTACGATTTCACGGCGTCGAGGATCAACTTCTTCTTCTTCCTTCTTTTCTTCCTGAGGGCCAGCGTGTTTGTTCTATCATACAGGATCAAGTTCACGTTAGCCTCGTTGATTAATGGACGCAAACACAGCCTGCATACCGTCTTCTCAAATTCGCCTTGGCAACGGTAGACAAGCAGCCGGGTAAATGTGATCTGAGTTGCGGCTGCGTGGCGCGCAAGCTCGGCTACAGCAAACATAATGAGCATTACGTTCACAGAATCATCATTAGTCAAAGTACAGAGCTGCCAGCGTCCTGAGTTAAGAGAACGCGTACCTGACTCGAAAGGCCCGCCGAACGGCTCATCTCCGCCGATATCGTTGATTTTCCGCTCTACTCCACACAGCCACGCACAATACAACGTTGAGATCATCGCTCTACACAACAGAATCAAAGATACAGGTATCGTAGTGCCTTACTTGAGTAATAGAAAACCCCTGCCTCCTTTTCACCCACAGCAACCAAATAGTCGCCATGACGACGGAATTGCACAGAAGGAATAGATGCTTCACAACGAAAGAAACACATCGTCTGAAGTTAGTACTACAAGTACACAATACCGGATACACGCATGCTTCTTACCACTTTCACACGTAGAAGTCGCTGTGCTTTCAGCTAGTTCAACATCCTCGAGGCAGTTGTGCGGGCTTTTGAGTCAAATCAGACAATTAAATAAATGAGACCAAATCATCCGACTGACTAGATGTAAGATAGAGCATACATACCTATCAAAAGGGCCAGCAAACGAAGGGAACGTTGCCTTGTCGATCGCTGTCCAGTAGAATGACTGCATATTCATACACGATAAATGGATTAGCAGAGCCCGGGTAGCAGGAAATTGTCGCCCGTTTCGAAGAACGTACGTCGTTTTCATCACTCAGCACACTCAGAAAGCTCCAACTTTTCTTAGTCGTCCGCAAGTGGAATTCCTTGCACAAATCGGCATACACGTCGGCGAAGTTGGGCTCTTCCAAGGCCTTGTCCATGATCGTTGAAACAATCGAACTGCGAAGCAACAATACATCAGACTTGTTAGAATCCACCGATCTTGCACCATTTCACTTGCTCGCTGTACGAATGGACGTACCTCAACAACACAAAGCTGTCGATCTCAACTGCGCAGAGCTCATTTGTCAACTTCGCAAACTTTTCCCTCGTAAGCTTGTTCAGCAGACTCTTTACATAGTTCAGAGTTTTCTCGAGAGGAGAAACCTCCTTCTCCTTCGTGGGCTTCCAGCGGTTTTCAGACACTGTCAGAGGTTCAATAGGGCCATCATACAGCGGAGGCGGGGGCGGTCGGCCACCTCCACGGCCACCACCTCCACGGCCGCCGCGACCACCACCACGGCCGCCTCGGCCTGGCCTCTCGCGTCTACCGCCACCCGAGCCACCCTGACCTCTTGAAACTGCACCACGTCCAGACCGTTCGCCCTTTTGAATACTGCCTCCAATAGACCGCCCAATTCCATAGCCCGCACCGAGGCGTCCAGACGACCGCTTGGAGACGGAGCTTGGGTCGCGAACTTGAGTAACATCGACGATCTTCATATCCATTAGATCTGCAGGCCTCGGAAGCGCAAACGCCATGAGTCTGCTCACGCAATAGAAATTGCAGAGGAATGTCAGTTAGTGTTCAACGATAGCAGGACATATGCCGTCTCTTGCGCGTCATCGGCTTACCTCCTGAGCTCCGCAAGCGAGTACGTCGGCTTCTTGGCACGTGCGACAACTGGTCGAGACGGCGCAAGCGATGCTGTCAACGACGACTTGAGCGTCCGGGCTGGCCTTGCTTCCATTGACGCCTGCAGCGAAGACCTCAGAGTTCGAGGTGGCGCAGAATCAATCGATGCCGCTAGTGACGACGGCGGCTTGGCTGGCGCTTGCTCAATCGACGAGCTCAATGAAGACTTGAAAGGAGCCGCACGTCGCGCCGCCTCGCGATCAGCATTGTCCTTGTCGAGTTTGGCATAGTACTCGCGGGTTCTCGCATCCTTTTCAGCGCTTGAGCCGTCATTTTCGAGCTCCTTCCTTGCAGCGAGCGGGCTTTTGCGCCGCTCGTCCTCCATTGAGCCCTTGCGATCCAACGGCGCCTTCATCATCTGCGCCAAACTGCCACCGCGCTCTTTCTGTCGTGCCTCCATCCGCTCTCTGAGCTTGTCGGCAAGGCGTTTGCGCTCCGCCTCGTCAACAACAGCGGGTGCTGGCGGTGCCTTCACGGCCGTCTCCTCCTTTTCTTGACCTCCAGTAGACTTCTGTGGCTTTGGTGAAATGGGATCTCCAACAGGTGCATTTTTCCTCAGCCCACCACCGGGCGCCGATGGAGATCGCTGTGAATCCGGAGGACCTGTCCACCGAGCATCCTGAGAACTAAGCCTACCAGCTGAAGCCCCCACCGGAGAACTCGAGTTTACCCTACGCAGGGATGAAGCCCCACCATCCAGCGACGATCGTTGTGACGCTGGATCTTGCGCAGGCCTCCCGAACGAGCGCCCAATAGATCCCGACAACGGGCGTTCCTTTTGAAAGCGAACGTCCTGAGAGCTCTTCGTACTCGACATCGACCCCGCCAGCGACGATTTAAATGGCGCCTGCGTAGCTGATCCACTTGAGAGCCTACGCAGAGGCTGGGGTCCATCGTGAAGGCTCGACCTGTACTCCTCGCTGTAGCGCTCGCTGCGATAGCTCCTGTCACTGCGGTCCGAGCGTTGCGAGGACACACTGTCAGTGCTGTTCTTCCGGCTCAGTCTCGTTCTCGACACGGAGCGACTACCAGACCCTCGCTCCGCATTGCGGTACGACCCCTGACTCTCGCCACCCCGCTGTCCTCTCGGCTCCCTGCTATTCGACCGACGCGCCGGCTCCCTGCTACTCGAACGCCGTAGCGACGATCCCTGCCGACCTGCACCTGCTGATCCAGCCCCAGCTCCAGTTCGCTCGCCTCTGTCCTGTTTCGCCGGTTGATCTCCCTTTTGGTCGATCGACTGCGCCAAGCTGCTGACGAAGTGCTTCGTCTTGCCCGCGCCCTTCTGCGGCGAGGGCGAGGACAGCGAAATGACCTGTCGCGGACCCTTCGTCTGCACCTGCAGCTCCTCCTTCTTGTGCTGCTGCGGCGCATGACTCCCGCTCTTGGGCCGCTCCTTGCCGCCCTTCTTGTCGCTCTCCACGCGCACCGAGCGCTCGTTGCGCTTGGGCGGCGCGTCCTTCTGCAGCGAATCCTGCAGTGACGAGCGCAGCGACGACCTAAACGGAGCCGCGGGGGCCGCATCTGCCTTGTCCCCATTGGCTGCAGCAGCGTCGGTCACCACCTGCACCGAGCGGTGGCTGCTCTTGGCGCCGGGGCTTGTGGCGTCGCCTACTGGGGGCTGCACACGTCGATAGACCGAGCGTCCGCCGCTTCCTTTGCGTCCCAAGCCTCCGCCGCGACCTCCACCTAGATTTTACAGCAAATAGCAGCGGTTTAGCGGCGTTAGTACTCGCATTAAGGGGTATCAACCAGCAACATGGATCCATGTTGTGACAGAGATATCTTGCGATACACGGCGCTGCAGCGAGCGCGCGACGCGGCAATCGGTACGCACCTCTGCGGTGGGTCTCTGCACCTGGCTGTCCATCCATGAAACACTCGCGCGCGCCTGGTTCTCGTCGATCTAGAGTAGTAGCTCTCTTCCTTGCTCTTGGCTGCGATTCCGCACTCTGCTTAGCGTTCTCCAAGACAGAAATCAGTGATTTTAATCAATTGTTTTAAACCAATAGTGTAGCCATGTACCATAAATAGAGCGTAGCCATGTACCAGTATGATATATCATAGGACTATGATGGGAGATGGGATTTTCACGGGCCAGTCAAAATTGACGGGCGCACACATTGCTGATCCACCGGGTGCATGCGCCTTGGACACTCGTTGCTGCTGCGCCGCCGCTCTCCTCATCCCCACGCCCGCTCCGCCATGTCGACGTCCGCCGCCTCGCTGGCGAAGAAGCTGCAGAACAAGCCGGCGCCCGCCGGCCACAAGATCATCCGCGAGGGCGACGGCGTCATGATCTTCCCCGAGCAGAACCGGGTCTTCTACAACCCCGTGCAGGTGCTCAACCGCGACCTGAGCATCGCCATGATCTCCGAGTTCGCGCGCACCCGCGCGCGTGAGCAGCTGGCCAAGGAGTCGCGCAAGGAGGCCGCTGCGGCGGGCAAGGCGGCCGACTTCGTGCCCAAGGAGTACTCGGACGAGGAGATCGAGCAGCACCTCAAGGACACGGCGGAGGACAAGGGCATCCGCATCTTCGAGGCGCTGTCGGCCTCGGGCCTGCGCTCCATCCGCTACTTCCAGCAGATCCCCGGCGTCAAGTCCATCCTCGTGAACGACATGGACCCCGCGGCCGTGGAGACCATCAAGCGCAACGTCGCGTTCAACGAGCTGCCGCTGGACCGCGTCATCCCCAATGAGGCGGACGCCACCGACGTCATGTACAACCACAGGAAGCCCGCGGACCAGTTCGACGTCATTGACCTGGACCCGTACGGCTCGGCCTCCATCTTCCTGGACAGCGCCGTGCAGAGCGTCAGCAACGGCGGACTGCTCTGCGTCACGTGCACGGACATGCCCGTGCTGTCGGGCAAGCAGCCCGAGGTCTGCTTCTCGCGCTACGGCGCGCTGCCCAACAAGTCGCACTACCTGCACGAGATGGCGCTGCGCATGGTGCTGCAGACCATCGAGTCGTCCGCGAACCGCTACGCGCGCCACATTGTGCCCATCGCGTCGTGCAGCATCGACTTCTACGTGCGCGTGTTCGTGCGCGTGTACAAGTCGCCCGTGAATGTCAAGAAGGCCATGACCAAGCTGTCCTACGTCTACCAGTGCGTGCAGTGCGAGAGCTTCCACCTGCAGCCGCTCGGCGTCTCGAGCGGAAATAGCTACCACGCCTCGCGCGGCCCGATTGTCGGCCAGGAGTGCGACCAGTGCAAGGGCAAGTACAAGATGGCCGGCCCGATCTGGTCGGCGCCTCTCCACAGCCGCGACGTCGTCCTAAAGATCCGCGAGCGTGTTGAGAAGAGCACTACGGAGTTCCCCACCAAGCCTCGTCTCCACGGCCTGCTGACGACGATCTCTGAGGAGCTGGTGGATGCCCCGCTGCACTACACGCTGCCTGGCCTGAGCAAGGTCCTGCACTGCTCGAACCCTCGTATGTCACAAATCCAGGGCGCCATTCGGCACGCTGGCTACGAAGTCTCGCAGTTCCACAAGGTTCCCGAGGCTATCAAGACCACCGCGCCGAACGACGTTATTTGGGATATTATGCGCTGCTGGGTGAAGAAGCACCCGCTGAACAAGAAGCGTGACGGCCAGGAGACCCCCGGCAGCCGCATCCTTGCTACGAAGCCCAAGTTTGAGGCCAACTTCTCGTCTAAGCGTCCAGGACCGAACGAGAAGCCTAAGGCGTTGCGCTTCCCTCTTAACCCGGAGCCGAACTGGGGCCCGAAGGCACGTGCCGTGGGCAACAGGGCTGATAACGCGACTCCTGCCGAGAAATCTGAAGGTGAGCAACCCTGCACTGATCTTGCGGTTGATTCATCAATCTAACCGTGCTTTGTGCTTCTATCGTTGACCTAGACAAGACAGAGGAACCGGAGGCGAAGAAGGCCAAGACGGAGTAAATGAAGCGAACGCCAATAGACAGGAAGCCCCGCTCCATATATTTCTGCGTAATAGAATGCTTGGGCTAACGCGTACACAAGTCTGCACTGACAGCGTGAGGCTTACTGGGATGTGTCGCTATTCCACACTTTGACCTTCAGCTCATGGTACGTAAGCGGGTACTCCTCTTCCACGTTGTCCTTCTTGCGTAGCTCCTCCATGGACATGTGGGGTGGTCGCAGACCCGCGTATCGGTACGGCTGCTGTTTTGACACCATAGCCTTGATGTTTTTCGCGTTGGGCGACTTTATACCTTCAGCAGCGGTAGCAGCGGGCTGGGAACCTTGCTGTGTAGCTTTGGGACTGCCCATCGCTGAGGAAGACGCTGCTGACCCAGCGCGCGCGGATTCGCCTCCGCTGATGAGCTCTGCCACAGCTCGTGCTCCATTACTGCTGCGTCGGACTCGTGTGGCAACGGAAGCCTTACGTTTCGAGGGTGATTGCTGGGGCGACAGATTGGTGGCGGCGATAGTTGGAATTGGATCATCCTTTTTGGTGGACTCGACCTTGGCATGGTAGGCTTGCAGCACTGAGACGATCTGCTCTTCGATGTCTCCAAGCACCTGCTTCATGCCACCATCGCCTGACAACAGCAAGAGCATTATGAGCTCATTTGAACGCTCAAGATTGTGATGGAATTTCAACCGCATAAGGAGCTTACTGTGGACGTCTGAGCACCCGATTCGGGAGTGGAAAAGCAGCACCGCCGGCTTGATCGCCTCCAGGAACGTCTGCATCTCTCGGTTTGCGTCCTCTTTCAGTCTCTTGAGCTCATTTGTGTGCTGCAGTTTCGATCGTAGACCTTCAACTCGGTTCATACGCTGGAAGTCGACCGAGTCTTTGCGCTGCTTCAATCTGAGCGAGGCCACAAATCGGAGGGGTAAGATGATGCCGTCTACTTTTGAGATGCTACGTAGTAACACTTACTTCCCGATCTCCTCGCGCAACTTGGTGCTAACTTGTCGGTGGTTTTCGATCTCCTCAGCCAGTTGGTTCACGTGCTGGATGCGGTCGAAGTGTTCTGCTTCTGTACGAATCGTCAGAGCAACAAAGCGCAAGCAATGCAATCAAGGACCGGGTTAAGGAGCGCAATCAAGTACACTTCCACATGAAGCTGGCAGCATGAACGGCATCTCGAGGGAAAGGATATTGGTTGTTGAAGGCGTCGATCATCTCCGAGACGGTCTTCGTTCCCGAGACTTCGTGGATCTTCTCGATATACGTGCGGTTCTCTTGATACTTGGTCAGCATCGTATCCGACGTGACCTTGGCCTGGCCGCTTTTCCATTTGCTGCGCTTGGCACGCGACTGCACCTCGCTTTCATGCGCCTCCGACACATTCTTCATGATGTCGTTTTCGCCCAAGAACTTGTACTTCTCCACATCAACAAGCTCCTCTGGATCCTTCTGATGCAGTGCGATCTCCTTGAGCTCTTGCAGCAGGACGGCCGCCCGTCGATCGCACTTCATCTCCCACTCTTCTCCTTCCTGGCGCACGTCTTCGATCTCCTGCTCAATGGCCTCGATCTCCTGTCGCAGCTTCTCCACTTCCTCACCCACTCGCGCCACCTTCTGCCGCTTCGACAGCGTCTCAGTGGAGATCTTGGTGAAGATATCGTCCATGCGAGCGCGCTCCGTTCGGTGCGCGTCGATCACCTCGCGCAGCTGGCGGTTGCGGTTGAGCTTCTCGTTCATCTTGACGAGCCGGCGGTCGATGTCGTGCTCCATTTTGCGCACGCGGCCGAGCATGATGGCGTGGTTGTGGTCCAGCGCCGCGAGTTCGTACAGCTTCGTCTTCTGCTGGGCGAGGATGGCCTCGTGCGACTGGATGAGCGCGTTCAGCCTGGCGACCTCCTTGCGCTCGAGCTCCAGACGGATCATGAAGTTGTTTCCCTGCAGGTACAGGTTGGACAGCTTCTCGGCCGTCAGCTCGTTGAAGAACGGGTCGTCCCGCGCCACGTGATCATCGAACGCGAGCTGATTGAACATACACACACACAATCGAAGGACATGGCGTGAGCTTGGAGGATCAATGAGTGGCTCGTATCACGCTCGCCGTCGGACACGCACCTCCTCCTCCAGCCGGCGGTTCTTCTCCTGCAGGTCCTCGATCTTCTTGGCGTACTCGTTCAGACACAGCGTGAGCTCGCGCGAGTGGCGCTTGCCGTCGTCGTGCTCGAGCACGAGCAGCTGCTGGTCGATGTGGCCGCTTTGCTGCTGCTGCTTCTTCTTCTTGGCCGAGCGCGTGGGCGACACCGCGGGGGACGCAGCCGACGCATGGGCCGGACTCGAGGCCGACTTCTTCAGGGATCGCGTCGGGGCTGGAGACGTCGGCATTCCTGGAGGCGAATTAACGGAGTGCGAGCCGAAGTTCACTGATCGTTTCAACCATAAAAGGGTCCGGTATTTCGGGCCGAAGCCATTTGTAGACGAAAAAGTGTAGCCACTGTAGACGAGCGCGGTGCCGCAAAGCGTGATCAGGCCTGATTGCACCCACGTTGCCCATCGCCCTCGGTCTCACCCGGAAAAGTTTAGCCGCCTGGGATCATGGCGGGCTGTCGGTCTTGTCAATGAGTGTATCTGCGTGTCTGCATCGATGCGGGAGGTGCCTTCACTTCGCGCGCCACGTTAGTGCCACGAGGTTGTCCATATAACGGCGCCAACCACTTCAACGTCAGACCCGCGAAATATGTGTGCACCACATCACCCATCCCGCTACTTCCGCCGAGAAACTTAAACGCACCAATATCATATATCCTGTAACACAAACTTGGTAGTTTTATTGGCTTGAACAGGCAAATAGTCATCATCTTTATTCTACTATTGCTTATTGGACCTTTTACTTCCTATTAACCTCAGCATTGCATACCCTGCGAGAACTTGCCTAACGTTCATCTTTGCCAGCGGGGCCGGTACGCCTATTTTTACCCTATTCGCAGCCAATCAGCGCTCGCCCCGCACGCTCCCAACTTTACGCGCCTTCTTCGGGCCAGAACGAAACAAGCGGCGGCGGTGCTGTGCCTCCCCTGTCCCTGCGTGTAGGCGCCCCCCACGTGACCCCCCGGCAGCCAAGCAGAGCCCAAGTGAGAGCCACAACCAGGAACACACCCTCGAGAAATCGCCGGCGCCGGTGGACCCCGTTCGCCTCTGTCCAAACCCTCGCGCCGAGAAATGGAGCAATCAATTGCGGACAGCAGTACCGTACCCGTTGTGAATAGTAGCCCCCCTCCGGCCATGGTAGAACCGAGCAGCCCCGGCAGCACCAGCAGCGGCGGCGGCAGCCCCAGCGCCATGGGCAACAGGAACCGAAGCGTGAGCATGAACATGCACTCGAACGCGCCGCCCAGCAAGAAACAGCGGGCTTCGGACGACGAGTACGAGCAGGCGACGCCCCCTCCGGCCCCGGTGGGGGGTTCTACCTCGCCCTACTCTGCCGCAGACGCGGTGGAGGCTGCGTCGGCCATCAGTGAAGCTCGGGACCAAGCCAGCGACGAGACGGACGCCCCCGACGGCGAAGAAGACCAGGCGGGCTCCAGTGGATCAGCGTCCTCCTCCTCTGCAATGCCCACTCCCGTGCCGCCCTTCGGTGGGGACGGAGACTCGTCCTCTGATGACAGCGACGTGAACGAGGAGGCCTTCATGAACTGGCTCATGGACCAGAAGACCTCCGGCATGCCTGCTGGACAGATGCTGGACGCGTTGGGTCTTGGAGTCTCGGAGGGAGTTGCAGTGGACGATGACGAACTGTGGGAAGCCATGTTCTCCATGGGCATCCGACTGATCAAGCCTCAAGCCTCGGTACGGTTGAGGTGGAGGCTGAGTGGGATATGATGTGGTCTTTTGGATCTGATTGTTTTTTTATTTGTGGTGTTATTGCAGAGGCCGCGAGAGAAACTGGACAGTGTTAATACCTTGCAGGACGTGGCATCGCTGCTGCGCTCGAGCAAGAAGATTGTGGTGTTGGCGGGTGCTGGTATTTCCGTGTCCTGTGGCATCCCTGACTTCCGGTCCGAGAACGGAATTTACAGCGTATGTTCCTGCAGATACTGCTTTTTTTTCAGCGATGGTGGACGTCTCTGACTCGTGCATTTGTTATGTTTTTGCAGCGACTAGGCGAGTACAATTTGCCAAACCCGCAGTGCATGTTCGGTACGAAAGATGATTGTTCGCAAGACGATCAACATCCGTGGAAGAATCTGACTGATCTCGTTTTGTTTCGTGTAGACATCGAGTTCTTCCGCTCCAACCCACGCCCGTTCTTCGCGTTCGCGAAGGAGCTGTTCCCAAAGTCAAGCGGCTTTACGTTTGTGCCGTCTCCGAGCCACTACTTCTTAAAGCTGTTGGAGGAGAAGGGCAAGCTGCTTCGAATTTACAGCCAGGTACGCACATTGTTTTCCTGCGTGGCCAGTGATCGCACAAACTGATGAAGGTGACTGCATTTGCTTATCAGAACATCGACATGTTAGAGCATGCGGCAGGCATCTCTCACGAGCACGCCGTGTTGTGCCATGGTTCGTTCGCGACGGCGACGTGTTTGGCATGCAAACGGACGTACCCGAACGACGCAATTCGTGAGGATGTGCTGAACCAGCAGGTGCCGATGTGCAAGTCTTGTAACTCGCCAGACGGAATCGTCAAGCCCGACATCGTGTTCTTTGGTGAATCCCTGCCGCGGCGCTTTCACGACTCCATTAAAAGTGACGAAGGCGAGGCGGACCTTGTGCTGGTCATGGGGTCTTCTCTCAAGGTGAACCCTGTGCGTAGCATTGTTGGTCGCTTCAAAAAGGATACACCAATGATCCTGATCAACAGAGAACCGGTCGGCCGCCCGCACAAGTTTGACGTAGAGCTGCTAGGATATTCAGACGAGATCGTGCAAGAGCTGTGTCGACTTCTCGGATGGGAAATTCCACAGCCCGACCCGGTGCTTCTGGGGCAGTCTAACCTCCCACCACCGCCCGTGGTATCTTCGAGCGACCTTCGACCGCTGTCATTCGAGTTTATTCCACCGTCAAGGCATATGTTCAACGGTGCCAAGTCCACTTACTGCAGCTCGAGCGATGATGAGAGCAGCAGCTCGTCTGGTGAGGAGGGAACTGGCGGTGAAGGCGACATGGATGCAGATACCGACGCTGTGGGAGTAGCGATGGATGCAGACGATGAAAAGAGGACACAACCAATGGAGGAGTTGACAAAGGACGACCAAGACGAGCTGATGGGGAGTGGCAACGAGTTGCTAGGGACCTCAAGCTTTGACGATAACTGAACAACAGTCAGCCTACATGTGCCTACCCAAACGAGCCCTGCGCTCAATTGTGGGGAGCGGACTAAGTCGCAATCCGGCGCTTCCATCGAGCCAAGCCGAGCAGACACGCTACCCGCATCGTGTACAACTAATCACAAGGCTGAAGACGGCTTGCGCCGTGCTTCTTCCTATTCTCCTGTTCCCCAGCGCTTCGTTTGGCCACGACCTGGGGAAATCCCTGTCAATATTGGCATATTTGGAGCAACAACACAACACAATATGAGCCCCGTCAGAGGCCGCGCTCGGAACACACTTCGTAGACACGCTATAAGCTCGAGCTGTTTGTAAGTAGATATGTTGAGTCTTGCATTCTCCCCATCTATCCAAAACGAATGCCAGCGCTCTTCTATCCTGCTATCTATCTACACAGTCCACCGTTCACGGTCTACTGCAGCTTCAGGTCTCCGCGTGTATGAGCACAGGGCGAACCATTCGCCCTTGTGGGGATCGAAGCATGGCAAGGGCGTAATGGCCTTGCTTTCCGTACGTCTGACCTTGACTCGCCACGAAGAGCTGCTGAAGTGCTTCACAAGCAACAAATCCGACCGCGCGGAACGCGCCCTTGGGTCGATCGTAGACTGCTGAAGTCACGTAGCCGACGAGAGACCGCTAGCAAACGCGCAACAACATAGTTTGATGAGTACATTCTTCTCAAAATCAAGGAGTAATCAGTTTCCGCTCTCACTTCGTCAGTCTTGGATCTCTTCGCTTTGCCCAGACCAATATCGCAGCCGTTCCAGCTGCGGTCACTGCGGAATTGTTCATGATCCTTTGGAGACGGTGCGAAAAGCTGGTTATAACAATCAACAACAAAGTCAGAAAAATTCCAGCAAGAATGATAGTGTCGGTACGTACCATGGCGTTCACATCAATGTTGCCTCGCCTCGGCACGACGACAATAACGCGGACAAGAGTAGGCATCGGTACTGGGACGATCGCATCACTCTCAGGTGCTGGCGAAGACATTGTCTCGTCATCCTTGGTCGCGGTGGCTTTCGCTTTGTAGAAGCAAAAGGGCTCCATGTAGCTTTCCCCGCGGAGAACGCAAGGTACCTGGGCACTCTCATCTTCCACATCACCTTCCGCGTTCTGACCGTCAAATAGTAACCCCCACCGTGGTCGGAATGGCGACGCGACGCCCCGCTTCTCATAATTGAAGCGCTTCGATTTGGGTTTCTTGGCTTGCTCGCTTTCCAGGTCGAACGCGCGCGCCTCCCAATATGCCTGTCCTGCTTGCGTGTCCGGGTAGTCCGCAGGAAAGCTAAGTAACAGAAACCAAGGCAGAAAATCAGACACTGCTCCACCCGCATAACTTCCAACAATCGTTTACATACCTTGGTTGGTGCAGCACCGTAGACAAAGTAGCGTCTTCCTCTAGCCCCACAACGAGCGCACCACCAAATACCAATGCCTTCAACAAACCGGGCACGCTCGATGGTGGGCAGATGATATCCCAACCGCTGGTATGCGGATACGGCTCCCGCTTCTTGATAATCAGCAGATGAAGAGGCTGCGATTCCGCAGGCACTCCATCAGCGCCGTCGAGGATCAGACCCTCCTTACGCTGGCGGAATACCTCGTCGTTAAACGTGTGATCCTTCACAAATCTACTCTCAATGTTACGCCTCTTAGAAAACGACCACAGCAGTGAGCTGGGAGTTGCTTGCACTTCCATAGCGTTTTCGTCCTCTTCTGCATCGCCACCAGTTTGATCAGCCGCTGCGACTGCGTTCGGGTAGTTTGGACTACCAGACGATCCGCTGGTCGTCCAGGCGAGCAATGCCTGCATTTCCTTGAGAATCATCTTCGACTCCGGCTCCTCGGCATCTTTACCCAGCGACGACAAACTCAACCCCGACAACGGACTCTCAATCACACTCGTGCCAACCTCCGGAACAGCGTCAGCAGGCGGTTCGTTCAAGAGTGAAAGCCCCGTCTCCAAACGAGCTGAGAGATGACAGAGTTTGCCATCCTTACACCTCGCAAGGCGCGGGTCGTTCACAGCAACGGCGTAAATGCTGTCCTTCTGCTCTTCCGCCTCTGTCTTCTTGCTTGACTTGCGGAGAGCACGCAACAAGTTCTGTCGGTTGCCATTCCGGCAATTCGCACCCGTGGCCTCCTCATCAAATCCATCTTCATGGTCCGAATGCTCCTCCTCCTGCGTACTCTGGTCCGCACCAGCACCCACTTCATCACCACCTGCAAGCCCCGCTACCAATTCGTCCGCCATCCTGCCACGCAGCTTCAACCTGCACAGCTGTCCACGTCGGTCGTGCATCTCGATGCCCTTTTCATCCTCCCCAACCACCGCCTGGCACGCCGACGCGATCGCCGTCGCGGCCTCCATGTACGCCGCGGGGTGCACCCAGAGCCACAGCTGCCTCTTGGTGTTCTGCCAGTCGTCGTGCAGCTTGAACTCCCCGTTCTCGTAGTCCTTCTTCAGCGGCCTCCACATGAACGTCACCGGTGCGATCGAACCCTGCGGGAACTGCCCTTCGTGGTACAACATACTGCGTCCTTCCTCCGCCCCAGCCAGGAACCTGAGACCGTGGAAGTCCGAGCCATTCGGGTCCGACACCAGCTGCAGAGCCTCCAGGATGACCTGGGGCAGGCCGAAGAGCTCGATAAGTCCGTAGTAGCTGGAGTCGTGCAGCGCGGCCTTGCTTCTCGCAGCTTGAAGCGCGGCGGACACGCTCTTGTCCGCGCGGTGCTGTGCCAGAATGTAGCCATATTGCTCCCCCATGGTCATGCGCTTGGCGTGCCACAGGTGCGACGGCAGCCACAGCGGCCGCTCGCAATCTGCAACACTTGTGCGCTCTTGCAGCAGCTTGTGCGGCCGACGCTCGTGCTTCCTGCACCGTACGGAGTCGCTGGGCTTGGACTTGGGGGCGCCGCGCAGCCGCTGCGGCATCTTGTGCGACTTGAACGCGTTGGCGCGTCGCCGCCGCTGGTTCTTCTGCGCCTCCAGCTTGCCATCGGCTGCACAGGACACGGACGCATGCTGCGACAGTTCGTGCAGCGCCTGCAGCTCCGGCGCGCGCGCGTTGGCGAACTCGAGCACCTGCAGCACCCGCGGACCCAGGCCAGCCATTGGTAATTGAAAACTTTGTGTTGGGGCTTTAGAAGGAGCCAATCAAATGTCGTTTAGAGTTAGAGATAGATTTGGGTCTCTATCTCTAATCATGGAATCTGTGCTCTTCCGCGTAAACATGTAAAACATTGAACGCCGCAAAGGAGGCAATGCTTGGTTTAGTGGTTATTGTCTTGAAATGCGCTCCAAAGAGCACTTGGTTCTCGCCACAACTAGTTACAATGTTCTCATTAATGGTTTTGGTGCATCGTCCTTGCAAGTAAACGTAAAGATGAGCGACGCCAGGCCGATTGAGAGATAAAACGCCCCGACCCGTAGACGCAATGCATTACACTAAAAATGACCACGCGTCTGTAATGACTTGCCCCCGTGTGACCACAAGGCCAGAACAGTTTCTTCACCGACCGCTAGACGGCCTATCTTCACTCAAGCAAGCAAATGCAGCAATTCACATCTCGGAATTCGTACCCTCGATGAATATGGTGCAGACCGCTGCGGTGGCTGCTCAATACATTGCAATATGCTTGTGTATCTTTAAGTTGAAGCCATCCTCACTTCTTGGCAGAGGCATACATGTCTATTCGAGAGTAGAAACGATAAGTTCTGCAGTGTAGAACACGACATTTCTGTTCTCGAACCCCCCCCCCCCCCGCGGGAGCAGCAGAATTTGCGGGCGTGATTCACTGTCAGTTGGACAAATGCATGTTGCGAGATTGCGTAGACCGCGCACGTCCGGTTTGTCAAAGCACGATGATCAGAATTGGTCTTGTAAATGTATGAAGAACATTTTTTGCAAACTTACTTCGACACTAGTATATCGGCATCCTGGGTAAACGTTTCAAGAGAGAAGGCCATACGGGCTGTAGGTCCCCCACATAGGCAGACACGTTCATTTCCAGATCGACCTCGAACCATCAATTCCAGTGTTACTCCAAACAGTAAAACATCGTCGTAACCTGGTGTCATGCGTCTCAGCATCTTCCTCGTGGTGCTAGTCGTTGCCACCTTCTCCGTTCTTGTGAGCGCAAAGAAGGCCAACACCGTTCGCCACCTGAAGGGAACGCAGACCGACGACCTCATCGCCGAGGATGAAGAGAGAGGCGTGTGGGACGGCCTTCTCACGAAGATGAAGGCTAATGGCTTGATCGGTGGTGTTGAAAAGGGCGCTGCTAACGCTGCTGCCGCCGCCAACGTCGCCGCCGCCGCCGCTAATACTGGCAATAGATGGCAGAGTACGGTAAAAAAGGCGAAGGACGCGGAGAATATTAAGAATGCCGAGGGTCAGACTACTGCCGCTGCTGCAGCTGCCGCCGCCGCTGGCACAGGCAACAAGTGGCAGACGGCCAAGAAGGCGAAGGAGTTGGAGGATATTAAGAGTGTCGAAGGCCATACTACTGCTGCCGCCACTGCCGTTGCGAAGAACTGGGATAATGTCGCTAAGGCTGTCGAGTCCGGGACTCACCTGAAGAAGGTGGATACCACGAACAGCATGTGGAACACCGCGTTCGCCAAATACAAGAGCCCCCAGCGGCTCAAGGATCTTACCGAGGCCCAGGCTGTGCAGATCACGAAGACCGCTGCCAAGGAAGTAGCGAAGAATCCCTCCAAGTGACGCTACATCAAGCGGTTCCTTGAGCTTTCGTTTGGTGCCGCGCTTACGGCACTCTTTGTCGTTGGCATTAACTCGATGTTGCCCTAGACATGGCGGAGTACTTAGGTAATGCGCGAAGCTATGATAAATAGTTGAGATCGAATTACAAGACTTTGTGGCACGATGCGCAGGCAGAGGTGTTGAGTAGGAAGCAGTAGCAACGAGATCAATGAAGACACGAGTCTTTCCCACGGAGCACTTTGGGATTAAGGAGGAGAAAACCTCGTAGGTGGCAACCCCCTTTGTGTTAGGCTGAGACTAGACGCTAGAGAAAAGTACCCAACTGCAACAGCACGGTCCCAGTAGTCTGTCAATATGGAAGCAGGAACACGACCTTCGCCACACTCCCACTTCGTGTTGCTGGTGGCCATCCTTGCCGTTCAATCTCGACCTTCTTCATCAGTCCTCGCACGCTTGCGCTTGCCAGACACAGGTCAACGTTCAAAAGCTGTCGCAGTCACCCTTCTCATAGTAGTCACGAATCTTGTGATACTTGAGATCAACGCCCTTCACCTTGAAGTCTCCGGTGTTTGCTTTGATGACAGCAATTGCCGCTTGATTGTCGTCATACAAAACTGTCTGCTTGCGACACAGTCCAAGCTCTTTGCACAGATTGTGTGTCCACTTGATCATTGTAGAACACTCTGCAGCAGCTACAAACTCAGAACTGCACGTATCGTCCGTGATCAGCCGCTGCTTGTGGCTCGAGTACGCGTACGTGCATCCCTCCATTTGCAGCACGTATCCAGTAATTGAACGGCGATCATCCTTCTCATTTCCTAGATCAGCGTCCGCAAACGCCACGATCTGTACTTCCGGCTTCGTAGGTCTCCACGCATCTACATACGCATCGATCTGCATCCGCTGCTCTGTGGTCTTCTTCTTCTTCGTCCACACGAGCCCGTAGTCCGACGTCCCTCGTAGATAACGCAGCACCCTCTTTGCTAACACATGATGCTCTCGAGTAAAGCAATTGAGGTACTTCCCCAGTGTTCGTACCGCGTTGGCTATATCTGGGCGTGTGCACTGCACCAGATATTGTAGAGATCCAACAATCTGTCGGTAGTCCACCTCTGGATCCGGATTGATACAGAAAGGTTCGCGCTCCGGGTCTCCAGGCATAGGAAATTTACCCTTCACTTGAGGCGTAGGAACAGGCTTGCACTTGTCCATCTTGCAGCGAGCAAGAATCTTTTCCGTGTAGGCCTTCTGTGAAATCATCAACACGTACCCTGGCACATACGTGATCTCCATTCCTAGCAAATGCTTCACCTCACCGAGATCCTTAATCTTAAATTCACTGCTGAGCTCACCCAGCACCATCTCAATGTCGGTCTCAGTACCAACAATCAGAAGATCGTCAATGTAGACAGTCACAAACACTTTGTTCTCTCCCACTGTCCTCACATATACATCAGCGTCCATCTTCGTGCGTTTGAAACCACACTTCCGCAGGTACTCGTCGAGCATCTTGTACCAGATCCGTGGCGCTTGCCTCAAGCCATACAGACTGTGCTTGAGCTTGCACACGCGACCTGTACCGTCATTGAAGTAGTCCGGTTGCTCCATGTAGATGTCGACACCATCCAGCGGTCCATTTAGAAATGCAGTTACAAAGTCCACTTGGCGGCACAACAGACCCAGCTCCAATGCTAGGAGGATAAACCTCACAGACTCAGCCTTTGCTACTGGAGCGTACGTCTCCCAGCAGTTGATGCCATATTCCTGTTGGCAACCCTTGATAGTGATCCGCGTCCGATGCCTGCACACTTCACCTTGTGCATTTCTTTTCCGAACGAAGACCCACTTGTTCTTCAGGATCTTAACTCCATCAGGCCGGTCCACCAACTCCCAAACATGGTTCCTCAGCAGGTTCTTGTACTCCGTGTCGAGAGCATCAACCCACTCTTTTGCATCAGGGGCGCTCAGAGCTTCCTCCACTGAGGTCGGCTCGAGCAGCTCATTCACGGCCTGAATCACAAGGCTTGCCGGGATATCAACCTCGTAGTCACGCAACCTCACATTCTGCTGCCGAACACGAGTTGATCTTCGAAACGATGCACTTGGATTATTTGCTGCTTCATCATCATCCTCTCTATCTCCCCCCACGAAGCGGGAAATACTTTGCATCGGTTCTCCATTTCCAATTGCAGTCTCAGTGGCTTCATCATCATCATCAAAGTCACTGTCACTTATCTCCATGCGATCCCCATCTGAATTCCTGAGAGCTAGCGGACTCGCTAAAGGTACAGACTCTGCGGTTAGACAGATCCCCATCGACCTCATTCGGTGCTGAACCACCACCGTTAGCTCCAACGCCACCGTCTCCATCAGTATCCAGTTGGTCACGCAGAGATCTCCATCCGCGTAGTCCGCGCGCACGCGACGATCGAACCTCAGCCTCTGCTGATCTCGACGGATTCACGCTCAACGTTCCGCTCGGAGGCACGCTTGCCAACGCAGGCTCGCCAACAGCGGTCGGAGCATCGACCACAGTACTTGAGTCACGATCCCTAAGATCCTCACTGCAATGTCGTTTTCCACTGGGCTCAGCTTCCGACGCCATGCCAAAAGACATCGAAGCACTTGGTGCAGTTAAATCACCCAGTCGAACGTATGGAAGCTTTGACGGGAGCTTGTATTTACCGCGTGAAAATCGGTTGAGCAGAAGCTTCTCCACGTAGCTGCGCTCCACCGTCCAGTCTTCCGCGAACTCGACCGTCCTTAGCTCTTGAATATTGCCCGAACGCAAATCCAGCACACGATAACTGATAGAGTTCTTTGCGTAGCCTAGGAAGATGCACGGCTTCCCTGGATTCTCCAGCTTACTCTTGCGCAACATTTTTTGCGTGAAAGCAAAAACCAAACAACCCCACGTACGCAAATTAGAAAGCTCTGGTCGCTCACCAAAGCGCCGTGTGTATGGATTTTCACCCGCCAGTGCACTGCTCGGACTAATATTCAGCACCTCAAGAGCAAATGCGAACGCCTCTCCCCACAAAAGGATAGGCATGTCCACCATCGTCAGCAAACTCCTCACTCGAAACATCACAACCCCATTCATATGCTCCACTAACCCATTCTCCTCTGGGCTGTAAGCATTAGTTGAAGTCCACTCAATCCCACGAGCTCTCAAAAATGCCTTCAAGTTGTTATTCAGGAGTTCGCGTCCCTTGTCGGACCCAATTACTTCAATTCTGTGTCCTTGAGCCAGCAGCCACACTACATGCTTGATCACCACATCGTCAGACTGGCCTTTCTTTTTCAACAGGAATCCCCACACATAACGCGTTGCTTCGTCTTGTACGAGCTGAAAGTGCTTGAAGCCATCGTAGGTCAGCTTAGCTCATTGACGTAGCACATGTCGGACATGAGTTTCTGGTAGGGCCTTTTGGATCGTGAAGTCTTCACTTTCTTGTAAGACATTCGCTTCATCCGCGATTGCACGCACGTCCAACAATGATCCGGAGGTACACAGCCACTCCCTGCAACATCCATGCCTTTCACAGTTTTATTTCTAGACATTTCTTGCAGAGCTCCAAAATTCAGATGTCCTAGTCGAGCGTGCCATCGAACAAGAGCTTGCTCATTCTCGCGCGTCACTGCGTCAATCCTCTGTTTCGGAATGACCGTGGACTGCAATCGATATCGGCCGCGAGTTTTTACCAGCTTGAGCAGTTGATTCCCTTTGCGAAGCCATGCACTTGTGTGGTTCTCAGGCTTGACAAAGTCCCAGCCAGCTTGCTCCAACTTGTCCAGACTAAGCAAGTTGTTTGTTCCACTTGGAGTGTGCAGCACATTCGAGAGACAGAGCGTTGCCGCTTCATCGGGCTGGTTTTCATTCTTCACTCGAATTGCCACCTCACCAACCACGCCTCTGTTCCGAGATGGCTTGCCTTCCCAGTCGAACACTAGTGGGCCATCATCTTGGCGCACATCAGAAAGCAACTCCTCGTGAATGCACACATGACAGTCACTAGCCGAATCAAGAACCCACTCCAATTTGGTGTTCATCGAATTCTGCGTAGCTACAGTCTCCAAGTCAGAATCTCCACGAGAAATCATGTCAATTGTTCTCTGGTTACCACCACTTCTTCCACCACTTGCTCCAGAATTGCCCTTACTCTGCCAGCGTTTGCGTTCTGGAAGCTGTGAATCTGATTCGTCATCGTTGCGTCTCGGACGAGGGCAGTTTGTCTGAATGTGCCCAGTTTGATGGCAGTTCCAGCACTCTCGTTTGTCTTCTTTCTCATTCTTCTTGCCGCCTTGTTTTCCTCTGGGACCACCTGCATTCCGGACTGGATTAGCCTTGGCCTTGTATCGACCTCGACTACGCGTTTTTCCTTTGCCTGATTGCTGACTAGGCTGCTTTCCCTGCTTCTTGCCAGCTTCGGCGGACGAGATGTCGTTGCCATGCGGCTCTTCACTCCTTGCATCAAATTCCGACTCGGCGCGAAGAGCGTTCATGACTTGGGCAGCTGAAGGAGTTGCACTCTTATGCCCCGGGTCATAATGCCGCGAGAACTGACGGACGACGCCTCGATGCGTTTGCACCACATTCCCCAAGATAATCTCTGCGAATTCCTCATCAGAAACACCTCGCTTGTAGTGCACTAGCTCCTAACGTAAGAGCTGCATCTCTCGTAACCAGTCATCCATACTTCGATCAGGAGTAAATGGGTTCGCCACTAGTCGCTGTCGAGCGAAGATATAGTTCGCGTATTCTCTCTTGGTCTGCTTGTCCACAAAAGCTGTCCACATTTCCTGGGCGCTCTGTTCGTGACAAATGAGCTCAGCGTCTGCTTTCGGAACACCTCGGAGAATTGCACCACGAGCCAAATTGCTCATTCTGCAAAACTGTGCATCACTCACAGTCGCACGCACAGCTGCAGCATCTTCAACAACACCCCAAAGCTCCAAATTGACCAGAAACGTCTTCAATTCTTCTGCATACAAGCCAAAGCTACAGGAGCCTTGTTGTCCATCTTCGTCCCGTACTAGCTGCCAATATACTGCGGAGGAGCCATCAATGGCGAAGGCATCAACCCATACGCCGGAAGAGGCGACCACATCGAAGCCGCAGACATCGCTGTAGGAGATGGATTTCCAGCCAATCCATAGCTGCCAACCAGTCCTGGAAACGTAGATCCTCCACTCATAACACCAGCCAATCGACTAGCACCCACAGATCTACCGATACTCGTAGCTGCACTAGTACCAGTACCACAACTCACTCTACCAACAGCAGCGCTTCCAATCGCACTAGCCGTTGCACTCAGGTTCACCGTCGACACCCCAGTAGAAGCCACAGTACTGGGAGGCACGTTCACTGCCACGAGCCTTGCAAAGATCCGCCGCCTTGTCCGATCGACGCACCAACTGGCGCACTTGACGCTGGACTTGTTCCCGACATACTTCCTTCTCTCAAAGCTCACGAAAGTAGTCCGTAGAGCTTCAAAGCTTTGGGCTCATAACCTGGCACGATGCGCAGGCAGATGTGTTGAGTAGGAAGCAGTAGCAACGAGATCAATGAAGACACGAGTCTTTCCCACGGAGCACTTTGGGATTAAGGAGGAGAAAACCTCGTAGGTGACAACCCCCTTTGTGTTAGGCTGAGACTAGACGATAGAGAAAAGTACCCAACTGCAACAGCACGGTCCCAGTAGTCTGTCAATATGGAAGCAGGAACAGGACCTTCGCCACACTTTGCTCTGACCTTCTGAGACCGCGGGGTCTTCTTGTAAAGATTACATTGACCAATGCGGTAATTGACAACACACAGCACCCTCAAAAGAGACGGAAAATTACTCATTCCCTGTTATCCCAGCATCGCATGTGCTAACGCGAGATTTGACTCCGCATAACTACCTGCACATGCTTTCAAGGGCTTTCTTTTTGCGTGAAAAATCACGCCGTCTGATTACAGTAAAACTGGGCAACTGCGTTACTACTTCATAATGAAAACATGAAGCTCTAAAATCATGTAGTTGAAGCGCAAACCAAGCTTTACCAGGAAATATGCTTAGTCTCAAGTGTATAGGAGCCTCGTTCTGTGGTGGCACTCATCAAAGCTGGAAGGTATATGCTATGCTAATCGGACGGAGACGTTTAAGCCCGTAGTACGCGATTAATAGCTTCAACCTACCGACAATCGCTGCATCTGCGTTAGTACAGTTGTGCATTATTATAGTAGTTTAACCCCTCATTCACCAATGTCGGACGATCCGTCAAGTGAAATATTTACTCGTCGGATCTGCTGACATACGGAGATTACATACACACATACTGACATATTTTTCACATGTTATACAAAACCATATATGCGGGAATATGTCGCTATTTCACATCTAAAGACTGGAGCGAGCAAAAACCAGGCCATCCGCCCAGTCACTACGCATTAGTACTGTCGCTACGCATTATTACACAGATTACGGCACCACCGGTCACGAGCGACGGCTGTGGCTACATTATGATTTGTGTTCTGTCCAGGGTTCTGGCAGAGTATTGCACAGAACAAATTATGGGAACCAGCACTAAGTGCCACGGATGAACATTTTTGCCAACGACGATCGTTCGTCTTGCTAAACTGCTGCAATCTCATGAAGCTTCTCTAATGCTAATTGCAGGAGCAAAGTTCCGGCACACGACGACCGGCAGACTGCAGCACCTGCGAGGAGGACCGGTCACGGACACGACGACGGGTGGCATTTCGGACGGCGACATCCTAGAGCGCGCGTTCATGGAGACGGACGAGAGTGACATGCCCAGGAATCGGCTGTACCGGGCGATGGACGAGTATCTGACGGAGATGAAGGCGCGTGAGCACTCGCACCCGGCAGTGTCGCTGTCTGGGGGAGTGGACTCGATGGTGGTGGCGTACCTAACCTAATGCACAAGCTGAGTGACAAGCACGGAGGGTTCAAGATCGTGGCAGTGCATCTTGACTACGGCAACCGCGCCGAGAGCGGAGCCGAGTGTGAATACGTGCGTCGCTGGTGCGAGAGGTTTGGAATTATTTTCTATGTCCGAAGGGTTGACGAGGTGAAGCGAGCGACCACGAAGCGTGATGACTACGAGCGCGTGTCGCGGGAGATCCGGTACTCGGCGTATGCGGATGCGGACGGAGCTGCTGAAAGGAGACCATGCCATTGTGCAGGGGAGGAATAGCCGAGCGTCGCGTTATCTAGAGGCACTATTGCCAAATCGAGTGGCGATGCCATTCTGTACGAGCCGGCGATGCTGACAACCGACCGACATAATACTGCGGCTACATCTGCCTGGAGCACAGCGACGGCGTGCGAGAGCCATCGGTGAATGAGGACAGACTAGTGGGGACGGTTGGCGAGGACGAGGGACGTGATCTCGCGCTATTGCAGCGCTGCCGTGGTAGAATCGTGGAGGCACTGGTCGTGTCCAGGACCAGCGTGGCGGCGTTGGCCGCAGTCGATACTGATTTGATCAGAAAAAGCTGTTTTAGGCGTTGCGGACGGCAATCCGTTGACGCTGGCGCGCCGTTCGGTCAACAGCGTTTCCATTAGTGATGGGAGCTGTGAAGCTCGATTCCGTTGAGTAGTATTTGAAGCTGCGTACTACACTGAGCAGCTTATGCTGGCAAGCACACATCAAACACGTTGGCTAGGACGGTGTTGAATATCTTTGAAAAATAAAACAAACAGGTAGCTAGAGGAAAAAGCAAAGGATATGTATTTGAAGCGTGTTAGTTGCCTGCAATACCGTTAGCACGTTCAATCTGCTCTCGGTCCGCAGGTACCAAGTTCGAAAGTGGCTCCAGTGTATTGGGCCAGTTCATCAAGACCCTGAGGTCACCGTCTGCTGGATAGTGTATACCCCGTATAACCTCGTAGTGGTATGTAGGAGGCCCGACAGGCATTTGCTGTGCTCGGCGTAGGTACCTTGCAAGGGCGCGTGCATCCGCAGGGTACAAGGCGGACAAAGGTTCGAGCGTGTCCTCCCATTCCACCCACGCTCGGATCTCTCCATCCGCCATTCGCTCAGTACCAACTACGCGCACGTAGGGATACGCCCTCTCCTCAGGCGGTACTTCATCAACTTGCGGCGGGTCCTCGTCAGTCTCGGACTCAGCGTCAGTCGTCTCTCCTGGTGAGCCGGGCGGAGGACTAGAGGCTGTCGGGGCACTAGCTGCTCTTGGCGGACTAGAAGCTCTCGGCGGACTAGGAGCTCCAGGAGGACTACCTGCTCTCGGTGGACCGGGAGCTATCGCCAAGCGTGGAGCACTCGTCGTCCGGCGAGCTCTCTCCGGACTAGGAGCTCTCGCCGGACTAGGAGCACTAACGCCATGCACACCTCCTTCTTCCTCTTTCTCTTCGCCTTCGTCATACGTGTAGTCTTCGTCGCTAGCGAAACCGTCGTCACTGATCTGGCTGGTCGTCGCAGCGCTGACCGCGTCGATCTCTTGATTGCCGGACTTCGCCGAGCATGGTGGAGCTCCCAGGGAACTGGTATCTCTCGCTGGACCAGGCGCTGTCAGCACACCAGAAACTCTCGTTAGGTCAAACGCTGTCGGGGGGCTTGGTGATCTAGGAGGACTTGTCGAGACAGAAGCTGGTGATTGTGGCGATCGCAACGGAGCTCTTGGCGGGGGCGTCGGGGTGGACAGAGATGGATGCGGAGTCAGCAGCGGGAACGCGGCAAGCAATGACGAGGCTAACGCGGATTTGACGTTAGCCCTGTTGAAATCGCCAACTCCTTGACTTTGCACGAACGCACGCACCACGTCGTCCAGTCGATCGGCTGGCACACGACGTTTTTTCATTTCTTGAGCGAGAGCTTGCATGCCACTACCGAACAGACGAACTGTCGGCGGCGCATGTTTTAGGCAAGCGACGTGCACCCATTTATTGCTGCTTGGTACTTGTCCCTGCTGGGGGTGAAAGTCCTGCTGTTGCTGACGCTGCTGCTTGGTGCTGCGCTGATGCCTGCGGTGAGCCGATCTCCTCGCAATGACCACCAAGGTCGTGGGTAGGAAAATACCAAATGACCAGGTCGACAGTGCGTTGCGCCTTTAGAGTTATTTTTTTCTTCTAAACCCGACTGCTTGACTATACATGTAGTAGACGCATGTGCTTTTGGTCGAACGTGGTGGAGTCCATCGCCAAGGCCGGTGATATCTCGCAGTACCCATGGCGCGACAGCTCGACTACCTGGTTAGCCCGTCCCTCTCTAGGGCTCTCGCACGGCATGTCGTCATAGAGCCAATCGAGCCACGATAGTTCCCAGCAGGGCGTTGACAACACGACCTGTGGATGTAGTGCACGACCACGTTCACAAACGCATCTTATCTGTCGCCTTCTTGCCATGGTGCCGTCGAAACACACAGCTCGGGTCCATCCTCCACGTAGCTTGCCACCTATCGCCAACAGTGACCAGGCTAAAAATGCACAAAAGCGCACAGCACAAGCGCTTCTTGTTCACATCGTTGCCCACAACGACCAGAGCCAACACGCAGGCCGTAGATACGAGCAGTGCCTCCACGATACTACCACGGCAGGGCTGCAATAGCGCGAGATCACGTCCCTCGTCCTCGCCTGCTTTCCCCACTAGTCCGTCCTCATCCACCGAAGGCTCTTGCACGCCGGCGCTGTGCTCCAGCTGATGGAGCCGCGATACTGCGTCGATCGGTTGTCGGCAACGCCCGCTCGTACAGAATCGCATTGCCACTCGACGCGGCCACACCGCCGCCAGAAAACACGCAACTCGACCCTCTCCACGCTACTTCTCGACGAGGCTTGCGACTAACGTCATCCGACCAGCACATCTATGCCGGCGACATGCCGACCGCAGCGCACAAGCGCTTCTTGTTCACATCGTTGCCCACAACGACCAGAGCCAACACGCTGGCCATAGATACGAGCAGTGCCTCCACGATTCTACCACGGCAGCGCTGCAATAGCGCGAGATCACGTCCCTCGTCCTCGCCTGCTTTCCCCACTAGTCCGTCCTCAGCCAACGAAGGCTCTCGCACGCCGTCGTTGTGCTCCAGACCGATGGAGCCGCAGTACTTTGTCGGTCGGTTGTCGGCAACGCCCGCTCGTACAGAACCGCATTGCCACTCGACACAGCCACACCGCCGCCCACAGCGACCAGAGCCGACACGCTGGCCGTAGATACGAGCAATGACGCCACGATACTACCGCGGCAGCGCTGCAATAGCGCGAGATCACGCCCGTCGTCCTCGCCAACCGTCCCCATCAGTCTGTCTTCATCCAACGAAAACCCTCGCACGCCGTCGTTGTGGTCCAGGCCGATGGAGCCGCAGTGCTATGTCGGTCGGTTGTCGGCAACGCCCGCTCGTACAGAACCGCATTGCCACTCGACGCAGCCACACCGCCGCCAGAAAAAAACACGCAGCGCGGCCCTCTCCACGCTACTCCTCGACGTGGCTTGCCGCCAACATCATTCCGACCAGCACGTCTATGCCGGCGACATGCCGACCGCAGCGCACAAGCGCTTCTTGTTCACATCGTTGCCCACAGCGACCAGAGCCGACACGCTGGCCGTAGATACGAGCAATGACGCCACGATACTACCGTGGCAGCGCTGCAATAGCGCGAGATCACGCCCGTCGTCCTCGCCTGCTTTCCCCACTAGTCCGTCCTCAGCCAACGAAGGCTCTCGCACGCCGTCGTTGTGCTCCAGACCGATGGAGCCGCAGTACTTTGTCGGTCGGTTGTCGGCAACGCCCGCTCGTACAGAACCGCATTGCCACTCGACACAGCCACACCGCCGCCCACAGCGACCAGAGCCGACACGCTGGCCGTAGATACGAGCAATGACGCCACGATACTACCGCGGCAGCGCTGCAATAGCGCGAGATCACGCCCGTCGTCCTCGCCAACCGTCCCCATCAGTCTGTCTTCATCCAACGAAAACCCTCGCACGCCGTCGTTGTGGTCCAGGCCGATGGAGCCGCAGTGCTATGTCGGTCGGTTGTCGGCAACGCCCGCTCGTACAGAACCGCATTGCCACTCGACACAGCCACACCGCCGCCCACAGCGACCAGAGCCGACACGCTGGCCGTAGATACGAGCAATGACGCCACAATACTACCGTGGCAGCGCTGCAATAGCGCGAGATCACGCCCGTCGTCCTCGCCAACCGTCCCCATCAGTCTGTCTTCATCCAACGAAAACCCTCGCACGCCGTCGTTGTGGTCCAGGCCGATGGAGCCGCAGTGCTATGTCGGTCGGTTGTCGGCAACGCCCGCTCGTACAGAACCGCATTGCCACTCGACACAGCCACACCGCCGCCCACAGCGACCAGAGCCGACACGCTGGCCGTAGATACGAGCAATGACGCCACAATACTACCGTGGCAGCGCTGCAATAGCGCGAGATCACGCCCGTCGTCCTCGCCAACCGTCCCCATCAGTCTGTCTTCATCCAACGAAAACCCTCGCACGCCGTCGTTGTGGTCCAGGCCGATGGAGCCGCAGTGCTATGTCGGTCGGTTGTCGGCAACGCCCGCTCGTACAGAACCGCATTGCCACTCGACACAGCCACACCGCCGCCCACAGCGACCAGAGCCGACACGCTGGCCGTAGATACGAGCAATGACGCCACAATACTACCGCGGCAGCGCTGCAATAGCGCGAGATCACGCCCGTCGTCCTCGCCAACCGTCCCCATCAGTCTGTCTTCATCCAACGAAAACCCTCGCACGCCGTCGTTGTGGTCCAGGCCGATGGAGCCGCAGTGCTATGTCGGTCGGTTGTCGGCAACGCCCGCTCGTACAGAACCGCATTGCCACTCGACGCAGCCACACCGCCGCCAGAAAAAAACACGCAGCGCGGCCCTCTCCACGCTACTCCTCGACGTGGCTTGCCGCCAACATCATTCCGACCAGCACGTCTATGCCGGCGACATGCCGACCGCAGCGCACAAGCGCTTCTTGTTCACATCGTTGCCCACAGCGACCAGAGCCGAGTGTCCTCATCCACCGAAGGCTCTCGCATGCCGTCGCTGTGCTCCAGGTCGATGGAGCCGCGGTACTATGTCGGTCGGTTGTCGGCAACGCCGGCTCGCATCTGTGCTGGAAGGACGCGATTATGGTACCATGTACCAGCTGTGGTGGAAGGACGCCAATTGTGGTACCATGTGCCATAAATCCGTGAGACAAAAATGCCGGCCGCTGGCGGCTGCTGCGTTGAAGCACTTCGGGCGATGCGGGGGAGGTTCACGCCGCTGACAAGCTGCATCGAGGCCTGCCGTGGAGTGGCCGCCGGTAGCGTAAGCTACAATTGTTGGCTACAGAAGCTGGTGTGGCCGCCGGTAGCGTGAGCTACTGTTGTTGGCTACAAGGGCTGGTGGAGTGGCCGCCAGCAGCGTGAGCTACTGTTGTTGGCTGCAAGCTGTCGATTCGAGGATCCGACAGTACCATGAATAAGTGTAGGTGTCGACATCCGGTGTAGCTCTGTTCACAGAATGCAACGCACCGCTCACAACAAGCTTTTTGGCGCAGTGATATGAGCAAGAAGCGCTTGTGCGCTGCGGTCGGCATGTCGCCGGCATAGACGTGCTGGTCGGAATGATGTTGGCAGCAAGCCACGTCGAGGAGTAGCGTGGAGAGGGCCGCGCTGCGTGTTTTTTTCTGGCGGCGGTGTGGCTGCGTCGAGTGGCAATGCGGTTCTGTACGAGCGGGCGTTGCCGACAACCGACCGACATAGTACCGCGGCTCCATCGACCTGGAGCACAGCGACGGCATGCGAGAGCCTTCGGTGGATGAGGACACTCGGCTCTGGTCGTTGTGGGCAACGATGTCAACACGAAGCGCTTTGTGTGCTGCGGTCGGCATGTCGCCGGCATAGACGTGCTGGTCGGAGCGATGTTTGTTGCAAACCACGTCGAGGAGTAGCGTGGAGAGGGCCGCGCTGCGTGTTTTCTGGCGGCGGTGTGGCCGCGTCGAGTGGCAATGCGGTTCTGTACGAGCGGGCGTTGCCGACAACCGACTGACGCAGTACTGCGGCTTCATCGGCCTGGAGCACAGCGCCGGCGTGTGAGAGCCTTCGTTGGATGAGGACAGACTGGTGGGGACGGTTGGCGAGGACGAGGGACGTGATCTCGCGCTATTGCAGCGCTGCTGTGGTAATAGCGTAGTGGCACTGCTTGTTTCCACAAGCAGGTGGACGGTAGCGCCAGCGCGCGGCACCTCGACGACAACAACAACCCTTGTGGCCGTGTTTATCACGCGCGGATCTGCAGCGACCACATCCGAGTTGCTGGACAGGGGGCCTCTTCTGCCCCATATACGTATTGCCTGCTCTTTTCCGCTGCATTAGTTGAAGGCGCTGATGAACAGCTTCTCGGTGCTCAATGAACAGGACAAGACGCTGGACTACGACGCCTACTTTGCCTCGCAGGAGACGCTGAACCTGATCGCGGTCAAGACGGGCGCCAGCATCGCGTTCGTGGCCACCAAGACGTTCGGCACGCGGGCCCGTTGGTGTGCGTAGGCAACAGCGACAGGACGGTCGACTTCTTCGCACGCTGAGCGGTAACGTCCGGTACTGAAAGCCGGCCAAGGACCCCAACGTGCACCCCGTGTTTTTCGAGCAGAAGAACGTCGTCGGCTCGAGGGTGGCGAGGTCCAAGATCAAGAGCATGTCGTTCCGCACGTTCAGCGGCGTGACGTCCAAGGACACGACGCTGAGTGGCCTGACCATCGACAACCGCGCCGGCAACGGCATTACCAAGAACACCGGCGGGGACAGTCACCAAGATGGAGTTGCACGGCGCAATGTTGGTGCTCTTCTTGAAGGTGCCCGTGATGTGGCAGGCGACTGCTGCTGCAGCTGGGTCAGCCGATCCTGTTGCTGCTGCTTGGCGACTGCAAATCGGTACTCATTTTGGGAAAAGCCCTCCCAACGCACCGCTCTCAGCAAGATTTTTGGAGCTGCGGACGGCATCTGGGAGCCGCAGGTAAACATGGGAGGGGACCGGGAGGCTCCTGTTGTGGCGGATTACGTCGCGGAATGGCCTGGAGTGACCCGAGTTGCGTGTGATTCGGCGGTCGAGCGCCAATGCACACTGGCGCTGTTGAGGCCATGCCCATAATAACAACACTCTGCGAGAGAGGGAATTTTGTGGTGCTGCAGATGGATGATACCGGTGGCAAACTGCGTCGAGCACTGGTCCGATATTCGTCCCTTGAGTAGATTCATTGATCAAGGCGAGTGAGGATGCGTTCGTAAACGAGTTCGAGCTTGACATCCTCATGCCAGTGCTGTCGACACCTGCCAAAAAACGATTGCTGCTCCAATCGCCGTAATGGCGCTGCGAAAGGGGATATAAAGCTAGTAGCTTCAAGCTACATAAGACGGTTTGGGGCGGGTGACGACGGTTGACCCGAACATGGCATTAGAAAACAGGACAGACCGGCATTGACAGGATTTTATAGTCGAATACTGTTGAAATACAAACTAATTACAAAAAAACCAAAAGAAAATGTATACTCATTCATTGTCGAGGGCTACTAGCAATTGGGGCGGTTAACCGCCATGTCCGTGCGAGGATTGTTTCGAGCTGCGTCGCTTTCCTGTAGGTTTTCGGAACTGCAATTTCTTGTCAAGGTTCACCGGGATACTCTTTCCACAATCCCAGTGCTCATGCCAAATTGCATAGCACGACTTCTTTTCGCCGAATGACTCATGCCGCACCATTTGGCAGAGATAAACACTAAGAAACAAAACACTGCGAGTTTAATACCCCGCGAGTAAAATCAATGAAACTTCACTTACTCGCCGGTGTGACCGTCCGAACAAGCCCGACAGTACCACTTGGTATTTTTCCCCCTCTTTCCTTGTGGGGCCAGTAAGCTGCAGACCTTACATGCTCGATGCATCCGCTTGCGGTTAGGATTTCCGACTTCAACTTGAAAGTCTTGCGTTTCAGTGGGTTCATGGTTCGACAAATTTACCCTTCGACCCGTGGGCCTACACGGGACAACCAATGGGGGTTGAAATGGCTTTTAGAGGAACAATGCCATGTTAGCAATCGCTTCACTGTCAAAAGAAAACAAAAACTGCTGCAAATAACGTACCATCGGTGATTCCAGCATATCTTCTGGTTGCGTTGCCAGAAGTTGGGCATGTAGCGTTGTGAGAAATTCCGAATGACTCAAGCCAGACTTCCCTAGTCTCTGGTTGTGTTCCCGGTGGATAATGTAAGCGTTAACGAGCGCTATGTCAAGCTACCCCAGGAACAGACTTCAGGAAAAGTTAGCAAACTCTCAACAAGCAACCAAAATTCCTGTCGTACTTACGTCTTGTAGTACTTCTTGAATTTGAATGCCTGCTGAAGTGAAAACAGCTGAAGTCGGAGTTGATCGTGAATATCAACACCTCCCATGTTGTTATGGTAGTCTATTACCAACTTCGGGCAAGGAATATCGGTGGGTTCGCCTTCCACCCAGGATTTTCGAACTACAAGATAAGCAATAACAACAGACCACCAACATTAGATTAGATGACAATCCAACCAATGTATGCAAAGCACCAACCTGTAGTTAGCTGCTGCACACTGGCACATGTCGCAAGAAAATGAACAGGCTTCGAGTCCCACCAGCAACACGCTAGCATATCGGGAGCTGCTTTGCATCGGGCCAGAAGATGTGATCCGCGAGGAATATCACTAGGCCGTTTCTTGCGCTTTCTTTCAGGTCCGATGGAAACACAATGCGTCAGGTCTGAATTGTACCCACTGTGTAGATCTTGTTCGATAGTAGTTCAAGCGCCAGCGCGACAGACGTATAGAACCTATCAATGACAACAATTCGATAGTCTTGGCGCTCGCTTGGAAGAACTTTGTCTAGATTTCGTAGAACTGCGGCCGGTCCAGATTTGTCGTCAATTGTTTGTTTACCACCGAGATGAGCCTTTTTTCCACAGTAGACTTCCAGTCTAACAATGTGCGCACATTACCACAGGTTAGTTTAGTAGATTCGTTCCTGTAAACAGAGTTTAATACATTACCTCATGTAGTAGGACGTGCGCGGACAGCAAGTCATAAAAAGCTTCGTTCCCCATTTATGAGGGTTATCCTTCATAAACATCCGTGTCCCGTTGAATTTCGAATGGGAAGGAATCATTCCCTCGTCGAACGACACAATGGGTCCAGGATTGTAGCCTTTTTTGAAGGTTTCCTGAATTGTGTCGACAACAGGGCGGATTTTCCACGCTGTATCTTGCTGTGCCATGGGGTCGTTGTTATCGGAGAAGTGCAGATGTTGCATTATCTCGTCGAACCTGTAAAGTCGATAAACAATCGTTAGAGGGGAATAATATATTCACCTCATCACCTAACAGGCCGTACATTACCTGTTTCGAGGCATCCATGAACCAAACGTTCCAGCCGGAATTGCACCAGTCCTCGTGGTGCTCCAATGGCTCGAAAGACGCCGTTTATGCGGGCAGAGCATGCGCGCTATCAAGAGCCCGAACACGACAGCATACTCATGGGGCGCGAAAGGTTCCATACGTCTAAGGCGCTGGCGTATCTGCTTCAGCGATTCAACGTCCTTTGATCTCTTACCCCGACGCTTGGATCGCTTTTGGCGGTCTCTTATCTTTCGAGCTCGCGTAATAACCGTCTGCGCAGCGTACCGGTTACTTTCATCCGCGATCGTGTGCAGGAGATGCTTCGGGGAAAAAACCAGAACAACTCTATTGAGGACTCCGCGATCTTGAGAATGACATCTGTCGGTCCCCATGCGCCTTCATACAGCCCACGATAGTCTGGGTTTCTTTCCATGGGTCCTGAAACTGCAAAACGGTGAGCGAGGATTTATCACTAAATAATATGCGTAGCTAGCATATCACCTTACCTGGCTCCCACCCAACGTCTCCCAGGATTTAATCTCATTTCGGTTTTTTGCCATCTTTATCAGTGCGTCGTCATCATTTATGTTGTCCGTCTCATCCGCAGAGCTTGTATCATCATCCTGGGCTTGCGGGTCTTGCATTGCCCAATCCTCCAAAGATGAGTCTTCACTATCGCATCCCTCATCAGACGCCCCGTCAGACTCAAGTCTGGTGTATATTTCGCGATCGTTCTCCCGAAGCACATTGACATCGGCCGTTGTTGCCAACACTTGTTCTCGATGGTTCGCGCGTTGAGCATCGATCATATCGTCGAATACATCGCTTACGTCAGCCTCATCGCTTTCACGATAACTTGCGTCACTTGTCTCTGAGCCGATCAAAGCGTTTGCGCGTTCGAGCAGCTCTAGATTCGATACCAAGACCGTGGGCCGGGCCCCAGCAACTACTGCTATCGAACCAGCTCGTGGTGGGAGTCTCTTGGACCTTTGCGTCTGTGTCATGGCCGTAGCAGCTGACCCCGTTGATCCCACCACCGCGGACTCGCTGGCAGCAGCGGACTCCGACACCTTGGCCGCTCGTGGTGCACGTCGCTTGATGGGCTTCGGCTTCTATGCCGTGGCCGCAGTTGTCCCAGTTGGACCAGCGATCGCAGCCTCGCAACTAGCACCGGGCTCCGGCTGCTTGGGTGTTGTGTGCTCCTGCACCAAGGGGGGAGTGAACGCAACTGGCGAGGCCCCGATACCAGCAGCACACTCCGTCCCAGTTTCCGTGAGTGGGCATGCGGTGCGTCGCCGAGGGCGCTTGGGGGGAGGGGGGGGGGGGGGCTATCAGCACGACCACGTTTCCTTCCAACCATATTAGAAAATAAATGGAGCTGGAGTCCAGTTATGTGGCCGACATTATTTACGTACACCCAGTGTACTGGGTGTACAGTACTTAAAAGTACAGATTTCGATCCTAAGAGCACTGCCACCTGGTGGAGGCAAAAGCTAAGGCCTGTGATTAGTCAATTAGGGTGTATGGCATAACATATAGAAGGTGATAGCATAGGTAATTCGGTACTTGCCCCTACGTGCGAGATCACGTCCCTCGTCCTCGCCAACCGTCCCCACTGGTCTGTCCCCATCCACCGAAGGCTCTCGCACACCGTCGCTGTGCTCCAGGCCGATGGAGCCGCAGTACTATGTTCGGCAACGCCCGCTCGTACAGAATCGCATTGCCCATCGACTCGGCCACAGTGCCACCGGAGATCGCGAATCTCGAGCTAAGCTTACCCGATGCCAATCATCGACACAGATTATGTAGTGCAGCTAGTGTCCATGGTTTGCCTACCGCGCTCGCGAGGGCGACGAATCCTTCAGGCTACCCGGTCGTTCACTGTACTAGGGTTTTCTAGGAACCTGAATCAATAACTAGAAGACATTGAGCAAGGGCAGTAAGTTGTGAACTTACCCTGTAAAGGAATACATGAAGGTTTGCTGTCCTCTTAGTGTGCGTTTTAGTTTGTGAGCTCGATGCCGGAACCCACTACAAAGATACTTTTAGTTGAAAAAGGAAAGATGACTTAGATGATCGACGGCCAAGGCCGGGCAAGTGAAGAAGATAGTCATTGGCGAAGTGATGGTTGCGCCGGCGGTGGTTCCGCGCGCGCTGCAGCCGATTTTCGCGATCGTGAACGCACCTATGTCTTGCGAGAAGCGCTGCTGGAGTGCCGTAAGGAATACTTGGGGACACGCAGGCGTGGTACAAGTTTTTTTTTAATTTGTTGCGGTTTTGACGACTATCTACTTCCGATACTGCGCGCTGCAGCGGCCTCGCCTACGGGATGCGTGCCTTCCGGACACGAACCCGCAGTAGTAGCCCATCGGAGGCTAGAGACAAGTCGGCGAACGAAGATGTGAAGGCGGTGTTGCGGCCGGTACGCAACTCGTTCGATGAGAACTTGTTGGAGACGATGTGCGAGACCCGATGGGACGTGGACTTCGAGGACTTGACGAACGACTTCTTGGTGTAAAAATCACGGGGATGACGGCGAGCCTGAAGAACAGGGAACTGCAGACATGGACGGGATGATCGGTGACGAGGTGAAGCTCAACACTTCGATCTCCGACGTCGAGGCCAAGGTGACGGCGTACTTCTTGTCAACGAGATCATTATAAGCAACGGCATGCACGACCTTTTCGTTAGGTAGGAATATGTGAAGCAGGTTATTGGAGGAGGAAGTTATTGCCGGAGCACTTGGGCTAGAAGGTGAAGAACGAGCTCGAGTATCGAAGTGGCGAAGCCAAGCGCGAGGAAATTGTACTCTGTGGTGAGTGCTCTTGCGTTAGCCGGACAAGGAGACCCATGCGGTCAAGGAACTAGGACCCTGAAGAGAGAAGTCTGGAAGGTTTCCCGGGGGTGCCAGCTCCCGTTCTAGTTTTCGTCAGATCAAGACCAGAAACACACTACTGTCAAGCTCCTAACAGCGTCAACTGCGCGCTTGCATCAGCGAAACCCACTACATGTACTGTTCAAGCTCCTAGTAGCGTCAACCGCGCGCTTGCACCAGCGGGATACCGTCTGCAGCGCACAATGCCTTGGGATCACACCAGCGCCGACAACGACTAGCCTCAGCACCCTTGTTCTAGACGGGCGGGACACCACATCCATCGAGTACTCTACGTCACTCTATGCCGTCGTCAGGTGGTGAGGGATAAATATTGCGGCTATATGTGTATGGTGCGCCACTTGATTCTGTTCCTGGCATGCGTCGACAGCACCAACATGAGGGGCAAAGTCGCTATGGCGCCGCCAGTTCTCAGCTCCGTCTACAGGAACTGCAAGCCGAGCACTAGCCGACCAGTCGGTACCGACACCGTGCTGTATTGACTCAATACGAAACGCACCGAGATGACCGGATTCTACTGAAAGTAAAAATGACGAATCGGCCAAACGTTGCTACATGTCCACTCCATAAGTAGCCGGGATACTACAACTATGAAATGGACGAACGAAAATTAGCAATACAAATTCGAATCCACTTGACTTCATCTTCTGGAGATGGTGCCAGACAGCATCAGCAATACCAGACAGACAACTTCAGGAGCTACAGACGTAGCATTGGCGTGGGTTCGATTGGCTGGGTTTGCTTGGTGACGCATCCGAGATACACTCGCAATTCGTATATTAGAAAATGAGCTCGTACAGATTTTTCGCGAAATGTTCTATGTAATTACGTGATGGGTAATTGTTTTTACGACGTTTTTACGAAATGGGTCTTTGTGCCCAAATTGAGATTACTGGCTCGTGCGCGTTTGATGTCGCCCCTCCTGCATTTCATACAAACAATATGACTGTTTTGGACGTCGATTACCCAGATGTCACCCTTCCTCTTTTTTATTCAAAACATAACATGTTTTCGCATGTCAACCCGTGGATATGTCGCCTATCCCCAACTAATATTTTATTTAAGAGTTGCTTGACACGTCAACATTTTACCGTGGGATCGGCGCTACGAAAGCGTCATTCAAAATATTTCCTCGCCGTGAAAGTGCTGCTGCAGCAGAGCAAGACAGGATGTGGGTTACGGCATCACTCGTCGAGAAGGCTCAAGGCTTGTGGAGTGTCAAAATCTATCTCGGTTGTTTCACGAATGTGATGCCAAGACGCTCCTGCGTTTGCCGTCGACGCTCCTCCTGGCGTTTTGTACTGAGAGAGGATGCTGTTCCCAACGGTGCCGGGCAGCTCCGTGCACGTCATGGTGCTTTCAATCAAGCCCAGAGGCGCCCTGGCGAAATTGAAGTTCCACAATTGCAGACTGAACGCATGGAATTTTACATGTAGATGTACAGTACTATTACAAGCAGTTATATCGCCCGTATCGTATTTAATCCTATTGGATAATCAATAGCGATGCGTTCTAGCATACAGTCGTGCACAATGCGCGTCTTGTAATCGGATCACTGTCCAGCCAATGGCAGTGTACAGTAGTCAAGCAATGTAGAGCGTTGTTATTCGATGCCGTGGACTTGGCGGCGCCAGCATGCATTGCACTCGACTCCGTTGGTTACTACGCGACTCGGGCCACTCCAGGCCATTCTTCGACGCAATCTGCCAGGACAGGAGCCTCCCATTCCCCTCCCTTGTTCACCTGCGGCGCCCAGATGCCGTCCGCAGCGCCAAAAAGCTTGTTGTGAGCGGTGCGTTGCGATCTGTGAACAGAGCTACTCCGGATGTCGACACCTACACTTATTCATGGTACTGTCGGATCCTCGAATCGACAGCTTGCAGCCAACAACAGTAGCTCACGCTACCGGCGGCCACACCAGCTTCTGTAGCCAACAATTGTAGCTTACGCTACCGGCGGCCACTCCACGGCAGGCCTCGATGCAGCTTGTCAGCGGCGTGAACCTCCCCCGCATCGCCCGAAGTGCTTCAGCGCAGCAGCCGCCAGCGGCCGGCATTTTTGTCTCACCGATTTATGGCAGATGATACCACAATTGGCGTCCTTCCACCACAGCTGGTACATGGTACCATCATCGCGTCCTTCCAGCACAGATGCGAGCCTGCGCTACCGACAACCGTTGGACGCAGTACCGCGGCTCCATCGACCTGGAGCACAGCGATGGCGTGCGAGAGCCTTCGTTGGCTGAGGACGGACTAGTGGGGAAAGCAGGCGAGGACGAGGGACGTGATCTCGCGCTATTGCAGCGCTGCCGTGGTAGAATCGTGGAGGCACTGCTCGTATCTATGGCCAGCGTGTCGGCTCTGGTCGTTGTGGGCAACGATGTGAACAAGAAGCGCTTGTGCGCTGCGGTCGGCATGTCGCCGGCATCGATGTGCTGGTCGGATGACGTTAGTCGCAAGCCTCGTCGAGAAGTAGCGTGGAGAGGGTCGAGTTGCGTGTTTTCTGGCGGCGGTGTGGCCGCGTCGAGTGGCAATGCGATTCTGTACGAGCGAGCGTTGCCGACAACCTACCGACAAAGCACTGCGGCTCCATCGGCCTGGAGCACAGCGATGGCGTGCGAGAGCCTTCGTTGGCTGAGGACGGACTAGTGGGGAAAGCAGGCGAGGACGAGGGACGTGATCTCGCGCTATTGCAGCGCTGCCGTGGTAGAATCGTGGAGGCACTGCTCGTATCTATGGCCAGCGTGTTGGCTCCGGTCGTTGTGGGCAACGATGTGAACAAGAAGCGCTTGTGCGCTGCGGTCGGCATGTCGCCGGCATCGATGTGCTGGTCGGATGACGTTAGTCGCAAGCCTCGTCGAGAAGTAGCGTGGAGAGGGTCGAGTTGCGTGTTTTCTGGCGGCGGTGTGGCCGCGTCGAGTGGCAATGCGATTCTGTACGAGCGAGCGTTGCCGACAACCTACCGACAAAGCACTGCGGCTCCATCGGCCTGGAGCACAGCGATGGCGTGCGAGAGCCTTCGTTGGCTGAGGACGGACTAGTGGGGAAAGCGATGGCGTGCGAGAGCCTTCGTTGGCTGAGGACGGACTAGTGGGGAAAGCAGGCGAGGACGAGGGACGTGATCTCGCGCTATTGCAGCGCTGCCGTGGTAGAATCGTGGAGGCACTGCTCGTATCTACGGCCAGCGTGTCGGCTCTGGTCGTTGTGGGCAACGATGTGAACAAGAAGCGCTTGTGCGCTGCGGTCGGCATGTCGCCGGCATAGATGTGCTGGTCGGATGACGTTAGTCGCAAGCCTCGTCGAGAAGTAGCGTGGAGAGGGTCGAGTTGCGTGTTTTCTGGCGGCGGTGTGGCCGCGTCGAGTGGCAATGCGATTCTGTACGAGCGGGCGTTGCCGACAACCTACCGACAAAGCACTGCGGCTCCATCGGCCTGGAGCACAGCGATGGCGTGCGAGAGCCTTCGTTGGCTGAGGACGGACTAGTGGGGAAAGCAGGCGAGGACGAGGGACGTGATCTCGCGCTATTGCAGCGCTGCCGTGGTAGAATCGTGGAGGCACTGCTCGTATCTACGGCCAGCGTGTCGGCTCTGGTCGTTGTGGGCAACGATGTGAACAAGAAGCGCTTGTGCGCTGCGGTCGGCATGTCGCCGGCATAGATGTGCTGGTCGGATGACGTTAGTCGCAAGCCTCGTCGAGAAGTAGCGTGGAGAGGGTCGAGTTGCGTGTTTTCTGGCGGCGGTGTGGCCGCGTCGAGTGGCAATGCGATTCTGTACGAGCGGGCGTTGCCGACAACCTACCGACAAAGCACTGCGGCTCCATCGGCCTGGAGCACAGCGATGGCGTGCGAGAGCCTTCGTTGGCTGAGGACGGACTAGTGGGGAAAGCAGGCGAGGACGAGGGACGTGATCTCGCGCTATTGCAGCCTTGCCGTGGTAGAATCGTGGAGGCACTGCTCGTATCTACGGCCAGCGTGTCGGCTCTGGTCGTTGTGGGCAACGATGTGAACAAGAAGCGCTTGTGCGCTGCGGTCGGCATGTCGCCGGCATCGATGTGCTGGTCGGATGACGTTAGTCGCAAGCCTCGTCGAGAAGTAGCGTGGAGAGGGTCGAGTTGCGTGTTTTCTGGCGGCGGTGTGGCCGCGTCGAGTGGCAATGCGATTCTGTACGAGCGAGCGTTGCCGACAACCTACCGACAAAGCACTGCGGCTCCATCGGCCTGGAGCACAGCGATGGCGTGCGAGAGCCTTCGTTGGCTGAGGACGGACTAGTGGGGAAAGCAGGCGAGGACGAGGGACGTGATCTCGCGCTATTGCAGCCTTGCCGTGGTAGAATCGTGGAGGCACTGCTCGTATCTACGGCCAGCGTGTCGGCTCTGGTCGTTGTGGGCAACGATGTGAACAAGAAGCGCTTGTGCGCTGCGGTCGGCATGTCGCCGGCATCGATGTGCTGGTCGGATGACGTTAGTCGCAAGCCTCGTCGAGAAGTAGCGTGGAGAGGGTCGAGTTGCGTGTTTTCTGGCGGCGGTGTGGCCGCGTCGAGTGGCAATGCGATTCTGTACGAGCGAGCGTTGCCGACAACCTACCGACAAAGCACTGCGGCTCCATCGGCCTGGAGCACAGCGATGGCGTGCGAGAGCCTTCGTTGGCTGAGGACGGACTAGTGGGGAAAGCAGGCGAGGACGAGGGACGTGATCTCGCGCTATTGCAGCGCTGCCGTGGTAGAATCGTGGAGGCACTGCTCGTATCTACGGCCAGCGTGTCGGCTCTGGTCGTTGTGGGCGACGATGTGAACAAGAAGCGCTTGTGCGCTGCGGTCGGCATGTCGCCGGCATCGATGTGCTGGTCGGATGACGTTAGTCGCAAGCCTCGTCGAGAAGTAGCGTGGAGAGGGTCGAGTTGCGTGTTTTCTGGCGGCGGTGTGGCCGCGTCGAGTGGCAATGCGATTCTGTACGAGCGAGCGTTGCCGACAACCTACCGACAAAGCACTGCGGCTCCATCGGCCTGGAGCACAGCGATGGCGTGCGAGAGCCTTCGTTGGCTGAGGACGGACTAGTGGGGAAAGCAGGCGAGGACGAGGGACGTGATCTCGCCCTATTGCAGCGCTGCCGTGGTAGAATCGTGGAGGCACTGCTCGTATCTACGGCCAGCGTGTCGGCTCTGGTTGTTGTGGGCAACGATGTGAACAAGAAGCGCTTGTGCGCTGCGGTCGGCATGTCGCCGGCATAGATGTGCTGGTCGGATGACGTTAGTCGCAAGCCTCGTCGAGAAGTAGCGTGGAGAGGGTCGAGTTGCGTGTTTTCTGGCGGCGGTGTGGCCGCGTCGAGTGGCAATGCGATTCTGTACGAGCGGGCGTTGCCGACAACCTACCGACAAAGCACTGCGGCTCCATCGGCCTGGAGCACAGCGATGGCGTGCGAGAGCCTTCGTTGGCTGAGGACGGACTAGTGGGGAAAGCAGGCGAGGACGAGGGACGTGATCTCGCGCTATTGCAGCCTTGCCGTGGTAGAATCGTGGAGGCACTGCTCGTATCTATGGCCAGCGTGTTGGCTCCGGTCGTTGTGGGCAACGATGTGAACAAGAAGCGCTTGTGCGCTGCGGTCGGCATGTCGCCGGCATCGATGTGCTGGTCGGATGACGTTAGTCGCAAGCCTCGTCGAGAAGTAGCGTGGAGAGGGTCGAGTTGCGTGTTTTCTGGCGGCGGTGTGGCCGCGTCGAGTGGCAATGCGATTCTGTACGAGCGAGCGTTGCCGACAACCTACCGACAAAGCACTGCGGCTCCATCGGCCTGGAGCACAGCGATGGCGTGCGAGAGCCTTCGTTGGCTGAGGACGGACTAGTGGGGAAAGCAGGCGAGGACGAGGGACGTGATCTCGCCCTATTGCAGCGCTGCCGTGGTAGAATCGTGGAGGCACTGCTCGTATCTACGGCCAGCGTGTCGGCTCTGGTCGTTGTGGGCAACGATGTGAACAAGAAGCGCTTGTGCGCTGCGGTCGGCATGTCGCCGGCATAGATGTGCTGGTCGGATGACGTTAGTCGCAAGCCTCGTCGAGAAGTAGCGTGGAGAGGGTCGAGTTGCGTGTTTTCTGGCGGCGGTGTGGCCGCGTCGAGTGGCAATGCGATTCTGTACGAGCGGGCGTTGCCGACAACCTACCGACAAAGCACTGCGGCTCCATCGGCCTGGAGCACAGCGATGGCGTGCGAGAGCCTTCGTTGGCTGAGGACGGACTAGTGGGGAAAGCAGGCGAGGACGAGGGACGTGATCTCGCGCTATTGCAGCGCTGCCGTGGTAGAATCGTGGAGGCACTGCTCGTATCTATGGCCAGCGTGTTGGCTCTGGTCGTTGTGGGCAACGATGTGAACAAGAAGCGCTTGTGCGCTGCGGTCGGCATGTCGCCGGCATAGATGTGCTGGTCGGATGACGTTAGTCGCAAGCCTCGTCGAGAAGTAGCGTGGAGAGGGTCGAGTTGCGTGTTTTCTGGCGGCGGTGTGGCCGCGTCGAGTGGCAATGCGATTCTGTACGAGCGGGCGTTGCCGACAACCTACCGACAAAGCACTGCGGCTCCATCGGCCTGGAGCACAGCGATGGCGTGCGAGAGCCTTCGTTGGCTGAGGACGGACTAGTGGGGAAAGCAGGCGAGGACGAGGGACGTGATCTCGCCCTATTGCAGCGCTGCCGTGGTAGAATCGTGGAGGCACTGCTCGTATCTTTGGCCAGCGTGTTGGCTCTGGTCGTTGTGGGCAACGATGTGAACAAGAAGCGCTTGTGCGCTGCGGTCGGCATGTCGCCGGCATAGATGTGCTGGTCGGATGACGTTAGTCGCAAGCCTCGTCGAGAAGTAGCGTGGAGAGGGTCGAGTTGCGTGTTTTCTGGCGGCGGTGTGGCCGCGTCGAGTGGCAATGCGATTCTGTACGAGCGAGCGTTGCCGACAACCTACCGACAAAGCACTGCGGCTCCATCGGCCTGGAGCACAGTGATGGCGTGCGAGAGCCTTCGTTGGCTGAGGACGGACTAGTGGGGAAAGCAGGCGAGGACGAGGGACGTGATCTCGCGCTATTGCAGCGCTGCCGTGGTAGAATCGTGGAGGCACTGCTCGTATCTATGGCCAGCGTGTTGGCTCTGGTCGTTGTGGGCAACGATGTGAACAAGAAGCGCTTGTGCGCTGCGGTCGGCATGTCGCCGGCATAGATGTGCTGGTCGGATGACGTTAGTCGCAAGCCTCGTCGAGAAGTAGCGTGGAGAGGGTCGAGTTGCGTGTTTTCTGGCGGCGGTGTGGCCGCGTCGAGTGGCAATGCGATTCTGTACGAGCGAGCGTTGCCGACAACCTACCGACAAAGCACTGCGGCTCCATCGGCCTGGAGCACAGTGATGGCGTGCGAGAGCCTTCGTTGGCTGAGGACGGACTAGTGGGGAAAGCAGGCGAGGACGAGGGACGTGATCTCGCCCTATTGCAGCGCTGCCGTGGTAGAATCGTGGAGGCACTGCTCGTATCTATGGCCAGCGTGTTGGCTCCGGTCGTTGTGGGCAACGATGTGAACAAGAAGCGCTTGTGCGCTGCGGTCGGCATGTCGCCGGCATAGATGTGCTGGTCGGATGACGTTAGTCGCAAGCCTCGTCGAGAAGTAGCGTGGAGAGGGTCGAGTTGCGTGTTTTCTGGCGGCGGTGTGGCCGCGTCGAGTGGCAATGCGATTCTGTACGAGCGAGCGTTGCCGACAACCTACCGACAAAGCACTGCGGCTCCATCGGCCTGGAGCACAGTGATGGCGTGCGAGAGCCTTCGTTGGCTGAGGACGGATTAGTGGGGAAAGCAGGCGAGGACGAGGGACGTGATCTCGCGCTATTGCAGCGCTGCCGTGGTAGAATCGTGGAGGCACTGCTCGTATCTATGGCCAGCGTGTCGGCTCCGGTCGTTGTGGGCAACGATGTGAACAAGAAGCGCTTGTGCGCTGCGGTCGGCATGTCGCCGGCATAGATGTGCTGGTCGGATGACGTTAGTCGCAAGCCTCGTCGAGAAGTAGCGTGGAGAGGGTCGAGTTGCGTGTTTTCTGGCGGCGGTGTGGCCGCGTCGAGTGGCAATGCGATTCTGTACGAGCGAGCGTTGCCGACAACCTACCGACAAAGCACTGCGGCTCCATCGGCCTGGAGCACAGTGATGGCGTGCGAGAGCCTTCGTTGGCTGAGGACGGATTAGTGGGGAAAGCAGGCGAGGACGAGGGACGTGATCTCGCGCTATTGCAGCGCTGCCGTGGTAGAATCGTGGAGGCACTGCTCGTATCTATGGCCAGCGTGTCGGCTCCGGTCGTTGTGGGCAACGATGTGAACAAGAAGCGCTTGTGCGCTGCGGTCGGCATGTCGCCGGCATAGATGTGCTGGTCGGATGACGTTAGTCGCAAGCCTCGTCGAGAAGTAGCGTGGAGAGGGTCGAGTTGCGTGTTTTCTGGCGGCGGTGTGGCCGCGTCGAGTGGCAATGCGATTCTGTACGAGCGAGCGTTGCCGACAACCTACCGACAAAGCACTGCGGCTCCATCGGCCTGGAGCACAGTGATGGCGTGCGAGAGCCTTCGTTGGCTGAGGACGGATTAGTGGGGAAAGCAGGCGAGGACGAGGGACGTGATCTCGCGCTATTGCAGCGCTGCCGTGGTAGAATCGTGGAGGCACTGCTCGTATCTATGGCCAGCGTGTCGGCTCCGGTCGTTGTGGGCAACGATGTGAACAAGAAGCGCTTGTGCGCTGCGGTCGGCATGTCGCCGGCATAGATGTGCTGGTCGGATGACGTTAGTCGCAAGCCTCGTCGAGAAGTAGCGTGGAGAGGGTCGAGTTGCGTGTTTTCTGGCGGCGGTGTGGCCGCGTCGAGTGGCAATGCGATTCTGTACGAGCGGGCGTTGCCGACAACCTACCGACAAAGCACTGCGGCTCCATCGGCCTGGAGCACAGCGATGGCGTGCGAGAGCCTTCGTTGGCTGAGGACGGACTAGTGGGGAAAGCAGGCGAGGACGAGGGACGTGATCTCGCCCTATTGCAGCGCTGCCGTGGTAGAATCGTGGAGGCACTGCTCGTATCTATGGCCAGCGTGTCGGCTCCGGTCGTTGTGGGCAACGATGTGAACAAGAAGCGCTTGTGCGCTGCGGTCGGCATGTCGCCGGCATAGATGTGCTGGTCGGATGACGTTAGTCGCAAGCCTCGTCGAGAAGTAGCGTGGAGAGGGTCGAGTTGCGTGTTTTCTGGCGGCGGTGTGGCCGCGTCGAGTGGCAATGCGATTCTGTACGAGCGAGCGTTGCCGACAACCTACCGACAAAGCACTGCGGCTCCATCGGCCTGGAGCACAGTGATGGCGTGCGAGAGCCTTCGTTGGCTGAGGACGGATTAGTGGGGAAAGCAGGCGAGGACGAGGGACGTGATCTCGCGCTATTGCAGCGCTGCCGTGGTAGAATCGTGGAGGCACTGCTCGTATCTATGGTCAGCGTGTCGGCTCCGGTCGTTGTGGGCAACGATGTGAACAAGAAGCGCTTGTGCGCTGCGGTCGGCATGTCGCCGGCATAGATGTGCTGGTCGGATGACGTTAGTCGCAAGCCTCGTCGAGAAGTAGCGTGGAGAGGGTCGAGTTGCGTGTTTTCTGGCGGCGGTGTGGCCGCGTCGAGTGGCAATGCGATTCTGTACGAGCGGGCGTTGCCGACAACCTACCGACAAAGCACTGCGGCTCCATCGGCCTGGAGCACAGCGATGGCGTGCGAGAGCCTTCGTTGACTGAGGACGGACTAGTGGGGAAAGCAGGCGAGGACGAGGGACGTGATCTCGCGCTATTGCAGCGCTGCCGTGGTAGAATCGTGGAGGCACTGCTCGTATCTACGGCCAGCGTGGCGGCGTTGGCCGCAGTCGATACTGATTTGATCAGAAAAAGCTGTTTTAGGCGTTGCGGACGGCAATCCGTTGACGCTGGCGCGCCGTTCGGTCAACAGCGTTTCCATTAGTGATGGGAGCTGTGAAGCTCGATTCCGTTGAGTAGTATTTGAAGCTGCGTACTACACTGAGCAGCTTATGCTGGCAAGCACACATCAAACACGTTGGCTAGGACGGTGTTGAATATCTTTGAAAAATAAAACAAACAGGTAGCTAGAGGAAAAAGCAAAGGATATGTATTTGAAGCGTGTTAGTTGCCTGCAATACCGTTAGCACGTTCAATCTGCTCTCGGTCCGCAGGTACCAAGTTCGAAAGTGGCTCCAGTGTATTGGGCCAGTTCATCAAGACCCTGAGGTCGCCGTCTGCTGGATAGTGTATACCCCGTATAACCTCGTAGTGGTATGTAGGAGGCCCGACAGGCATTTGCTGTGCTCGGCGTAGGTACCTTGCAAGGGCGCGTGCATCCGCAGGGTACAAGGCGGACAAAGGTTCGAGCGTGTCCTCCCATTCCACCCACGCTCGGATCTCTCCATCCGCCATTCGCTCAGTACCAACTACGCGCACGTAGGGATACGCCCTCTCCTCAGGCGGTACTTCATCAACTTGCGGCGGGTCCTCGTCAGTCTCGGACTCAGCGTCAGTCGTCTCTCCTGGTGAGCCGGGCGGAGGACTAGAGGCTGTCGGGGCACTAGCTGCTCTCGGCGGACTAGAAGCTCTCGGCGGACTAGGAGCTCCAAGAGGACTACCCGCTTTCGGTGGACCGGGAGCTATCGCCAAGCCAGGAGCACCCGTCGTCCGACGAGCTCTCTCCGGACTAGGAGCTCTCGCCGGACTAGGAACACTAATGCCATACACACCTCCTTCTTCCTCTTTCTCTTCGCCTTCGTCATACGTATAGTCTTCGTCGCTAGCGAAACCGTCGTCACTGATCTGGCTGGTCGTCGCAGCGCTGACCGCGTCGATCTCTTGATTGCCGGACTTCGCCGAGCATGGAGCTCCCAGGGAACTGGTATCTCTCGCTGGACCAGACGCTGTCAGCACACCAGAAACTCTCGTTAGGTCAAACGCTGTCGGGGGGCTTGGTGATCTAGGAGGACTTGTCGGGACAGAAGCTGGTGATTGTGGTGATCGCAACGGAGCTCTTGGCGGGGGCGTCGGGGTGGACAGAGATGGATGCGGAGTCAGCAGCGGGAACGCGGCAAGCATTGTCCATGCTGGGGGTGAAAGTCCTGCTGTTGCTGGCGCTGCTGCTTGGTACTGCGCTGATGCCTGCGGTGAGCCGATCTCCTCGCAATGACCACCAAGGTCGTGGGTAGGAAAATACCAAATGACCAGGTCGACAGTGCGTTGCGCCTTTAGAGTTATTTTTTTCTTCTAAACCCGACTGCTTGACTATACATGTAGTAGACGCATGTGCTTTTGGTCGAACGTGGTGGAGTCCATCGCCAAGGCCGGTGATATCTCGCAGTACCCATGGCGCGACAGCTCGACTACCTGGTTAGCCCGTCCCTCTCTAGGGCTCTCGCACGGCATGTCGTCATAGAGCCAATCGAGCCACGATAGTTCCCAGCAGGGCGTTGACAACACGACCTGTGGATGTAGTGCACGACCACGTTCACAAACGCATCTTATCTGTCGCCTTCTTGCCATGGTGCCGTCGAAACACACAGCTCGGGTCCATCCTCCACGTAGCTTGCCACCTATCGCCAACAGTGACCAGGCTAAAAATGCACAAAAGCGCACAGCACAAGCGCTTCTTGTTCACATCGTTGCCCACAACGACCAGAGCCGACACGCTGGCCGTAGATACGAGCAGTGCCTCCACGATACTACCACGGCAGGGCTGCAATAGCGCGAGATCACGTCCCTCGTCCTCGCCTGCTTTCCCCACTAATCCGTCCTCATCCACCGAAGGCTCTTGCACGCCGGCGCTGTGCTCCAGCTGATGGAGCCGCGATACTGCGTCGATCGGTTGTCGGCAACGCCCGCTCGTACAGAATCGCATTGCCACTCGACGCGGCCACACCGCCGCCAGAAAACACGCAACTCGACCCTCTCCACGCTACTCCTCGACGTGGCTTGCCGCCAACATCATTCCGACCAGCACGTCTATGCCGGCGACATGCCGACCGCAGCGCACAAGCGCTTCTTGCTCATATCACTGCGCCAAAAAGCTTGTTGTGAGTGGTGCGTTGCATTCTGTGAACAGAGCTACACCGGATGTCGACACCTACACTTATTCATGGTACTGTCGGATCCTCGAATCGACAGCTTGCAGCCAACAACAGTAGCTCACGCTACTGGCGGCCACTCCACCAGCCCTTGTAGCCAACAACAGTAGCTCACGCTACCGGCGGCCACACCAGCTTCTGTAGCCAACAATTGTAGCTTACGCTACCGGCGGCCACTCCACGGCAGGCCTCGATGCAGCTTGTCAGCGGCGTGAACCTCCCCCGCATCGCCCGAAGTGCTTCAACGCAGCAGCCGCCAGCGGCCGCCATTTTTGTCTCACGGATTTATGGCACATGGTACCACAATTGGCGTCCTTCCACCACAGCTGGTACATGGTACCATAATCGCGTCCTTCCAGCACAGATGCGAGCCGGCGTTGCCGACAACCGACCGACATAGTACCGCGGCTCCAACGACCTGGAGCACAGCGACGGCATGCGAGAGCCTTCGGTGGATGAGGACACTCGGCTCTGGTCGTTGTGGGCAACGATGTGAACAAGAAGCGCTTGTGCTGTGCGCTTTGAAAACATCAACATCAATCTATAATATTGTCATTGCCACATATTCAACGTAGTAATAGATCAGAGACTTACCTGATCCTCGAGACTCCTCTTCACCACGAGCTTTCCCGACTCTTTCACTTGATGCCGTACCTTGTCCAGAGCAGCCCCAGGGAGAAACCGAGTCGGGCCACGGCAACACTCTTCCTTCATCCGGCCTAGTGTACCTTCGAAAGTACCAGGTAAAAGCTTCAATTGAGCCGAGTCTCCCAGCTCCGATATCACAAATCGCAGTCCTTGTTGCGAAGCGACTAGCGCAGTCGATACCGCAACGTTTGCCCTGCCAACAACGCCCAACAGCTCACCAAGACTGCTGCAGCAACTTGTCAGTCGATTGCTCATTTCATGCGAGTTCGAGACGATGCCTGCGATCAGCGAGTTCATGTCTTGCAGCAGCTGTATCAGATTAGTTTCCCGCTCGCTCGAAGCTTGAGTCGCAGCACGCACTTGCTTGAGCTCCTTCTGCAACGTCGTGATCGTCTCAATAGCTTTTTGGAACCTCTATTTGAGCATCTGGTTTTCCTTGACACGCTCACTGTTCTTGTCCACTTCTGTTCTGAATCGAATCCCGTCGGTCTCGCGCTGGTGTTTCTCGTCTTTGAGAGCATTATCTGCCTCCAGAGCACGCTTGGACATCTCATCCAGCTTGGCTTGCAGGGTTCGGACTTGCACGTTCGCATTCTCCTCTGCTCTCTCAGCCTTCGCCTTTGCCTCTCGAAGCAGCTGAGCTACCTCGGTGTCTTGCTTGTCGTTCTTGTACTCTTTGTTCTTGATCATGCTGAAATACTGCTGAGTGAGCAGGTAATTTTTGTCGACCATGTTCTCAGCCTTCCTCGTCGAATGTATCAGGCGCTCGCGCTCGCGCTCGAGGTCATTCACTCTCTCTCGTAGTTTAGCAACCTCGGCGTGACGATCTCCGGTGGGGGAGCTCGCTTTAGATGGTCCCATTGCTTGAACGACACTCGGGAGAGGGAGGTAGTGGGGAGGCGCGCGGGTGGGGGGGCGAGATGATGGCGTGCAGAACGACAGGGGGGAGACGCGCGGGGGGGGAGACGATGGCGTGCAGGACGACATGGGGAGACGCGTTGGGGGGGCGAGACGATGGCGTGCAGGACGACAGGGGGAGGATTCGCACTGGATTCGCAAAAACTGGCTACGAAGCCACACACCTTGTTACCTATCCCTAGAATTTACTGAACATAGAAAACCCGCGAGATATTGCTAGTAGCAGCCTCCGACATGTTTCATGAACGCTTAGGTGCTATTCTTGCCACAATGTCGGAGGTGCATGTAGGAGGTATGTCAGCTGGAAGGACAAAAATATGATACAATGATCTGTTTTATGCAGATTCATACAAAAATCTTTATACGAGTATGTATGAGCCTCCGACAAGCAAACAATCTTGCTTCCACGGAGATGAGCACGGGGAATGAGGGGTTAAAGCGGCAAGTTTACCAACAACAACAAAAGTGCATAGTGCTCAACAATGGGATAGTTGTGAATGTCAAGCTCAGAAAGTAAAAATAAAAAAGCGCGACATTCTGCGAAAGCTCAAGGCATTACAGTTAAAAATGTCCGAAGTTCCGCAACGACTTTGCGATGCTCCATCCGCCACGAAGAGGAGTTCATTCTCCGCTCGACATACTTGGCTGCATTTCTAGTTTGGGGAGCCGGCTCATCGATTCAGCCGAGAAGAGAGCTTTTGGACTCTCACTACTTCACGACTATTTCCCTCTATCTCTCTGATCTACCGTACCAAAGACAACACGTATGATGGAGATGCTGCAGACCGCGGCCTTAGCTACCGCCAATGCAGTTCTCCCAGGATCGGGTCTCATCGTGAACAGCGTCTTCGAGCTCGGCAAAATCTGCAGTGAGGTCGCAGAGCTGCTGACTGGGATGCAGGAGACCGCGGCCTCCATCAAGACGCAGGCTGCCAACATCGAGAGGGACGTGGCGTACTTCCGCTGGGTGCTACAAGTGCTGGAGCGTGTCCACCACAAAAGCAAACTCATGACGGAGCTGCAGAAAATCATCACGAGGCTCGAGACGGAGGTGAAGGAGTACGACCGCGTCATGAAGAAGTTTCTTGAGCAAAACATCCTCAAGCAGCTCGTGTTCCACAACGACATGGACACCGTTAGCGCAAGTGTGAAGGAGACCGCTGGGCAGTTGGTGCAGTGCGTCACAACCGAGTGTGCCATCAACGGAAGTGTCACCTACGGCCACGTGGACCAGTCTGAAGAGCGAGCGAATCGCTACATGAAGTTCATCGATTCGCCCGAAGTGATGAAGGCCATGAGCGACGCCGACAACCAGAAGGAAATTCTAGCGATTATTGCTCGCATGGGGCGACGCAACGAAGCCATGATGCAGAATCCACTGGAGACGAACGACTTGGTGCTGAATGTGATGAAGGAGAAACTATGGGCAAGTTCGAGTCGCGCGGTTCAAGATGAGGTTAAGAACCTTCCGGACTGGTATATTACGGAGGACGAAGTTGACATCGACATGTCAACGATCATCGGGTTCGGCGGAGACGCCAAAACCTACAGGGGTGTGCTTGAAGATGGGACCGCCGTGGCGGTCAAGGTCTATAACGCCAATGTGCAAAAGTCTGAGCAAGCGAAACAAAGATTCTTCGACACAATGCAGCTGTGGGTTCGCCTAAGCCATTTCAACAACGTCTGCCGCCTCTACGGCGCCTGCTACTTCACAGAAACTCCATTTATCGTGATGGAGTACTGCGATTTGGGGTCGCTTGATACGTATCTCCGACAAGAGGGTGTTGACCGGTACAAGGCTAGTATCGAAATTCTTACTCAAGCTTCTCGAGCCATCACCAATATGAATTCTAAGGGCTTTGTGCACGGCGATTTGAAGTCCAATAATATTCTCGTCACCACGGGGATTAACCCGCAAGCAAAACTGTGCGATTTCGACCGAAGTTTTGACTGGAGCGCACTAAAAGATGAACGTCTCGTGAAAGGGACGGCGGTAGACGCAGAAACTGAAATCATGGATGCCGTGCGCTATTTGGCGCCGGAGTGCATTGAAGGGATGCTTCCCAACAGTAATTCTGACTATTCTTTCGGAATGACGCTATATCACGCGTTACTTGGGATGTCGCCATATTTCGACATCACTAGCGACCAAAAGCTGCTCGCCTCCAAGTTGGCCCGCCGACTCCCGCCCCGAAACAAGTAATACATTATTGACGATGCCTGGAAGCTAATTACTAAATGCTGCGATCCCGCTGCAGACCAACGCCCGACGATGGAAAAGGTCCTGGAGTCGATGAAATCGTTGGCAACTCAATCACCTACAGTCGAAACCATGGTTGATGCAGCGATGGGAGTTGGTATTGATCAGATTGATGTACTCGTTCCGCGCCATGGAACTCCGGTTAAATCATCAACGAAGGCTGGGTCTCGAGCAATTCCAAGGTCGTACAAGATAGTTGGGGTCGCGATTGTTGCCATCGTGGCTATTGGTGGGGTATGAAGCCAGATTCGTCGGCGAGTAGTACCAACACTGGAGCAGGATTGACGACTTCTTCGTCAGGCACTAGCGCTGGGTCAGACTTGTCCTCATCTGCGAGTAGTGATTCAAGCACAGGGCCTATACCAACACCAACGCCGACTTCAACTCCTAAGCTATTGGGAACACAGGTATCCACTGTACTGACGAACGATAATGGGGAGTTTGGTCTGTGGGGAGTTGCGGTAGCATCGGATGAATCTGTCTACCTATGTTCTGGGACTCGCATACTTCACATGATCAGTGATGGCACCCTTACGATTTACGCGGGTAGCATCACTTCAGGACATCAAGACGGTGAGTTACTACAGGCAACGTTGAAGACAAGACCCTCTAGACCTTTTCTCGGTCTACCTGAGCTAATTAGACAAGCAAAGGTGGCATGTTTTAGTTTGGGGTGCACAAGAAGCCCAAATTAGAAAACTGAAATCTGAAATTGAAAAACAAAGCTGCCTAACCTTCATTCAATGTGAAGTGGTTCAGTGTACCAAAAACACTACTCGCCGTACAACCATCAATTTCTCGCGTACGGAGACTTCGCGCGCGCGCCAAACGAGCTGCGCTTCGTGGAGGCTGACGCCGCGGGGCTGCGCCCAAGATCGAGGCGGCTTTGAAGCTGTGGCGGGACGAGTGTTGCACATACACGCTCAGCACGCTACGCGCCATGGTCATGAGCGAGTTTAATGTGCTTCTCTCTGGGGCCACGATTTCGCGCCACCTCGTGGGCATGTTCTTTACGGTCAAACAGGTAAAATGTGTGAGCTTATGCGTATATTTAAACGGTACGTTTCTAATCACACGTGCTATTTTTATTGTACGACCGACTCGTGTCGAGCCCACCACGTGCAATAGTGAGGTGAACCAGGAGAAGAGGAAGGCTTTTGCCGAAGCTCTTGTCCGCCACAACGATGATGGCGACCTCGTGGTCTATTTCGACGAAACAAATTTCAATTTGTACACGAAGCGCACGCGCGGACGTGCTAAGAAGGGGAAGCCGGCTGTCGTGAAGCTGCCACCTTCGAAAGGAGGTAACCTGCAGATCCAGTGTGCAGTGTCCTCTGCGTTCGGCGTGGTTGCGTACCGTACGCATCGTGACAGCATCAACATGGACACGAACGCTGCGTTCGTGGAGGCACTGTACACTGCGATCAAGGAGGCAGACGTCTACAAGAACGAGTTCGCCGACAAGAACATCGTTGTCGGCTTCGACAACGCCCCAGCGCATTCCCAGACGGAAGCGCTGGTGCCTGCTCCTGACGACCTCATCCTACTGCGCCTCGGACCTTACAGACCGATGTGCAATCCAATTGAAAACTGCTTCAGCGCTCTCAAGGCGCACATCAAGCGGTTCCTGGCGCTGATGCGTGACGAGATGAACCGCCCCCGAACGCAGCCTACAAGCTCAGGCCCACGCATCTCAAAGACCAAAGCTCGCATGCAGCTGCTCCAGCGTGCTGTGCATGTGAGCATGCCGCGTATCACGCAGGCGATGGTGCAGAGGATGGAGCTTCACGCAGCGAAGTTTGTCGTCGCGGCGATCCGCATGGAGGACATGAAGTACGGCTAGTAGTGTTTTTGGCGCACTATACCACTTCACATTGAATGAAGGTTAGGCAGCTTTGTTTGTCAATTTCAGATTTCCGTTTCCTAATTTGGGCTTTCCAAACTAAAACATGCCACCTTTGCTTGTCTAATTAGCTCAGGTTGACCGAGAAAAGGTGTAGTTTTCGGCCCAACGGGGGATATCTTCCTCTGTGACAATGGCTTTTTACGAGTGCGAAAAATCACGAGCACCAAGGTTAGCACTGTGATCTCATTCACATCGTCAGGTTACGAAGCCCTTCATGGTATCGCGTTGGATTCCAGTGGAAACATCTTCGTGCCGCGACTACTGAGTTTGATGTTGTCAAGATCACCCCAGATGGTACCATCACCACGTTTTTAAATGCATCGACCCCATGGGCATCGCGATTGATTCGTCCGACAGCATTTACGTCCTTGACATGCACAGGATCCTGAAAGTCACGGTAACGTTAGATGGCGATGTAAAAGTGGTGGCAGGATCTGGAGCAAAAGGGTTTGTGAATGGATTCGGAGAGTCTGCACGCTTCAGCACTCCCTGGGCGCTGACATTCGGCTCGGATGGCTATTTGTACGTCCCCGACTTGGATAATGACTGCATTCGCAAAGTCGATATCACCACAACAGAGGTCATGACGTACGCTGGTATTTGCCAAACATCAGGGGCTGTAAACGGTCTCACTACGAACGCAACTTTCGATAACCCTATCGCCATTGCAGCGGCAGCCGACAACGTGTTTTACGCAAGTTACGTGTTACGTAACGTAACTGACGGGCCTCAAGGACAACGACTGCGGAAGATTTACACCGCGTAAGCCGCGGAAAACATTTACATATCTCGATCAATTATAGGTGCCTGTAAAAAAATGAAACTCGATATGTCATAACTAATGGGAAGACTTGCTAGCACCCGATTGTTGTCTGCGGTGTTCAATTTGGTTCGGTAAATGCGGCACCAGAAGCACGTCAGCCTTTGAAAGGTACATTGTTTTTGTTGTTCAGTATTTTTCTTAGAAAATGAAAAAAAGTTAAGCAAGCCACAAACCGGTCCTGGATCTGTTCAAAAGCATCACAGCCTTACGAGAAGAAATGCGTTAATATACATGTAAAAGACTTTATCTCAATGGGCTGCTGTCGCGGGTATACCCGTAGGCGGGCTCAGCTAAGCGCGGCTTTTGGGGACAGTTAGCCGTCTAAACCGCAATCAATTCAAGTCAAAGTAAAAGGCTTTATCTCAGCGAAGACCGATTTTGAGGAGGGGGTGGACACAATGGTTTCATTTTATAATATCCTTAGTGTTTAGTTCTTTCTCTGTTAACGGGGTGGTTAACGTCCCAACTTCTAGCATGAATTAGTACCATCGGTTCAGGCCTGGAGATGGCTACAAGGCAGGTACGATGTACACGTCCCAGGATTTTCAGTCTGGACGATGGAGAAGGGTGAAGGAAGAAGAAATGGCGAAGAACGTACGGGGCTACAGCGAGCTGAGAACAAGTGCATTTACTGGGAAGCGCAGGTCGACTGGTGGACGCGCTGGGCGAGCGAACATGATTTGAGTTTGGACGCTGCGAGCAGTGCGAGCGTCCATCTCTCGTTCATGCAAGGGCTGGCCACGCAAGCTGCTCAAGAGAATCGAGATGCACGGAATATTCAAGCGGAGAAGAAGCCTGCGCTTTCACCTCGCGGATCGAAGAAGTTGCCGCATCTGGCAGGGCCCAAAGAGAGAAAATAACGAGTCAAAAGAGTTCAGGCTGCCAGAAGCGGTTGCAATTTACGGCGGTGCACTTTGGGCCTCTTGATCCAGCAGATCGTCTGCTCGACTACTTGTCCGACTGCTAGCTAATACGTCTTTCGCGAACTCTGAGCAGTCTTCGTCGATTCCTAGTGCCTCAAATACTAACTGTAACGGAGAAGCTTCGACGTCCGAGTCTTCTACCACTAAAACCAACGGGAGATAGCTTGGTCCACCATGATCCGACGTCAGCGAAAGAACATCGAAAATCGCTACATCTCCACACTGCTCAAGGTGAGCTGAGACCGTTTGGACGAGAGAAAACCCTGCAAGACCCTGGAGTCGAGCGCCAGTGCGTTGTCGCCGAACTTGCATCGCGTCTGAACCTCCGCTGTTTTCTCTACTGGCACTTAAAATGTCTTGAATGACTTGCTGTACAGCACGCTCGTCTAGTAGAATATTTTCTGACGTGGCAATCACCCGAACTTCGCGGTCGTGATGCCACCCTAGTGACGCATACGCAGAGGAATTGAGCATCAATGCACGCATCAGGTATTCTCTTGGTGGAGCAATCAATACGCCACTCGCTTCATCATCAAAAAGTCCTCCAAGAGAGATAGCTCCAGCCTCCGTCGGTGCTTTATTGCTGTTGAGCTGGCTTGGATGGGGAAGCACCGGTCGAACGTTGCTTTCCACGAGTTTGCACAGCGGACGGTGCAGTGCAGTTGCGAGACCATATTTCACCTGCATTGCAGCCACCCTGTGCTCCTCAAGTTCACCATCCTCTTCAAATTCGTATCCATCAAGAGCTCCATCCCGTACCAGTCGCTCAGCCAACACTGCTAACTGCGGCTCGTGTAGTATCCGATGGAAGTGTTGTTGCGTCTCGGGGTCGTCCATAGTGATGTCAAGCAGTAACTCGCCATCCCAAAGTTCTTGTAGCCGCACGCAGTAAAATACGTCGCCCACGTTGACAACACATTGGTGTGTGAGTGTACTCGGAACGGACATCTTGCCTTGATTAGCTTCGGTATCTTTCTCCTCCGGTCTATCGACTATAAGCTTGTCCTGGTTCTCCACTGACAATCTTCGTCGTCGGACCTGCGCTTCAGTACTCGTTGACGGTCGATCTTCACCTCCAACGCCAACTACTTCCAACTTTGCTGCATTTCCAGCTGATAGCACGATTCGGAGACTGTCAAACAACGGCTCTAGTAGTTCCTCGTGCACGGCAAAAAGCTCAGCGTCATTATTGCTACCACCGTCGTGACTCTGGCTCGGGCGGTAGCTTGCAAACGTTGAGCAGAACGTGAGCAATTGGCGTAAATCCACCTTGGTAGTTAACGCCTCAGTGTCGCAGTCACCCTCCCAGCCCAACACCACAGCTCGAACCTCCAGCCACCAAACCTGAGAAGTTGCTGCAGCGAACGCTTCCTCCACGTCCAACTCCGCTAGAACTGCGTTCTCTTCGTAAGATCCAACGACCGAGAGGTATCGCGTGCCTCTATACACCGTCACTTGCTGCGTATTGTGCTGCTCTTGTTGTGCCACCAGTTGCTCGCGTGGAAGTCTTGAAGCTGCCTCAGGACCACTGGTCTCACATAACACCAAGTGTCCGTTCTTGTATCCAGCGTGTACATGGTCAAGCAGCACTTCCGCCAGCGCTTCTAGCCGCTCACGACGTCGCACTGAATGGTGTGCCAAAAAGCTGTCATGGTTGGGAACGAGCCGCTGAATATCTCGAAGGTGGAACGTGAGGAAGTCGTCCTGCGCTGAACGGGGTTCATACGCCACAAAGTGCACGCTAAAGCCGTCGTCCGGGTCCTCAGGCTCCTCCGCTTCCTCGTAGAGCACTTGCAATACCAGCAGCTGATCACTGATCATCCTTGATCCGGTTGTGAGTTGAGTGCTGCGCTTCAAAATTCCGGGGATGCCACCAGCGGCGCCTAGTGAGTGATACTTGAGGGCATGACTGCTTAAGACCTGCTCTAGCTGCTCACGCATGGCGTCACGTTCTCGACACACGCGCTCCGTCTCGAGCTGAGTGACTCGCATACTCTGCTCGGCGCGCATTGTGCGACTCATCAACGTCTCCATTTTATGTCTCAACGCCTCACGCCCGAGCGAACGCACAGCGAGCTTCAGTCGAGTTTCGAGCTGCGTACGACGCGTATCAGAGAGTAACTGAGCATTCTGCAGTCGCGCTTGTTCGATGACCTCCTCTGAGCGCTGTTGCTCGCGCTCGAGAGCCATCCGCGTCTCCACCAGCTCGGCTGATACGCGTGTAAACCCCGCGGAGATTTCACGCAGCTGACGCGCAAGCTCCAGACTCGTGTTGCGTTCTAGCACCAACTGGGCCTCTAGCGCCTGTGCTCTATCCGCTGCTTCAGTTGTCTGGTGTCGAAGTTGCTCTTGCAATGTTGATAGTGAGGCCTTCGCCTGTGATAGAGCTCGTTCAAGGGCGAAGCTGCGCTCCCTGTACGATTTCTCCTCTGGATTCGCTGGTTCTCCTGCTTGCGGGGGCTTGAGGAACGAGCTTCGCACTGTCTTCAGCGTCGGTGAAGTAGGTCCAGCCTCCGAGAACTCCGACGCCTGGGCAAGAAGCTCGAGCTGCTTTACAGCACTGTCAGCTTGAGCTTGCGCCTGGTTCCTCTCGCTCTCCATAGCCTCTAGAGCTTGTTCCAACTGTGCAATGCGCTCCTTCAACGCTCTTTGCTCTCCATAGCGACGATGCATTTTCTCGTGGTAGGCTGCAGCATCAACCTGCCGGTTCACAGCGTGTGAACGCGCCGCATATTCCTGCCACAGCTGCTGCATAATAACTGGATCGGGCCCAGCCACCGCCTTGCCGTCCTCTGTTCCTCGACTCTTGAGGTTCTCGTCACCTGTAATCGTTGCTGGCGACGTAGGCCGAGACGCGTTACTAGGAGATCCAGACAACGCACGAGAACGAAAACTTCCAGCGTTGACCCGGGGGTCGGATCTCGACGGTCGTCTAGGCGCTCCATTGGCTGGCGGAGTCGAAGGCGCCCTTGGAGATATCACCGTCGCAGCTTCATCCTTCTCCTGTCGGTCGTCCATCTGATCCCCATTACTCGAAGTCGCTGCTGCACCTTCAACTGCACTTGCATCGGGGCCTTGCGTACCTGGTCGGACGTGTTCGTGGCCTGGAAGCAGAGGGAACACGACGCCTCGCTCCTTGTCCGAGACGGATCCATGCTGGTCAACGTCGATATCTTGCGACGCTTGTGTCGAGGCAGCTCGATGGCGCGGGGTCCTGCCGTTCGTGTGCCAGCCTTTGCCCTTCTGGAAGGGCTGGATGTTGCGATACCCCGTGGGCATCAAGGTCATCAACGGCGACAGGAGGATCGGATCATTGTCTCCTGCCCTTGGAGGTGGCAGAGGTCGAGACGGCGGCGTGCTCATGACCGCGAGCGTCCTTTGCGCTAGGATAGGGACACCAGCACACGACGCTCCCGTTACGCGCCTGCGTCTCCTGGCGGCGGATGTTAGGATAGCGCCTCCTCCCCAATTAGTCAGTTGTGGGGCGTCTGAGACCCCTGAACGTGGATCGCTCAGTACTCGATGAAGCGGGGCACCGCGCGAGATTCCAGCGGCGATGCTGCCTTACGGGAGCTGGAGCGTGCTCTGGACGCATTCATGGCCACCCACGTCGCCACCGCCGCCAATGCACTCGCGACTATGGCCACCAAGAGTGGAAGTGAAGAAGTCCCGGACCTGAACAAACCTTTCATCGATGAAGACGACGGAGCTGTCGACCAAGTGATTCAGAAGGAGGTATCAGCAGAGATGGCCAACTTCCAGCGAGACTTGAAGCGTCTGCAGTGTCTGAGCTCCGTGATCACCAACACCCGACGAAGACGAGGGCCTTCCAGTATCGTGAGTGTTGTGAGGCTGCTGCTCAGTTGGTTGCAAGCCGTCGAGAGCTCCAGCGCAGCGGCTGCAGCTTCATCGAGTGCCGTCGTCGGTGGTGCGTTGCCTCCTCCTTCAGCGGCTGAAGCTGCTCGCGCAGCAGAACTGGCTCAACAGCAGTCGCCGATCGATCCCGTGGCCTCGTGGCTTGTAGCGACGTCACTAAGGATCATATTCCGACCTCCTCATACGACTTTGAACGTTGAGATCAGCTCTACCGAGCGAGCAGTGATTGATGAACTCGTCGCTCAAACAGCGGCTAGATGTTTCCTGGCGTTCCAGCGCGCATGGCAAGCGGATGAAGAGAGTCAACGTCGCGCTCGAGCCGAAAGTTCCGGCACCTTGTTCTCCTACCTAACGATGCGGAAGGCTAAGCCGAAGTCTCACAGCAGTCCTGGCCCTGCGAACGCGTTGGCCGTATGCTTGGTTTGTACAACTGAAGCTGGGATAGCCTGGGGCCATGTCTTGGGCCTTGCCGTTTGTCTCGCGCCCGACGTCTCTCGGATGAAGCTGCAGAACGAAATTCTAGCTCGAGCTGCAGTCTGGAACGCCACCAAACCATCGACGGGGAGTGGGGACATTGCCCAGCATCCGTACCTGAAGCACTTGAGCAACATTCGACTTGGACTCGCACCCAGCCAAGCTGCTCCTAATGCAACGCTGAGCTCGCGTATGTCGGAAGCTGCTCGATGGCTACGCGTGGTGATGTCCTTGCTGCTGAAGCCCCACCGATCTCACGTACGCAGTGCGTGTGCGCACCTCATCTCTCAAATGCTCATACGAGAGCTCTATCTCCTTGATCGACTTGAACTCAGCGTGTTGTACACGTCCACGGGCAGTGACTGGAGCCGTTGCATCAGCGACCTCCACGCCGCAGCTCTACGACTGACGGATTGTGCCAAGAAGAAGGGAAGAGGACGGGCGCAACAACATCTCGAGGCATCGGCGTGGTCTCTTCGAGCTGTGGTGCTGGCGCTCGCTCCGGGTGAGATATTCACAAGGTACTGGAACGACGATACCCTCGCGCTGCTGAGACTGCAGCAGCAACTTAACCAGGACTCCAGCGCTGGAGGTATCGCAACGTACAATGTGTTACCGAGTCTGGAGTTGAGCTTCAAGTACATGATGCACCGCCACTTCTTGCTGCGCGACTCGGGAGCAGCGAAGACTGGAGCGCCGTCGAGTTCCGACTGCGAGGGGACCATCAACACGACGCAGGCCTGGGTCTTCTTCTCGCTTCAGCGTTTACGACCACAAGCTCCGAACTGTACAGCCACCAGCAGCTTTACCGCTCTTAAAACGATAGCGTTGCCCGCTTTGGTGCACGTATCACGCGCCATAGCGGCGTACAACATGCCCTGCACGGTACAGAATCATCTCCGTCCGCTACTGTCGGAGCCTGTACGAGTCGGTGACCCGCAGATGCTGATCGGACTCGAGGCTCTCGCTGATCTGCTATCGCGGAATGAGTCTGACGATAAAACCCGGATGTCGTTCCGAGTGAATAGGAGCGACCTCCTCGCCAGTAGACAAATGATCGGCGAGCTCGTAGGTCGCGTGCTTCTTGCGTGCAGCACGCAGATCGGACACAAACTATTGAGTGAGATCCCAACCACGACGAAGAGCAGGGATAAACTGCAGCTTGGGGACGATGGAGACGGGGATGACGAAGAGCACTGGAAGGACCCGACACAGGCTGTGGCAGTGGCGACTTTCGCGGCGGCGTTGGGTTTGATGCCACCACTGTACGCGCATTTGGGTCTGAGCGTTGAGCAGAAGCTGCGGCTTCTTGTGCGTACCAGCATCAACGCGGAACCAGCAGTACAACGTCGCGCCCACGACGCTCTCCTCGCTCTTATCGGACCACACAGCTCCCACTCGGGCGAGCCTCCACCACCTGGCGCTGGAATGGTTGTGCGTGAACTGACCGATCACATCATGCGGATGAACGCCAACAACCCCGCGGCGGTCAGCGACGCGGCAGGAGCGATCGTCATTTTGAGGTTACTGAGCGAAGTGCTGGATCCATCCAGAGCCGCCATGACACGCTGGGAGGGCCCTCAAGACCGATACGCGGCGTTAATCCAGGCGGAGGCCGTCGCCGTTTACCTTCTTGCTCGCGGAGACGACAACATTGAAGCTGAACAATTGCTACGACTAACGGCATTGGACACGCTCGAAGCCGCACATAAGGCGCGCTTGGCGTGTTGCGAGCAGCCTGCGATACGAAGCTCAGTCCAGCTGCCGCTAGTCGACCGACCAAGCGTGTGGACGCTGTTTGGTGACCTCGACTGCGACTTGACCACGGCGTTCTTCAGCTTTAACCCGGAGACACCGCAGGACCTACAACGAGACCAATCTGTAGACAAGCACTCAACCCTCCGGCGCTTGATCCTCGACACCACCGACCGTCACAGCTTCCGATTGTCGCTCTGCCTCGCACGGGTCTTCAGAAGCCTCGCGAGACGTGCTCCTGACGTGATCGCATACATCTGGACCGATGTGGTTGATAAGGTGGCCAAGTTGGAGCCTGTGCTGTCCGTGACGCCGGTGCCAGGCGACTCCGTCCAGCTAAACCAGCGAGAGCTTGCTCGGTGGAGGAACCTGGCGTTGTTGGCCACGGTGTCGGCGTGTCCAATCCTTCAGTCACCGACTCGCAAGACGGATTTGTCTTCATTCTCCTCTGAAAATGGGTCCGAACCCCCAAGCGTGGCCCCGTCCGCGATGGTCGCAACCCTCGTACGCCAACTCGCTTGTTATCTTCGTAGCACCAATGTCGGACAGCGAAATGCTGCAGTGTTGGCGTTGGGCCACGCCGGTTCTGTGGCACTTCCGACACTGCTGGAGGTTCTCGCTCGGCTTGAAGGCGAGGTATTCACGGCACCTTCTAGCAACGGGGAGCCAGACGCGTCGGGCGGGAACGCAGTGACTCCAAATGCTCTGCAGCGCATGCGCAGCCCCAGGCAGGCAAAGCTGCCCAAGAAGAAACTGCTCGAGCTGCAGCACGTGCGGACTGCGCAGTTCAGTCTGCAATGGGCCGTTGGTCGATGTTACCGGATTTTGTTGGAGTCTCGAACCCGTGAGCGCGATGATGAAGAAGAACTCGAGCCGGGAGGTCCCATGGCGGAGCGTCTGCGTCGAGCTGTCTCGGCATTTCTAGCCAAAATGACGACTACGTTTGAAGACGCCGCAGTTTCTTCCAGTGATCTCAGCGAGGCGAGTGATGGATCGTTGAGTTTCAACTCATCAACGCTGGTACTCGAGGAGAACCCAGTGCTGTTGATGGTGCAGCTAGATTTCATCGCACTTTTACGAGCACTGCTTCTCCATTCAAACGCAGCCGCGAAACCAGTATTACAGCTTCCCCACGACAAGTTAGCAGCCCTTCTGCTGAGTTGGTGCGGATCCTTTGACAAGGATCTTGCTGGAGCTGCAGTGTCAGGATATCTCCGTTCGGGTTTCGTGGCCCCAGAAGCCGGTTGCGAGCTTTACTCTCACTGGATGAAACAGTGCGATGTCCACACCGCTCGAGATGGGAAGTTAGTCTTCCCATGGATCTGGATCGATAGCCAACATATCTTAGTTGGTACGGGAGGATCTGCCAGTGAAGCTTACTTAGCGTCTCGAAGTGTGGCCCAGTACTTCATCTGCCATCGAGCGTTCTCGACCTTGGCAGAACTCCTTCGCAGTAGCTTAAAGTCTGCAGATGGAACTGGAACTTGGGACGGCGATAGCGTAGCGACGTGGCTTGACGCGTGCTTCAGCGTGGACGGCGTCATGTTCCCCCACTTCAACGACCTACATCGACTGGCACGACGAGCACTGCACGTTCTACTGGAGTTGCCCCCTGGGAGCGCCCGATTCAACCACGTGGTCAAGCGCTGCCTCGAGAAAACTACCTATCCCTTCTCAAGCGCAGACAAGTCCGCAGTTCGGGTAGCTCGACAGTATCTTGAAGCGCTCGGAGCCTCTAATGAGGTAATGAGCTTCTTCCAGTCACTGCTCCTTCGCTTGCAAGAACGACATGGTGATACTAAAGACGGTGAGGAGTCCTACCTTGCTGTACGCCTTCTTCACGTGCTGTTGCTCCACGTGGGCGTTCAGCTTGATGATAAGCTGGTGCATCAGCACCGTCAGGTAGCGCTGGATATGGTCGCTGCACTCGTTTGTGAGCCTGACGCAAGCTGCGACGATGACGAGTCTGCAGCAACTCGATGGGGATTGCAGGGATACTACAGCCCAAACCTTGAAGGACTGGTCGCTGGCCGGTTGCAGGTTAGCGTGTCAGCGCTGTTGGCGTCGAGATTTTCGGTCCTCAGCCTGCGTGTGAGTCTTGCAGTATTGCGTTCGATGCCAGCTAACACGCCTCAGGTCGGTGACGACGTAGCACAGCAGCGACAAATGTTAGCCGCAGTGTTGCCCTGGCTGGCTGAAGTACCGCTGTGGACGCCCAACGAACCGAGCAATAGATCTGCCGAACTGCTCGACTTGCTGTTTGGCCTCACGACCGCCTATGGGGGCAGTTGTGGGGAGCAACTTGACCATATCTGGCTTACACTCGCGTTTGCCAGCACCAGAGGCGACGACACGAACCTCGGAGAAATCGTCAACTTCTTGTTCCGACAGCAGCGTAAGAGTCAGCTACCCTCCGAGACGGCGAAGACGGTCATGTGGTGGCTGTGTCGATGGCAGGACGCAGCACTTGATGTGCTGCGGTTGTTGCTGCTGCAGATTCCGTTGATGGCTTCAAAGGAACCAGATCCTAGCGAAGTTGCGACCGCGTTGGACGAGTTGACGGCGCTTGTGACTTTGGCCAGCGACACGAGTTGCCATCTACTTCAGTCTGGAGCAAACACTTCCAATGCCGACGTGCGAGCGTTAGCTGTTCATCTGGTCCACATCGCACTCATGACACTGTTTGCGCTGCTGGAAAGTGACAACATCGACGAAACCGCGTCAAACAGCATCACGCAGCACTGCCACGTTCTGCTTCATTCTGTTCTCCCGCTACTGGAAGCGCCACGTGGTCTACTTGCTGCGGCGTTAGCTCTGATCAAATCTTCGACGTCACGAATCAATGCCGACAAGAGAAGCAAGCAACCTTCTTCGCGGGTGCAGCTTGAGGAGTTCCTGGAGGCTCTGCGCGCTCTCGCCGTGTGCTTGTCGGCCACCGAAACCCAGATCTGGAGCGAACTGTGCGTCCAAGAGATTGCGATGACCATTTCCCTCGAGACTTCTCCAACGTCCGAGAGTCTGGGAACTCTTAGACGACCCTCACCGCCTCATGAAGTCTGCATCCGCTTCGCCTTGGTGGCTTACACCCAGTTATCTCCGCGCTTCCAAGGGGATATTCTTCTGTCGGTGCTGACCTTACTCCGACAAACGCTCACCGCTGGCGTAGAAGACAATCGGCTGTCGAGATCGTTGTCACTTGCTCGAGAATGCCTAGCTCTGCTTGCGATGTTGATTCGGAGCATGCCAGTGTCCAGACTGGTGCTGTATCCTCAAGTATTCTGGGTAGCGCTTGCTCTACTTACGCATTGTCGGCAGCAGCGTGACAACGCGCCGAGTAGCGGTCACTCGCTGCATGACGGAGCTCTGGAAGTCTTGGCAACACTCTGGGATCGCACTCCATTTTCTACGCATCCCGTGCTGCAGGACGTCATTCGGGGCACACGACCGGCTCAGTGGGAATCCACCACTGCCCGCAACTCCGTCCTCATGGAAATTGTACGTTGTGTATACACTGACGAGGGGGTTGACAGTCGCGAACGTGCGCTGGAAATGCTGAGTAAGGCGGTCTTGCTGGTACCCCGCGACTTGCTCGGCGTATCAGTCCGCGAATACCTCGTGATCTGCACACTTGCCTTGCTACCTGCACTTGTGATCCCGTCGACGGAGCCAAGCAACTCGAGAAAGGAGGCGAACCTGGAATACTACGCTCGGGATGATCTGGTAGTGCTGTGGCAATCCGCTGGAGCTGCTGAAGCGTACGATCTACTTGTGGGACTGCTCCAAATGCCAGAGTTCATCTTGTCTGAACGAATCAATTCGAGGAAGCTGGCAGCCACGTTCATGTCGATATTCGTTCCTGCATTGTACAGCTTGGAGCAGGAAGAGGACGCCACCGAATTCGACGGCTTGAAGCTGAGCTTGGAAGTCCTCGTGGCGTGCTTGCCCCAACCTGCCGGATCGCAGTCGAATGAGGTAGCAAAATTGGATTCAACCGGTACGGATCACAACGACGAGCGATGCAACTTCGTCTTCGTCCTGCTGGAAGAACTGCTTCGAGACATTCTCAAGCGGAAACAGTCAACCTGGAGACCCGTTCCGGAGCTGGACGCAGCGCTGGCGAGACTGCTTCGAAGCCCAAAGAATGAGCGACAATGGCGCGCGTCCGTGCGAGTGCTCAGCTGGGTGGCGGAGTTGGCCAAGATGACGGGAGCCACTGGGACTTCTGTGTCTCCGTTGCCTATCCCATCAGCAGCAAGAAGAAGTCTACCTGGTGGTAAATCGTCGGAGATGATAACATCACTCGGACGCATTGCAGAATCTGAGGATGATCCTGGGAACCACACAGCAGCCGGGGATGCAAGCACACTGAAGAAGACCCCGTCAACCAGAGCGTTGCAGCGATTTGCGTCTCCACGATCTCGAAGCAGTGGCAGCATCAGCAGGAATAGTGGCGGCAACAACAACCACGAACTGCCCAGGATACCGGAACCTTCGTCAACGAAGAAACATCAACTTTCCGAGCAACCCGGTAGCGAACACGAACTGTCGAGTGACGGCCAGCCCACAGCAGACGCTTGAGCATGTTAGTCTGCTGCTGCTGGGCCTACAGGTCATGAAATACAGGCATATCATTAAGTAAGAGCTTGGGAAGAACAGGATACAGACTGCGAAATACAACAAACGTGTTAATCAAAGCATGTTGGCACCACGCAGCCATTTCTAGTCCAGCAAAGCCTCGTACCGAGGGCTATGCTGGCGGAGCCGCTCTGCGTCGGGTCTGAATCTCATCGTCCACTCGGCTATCTTCACGTCTCGAATCCTTTATACCTCTATGCCCACAGCTCCTGGATGTAGCGGTGGTCGTCCTGCAGCTTCTTGAGCGTAGCCAGCGCCTCGTCCGCAGACTGGCCGCTGAACTTCTCGATGATCTCGTGCAGCACCTTGTGGACGTCGTTGCCCATGCTCGTGGCACCACACACGTAAATGTACGCGTCGTGGTCGCGAATAAGGTCCCAAGTGGCCTGGCCATTCTGCACCAGTAGGTGCTGCACGTACACCTTCTTCTCCTGCTCGCGAGAGAACGCCAAGTGCAGCTCACTCAGCACGCCGCTCTCCTGGAAGCGCTCGAGTTCGTCCTTGTAGATGAAGTCCTCGTCGCGACGGCGGCAGCCGAAGTACATGATGGACTGGCCCACTTCGATGCCATCCTCCTTCTGCTTGGCACGCTCGTGCAGGAACGCACGCATGGGGGCGATACCAGTGCCCGGTCCGATGAGGATGATAGGCGTGAGCGGGTTCTTGGGCAGACGGAAGGTCGACGCGCGCATGAAGATGCGAGCGCGAGGCCACTCGCGCGGCTTCTTGGAGCCCTGCTCACCAGGACGGCTGTCGCGTTTCTTCTTGTCGTCCGTGTGGGCCTCCAAAGGCTGCAGTCTGCCCAGGTAGTTCGAGCACACGCCGCGGAACACGCGGCCGTCGCTCTTCTTGCTCTCGATCAGGCTCACCGTGGCGTGCACACGCTGCGGGTTGACGAGACTCGACGACGAGATGGTGTAGTAACGCGGCAGCAGGAACGGCACGATGTGCAGCAGCGCCTGCACCGACACCTTGACGGAGCGGAAGTGCTCCAGAACATCAACGAACGAGCGCTCGTCCTCGTGGATCCACTTCTGATACTCGTCCTTGCCCTCCTTCGAGGCCAAGCGCACGAGCTGCGCGCGTTCATCAGCGTTCGCCGCAAAGAACGCAAGCTGCTTGAGCGGACCCTTGCGCGGGGCGCTGTTGATGGCCAGATAGCGCGTGAGAATCTCTCCGATCGTGCAGGGCGACGGGAACGGGAACTCGCAGTGCAGGTCCTCGCCCACAGGCTTGAGCGAGACCCACTGGTCCAGGTCGTAGTCCATGCGCTTGGCCAGCTGCTCCACCACGCGCGTCTCGTTCTCCGCCAGCACCGCCAGGTTGTCCGCCGTCTCGTACGTCACGCCGGTGCCACGCAGGTCCAGCTCCACGTGCACCGTCGAGCCTCCCTCAGTGGACGGACGCAGCTCCCTGTTCACCACCACCTTGGCGCTCTTGGCCGTGAAGAAGTGCTTGGTCGAGGCCTTCATCTTGACGTCCTTGGCCGCAGCAGCCTTCGCCAGCTTCTCCGCCTCGGACGCGCGGATCTCCACCAGTTCGTACTCGTACTCGGGGGCCGTCAGCGTCTCTCCGTCCACGTCCTTCGCCTCTGCGTCCTCTTCCTGGTCCTCGCCAGCAGCGATGAACTGCTTCCGCAGCGCCTTCCAGAGCGGCTCCTTCCACTCGTCAAAGTCCTCGTCCAGCGTGGCGTCGTCGTCGCCCTCTCCGTAGTGGAACATCCTCTGGGCGCCGTGGCCCTCCAGGAGGCGGTCCACCAGCCGCCCCATCTCGTTGTAGTGCTCGTACTGCGTGTTGCCCAGGCCGAAGACCGTGTACTTGACGCCACTGAGCGCGTTCTCGCCCAGCGCCTGCTCCTTGTCCTTCAAAAAGTCGATAAAGTCCACGGCGTTGTCCGTCGGGTCGCCCTCTCCGTACGTAGCCATGACGAAGACCACGAGCTTCTCGTCCTTGAGCTTCTGCGCCGCGTCGTAGTCCTCCAGGTCGATGGCGTGCGTCTGGAAGCCGGCCTTGCGTCCCTCCTTCTTGAGCACCTCAGCGAAGCCCTCGGCTGTACCCGTCTGCGAGCCGAACAAGATGGCTACACGGCCGCCGGGGTACTCGGGGCTCTCGTCAGCGGCGCCGGCGGTGGGGGCGGAGGCGGACGTGGCGGAGGAGGCCGAGGGCTCGGCCGCCGCCTTGTACATCTTCATCTGCTGGCCGATGCGCAGCATCTCCTCGGCCAGCTTGTCCTGCTTGGGCTTGGGCTCGCGCAGGAAGAGCACGGCGGTGGCCAGCACGGCCAGCAGCGAGCCCACGACCACGTACGTGTCCGTCATGTAGCTGGCAACAGACGCGCGCTCGGCTCGGCGGATTGCGGAATGGCTGCACGCCTGCCACGCACTTTTGAGTGAGTTTGGAGTTTGGACCGCGCGGTCGGGGTAGAAACGTGTGCGGGTTGGTGGCACCAAGGAGGGAGGTGCTTCCCGCTTGTTGTCTGCTTGCAAACGAGTTTCATTCGCAGCGATTCGGAGCGAATGGTGGTGGACGGAGCGAGGTCTTTGCTCGACTTGACACAATTGAAAGGGGTCGAGAGGGAGGCGGCAGGGCTGGAGAGAAGCGCCTTTGCGTATTTGTATTCGAATCTGCGCTGTGCGCGATGAAAGTTTTTTTGTTGGGAACGAAGCCGGCAACACGTGGAAGGCTTCCCACTTGGCCAACGCTGCTGATGACGGCGTCCATGCATGCGTTGCACTGGGGCTGATTCGTTGCCTACGCGGTACCTTGACACGTCATGTGGACACCCACTTCAGATGCTGCCAACCGGACGCAAGGTTGAAGCAAAAAAAAAAACACTTCAACTCAGTGGCGCCGATGTGCCCGCAGTTTTTCCAACTCCCACAAGGAGAATCATTACAATAGCTCTGCGGCCTATAAATCGAGTGTTAGCTCTTCCACCAGGTTGGGTTTTGCGAGGCTCGAACATACCAAATTGCATGGCCGTCAACATAATCCCATGAAAAGACAGCGTGAGCGGGTTGAAAGTGATTAGCGGTGATTTCATATAATACCCGAAGCAATTTCATCGGTTTATTGTGTCCACGTTCCTCTTATCCTTTGTAGAGCTTCCGTACTCGCGGCTTATCCGTCCATTCAGCCACGTAAAACACACCATCAGCCGCAGCTGCGATGGTCCGGGGGGAATCAAACCTGGCGTTCTCACCAGTGCCGTCCGAGTATTCCTGCGAGGTGCAGCTACCCGCGTGTGTGCTCACCTCCGTGGTGGTGAGGCTGATTTTTCGGATGCAGCCAATCCCTATATCTGCGAGGTATAAATCGCCATCCGACCCAATCGCCATCGAAGTTATGCTACTGAATCGCGCGGAAGTACCGACGCCATTCGCAAAGCCTGAAGTCTCGGACCCAGCCACCACCGACATTACTCCGGCTGGCGTGAATTTAAGCACCATGTGCCCGTTCTTGACCGCAGCGTAAATGTTATTCGACGAATCGATCGCAATAGCTATCATGTCAGTCACAGTCGCAAAGGTGCTTACAACCCCATCAGGGGTAATCTTGGTCAGGTTCGTGTGTGCCACGTACACATTCGAGCTGGAATCCAACGCGATGCCCCATATTAACGGATCAGCGGTACACAAGGCGAGGGTGTCGTTGGAAGTGACTTGCTGCACCACATTGTAGTCCGCCACAAAGAGATCGCCGTTGGTGCTCAAAGCAAGAGCGCGCGTTTGCTCGAAATTGTCGTATAGGCGCGAAACAACACCGTCTTCAGTCAGCTGGAAAATGTTGCTTTCACCATCGGCTATGTAGATAGATCCGTTGGGTGCTACAACCATCCCCCAGATCACGGAAAAAGGCACGGAGCTGGAATCGTCGCCTAATATTGTCGACACGTTGACCAGGGGAGAACCATACATGTCGGAATCAGCGCTAGAACCCGACCCGGTGCTGGAACTACTCGTAGATGAGGATGGCTTCAAACCCACAACGATTCCAGCGGCGATGCCAGCTATCACAACAGCAAGAACCACCGCCCCGATTATCTTGTACCGTCGTGGAATTGCTCGGTACCCTTTTAACGTCGGAGATTTCGTTGGCGCCCCGTGAGCGTGTGGCGTCGAAACAAGTACAGTTATCTGGTCAGCTTGAACTCCCACAACAGCATTGATTAGTGTTGCGATAGCCGGTAGTTGGCTTCCCAACGATTTCAACCCTTCCAAAACTTTATCCATGGTTGGGCGTTGGTCTGGTGCGGGGTCACAGCAGTGAGTGATAAGCTTCCAAGCACCATCGCTGATAGATTGGACGTTTCGGATCGGCAGTTCGCGTGCCAACTTACACGCTCGCAGCTCTTCGTCGCAACTGATGTCGGAATACGGCGACACCCCAGCAAGAGCGTGATAGAGCGTCATTCCGAACGAGTAGACGTCCGATTTACTGTTGGGTAGCATCCCCTCCACACACTCCGGCGCCAAATAGCGCACAGCGTCCGTGATTTCGATCCCCGCCTCTGCTGCCGTCCCATTCACGAGCCGCCGGGATTTCAGTGCGCTCCAGTCAAAGCTGCGGTCGAAGTCGCAGACTTTCGCTTGCGGGTCAGCTCTTCCCGTGACCAGGATATTATCACACTTCAAGTCTCCATGGACGATCCCCTTCGAATGCATCTTGATGATCGCTCGAGCAGCTTGAGTGAGAATATCGATGCTTGCCTGGCATCGACCGACCCCTTCTTGTCGGAGAAACTTATCGAGTGATCCCAAATCACAGTACTCCATCACGATAAAGGGAGTTGCTGTAAAGTAACAAGCACCGTAGAAACGGCAGACGTTGTTGAAGTGACTTAGTCGTACCCACAGCTTCATTGTGTCGAAGAACTTTTGCTTTGCTGCCTCCGATCGGTGCACATTGGAGTTGAAAACTTTCACCGCCACGGGAGTACCATCTTCCAGCATTCCTTTGTATATCTTGGCATCTCCACCAAACCCAATGATCGTCGACATGTCGATGTCAACTTCGTCCTCCGTAATATACCAGTCCGGAAGGTTCTTAACCTCATCTTGAACCGCGCGACTCGAACTTGCCCATAGTTTCTCCTTCATCACATTCAGCACCAAGTCGTTCGTCTCCAGTGGATTCTGCATCATGGCTTCGTTGCGTCGCCCCATGCGAGCAATAATCGCCAGAATTTCCTTCTGGTTGTCGGCGTCGCTCATGGCCTTCATCACTTCGGGCGAGTCGATGAACTTCATGTAGCGATTCGCTCGCTCTTCAGACTGGTCCACGTGGCCGTAGGTGACACTTCCGTTGATGGCGCACTCGGTTGTGACGCACTGCACCAACTGCCCAGCGGTCTCCTTCACACTTGCGCTAACGGTGTCCAAGTCGCTGTGGAACACGAGCTGCTTGAGGATGTTTTGCTCCAGAAACTTCTTCATGACGCGGTCGTACTCCTTCACCTCCGTCTCGAACCTCGTGATGATTTTCTGCAGCTCCGTCGTGAGTTTGCTTTTGTGGTGGACACGCTCCAGCACTTGTAGCACCCAGCGGAAGTAGGCCACGTCCTTCTCGATGTTGGCAGCCTGCGTCTTGATGGAGGACGCGGTCTCCTGCATCCCAGTCAGCAGCTCTGCGACCTCACTGCAGATTTTGCCGAGCTCGAAGGCGCTGTTGATGAGGATACCCGATCCTGGGAGAACTGCATTGGCCGTGGCCACTGCGGCGGTCTGCACCATGTCCATCATACTTGTCGTCTTTGCCACGTAAGATCAGAGGGAAAGGATACCTGAAGCAGTGAGCGTCCACAAACTCCCTGTTTCTTCGCTGAACAGGAACAGAAGACGCTCTGCTGAAGAAGAAATGCGGTCACGTCGACTTTTGAGCCGTGAACGGACTATTATACGTTGCGCATGGAGCATCGCAAGTCGTTGCGGAACTACCGACATTTTTAACTGTAATCCATTGTGCTTTCGCGTTTACAGACGGTCGCGTTCTTACTTTCTGAGCTTGTCCTATTCTTGTGAAAAACTGTGTGAAGCTGACAATTCTATCAGGTCGGAATGGTACAATGCACGCGAGGTGCCCCCCCCCGGGGTTGATTCGCAGACCCCACTCACTAGTTCCTACTCACGATATCAGTACCGCTCTGTGCGTGATTAATAACAGGAAGGCAGGATGGTGGACGCATCGTTTCGCTGCGCGGTGAGCGCCACATTAATAAAGTTGCCTTACTGGCGCCCAGGGTTGGCCAGATGCGGCCCCGATCCAACAAATATCAATACGAAGACAGTCATTTCAGCTTACAAGTAGCCTTTCAATAAAGGTCGGACTTGAGTAGCGGCGCAGTTGCTCTCCAACCTGGTAATCCACACGTAGCTCACGCTTGATATTCTGCCCCTCCCTCTTCTCTCTAAGCGTAGCACCCGCCACTACACCTAATCCTGCAACAGGTGCCAAGACTCCATTTGCCTCACAGTGGTCATCCTACAGCTACCATCGAAGTAGGATACTGTACCCTGCTGGTCGGTCACGCCAGCCGGATATATTCCGCAGTTGCATTTTTACCAATCGCCACTTTCAAGTTGCCATCGCAGGCAGATGCTCCGTGCCATCCGAGTTTCTTAGCCGAGCCGGACGCCAGCCCCGCTGACACGGTCGCGAGTGTGACAGCATGGACTGCTGGAGGTGCTCTATTCCCCCATGAGGCAGGGGATACAGCAGCAACCCATTATGATATCAAAGTCCTGCGCAAGTATGACAGGATCGCAACAGTCAATTCGGTAAAGAAGGTGACCGTGGGGTGAACAGCTTGATGCGGGTTGCAGCTGGTGCTGGTGGATATTGGCGAACACCAGGCGCCGGTACCAAACTCATCGCGGCCGGCTTCTCTTGGCTCAGTTTTCAATTTGCATCGCCGTTGCCAGCGATCCATCTACGCAGCAGCGTCTAGTGTGGTTCACCGTTCGTCCAGTCCAAGTCCCAGTCCCCCGTCCAGTCCTCAGTGTATTTGTCCAGCATGAACCTCACCAAGATCATCGCCCACCTCGCCATTATTGCCGCTGCGATGGCCCCGCTTGCCGACGCCGGTGGCAGATTCAGCCAGCAGGCCCAGCAGTCGATCGTCTCCAAGGGGAAACCAGTGTTTGTGATCCCGGTCCCGGTGACCTACGCGCCCACGGTTACGCCTGCTCCGACGACCAAGCCTCCGGCTTCCCCAGCCCCGACGCCCTGCGCGACGACTAAAGCACCGGCTCCGACTCCTTGTCCTACGACTACAGCACCCGTTGCGGTTCCTGCCCCGACGACAAAAGCACCAGTCACGATTCCGGCCCCAACTCCCTGTGCCACGACCGGTGCCCCCGCGACTACTTCGGCTCCAACTCCTTCTCCTACTTCGACCCAGGCTCCCACGCCGGCCCCAACCACCGCTTTGCCAGTAGCAACACCCGCACCGACACCATGTGAGACCACACCAGCACCGGTTGTTACTCCAATTCCAACTCCGGCACCGACTCCGGCTCCGACGGCCGCGGTGGAGACGCCGATCCCGACGCCGGAGGCCACGACTGGAGGCTCCAGTGAGACGCCCGCGCCGACCTCGACTCCGGAGGCCACCACCGTTCCGGACACGCCGATCCAAACCACGCCGGACACGCCGGCACCGACTCCGGCTCCGACGACCGCGGTGGAGACGCCGATCCCGACGCCGGAGGCCACGACTGGAGGCTCCAGTGAGACGCCCGCGCCGACCTCGACTCCGGAGGCCACCACCGTTCCGGACACGCCGATCCAAACCACGCCGGACACGCCGGCACCGACTCCGGCTCCGACGACCGCGGTGGAGACGCCGATCCCGACGCCGGAGGCCACGACTGGAGGCTCCAGTGAGACGCCCGCGCCGACCTCGACTCCGGAGGCCACCACCGTTCCGGACACGCCGATCCAAACCACGCCGGACACGCCGGCACCGACTCCGGCTCCGACGACCGCGGTGGAGACGCCGATCCCGACGCCGGAGGCCACGACTGGAGGCTCTAGTGAGACGCCCGCGCCGACCTCGACTCCGGAGGCCACCACCGTTCCGGACACGCCGATCCAAACCACGCCGGACACGCCGGCACCGACTCCGGCTCCGACGACCGCGGTGGAGACGCCGATCCCGACGCCGGAGGCCACGACTGGAGGCTCCAGTGAGACGCCCGCGCCGACCTCGACTCCGGAGGCCACCACCGTTCCGGACACGCCGATCCAAACCACGCCGGACACGCCGGCACCGACTCCGGCTCCGACGACCGCGGTGGAGACGCCGATCCCGACGCCGGAGGCCACGACTGGAGGCTCCAGTGAGACGCCCGCGCCGACCTCGACTCCGGAGGCCACCACCGTTCCGGACACGCCGATCCAAACCACGCCGGACACGCCGGCACCGACTCCGGCTCCGACGACCGCGGTGGAGACGCCGATCCCGACGCCGGAGGCCACGACTGGAGGCTCCAGTGAGACGCCCGCGCCGACCTCGACTCCGGAGGCCACCACCGTTCCGGACACGCCGATCCAAACCACGCCGGACACGCCGGCACCGACTCCGGCTCCGACGACCGCGGTGGAGACGCCGATCCCGACGCCGGAGGCCACGACTGGAGGCTCTAGTGAGACGCCCGCGCCGACCTCGACTCCGGAGGCCACCACCGTTCCGGACACGCCGATCCAAACCACGCCGGACACGCCGGCACCGACTCCGGCTCCGACGACCGCGGTGGAGACGCCGATCCCGACGCCGGAGGCCACGACTGGAGGCTCCAGTGAGACGCCCGCGCCGACCTCGACTCCGGAGGCCACCACCGTTCCGGACACGCCGATCCAAACCACGCCGGACACGCCGGCACCGACTCCGGCTCCGACGACCGCGGTGGAGACGCCGATCCCGACGCCGGAGGCCACGACTGGAGGCTCTAGTGAGACGCCCGCGCCGACCTCGACTCCGGAGGCCACCACCGTTCCGGACACGCCGATCCAAACCACGCCGGACACGCCGGCACCGACTCCGGCTCCGACGACCGCGGTGGAGACGCCGATCCCGACGCCGGAGGCCACGACTGGAGGCTCCAGTGAGACGCCCGCGCCGACCTCGACTCCGGAGGCCACCACCGTTCCGGACACGCCGATCCAAACCACGCCGGACACGCCGGCACCGACTCCGGCTCCGACGACCGCGGTGGAGACGCCGATCCCGACGCCGGAGGCCACGACTGGAGGCTCCAGTGAGACGCCCGCGCCCACCTCGACTCCGGTCGCGACGATTGTTGCTACGCAGATCCCTGCTTCAGTACCGATGAACCCTTCTCCGGTTTCTACCCCGATTCCTACTCCGGTAGCGACGACTGTTTCCCCAGTTGCTACCCCTGCTCCGACTCCATGTGCAACCACTGGATCGCCTCGCCCGATTCCAACGTCCTCTCCGACTAAAGCTTCTACGAAGTCGCCTTTTCCGACGCCGTGTCCAACGACAAAGGCTCCGAGCTCAAAGGCAACTCCGGCACCAGCTCGTGCGCCCGTTAAGACACCGAGCCCCAAGCCGGCCAAGACTCCAAGCCTGCCCGCCAAGGCGACCGGCCCATCAAAGATCGCTTCTACGCCGTGCCCATCGGTAACCAAGGCGGCTCCGAAGCAGGCGAGCTCTAACCAAAACGTTGGAACCGTTCCCGCAGCTACCGGTGGCAAGCCCAACGGTGTCCCTGTTCAGGTCAAGGGTTCTACAACTGTCTCAAGTGGAAAGCAGGAACCCATCGCTGTTAGCAACGCCGGTGCTAAGGGCAACAAGTCGAAGGCGCAGTCTCCTACCAAGGCGGCCACCGCTCCAACTCCGTGCCCAAGTCGGACCGCGGCCGGTAAAGCAACCGCGTCGAAAAGCCGCCCAAGCCGCTACCTTCGCCAGTAAGGACACGCAAGCTCAACCGGACTGAAGCTGGTAGTGTATACTTTTTCCACGACAGATTGACATTTCAATGAAAGTGCCGTTTCCAAGCTTTTATGGCTGATGTTATTTTTTTTACATGTTCACTTGTAACAAGCGGTATCTTTTTAACCATGTATTGTGTTTGACGTTGCAGGGAGCAGCCCGAGCGCAACTTCATCGTTGTCTCGGGTCAGTTCGAGGCGTCCTGATCCAGTTAGCAAACTAATGAGAGGCAACTAAAAGCTGTAACGGGCCTTGGTTTCAATATCAAGGATCTCTCGATTCGAGTTTCGAAAACGATAGCTGGCACTTTCAACAAATTCCAGATTATGACATTTTTTTCATTAGAGACACTAGGTTTGTCGTTTTGAGTTTGTTGGTAAACCAAAGTGGTCTATACGGTGAAGATCTTGCGCACGCGGTAACCCGCTCTAGAAGGCCCATCGACCACGTAAAATATGTTGTCGGCTGCCGCTGCAATCGCCACGGGCATCTGAAACGTGGCGTCCGTAGCGAGACCGTCTGTTGTCCCTGACGTTAGACAAATTCCCGCGTACGTGGTGACCTCCCTCGTAGTGAGATCCACTTTTCGGATACAATTATTATCTGAGTCAACAACGTACAAATTGCCATCCGAGCCGATCGTCAGCGCCCAGGGCGTGCTGAAGCGAGCGAGTTCGCCCAACGCATTCAAGAAGCCCTGCACCCTGCCTGCCACCACACCCATTTCGCCGGCTAACGTGAATTTCAGAATCCTGTGCTGATCGGTGATGTAAATATTGTCAGACGAGTCGATTGCGATGCCCATGGCAAGAGTGAACATTGAGGAGTTTGCAAAGATGCTGACGCTGCCATCGGGAGCGATCTTGACCACATCGAATTCAGTTAGCCTCGAAACGTACACGTTCTCGCTCGAGTCCACGGTAATACCCTGCAAGACCAGCGAGTCCGCGAGCGAGGCGATGGTGATGATGTCGGTACTCGTGATTTTCATCACTGCTTCATTGCTACCAAGATAGAAATCCCCGTTCGGCGCCAAAGCTAGAGGCCCTGGGCTTAGCCCATTGACCTGATCACCTGCGTACGTGGTAGGGGTGCCATCGTCGATCATTTGGAGAATCTTGTTTTGCGCACTTAGGTAGACGCCCATCCGAAGCCACGACGACCCCGCAAAAACTGTACGCGTCGTACGCCAGGATTGTCGACACTTGTCTTCCGACAAGCGTTGGTGACGGCGTCGGCGTCGGTGTCGGCGTCGGCCCAGTGCTCGAACCGCTACTACTGCCGGATAGAGAAGACCCCGACCCCGGCCCAGTGCTGGAACTAGCACTCGATGAAGATGGTTTCGTGCCCACCACGATGCCAACAACGACACCAATAGCCACGAGAGTAAGAATCACAGCCCCCACGACCTTGTACGACTTGGGAATCACTCGAGACCCTAAGGCCACCGACAACGGACACACCGTGTGACCCGCTGTCAATCGCGCAGCTTTTACAAGGTGTGCTGCCCGACGTGTCCCCCCGACTTTGACCGCCTCTGCTACTGGATCGACGCCCGCACCGGCACACGCTCTCGCATCTCTCTACAGCACGTGGTGAACTACGTGTACTATGAAGACGGCGGTAAGCGCGTGCCGGCCAGCATGGAAGGAACGTTTGGATCTACCTTCTGTACGCCCCATGTGCAGGACATGCACCCCCAACAACAGGTCCCTACGGCGCGACCCGAGCACCCAACGACTGCCTCGGCAACGAGCTCAAGTTTCTTTGATGTTTTGGACGTGGAAGACGGTGAAGAAACGGCTGCTGACGAAGCCGCCCTCGCTCAAACTATTCTGGCCGGTGTCAACGAGAGTATCCGCCCCTCGCCCACTGTTCCTCGCAATCGTATGCAGCACCCTCGCCATACAGCACCGAGCCCGGCTACAAACCCGACCTACGCAGCGCCGCCCAATTCGGGCTCCAGCGCAGCGGCCCCAGCTCAACTGTATCAAGAGGCTTCAGAGGAGACGGAAATCCGCGACCTGATTCGCATGCACAAACCTCACTTGCTCACGTATCACTTGGAGTCACGCCGCGCACCCAACAGCGCTCCGAAGCGAACGGCCAGCACCGAAGATGACAGTCAGCCTGCCAAGCGCGGAAAATTCAGCTTTGTACCGTCAGCGGAACAACGTCGAGTTCATGACGCAATCACGTCCGACGCGCAGCGAGGTAAGTCCGCTTCCGAATTTGTGGAATCATTGGTGTCCAGCAGCGAACTGTGGGCATATCCCGGTGTCGCTACCAGAGCCTACGACCTGGAATTTGGAAGTCGTGGTTTATCGTTCCTGCATTTCGCTCCAGCGGATCCCTTACTTCGACTATGACGTCAACGCGAAAGTTTCATCAACATGAGTGACTTTTCCGTATCGGCAAAGTTCATGCCAGCACCAGATCCGACTTCCTGAGAAGAGGTTCTTTCCGGAGCCAACGGATTTCAACAGTGCTGCTTCACGCGGTGCGATCCAGTGACGCAGAATCTCGCAACGACCCTTTACAACTTCGTAGTTGAGCTCAAGAGCTGCAACCTCTGGCCGCAGACCATGCTACTCACGTTGGTACTATGGATCGAGGCTCAGCTAGAAAAGTATCGGGTAGCTGTGGTTGCAGACATCGATCACGCTACGTCAACAAGGCAGTTGATTTCGGCGAACTTCTCGTCTCACAATGGTGAACTCCATGGACTTCTACTCGTCGAGCAGCGCAAGCAAATGGAAGCCATGGTCGGCTCAAGCGGAGGTCAAGCAACAAGTTCTGGGTACCAGCCGCGTCCTGCGCGCAACCAACGTCCAAGTTCCAGCGGCTATCGTAAAACACCCGATGACACTCATCCTTCACTGCCACAACAGGATGGCAAGGACGTCTGCCTCAAGTTCTTGTCTAAGAGGGGTTGCCCGTCAAAAGATCCCAGTGTGTGCATCGTCCAGAGCAGAGTTCATTTCTACCCAGCGGCGATTTCCGACCAGCTTCGCAACTTCATTCGCCACAGGTTCGGCGGCGTGAACAACAAGTACACCAACAACTGATGGGTTCCAGGGCACACTGGTCCTCGTGACTTGGACAGAATATTTTGGACCATCAGACGGTAGCTTCATCAATACAAACGTCTTCACAATACGCTTCGAAACGACCAGTTGTCGCCGACGCGAAGCACGGGAACGCAAGACGATCACGCAAGACACTGGCGACGTGCAGGTCGCACCTGCTCGGTGTGCGAGACTCAGTTCGAGTCACTGCATAGCAAGCCACCTCAACAGCACGCGGTAGCTCGCACCAGATTGGTCGACGAGGCTCAAATCGAGTCTCCGCCCAGCATGCTGTCGGATCCGCAACAAGCAGGTCACACCAGTTCGGTGGACGCGACTCAGTTCGAGTCACTGCAAATGCACAACTCAAGAAAGGCCAGCACAAATACAGTAGTCGACAAACCTGTCACCAATCGGCCGTCGTCGCGTGCTTCCAGTCGAAAGCAAGCATCATCCCAGAGGAAAGCCGCGGATCAAGCCTGCACCGAGATCAAACAAGTGTGGCCAACCCCCAGCTCGACATACGTCCGGGAATGCTTGATCAAACAGCTAATTACGCGGTCGTCCAGTCACGCCACTGCTCTGAACGTCATGTGCACCCGGCTTGGTATTGCGCCCCCAAGAAGTTTCCTCTACGGGACAGCAACCAACAGTGGCAACTCAATCTGGAAAAGCAACGTGTAGTTTCCGCTTTGGCGCTGGAGCACCAAATGAGTCTAGAAGACATTGTGGAAGTAGTCCGAGCTCAATCCAGTAGTGATCCTCGTCCGAACAAAGCGATGTACCCATCCCGGTTTGCCAGCTTGCTCGACGGGTACAAGCACAAGAATCGCTTGGTACAGATCGCGCGCGAAGGGATTCAGCCATCGTGGAAGGTGTCAACACCCATGCAAACGAATCCGATGAAAACCCACGGGTCTGCCTGAACGGAGTACTCAAAGCAATTCGAAAAGGGCAAGATGCGGGGCAGTACCTGGTAGTGGACATCAAAGTGCTTCAGCTGTGGAAGAACATTCAGATAAGTCCACTTGGTGCAGTCACGAGGAAAGACTGCGACCCCGAAGAAGATATCCGGCTCATTCATGATCTTTCGTTTCGGCGGGGTACACCGACGAACGACATCTCGAACCGAGCGGTAACCAGACATCGAGTACAAACATATCGCAGCTATTGCTCGGAGGATAATCTCGTGCCGATCAGTCTACAAAGGTGTGCCAGTCAAAATCATGAAAGGCGACGTCAAAGGTGCCTTTCGTCACCTCATGCTGGCAAGCGAGCACGTTCGATACCAGAACTGGGAGTCCTCATCATCGACATGTCGGCTCCCTTCGGTTGGACAAGCTCTCCTGTATTTTACGGCGCGTTCGGTGGTGCAATTACGTGGTTAGTAAGCCGAGAGTGTCCAGCATCCATGGACCCGAGTACCAACGATCATGAGCCATTCTTCGCGTATGAATGGGTGGACGATCACGTCCTCGTTGAGCCGGAGCTCAACAACAGACTCCAGCTAGCCAATGAGGCACTGTGGCTTTCCATGCTCGCAATTCTGGGTCCTGCAGCAATCAACGAATAAAAGTTTTCGACGCGGGAAACTCAGGTTCAGGTGCTGGGGCTTGAGTTTGACACCGACGCCTGCACGATCTCCATGCCACAGGACAAAATAGCGAAGGCCCTCGGGAGAGTCCAGTCGCTGCAAGTACAAACGCAGACTACCCGGACCCAGTTACAGCAACTATTGGGCCGTCTACGGCACGTGTGTTCGTGTCTTCGCGCCGCTAAACCATTCTATCAACGCATCCACACTGCATGCGTCTGGCCCCCCGGTACGGGAAAGTTCCAGTCGACGAGGCGATCCGAGACGACTTACGATGGTTTGCAATGATACTCAGCAAAGGCCAGCTCCGCGCATTACCTCTTGCGACGTATACTTCAACCCAGCCAGTCGATGTCCACATCTACATGAACGCGAGCAACAGCGGACTCGCTGTACTCAACCCAGCAACGAGGCAGTACATCCAGGTTCAATTTGATGCGGAAGAACAGAGATTGATACAAAGAGCAAGTGGCTGCAGTGGCTTCAACATCAACGTTCGAGAGCAACTTTGCGTCGCACTAGCTGCATGGTCTTTCGGGCCAGCATGGGCCACTCAGCACACTGTTTGAATCAAGGCATGGTCCGACAACACTTCTGCAGTATCCTGGACAAACCGACTAGCAAGTAACAACCCGCTTGCGCAAGATTTGAACCGCGCAATCGGACTCGCTGAGGCTGTTTTCGGCTTTCGCATTCTGTGCGGGCATCTCCCTGGATCCTCCAACACGATGGCAGATGCCGGCTCGCGCGCCTGGAAACCACCTTACGACAAGCTGTGGACTAACCTATCGTCTGCATGGCAACAGATACCAGTGCCACCAACTCTACGCAAGGCCTACATGACCTTCTCGTCCAGCTTCGTTGGGCCCTGGCTCAAGGCCAAAGTACGCGGCGACCTGAAAAAAATGGTCGACTTGGTGCTTGGAACACAACCTCCACCCGTGGTTACCAGCAGACATCCAGCAGCGCTCCCATCAACTCGCCTTGTTCGCCGTTCACTATTGGTGCTCAGCTACAAGAACAGCAGGAAAGCCACTATCCACGACCACCGTGCTGTCCGCGGTTAGCCACATCTCTTGGTATCATATGCGCGAGCGACGGTACTCCGTCGGTCTCCATGCAGAGCCTGTCTCCACCTTCTCGCCAAAAGGAACCTGTCCCACTCGCAATCCTGCGAGAGCTCCGATCTCGATGCAATTTCCGAACATCCCACGATCGCGTGCTCTGGGGGGCTGCGGTCGTGGGCTTTTTCTTCCTGCTCAGAAGATCCGAATATCTCGCGGACGGCAGCCGAGTCAAGCCATACATTATCCGCACAAAGGACGTCCAGTTTATCACCAAGCAAGGCATCAAAAGTTTTGATTCAAAACCGACTCCATCGACATGACTGCTGCATTTTCGGGGTAGCAATACGGATCAAGTGGGCTCAGGGACAACAAGAACGCTTCCCCGATCCGGCTTGCCGTGGCTGTGCCCGGTTCTAGCCGCATGGGAGCTAGTCCAGATTGCCAACAGCTTCGGCAGCAACGAAGCTCTCTGCTCAACTGCACCAAGCAAAGTGCTCGCCGCGAACACGCTCAGCAACGCGATCAAGCGGGCTGCACAAGCCATTGGGGCCGACCCGACGCGATTCGGTACGCATTCAATGAGAGCGGCGGGGCCACAGCAATGTTCACCGCCGGTGTCGACCGTCTCGCCATCAAGCTCTTCGGCAGATGGACCTCGGATGCGTTCGAGCGATACACAAGAATGAACGACACGGTCGCCAACTCACTGGCCCGAGACATGATGCAAGGGGCACAGTCACGTGTTAGCCCGGCTGCGCCGGAGGGGCTCCATCCACCTCAACACTCGAGCTGGATTCGCTAACACCTCAACATGACTCGACTGATCGCTGAATGTTGTTGACGGAAAACTATGTTACTTTAGCCAATAAATCAGCGTGAACCTCGCCCAGTTTATTAGGCTAACATTTTTAACCGTTATATCGCCATCACCACGAAAACTTAAACCATGATCCAAACCGTGCGGGTGTGAGCACGTGGAAGACCCCTCCACGTCGCCTATGGTAGTGTGTATATCTTCCACGCGTGGGGCCGAAGCGTTCCTCCATCAACTCCGTAAAACACATCGTCTGCTGCTGCTACAATAGCGCTGGGGTAGATAAACGCGGCACTGCTACTAATTTCACTTGTGATCGAGCCCGAGTAGCACGTACCCGCGTACGTTGTCACCTCTCTGGTCGTGAGACTGATCTTGCGGATGTAGCTATTTCCTCCATCCGCGACGTACAAATCGCCATCCGAGCCGACAGCCAACGCGCTGGGGGAGTAGAAGCTCGCGGCTTCCCCCACGGCATTGACGGACCCAAACGCCGTCGATCCTGCCACCACACTCATCGATCCAGCGGGTGTGAATTTCAGGATTCGGTTCTTGTCGGTGACGTAAATATTATCCGCCGAGCCGATCGTAATACCTCTTGGAAGGTTAACAGTGGCAAATGTACTAGCACTTCCGGTTGAGGTTATCTTGGTCACAGCGGTATTTCTTTCATCCGCGACGTACACATTCCCACCGGAATCCACCGCGATACCGTGAAGGCGTGACGGAGAGAGCGTGGCGAAGGTGCTGACGGTGTTGCCCGAGATTCGCCGCACCATGTCGCTGTCACAAACAAAGAGGTCACCGTTAGGGGCAATGGCCATCGCCCCCAGCGACGCAAATCTCGCAGTTAAGAGATCACCGTTCTGGTTGCCACTGCTGATGTCGCCGGCATACACGACAGGGGGACTACCTTCGAAGACCTGAAGAATTCGGAACGAATCGGCGACGTAGATATCCCCATTCGAAGCACGCGCAATGCCCCAAAGCCCAATAATTCCCATTGAGGTTGCAACATCGGAAGTAATCAAGAGCGAGACTTGCAGACCGTGGAGCGCTGCAGTGGGTGTAGGAGTTGGTGTCGGTGTTGGAGTTGCGGTTGGTGTTGGTGTTGGTACGGGGTCAACAGTACCGGAAGATCCAGTACTTGAATCACTAGTAGACGTCCAAGTGCTCGAAGCACTATCAGTAGATGAAGAGCCCGTCGTTCCTGCTGCGCTGCTGTCACTGCTGGATGAGGAGGACGTCGCCGAGCCTGACCCAGTACTGGAGCCATTGCTCGAAGCCGAAAATGGTTTAACAGCCAAAACGATTCCAACGACGACGCCTATCACCACCACGATAGCAAGCAATACCGCTCCACGGAATTTATACGATCTTGGAGTCCCTCTAGACTTCACCGGCGTTCCGTTCGCATATTCTGGTGAAAGTTTCATTGCGTCTTGGGTGATCGGGGCTAGTACATTGTGGGCGTCTGAACACCCATCGCTTCGTTAACTAGGATTGCAATCGGCTCTTTGCTAACTGGAACTGCAAGTTTAGTGAGACTATCTGTCCGCTGCTCGATCGCCAACGATTTTAGCGCATTTGAAACCCTCTCCATTGTCGGTCGTTGACTTGGAACAGGGTCGCAGCACTGCTTGATAAGTTCCCAGGCGCCATCACTAATACATCGCACATTCCGGGACGGCAGTTCACGAGCCAACTTGCAAGTTCTCGGCTCTTCGTCACTCGTAATGTCGGAGCAGGGCGACACTCCGTCCAATGCGTGGTAAAGCGTCATTCCGAAAGAATAGACGTCAGACTTGCTGTTTGGCAGCATTCCTTCCACACACTCTGGCGCCAAATAGCGCACGGCGTCCGTAATCTCGACCCCCGCAGCTGCTGCTGTCCCATTGACGAGCCGTTTGTCTTTCAGTGCACTCCAGTCAAAGCTGCGGTCGAAATCACAAACTTTCGCTTGCGGGGTAGCCCCCGCCGAGACCAGGATGTTGTCACACTTCAAGTCGCCATGGACGATCCCCTTCGAATGCATCTTGTTGATCGCTTGGCTGGCTTGAGCAAGGATGTCGAGACTAACCTTGGCGCGATTGAGGCTGTCTTGCCGGAGAAACGTGTCAAGAGACCCCAGCTCGCAGTACTCCATCACGACGAAGGGGGTTGCCGTGAAGTAGCAGGCGCCATAGAGACGACAAATGTTAAAATGGCTCAAACGCACCCACAGTTTCATTGTCTCGAGGAACTTTTGCTTTGCTTCCTCGGACCTCTTCACATTGGCATCGAAGACTTTGACTGCCACGTTTGTGCCGTCTTTGAGTACTCCTCTGTAGATTTTGGCGTCACCGCCATAGCCAACGACGGTCGACATGTCAATGTCCACCTCATCTTCGGTGATGTACCAGTCTGGAAGGTTGCTGATGTCGGCTCGAACAGCGCGGCTGGAGCTCGCCCACAGTTTCTCCTTCATGATGTTGAGAGCGAGGTCGTCGGTGTCCAGGGGGCTCTCCATCACGGCCTCATCACGACGTCCCATGCGCGTAATAATCGCGAGAATCTCCTTCTGGTTGTCGGGATCGCTCATCGCGTTCACTACCTCGGGCGAGTCGACCATCCTCATATAGCGCTCAGCTCGCTTCTCCTGCTTCGAATAGGTGCTGCTCGCGCTGATGGAGCTCTCGGTGTTGATGCGCTCACACAGATCTTTAGCAGTTTTCCTCGTCCTGGTACTCACAGCATCCAAGTCGCTGTGGAACACGAGCTGCTTCAGGACGCTCTTGTTCAAGAACTTCTTCATCACGCGGTCGTACTCGTTCACTTCCGTCTCGAACTTGGAGATCAACTTCTGCAGCTCGCTGGTGAATAGTTCTTGGTTCTGCACACGCTGCTCCAGCACCCCCAGGACCCACCTGAAGTACGACACGTCCTCCTCGATGTTGGCGCGCTGAGTTTTGGTGGAGGGCGCAGATTTCTGCATTTCATTCAACACCAGGCCGACCTGGTAGCACACTTTGCCGAGCTCAAAGGCGCTGTTGACGATGATACCCGAGCCTGACATTGGCGGTGGCCACAGCAGTGGACTGGATCATATCCATCATTTTTGCCGTTGGTCACAGCGACACAGGGTACGGATGTTACGATGCAGGGCGCTCGTTGCTGCGTTCGCTTGCTAGACTCGAGATAAGCCGTAGATCAGGCGTGCAAAAGAACAGTTCTGGCCTTGGTGTCGCTGCGGAAGTCGTTTCAGAAGTGCGGTCATTTAAAACGTAATACGTTGCGTCTTCGCGTTTACATGGCGGGTAAGTTTAGCTAGATGTCCCTCTTTTGGCAGATCAAAAAGCCAGAAGACAAGACGCTTGGAAGTTGTTCAGGGCGCTGATATCAGCGCCGGAAAGCAGTACTCGACGAGAGCGCTGTCTGGAAGTTAGTCGGTTACTACTTCGAAGACGAGTAATTCGCGCCGAGGGGATCCATCTTCTGGAATTCTACCGATTATTTATTAATAAAAAGAGATTATATGTATTTATTAAAATGTATCAAACCTGACATATAAAATAAAAAGTGCCATATTACCATGTATATACTTGCAGATTGGGACGGAGTAATAAGACTACGCGAACACGTAACTCATTTCATTTCATTTCATACTTGCAGTACCAAAATAGTAATATCAAAACAAGAAACCCTAAATCATAAACTCTACAACCACTTCAACTCTACAACACTACTACTACTACTACTACTAAAAATAATAATAATAATAATCGTATTTAGTAGTAGCGTTCGTAGTAGTGTTCTACCAAGCGTTGAATATTTGATTAACCCTACTAGGGTTCAGATCGATAGGGTTTGCAACTATTGCGCACTCCAACCGACACGGCACTTCGACCTTTGGGCAGCAACTCGGCCGCCTACTGCTGCTGCGTCAATGGAGCGCGCCCATGTGATTGTGCGTCTGCGGGGCGAGTCGTCTCCGTCCAGCGCCGCGGGCATCTGCCGCACGAGCGCCAGCACCGTGCGGCTGGAGCACAGCGAGATGTCCCCGGGCGTGGCCAGCATCAGCTTCGAGCAGGTCTTCGACGTGCAGGTCAGCAACGCGCACGTGTTTCAGACGAGTCTCACGCCTGCAGTTGACGCCGCAGTCGACGGCAAGGCCACCACGTTGATAGCCACGGGCGCGGCGAGCGCAGGCAAGTCGTTCGCGTGCCATGGCGACCAGCAGGAGCCGCGTAGTGGACAGGCGGATCCGGGACAAATTACGCTGGCAATTGGACGCGTTTTCAGTGAATTAGAGCGCAAATCAAGTGCAGGATGGAAGTGCAACGTGCTACTGAGCTGCTGGGGCGTCGACACCAGCAAGAACGAGGCGCTGACGGATCTTCTAGCGCCCGGGACGAGTTTCCTAACTCAAGACGTGGAGAAACTGCTGGTGGAGCGCTCGACGGTGGTCACGACGACTGATGAGGCTGTGCGTTTGTACTCGAAAGCTCTAGAAAGGGTGAATGAGATGGAGAAGCAGGATTTTGTGCTGGCGCTGCATGTGGAGACGCTGGCTCCGAGTGGTGAAGCGAGACGAGGACGGCTCCTGGTTGTGGATATACAGGGTGGGTCCATTATTGAGCCACGAGGAGAGGAGGTGAATCAAGTGGAGAAGAAGGAGAGAGCGGGGTACTTCTTGGATGCACAGTTTCCCGTGAATGAGACGCTGAGTGCGGGATTCGGAGTTTTCGTGGGTGGGACCAGTGCGACGTACCTGCTGGTGGCTATTCAGACGCCGGCACAATTCCAGCAACAGGTAAACGTGTTTTGATTGGAACTGCGATGGAATCTGCACGTGGCATAACATTGTGGTTTCTGTTGTGTGAATCTGAAGGCCATCCAGTCGCTTCTGTACGCGTGCAAGGCGAAAGAGATCAAATACTGCAGTAGAGTGAATTACTTATCAGCTTTTGCCGATAAGAAGAACACCCATCAGCATGTTGCAAGCGGAAAGCGAGCAGCCGTGGAGGCTGAAAACCAGGCACCAGGTTGCAGAGAGGATTTTGTCGCCCCTGGCGCTCCTGATTCTGTCGTCTCAACTGATCGGTGCGTCGCATTCTTTCCCTTATATCACTATCAGCAGCTTTTAAATTTATGGGCCAAACTCTACCAGATCTACTAATGAACCTTGTGTGGTTCTGTCTGTTGCTTATTCAAGATCCACAACGTCTAGTGATTTTACATTTGAGATGCCGTTGGTAGCGCCGCCGCCCCAAATGAGCGAAGCGCCTTTGCTATCACCAAGCTTGAGTCCTAGCACAAGTTGTGAAAGTCAAGAGCAGCTAAGGCAATCGGATATTTCCAGACGTGTGCGCAAGGCGTACGACCTTGCAAAGGCCGCTACTACCTCGCCAACGAAAATGAATGCTGGAATTGAGTGCACATCCAGCCAAGGGGACACAGCCATTCACGCGGTGCTAGATGCAATGCTGAAACATCTACCTTGTGATACGCTGCAGGAGTTGACTCTCCAGGCGAAGCTGGAGCACATCTGCACGGCGCAAATTGAACTAGAGCGTGCATTGGCGCACGAAACTTCTATCAAGGACAAATGCGTCGACCGGATTTCACGACTTAGTCAGACAATGAGCTGCCAGGTCGTCGAACACGAGCAACAGCTTCAAGAAGCTTTGACGGCCAAACATGCGGCCGAAACCCAGCTTCAAGATCTCAGCATTAAGTTTGATTGCGTTGGACGCGAGGTGTCGCGCTTGCAAGAGGAAGTCCAAGTGTTGAAAGCTGGCCAGAATCTCACCGCGCACAGCGAAGACACTCAAAGTACAACACCTGGATTCGAGCATGACCGTGCGATGCTTCACACCTTGTCAGCACGACTCGAAGAAGCCATGATTCAGGCCAAAGACGTGATAACATACAAGGACGGCGTCATCCAGTCGCTTGAAGAGAGACTCCAGCTCGCAAGCCAACGTGGGGCTGACGCAGTTAAACTATTAGCAGAGGAGCGAAGCCGGTTTGAGCGCGAGAAGGCTCAGCTTCTTGAGGAGATGCAGGAGAAGAGCAGCAACCAGGAAAGTGAGGAAGTTTCGAGGGTACAGGCCAAGAATATGACTCTCCAGCAGCAGAAAGCTGATCTCACAGTTAAAGTGGCGCAGCTGACGCTCGAGATGGAGACGGCTAGGTCGCAGTGGACTCAAGAGGCGCACGATCGCGAAGCCCGAGCTGAGCACAGATGTGCAGAGCAGGTTGCTAAAGCTGAGCAGCAACTTGAGCAGGCTACGTCTGCGATGCAGCAGCAAATGGCCCAATTCCGGAGTGAATTGGATATGAAGATCGTGAGGCAGCGTGTAGCTGCGCAAGTGGCGTGCAAGGCGGGCGAGTTGAAATGTGAACAACTGGAACGCGATCTCCAGCGTGTGAAGCTCAAGCTAGTCAAGCAGAAAATCAAGCTCGAAAAGAAGGCGCGGGTACTGGTAGCGAATGCTCACCAACAACACGAAGAACCTTTGGCAGTTCTCCAGCGTGAAACCGAAGACTTGTCCACAAGGATGGAGACCATAGTTCAGCGGGAGCAAGCTGCGCTGAGACGGGCCTACAAAAGTGAGGAAATTGTTGAAAACCTCAGGACCGAGGTGGAGCAGCTGAAAGCATCAGCGGTTAAATTGGAGCGAGAACGGAAAGCTTTGCGCAACCTGTGCAACGAGCTGGAGACGAACAAAAAGTCACTCCAGAATGAACACGAGCATCGAATACGTGAGGTGGAAGTATCAATAGCAAAGCGAATTATGACAGCTGAGGCGCGAGTCCACGAAGAACGAGACAGACAGATCCAAAGGCTATTAGAAGAGCACCGCGCTGAAGTGAATCGTTTGAAAGCCCTAGTTTCCGCAGCAGAGCAGGAAAAAGCTGCGATCCAGATGACAAGGCAACAGTCGACATCGTCTGTATTATCGCGAGCCTCTTCATCTGAGGATGGATCGTTGTCGTCCGACAGCAGTCGCCAGCAAAGTATCCAAGATCTGGATGCTCTCATCGACTCGAAAGAGCGGCGATATAGGCGCGGGGAGAAACGGAGGACAGCAGGCAGCTTGGCAAGGTCACCATCATCCTCTCCACCAACCAAGAGCTCATCTCTAAAGAGGGAGCTCGTCCGCAAAAAAGACGAAATTGCAGAGTTGTCGGTGCGTCAAAAGCAGCTCTTGGCAGCGTTGGCGATCGCGAATGAGCAGGAGACACTGGCCAAACGGCAGATTCAAGAGACCGAGACTCAGCGTCAGCAGGAGTTGTCACGGTACGAAGAGCTCTTGCAACAGCTCAACACGGTCAAACAGGAGAACTGGAACCTCAGTCTCGCTCTCCACGTCACGGAGACGAACCAGCAGCAACAGCAGCGTAGACCAGCACGATCCAGTCCAATTTACTAGCCAGGAATACGATTAGAACACCAGTTTGCTGTGACTTTGCTGTGGTCATGTTGAGTGCTGCAGATTTATGGCAAGGCAATCGGAGGCGTTCCAAGGTGTTCGTTCATCAAATGCGAAGGTACGGGCTGAGGTTCACGTCAGAGCTCTTAATCTAGTGCAGTTGATATTTTTGCCGCTGCGTGGAGCTGCGAACGCTTTTTTTTTGGTTGACGGTTGCGTGGTGCTATGTTTGTTTATTTAGTCTCTGCTCCGCGCGACACAAGGTAGACGGAAAGACAGCTACAGCGTTTTTGCATGCCGCGTTGAGCATGGTCAAGTCGAGCGACGTCAGCGTTGGCAACAAGGGCAGCAAGGGCAGCAAAGGCAGCGAAGTACTCTCGTGGCGGGTGCTGTCTTTCGGCCGCCGGTCACTCGGTCAGTCCAGTCGCTCTGTCGGAAGAGTGCACTCCAGTTTTAGTCTCCACACGAGGTTGGCCAGCGTCGTCGCCGAAGACCGACAGGACGCGTTTGACCCCAATGCGACGCTGGTGAAAGTCTGGGAGCAGGTGCTGCTTCTCTGTCTGGTTCACCAGTCCTTCCTACTGCCGTATTTTTTGGCGTTCCAGTCCGCGGATATGGAGACGGTCTCCGTGTTGTATGTTATTGTTGTTGTACACGAACTCATGTTCGCCGTGGACTTGTACGTTCAAGCACACACTGGCTACTACTCGGATGGCAACCTCATCCGAGACACGAAGCGCACGAGGAGAAAATATGTGCGCTCGCGTCAGTTTGTGCTTGACGTCGTTGCCGTCATGCCCACCCAGGTCCTTGTTGCCTGGTATCCAGAGATTGTGGTGGAGCTGCTACTCGTCAAGCTACTTCGATGGTCAAGACTGCCACACCTCGTGTCAAATCTGGACGAGCTCTATGCCAAGCATTTCGTCGTGCTTAAGCTACTCAAGGTTCTCGCGTCCACGGTATACCTGGCACATGTTCTAGCGTGCATTCGGTACAGCTTCGGAGACGACGATACTCACACCAACAGTTGGCTGCCGGATAGCTCGAAGCACGGCAACTCCTTGAACAGGCATTACTTGATGTCGTTGTTTTGGAGTGTAGGCCTCATGACGGGACTTTTCGAGGGGCAATTGCCTCAGCACGTGACCGAGTTCCTGTTCACGATCCTGGTCGCGCTCTGTGGGTTTTCAATGTTCACGACGCTGTGTGCAACAATCTTCGTCATTTCCAAGTGTGAGAGCGATAATGCGGAAGCTATGGGGGCACGAATAAACCAATTGGTGCATGTACTTTCGTTCCACCGTGTACCAGAGAAACAACAAGCCAAGGCGGTTGAGTACCTGAAAGTACGCTATAGTATTTCTTACATGCTGATGCTTTTACAGCGACTGACAGTACTATTCCTGTATGTTCTTTTAGCGCTACTACACGGACACGGAGTCAACAGATCGAGAGACTTCCAAGCTGCTGTGTCCATCCATTGCGAACGACATCCAGGTGGAGCTGTTGAAGTCGACCATCGCTCAGATATCGTTCTTTGGAGGTTGCAGCGACCAATTTATCGTGGCTCTGACGAGCTTGCTGGAACTGATTGCCGTCCCTGCCCAGACGACTTTGTTTTCAGCTGGAGATTATGGAGACGCCATGTACGTTGTCCATTCCGGAGTACTTACGATTGTCGTCAACTTCGTGGCGGTGCGGGAGATTCGAAAGGGTTCATGCTTCGGCGAAATCTCGGTATTTTCTTCGATGCCACGCACAGCCACAGTGGTCTCCACAACGTATGCGATTTTGTACAGATTGTCGCGTTTCCACTGCGAGCGAGTGCTCGAAGGGTATCCCGATTGCGCGGCGTCAATCGCCTCTCACGTTGATGCAATACTCCACCAGCTGACCAATGTCGAGAATGACGCCGGCAGTAAATTACTACCGCCAGCTGCTGCCGTTCCGACAGACAACCAAAAGCGGACGTTGCTACGAAATGCTTCTGTTGCAGCAGGAGCCGTGGCGGGGGCGTCGGCGCTTGTGAGGGTGCTAACGAGGAAGGGCAGCGACATCTTTTTGTCTCCACGAAAGTCGCTCTCACGGCGGCAATCGAAAAAAAATGTCGTGGGACCAGCACCGCAGGACTTCCTACAGTCGCAATCGAGCTTAAAAAGCAACACGAGCGCGCAAGCTTTTCGAGACACAGGGCATTCAACTCCAAGCGAAGATCCAGTGTTGGCGTCCGGACACAGAGTTAGCAGCGGCCGGGTAGTACGTAGGCGGTCACACGATCGCAGGCCACACCGGACTCCAGAATGCAAGCATCGCGGATTTTGGCGGTTCGTGCTGCTTCGAAAGTGCATCGACCACCATTCGCGCGTACGCAAGTGGTGGCTGTTGATGCTTTTGGTAAATCTCTGTTACTGCTGGATCATGGTCCCCGTTCAAGTATTCTTCCCGCTGTGGCAGCAACCTTCCTGGGTGACGCTGACAGCCGACAATATCTCCAACGTTGGATTATTGCTGGATCTCCTATTAAACTTGAATTTGTCGTTCACGGTGAACTCGGAGAAAATCACGGACCCGAAGCAAAGTGCGCAGCGGTATTTGAGCGATGGATTCTTGTTCGATTTACTGTGCGCGTTCCCCTACGAGTACTTCAACATGGCGGGGTATGGGCTGATGCGGCTTCCACGGCTTCTGCGCGTGCTTCGATTGAACGACCAATTCAGTGAGATCGAGTACTTCATCTCTCTGAATGGGAAGCGGCAGCTGATACTCCTCGGGTTGCTATTATTCATGATGGTCCACGTCGTTGCATGCGTTTACTTTGGAATCTCCTACTTCGAGGGGTTCGATCCCAACGAAGATGAAGCTTGGGTATGTCCTACCAGCCTCTGCCTGCGACGCCTGAACGCAACTCACCTTGAGAACTGCAACGGAACTGTTTTCGACGTTAAGTTGGATCGAAGGACGTTGCAGGACATCACGGCCATGGAGTATTCCCGCTCACTCTATTATGCGATCGGAGTGCTCGCGTCACCTGGCAAAAGTGTCGAGCCCACAAGCAATGCACAGCTGATTGCTGCGCTGATTCTCATGTTGGGCGGGTTCTTGGTCTCGGCTGTCGTCGTGGACAATGTTCAGAAGCGTTTCACCGCATCTGCGTTTGAGCAGAAGAAGTTCTTCGAGGCAAGCACCCGTATCCAGCGCTTTCTGCGCCGACAAAAAGCTCCGCTGACTATCCACCACCGGGTCAAGTCGTTCTTGGACTTTTGGTGGTCCTCCCATCGTGGCGCAGTCATCAATGAGTTACTTGCTGATCTCCCGCGGTCCATCCGACTCGAGTTGCTGAGATGTATTTGCAAGCCAGTACTGCAAACGCTAGCTCTGTTGCAGGGCGTACACCCAGTACGGGACAAGCTTGAAGAAATCCTGGTTGAAAACGCTAGATTCGTCTTGTATGGACAAGGTGAGACTGTGTATCGCCACGGCGACTACGCCACAGGATTGTTTTTCCTTCTTGAAGGAAAGGTGTGTGTAGTGCAGATGGGAGGTTCGCCTTGTGAGATATCTCGCGGGGGCTTTTTCGGCGCCGCAGCACTCATGCATCAGGAACGTGGAGAGGGTTACACAGAACACGTGAGTGCCAACAGCGGCTGCGTTCTGCTTTTTGTATCGCGGGATCAATTACAAGCGATGGAAACGATTTACCCGGTGTTCAAGGCGGAGCTGTTGGCTCTGGATCAGAGATTGCTCCGAAACAAGGTGGCGAGTATGAGTACAGTCACCGATCATGAGATACAAAGCGACAATACGCACACGCCATGGCTACACAAGGTGATCACTGGGCTGAAAAGTACTTTCAATACGATATATGATCCGGACTCGTTCTTCATTTTGGCGTGGGAAACCTGGGTGTTTGTGGTAATGACGGTGCAATGGGCATTGGTGATGTTTGAGGCTTGTTTTCCTTTGAACGGAAAGCACTGGATGGCCGACGCGCTGATGGTTTTCCTGGAGATTTCGTTTGTAGTCGACATGGGCATCCGATCGCGTCTAGGATTTCACGAGTACGGGAATAAAACGATGGATCTGGAGCGAATTCAACGCCAATACTTCAGATCGGGGGCCTTTGCGCTGGACATTGTGGCACTTGTGCCCCTCTATATCGTAAATTGGAACGTACCAGAAAAGAAGCGATGGGGTTTGTTGAACGTCAACAAGTTGCTGCGATTATTCAAGGTCCCTACTCAACTGTACGCACTGGAAGAGCGATATTTGAAGCGCACGACGGAGCTTCGTGTGTTTAAGCTGCTCTACTACACATTTATGTTGTCGCACATCCTGGGGTGCATCTGGTTTAACTTCGCGTCCAACGAAGCAGCCCCGAATTATTCCAGGGAGAAAAAGACTGCGTTCGGAGAAGACTCGTGGTTACCGTCTAAGGACTTGGAGGAGGGGCCTCATGTACTTCAGTACTTCGCTTCTCTATACTGGTCGTTCGGCCTCATGTCATCGTCAGGATCGTCCGAGTTCCCGAAAACAACTGCGGAGGGCATGTTCAGCGTCGTGACCATGACTGCGGGCTTCTTTCTGTTTGCGTACGTGATTGGCAACTTCACCGATATCATCGAGCTCACGGGATCGGAGACCAAGGAGTTCAATGCCAAAATGAGTGCTGTCTGCCAAATGCTGGACCACTTTCAGATGCCAGGGAGTCTCCAAAAGCGCGTCAAGACGTTTTTGCTCTTCAAGAGGTTCCACACAATTACCCAGGAGCACATTCTCGTCAACTGCCTGCCACCTCCGTTGATTACGGACATTCGGTTTGTGTACCTCATGCCAATGATCGAGAAAGTCGCGTTTCTTACTGGAATGGAGAGGTCGATTACTCGAATGCTGGTGTCACAATTCACACAGGTGCTGGTCTCGCGTGGCGAGTACGTTATCAAGTATGGGGAGAGTGGCAGTGACATGTACTTCGTGTTCACTGGTGTTTTGAACGTTCTTCTGCCCTTGCGAATAGCGAATCGCAACAAAACTACGTTTAAAGAGGCGGTGGAAGCTTTGACAGTCAAGAAAAATGGAGACGAGAATGGCTTATCGACTCGAGTTGGCCCAAGGATGGAAGACATCGTTACCATGGCTACCAGCAATAGTGAGAAGCACAGCGTCCACAACCAGCCAAAGAAGGTGAACGAGCTCGCAGCGGGAAGCTACTTTGGCGAGAATGGGCTCTTCACCAATGCCCAACGAAATGCGTTCATCCAGGCGCAGACTTCGTGTATCCTGTACAAGTTATCTCGCGAATCGCTGGAGCTTGTGTTCGACAGGTACCCGAACTGGAAGGAAAAGGTGCTCCAGTTGGTGAGCATCCATCGTGAGCAAGGAAGGCTCCAACAAGTTTCGCGCGAGGTGCAAAGTCGAGGAATGACGATTTCCACTGGGCTGGTTGTGTCACGCTCCGATATCATGAACGAGCGTGCTGAGAGCCTAAAGGAGAAGCGCTATCACGCTCGTAGCACTAGTGCACAGAGCGGTCTCATTTGTATGACCTTGGTGCGTTTCCTCGACGCATATGCGCTCAAACCTCTCCTCAAGTTGGGGGATGGTCTCATTCACGGTGCTGCTGTCCAGAGTAAATTTCATCTTACATGGCTACGATTTATGGTGGTTTGTACAGTGTACGTCGCGATCATGATACCCTACGAGCTCGCCATAGACGCTATGAGTCGGGTCACAGTCGTGGTCACTATAGCGAAATTCTTCGAGTTGCTGTGCGAGATCGCGTTTGTTGTGGACATTTGGTTCAGCTGGCATGTCCAAGAATGCTCTACCTCGATGGAGCTGTACGATCAAAAGCTGAGCAGTGTTTACAAGAAGGAACGCATGGTGTGGGACATCCTTGCTGCTATTCCGTTCTACGATTTGGTGTCGCTGTTTAGCACTATCAAGTGGCTCAAGTTGCTGCGCTGCATCAAGATTCGCAATATCTTGAGCTACCTCGACGAGCTAAATCGACGTGGCGTGTCCAACGACGTTAAGCGCTTTTGGCATGTGTGGCTGCTCTACTTGTTGATGATCTATTGGACTGCCTGCGCCTATCTGGCTGTGGCGTTGGAATCGGGCTTCGGTACGCAATGGGATTCGTGGCTCCCGTCGCAGGAATTAGACATCTCGGACCCTCAAAATCCGTCGGCGACCCAACTAACGCGACGATTTCTCCGCGGACTCTTCTTCGCAACTACGATATTCGTCAAGAAAGGCTACAATCCTGATCCAGACACAGCATCGCTGTACGCATTCCACATTGGTATTTCATTCGTAGGACTGATCGTCATGTCCTTCGTGATTGGTGAGCTAGCGAGCTTGTTCATCTCATTCATTGGACTGGAAGTCGGCTTTCGCAAGAACCACATCGCTGTCGAGCTGTACCTGGCACGCTTACGCGTTAGTGAGCAGATTCGGTCGCGAACCTATGCGTTTATGACGTCGTTGTGGTCTTCGCATGCTGGCGTGAATTATGAGGAGCTTTTGGAGGAGATGCCGCAGGAGATTCGAGCTGCGTGTGTACTGCATGTATCCAAGAAGCCGCTAGAGTGGTTTGTCATGAAAGTCGTGACCCCACTGTGTTGGGAAGGCGACGAGTCCATCGACGCCCTGACGCTCTCACTGGCCGATAGACTGCAATTCGAGACTTATCCTCGCGATGAGAACGTGGTGACGGAAGGCAGCATCGTGCGAGCCATGTACTTTGTGATTAAAGGCCACCTCACCATGCGAAGCCGGTCACTTATGCACCGTCCGCTTGGCCTTCGTGATGGCAGCTACTTTGGAGAGCGTGGACTGCTTGGCTGCACGATCAGCGCCTACACTGTGCGTACAGCTCGAGCCTGCGATTTGCTTTCTCTCAGCTCCGAGGCGTTTGCACAAGTGCTGCAAAAACACTCGTTCACGCGTCTGGCGCTTAAACTCTGTGAGCGTGCCTACAAGCACCTTAAAGAGCAACACATCACGACCTGCTCGAAGAGAGAAATGGAGGAACACTGGGGAGCAGCGCTACTGCTTATCCTGCAGAAGATTAAGAGCTGTCACCTGTCTGCGGTGGAACCAGATAGTGCTGCGAAGAACAAGGGAATTGGCGTCTTGCCGAAAGTTAGTGAGTTAAAGACGGAGTTCACTGCTGTGTCCTCATTTGCACCAGTCGAACCGGAACCGGTCGCTGAACTCAACAAGGTAGAAACGGCGACCGAGACCCCGAGTTCACCTGAACAGGAGAGCAACGAAGACATTCCGACGGCTACAACTGAAGACACAGAAGAGACCTGCAACATTATCAAGGAACTAGGAGGGCTACCGGTGAACATGGGCGAAATGTTTGAGGCTCTGAATACGGCCCGAACGTGTTTTGAAGCGTTTGCTCCGCTGCTTCACATTTTGCTCGCTACCGACCCGCTGGACTGGAAAGCGAGCTTTTGGGTCTGCGCTCCGAGAGGAATTAACCGCTCAGAGGCACAAAGTGCGTCGCTGTCGGTCGAATCTGCAGCGAAATCTGGTCACCACATTCAAAGTGCGCCACTTCTGATGAAGCAATCGACTCTGGTGGAGAAGTAGCGTACTACTACAAATTCGTTCTCGAGTGTGCGTCATCTGCGAGGCTCTCCCACGTCCAGTACCAGAGCATCAGCACAACCATCGCGCTGACGGCCACGACGTTGCCGAAGCTTATGCCGAGCCACAAGCCCTTGACGCCAAGGTCACACGGGAATGCCAGGAGAACTCCAAGGGGTACGCCACATACGTAGTGCGCCAGTCCCTTGGCAATAGCAGCAGCCTTCTGCTTGCCTCCGCCTCGGAACACGCCTTGAATCACCGCATTGAGCCCGTCCATCACTGTCAGCGGCGACCAGATAGCCATGACGTGGGAGGCGAGATCTGCGCTGCTGCCTTCGTCCAGAAACAATCGAGGGATTTGACCGCTGAGTCCAAAGAGCAGCAGCGCGAAGATCGACGATAGAACCAGAGTGCTAGTCAGTGCAACGGTGCGTGCTAGCCTTGCAGTCCGAGGCATACCAGCTCCAAGGCAATTCCCCACTCGAATATTGGCGGCGACCGAGAGACCAGCGTACGCCGTGTAAATCAGCACACTGACGTTGGCCATCACGGAGTGGGCCGCAACAGCGACGACACTATCCGGAAGCCAGCCCGCAAGGATGGAGAGCGCCTCAAACGCCCACATTTCCATCCCAAGCATGAGCATCCCGGGCACTCCAAGTCGCATTAAGAGGCCGACGTAGTGTGTGGCAGCCTTGAGGTCCCAGGACTGACACCACCACTACCTCAAGTGGTGCGGTCTCCACATGAAATAAGACACAAGCAGCAGCGGCAGAACGAAGTTGACCAGACTCCTGCCCATAGCGATACCGTTGAAGCCGATCGAGGTGTGGTAGGCAAGGCCGTAGCCAGCGGCGACATTGACGACGTTCCCGATCGCTGCAATTGTAACCAGTGGTGTCATGATGTGCTGGGCCTGCAGAACCTTGCGCAGGAGCTCGTAGAGGAAGAGGCATGGCACGCCAGGCAACATCCAGCGAGAAAACTGTCCGGCCAAGTGCGCGACCTCTTCGTCTTGGCCCAATCCTCGCAATATGGCCTCGGTGAACGAGTTGATGAGCAGCATCGGTACGAGGAGTACCGTGAGGATCATAACTCCAGTCTGGAAGTACACTCCGATCTTCTCATAGCGCTTGGCCCCGTAAGCTTGTGGCGTCTAGCGCTGACGCCAGTCCCAGTCCGACGGAGACTGCACATGACAAGGAAATAATGTGGGAATGCATTCCTTAGTCGAGATCAATTCCAAAGCTATCGTACTGGCGGCGTCGATATAGTGCTGCGCAAGTGGGGAATCGATGTTGCCAGCGAGGATGATCGATATAAACCCCGGCAGGAATTCCAGGAACGTCGTCACCATCTACAGAGCAGCCAGACGAAGCCATAAGGATGCCTGCCAAAGTGTTCGTTGGCAGTGTGACGCACCACGGGGCCAACGAGCTTCAGCAAGGTCTTCACTTCTTCTGCGACCTCAGGCTTCAGCTCGTTGGAGTATCGATGCTCACCACCTGTCTGCGGAGATACAATGCTCACGAAAGATTCGTCGCGATCGCTCTTGTTGTCTTCATAACCGAGGTGTTCGCGGTTCATTCGTCTTCACGTGGAGAGATCTTCAGTGAGGGGATATTTTAATATCAAAAAAGGCGATTAAAATGGTATCTTCTCGCTGACGAAGTGAACCGTGAAGTCAACAGCTTACACTAATGCCAGAACATTGAAACACAGTCACATCGTGTTAGCTCTCGACAACCCACGCACGTATTACCACGATAACCATCAGCAGAGACTCCTGTACAGATACAAACGGATGCATCATCTACTCCTTTGTGCATTACTTTAGTACGTTTTGCGTATTCGTTTTACTTCTTCTTGGCGTCATTTGGGGCGCTGATCTCCTCGGGGGTCTTTCCACACAGCCGCTTGTGCAGCTTCCACGCCGCCTTCTGGCAGTCCCTCGAGCAGTAGACCGCATCACGGCACCTGGCACACTTGGAGAGCTTCTCACTGGGTGCGTGGCACTCGTCGCACGTCTTGCCCTTGGTCTCCTTGAACCAGAACATGGTGTCCTCCTCACTGGGGTGGGTCACGCCCTTCGGGTCGTCCTCTCCATGGCAGAACACGCTCTCACTAGCCGCATAGAACTCCCACTTCTCCGTGTGGTGCATGAGGTTCTGCCCCACGCAGCCGAACCTGCTCATCAATGAGTCGAGCTTCCGCGTTTTCTCCTCCTTGAACTCATCACTCAAGTTCTCCGCACTCTCGGGCACAAACTCCACGGCGAACTGGGCCACCGATCCGTACTCTGCGTCGCTAGCGATGGGCGCAAACTCCTGGGAGATGGCGAAGTCGCTCAAGCTCCTCATGTTCTCGTCCTCCTCCGTCTTGGGCAGCGGCAGGAAGTCCGCGTCGCCCAGTAGGAAGCAGAACATGGGCTTCTCGTCCGGTTCCTTGTCCTTCGAGAGCTCCACAACCTTCTTGAAGGTCTCAAACTGGCCCGCGTCGCTGCGCTGCTCGGCGGGAGGGGCCACGTATACAAACACCAAGTCTGCGGCCAGCGGGTCGGCCACGATCTCGTACCCCATGAGCTCGCAGGCCTTGCTCAGCCGCTCCTGGAACTCTACGAAGCCATTGCACTCGATGTAAGCCTTGGTTCTGGGCAAGGAGGGGGAGGACGGAGATGCAGAGTGATGGTACGTCTCCACCCACGACGCGTGCAGGTACAGTAAGCGGCAGCCGATGCCCGTGATGCGGTGCTCGGCCTGCTTGAACTCGGCCTCCTTCCTGTGGGGTAATGGAGGTGTTAGGCCTGCGTAAATGCATAACAACCGACGTGAAAAAACAGAGCGGGGCGCGTACCACGCGTAGTCGTAGCGCATGAACACCTTGGAGGCTAGCAGCCGCTCGCGCCACGGCTGCAGCGCCGACGCCGGCGCCGCCAGAGGAAGCGCGGGCGCAGCCATTTCGAAGATAAAATTTTCGGTAAATACGTGAGGTTTAGGCTGTTTGATGGACGAGGGTACCAGAAACGCGGTACTTCGCGATTGTTCGAGAAGGTCTTGCCGCGTCGCGTTTGGATGTCTCGAACTTTGTCGCTACACTTGGTTTTACTATTCCGCTGTCCCGGTGCTGCAAATCGAATCGAGACACTTTGAAGCGCCACACAAAGTGAAGCGCCGTTGCACGTCAAAGTCCCCATTGGCCATTCATACCTCAATTGGCTGCGTACCCCCCAACCTACGGACTCCGACAACTACACTACACTACTATGCGGAGCTTCAACAGCGGAGGCGTGTGCACCTACGGCCTCAACAGCCAGGCCGGCTACCTCTTCGAGCGCAACCAGAATGTGCTGCGTCAGCGCAGCTTCGGCCGCGCCCGGGGCTTCATGGGCGCCCCACTCAAGAGGTCCCGCGACCACGACAGCGACAGCAGCGACGAGGAGGCGCTGCGGTATCCCCCAGGACACGCACGGCGCGCGGTGCTGGACGGCATCAAGCGCATGCGCGTGTCGAGCCCCGTGCAGTCGCCCAAGAGCGACGTGGACTCGGACATGACGGACGAGGAGGCGGCCACGCCCCGCACCACGTGGAGGAAGAGCAAGGCCATCGTCCCGGCAGCGCCAGAGGCCGGCAAGAAACGGCCGCTGGTGTTTGCACCGGCGGAGGCGGTGGATCTGCGTTGGAAGATGGCGCGGCAAGAGGAGTTCCTGGGCAGAGAGCAGCACATTGAGATCCCCAACGACGCGTCCTGCAGAGCCATGGTGGTGTTCGACCCGTACCAGTCGATGAACTTGTCGACCGAGCCGCGGGTGGAGCTGGTGGAGGACGACAGGCAGCCGGAGACGGATGAGTGGTCTGAGAGTGAGGAGGAGCACTGCGTCCGGTTTGAGGAACTCCCGTCTGATAACGACGAGCCGGTGGACATGGATGTGGACTGAGGTGGACAATGTCGTACACCCCCCAAGTGACCCCCCCCCCTTCCCTCATGGGCGCGTGTGCAGCGATTGATTGTTCGTCCAAGTCATCTTCCATGCCGAGCTGCTTTTACGCGCCGGCAGCCAGCACCACGCCTACCGAAATCCTATTTAGCGAAAGCATATCCTTAAGGGCTGCAGCAACAACTCCCGCAGCTCAACGTACAACATGATGAACATTTTTTCCTGTCACTCCTACGTTCTTTTTATCGTTTTGTTTTCGCGTCAGGAGCTTCGGTTGAAAACTGTACAGCTCACGGTTGAAGTCAAACATCACCCTCGCACTGCTCCCATCAACAAAGAACTTGTCTTCCAGCCTCTTCCTTCTCTGCAATGCTTCCGACTCGACAGGTGTCGGGTTTGCACGCACGATGCGGCGAGGATCTACCTTGCACAGCTTGGAAAAAGTCTTCGTTCTCAATCGCTCTTTGGTACTCTTCAAGCATCCACGAAAACCCGAGTGCTCGCGGATTTTCCGCGATTTATCTTGAATCTCCATCGAGTTCGGGATTTTGTCAAGTTTCTGATCGAGCAATCGTCTATTTTGCCATTGAGGGGAGCTCGACGCGCCAACATCTACTCGTTCCTTGCCGCCCGATCATCCTCACGCTACCTCGTCTTTCTACTTGCAGACCAAGCGCTAGGAACTGTAATATCCAGGTTATTAATGGGGAAGGGAGGTTGACAGCCAATGAGCGCAAGGCCATTCGTCATTTCGAGGTCTCAACAGCGCCAGCGGCCGTGGGAGGTAAGCGAAAGGAGAGGAACGAAGACGACGACGCGCAGAAGAAGAAGAACTTCGCGGCCGCCGTCCTGAAGGCTAAGAAGATGAACGCAGCGCAGGGTGGGCTATTGCTGTACTCGGAAGTGCTGAAGAGGATGCCCCCTACGAGCAACCGCTGCGAGCGCCTCTTTTCTCAAGCCAAGTTGGTGATCACGCCAAGAACTTTGAAATGTTGATGTTTTACGTGCGAACAGGCGCTACTGGGACGTCAACACGGTCAACGACGTCTATCGCCAACTACGGGGTCTTCGTAAGTGATTCCGCATTTGCGGAGAGCGATGTAAGGTCTTGCAATACATTGAGTATTTTGCAATGATTATCTATTGTTCTTGCTGCTATTGCGTTATTTATTATTGTGATCTTTGCCCAGGAAATACGATATAGTATGGTATTTTCCGAGCCCTGTTGTAGACGTCAAGGTCAGCACTTGAGGCAGACACTTTAGCTCATCAAACTCACCGAAAGTGCGTATTCTCCCTGCATCCACACGCACTGAAACTCCGCAAAGTTTCTCGAATTTGATTTTGTTGCGGTTTAGACGGCTAACTACACCCGATGCCGTGCTCTGCTGCAGTGTCGCCTACGGATCACGAGCCTCCAGGGCACGTGCCCGCGGTAGTAGCCCAATCCACAAAGTTTCTCGAGTACGGAAAGCACGTTCCAAATGGAAGCATTGAGCGAGAAAGCAAATGCGAGAGCTCCACACAACCTTCCCCGTGCCCGGGTTCCTTTGTGCCAAGCTACTTGAGTTCTGTGCTGCAAATTGAGAACTGATATTGATTGTTAGCGCGGCATTCGCGAGTGCTAGCCTACTTGTGCATACTCTGGCGTCTGTACCCACGCAGACGACCTCATCCAGAGCTTTGATCCTTGAAGTGAAACGATATAGAAGTTCACCAATGCACCACTGCTGACAGGCGCCTGTGGCGACTGGGTGCGGGAGGAGGTTGTCACCTTTGACACAAGACGGCGGTATTGTAATCAGTTCATCACTGTCTTGCACTTCAATTTGGTGGCGTGGCTCTGGATCGCTCCATCTCAATGGGAGCTGGTACTGAGCTGGGTGACGGTTGAGTTTCGGGGTTTAATCGGCCGTGGTGCCGCCCAGTCCGGCACCACCACCAGCACGTGAACTCGGTCTCCCCGCGCCACAAGACTCGGTCCAAAGTGCTTGCCACTGTTGAGGCGCAGATCGGGATTCATTGGCTCGAAACCTCGTAGGTTTCCATCATCGTCGAGGCGCACAGCTTCCGCTGCGTGCAGGTTCATCCACGCACCTCCGTCCTGCTTCGCCAGGAAAAGCTGCAGATCCTTGGCTTCGCCTGGGATTGCCGCCCCTTGATCGCTTGGTTGAGTGCAAGCGCAACATTCCAGTCCTCAATGCCAACAGAGGCCACGCCTCTTTCCCCGACGACCACGCAGTTCACAAGAATGCAGACCATCTTGCACCCCCACGGCAGTTCTTAGAATAACCGTGGAGGAGTTCGTTCAATGAACGTCCATCGTGTCCGAGATGGTCACTTGTTATCAATCCTCATCGTCACATGGCTACATCTGCATGGCTACACATGGTTCAACACGCGTACTTACCGGTAAGTGCACGTACTTAAGCTCGACCAAACTTTTACAATCAGTCGAAGCAATAGACAGCACTCTTCAAGCAGAGGAGCAGCTCCGCATCGCCGCAATGTCCCGCTTGCTGCTGCGCTCCTTGCGCTCCCCTCCGGCCGCCGCGGCCCTGGCCGTAGCCGGCGTGGGCAGCGCCTACCTCGTGCCCCCCGCGCGCCTCGACGTGGCGGTAGTATCCCCTCCCTCCCCGCCCTCCTCCCCTCTGGACGACAAGCCCACCTTCTCGGAGCGCACCGTGGGCAACTACGAGAACCGCCTGCGCAAGTTCAGCGCGCCCGAGCGCGTGTTCGAGTACTTCTCGAGCGTTGAGATCGAGCGCCAGTTCTTCATGACGCGCGACGACCTGGCGCGCGCCGTGACGCCCTACACGTACCGCCACGGGGCGCCGCTGGCCTCCAAGAACCCAAAGTTCAACGCCAAGGCGCGCGAGGACAAGAGCCCGCCCGACGTGGCGGGCGAGTACCGGCGCCGCGTGCAGCGGCTGCTCATCGACAAGGACAACGTGACCACGCAGGACGTGCAGGAGCTGCTGGCGTTCCGGGAGAAGAGCCACGTGGACTTTGAGACGCACGTCAAGACGCTGCACGCGCTGCATGTCACGAACGCCGAGTTCGACCAGTTCGTGGTGGTGAGTAGAGGGGCTTAGCCCGTATTGGGGGGATTGAGGGAGGGTATTTAGTGAGTTCTGTTGTACTTTTGTAGTTGCATGGCGGTCCGGCGCGGCCGAAGACGTTCTTTGACTTGGTGGACGCGGACGGCGACGGATTGATTAGTTACCCGGAGTACATGTTCTTCAACACGCTGCTGGCGAGTAAGTGGGGGTGGTTGATGGGGGTGGTGAGGAGGTTGGCAAGGGATTAATTGGGTGTTGTGATTTCATTGTGGGGTGCAGTTCCGGAGCGGCAGTTTGAGTTGGCGTTCAAGATGTTCGACACGGATGACAACGGCAAGCTGGACCACAGGGAGTTCAAGCAGGTAAGACGGCGGTGATGATGTGTGTGGCTTTGGGCGAAGGAGTTTTATTTTTCTTATCGCTTGGTGTTGTTGGTGATTTTGTTGTAGATCATGGAGCTAATGCGGTTGCGCACGCCTGCGGGTCGTCAGGACCGCTCGCTGCATGACGACGACGACGTGCCGATCTTTAAGCACCTGTTTGGCGAGCTGGCCACGCAGTCGCTGTCGTATGAAGATTTCTGCGCCTTCCGCCGCGACCTCAAGCAGGAGATCATGCGCATTCAGATATCCTTTCCACCTCGCTTTGATTTGTTCATGTTTTGGGGTTGTTCGCGTGATTTATATTGGTTTCCCTTAACGCCGGTTTACTTCGAGCAGTATGATGTCGACGGCGACGGAACTCTTTCGCCGCGCGAGTTTGGCATGTTCTTGGTCTCTCACGTTGACCAGGTGAAGCATGCAGTCGTCTCGGTTAGGTAACGAGTTTCTTGTTGCTAACCTTGTGTTTTGTACCGTAATTCGTAGCGTCACATCGAAATGTGGGTTGACCGTGTCGACAGGCTGCGAAATCTGAAGGTTTGTTCGTTGATCATTTCGACCGTATGAACGTAGTGAGCCTTAGTAAACAATTTCATGTTATTGTACTGGTGATATGAACTGAAGGGACACATCACGGAGCAAGAGTTCATGGATTTCAATGTTTTCCTTGAGCACCTTGACGAGCTGAAGGTGGCGATGGATCTCGTCATGCAAGAGCGCGGTGTGAACAAAGGCATGTTCTCTGAAAATTGGTGCACGCCGAGCTGGATGGTTATGGCTGATACCCTATTATTGCCTGCAGATCAATTTCAGCGCGCTACGAGGGCAGCAGTGCGTGGAAGCAAAACTACCAAGCCGGTTACTCCTCTGCAAATCGACATCCTCTTTGCACTGTTTGATCTTGACAGTAAGTGCACCTTGGCATTGCCTATAGCTGGATTATTTTAAATTTTAACCCTGTACTTGTGATGTAGACGATGGACTTCTATCTACAAAAGAATTCATCGAGGTCATGCAGACTCGCAAGGACAGCGGATTCAACGAGGTAACTAATTCTGCGCGGTGTCATTAATTATTTTACTGTTGCTCTCTAACATATATTTGTTTGCTTCTAAGCCTCGTGACACGGGTGTTTTCAACTTCTTCCAGCGCATCAAGGAGTGCATTGAGTGCATTTTGTAATTCCGAGTTAACGGTGCTTTCGCCTGCTGCATTGGTACAGCGGTGAATGTGTCTATTTCCCGAAGTAGCGGTTATCAATTCGATGTAGATGTCCCGAACAACACTTCAGCATTTGGCTTGGTTTTGTCTTTCTTGCTGTTGGTAGACGAGGGCGGGGTCCACATTAAATTGCGAGAGTCCTGGCGATGCGCTGATGTACCATTACCATTTCAGTAACGTAAAGCGCAAATGAAGCCGTCAACTTCACAACCGACTAAATCGTACTTAACACGATTACGTCCGCTTAAATACGGTCACATCCTGAATTCTTCGATGGTTCTCGTCGAGCTGACTTGCGTCATTGTCGGTGAGGGTCGAGCGTTCGATGTGGAGATCGACGACGGCAAGAAGGTTTCTGCGTTAAAGGAGAAAATCAAGAAGAAGAAGCCCAACACGATCAAGGTTCAACCAGACGACCTGAAGCTCTTTCTGGCGAAGCAAGGCGACGAGTGGATGGATGTGGATGCCGCTGAAGCTTTGAGCCTCAGCGATGATGGAGGCCTACCAGGCTTTAAGGAGATGAACCGCAGGTTTTGGCTCAAGAATGAAGAGCACTTTGGACTAAACTTTACGCCACAGGAAGACCAAGTTCACGTGCTTGTGGTGGTTCCAGACGAAACGGAATCTTAACGGGCTAAGCGGCAGAAGCTCAGTCTTCAGGACCCACGATATCAGTCGGCACTTGAATGGACAGATCCAGAGCTGCGCGCCCAACTTCACGTGGAGGATGGGGACCAACTGATTAAAATGCAGGAGCCTTGCGTCAAGGGGACCGGAGTTGGAATCGAACGGTACCCATTGATTCTATTTCGCCGCCAAGAACTTATAGATGAGTGGAACAAGATCGATTATATCTCGATACAAGCGGGATCGTTGCTTTGGATTTGTGGACCACCGGGCACGGGGAAGTCGTGCGCAGCCCTGGCTTTTGCTTGTTCACTCAACCCCTCCCTTTGGGACGTGGTTTGGATCCACTACTCGAGAGATGTGGAGTTCAATTGCGTGCGGATGCAGAAGGGGGTTAAGCAAACGTGCTCATTCAGCGAGTATGATGTGGAGACGTTGCTGCCTCAGGTGTTGGAGCCGGTATCTTCTCTTTCAAGAAAAACCATAGTCTTTCTGGATGGCTATGTCAGCGATTCGGACAATGCGAAGCGTGCCTATCGAGTTTGCAATAGTTGGCGCACACGTGATCTAGATCTGCGTCGACTGGTGTGCGTTAGCTCAATGGCAGTAGTCGGCAAAGAATGTCGGCTGGAGGGTGTAGCTGCTATCGCGGACACTGACGAGGAATTATTGGAGAAGTCTCTGTTTGATTTGTTTTCGTGGACGCTTGAAGATTACTTGAAGTACATGAGTGCGATCAAGAACACTGAGTTCTTCAAGACCGTTCAGGGCAAGTTCCCGCCCTATTGCCCTCAGCCTGGTATTGTGGAATCCGAAGAAGTGCAGAGAAAGAAGAGACTAGAAGAGAAGTATTTTGTAGCTGGGGGGAGCGCGAGGGTGATGTTCGAGTTCAGCCCCAAGAATGCAATTCAATACGTCAAACGAGCGCTCAAGGCAGTACCAAACTTTAAGATTTGTTCTGACATGCTGGCTGGATGCGCGGCATCGACTACAATCAACCGTCTCTTGGCCATATATCCCGTTGGCGATGATGATTCAGAGTCTCGCTTGGTGAGTGGCTACGCCATGCGCGCGTTGGCTATCAAGCTGGGTCCGGATGTACTGAAGAATATGGCTTCGCTTCACGGGTTCAATCCTTCCGTTGATGGTTATATCTTCGAAAGTTGGTTCTTTGCTATGCTTACGACATGCGGCGTCACTTGGAAGCGCCACGTCACGGATACAGATGCTTCGCGGCCGCAGTGGGAGAGATCAGTCGTTACGTTCTTTGACCCGACAAAATTGAAGCTCATTATGACAAGTCCGAAGAAGTGGCTGGCACCATGAAATGGAATCAGAGTGGCTATGATGCTGTTTACATCGACACTGAAGGCAAGCGAGTGAGGTTTGTCCAAGTGACTAGAGCTCTGACGCACTCGTTCAACCACCTCTACTTCGTTGACGTCTTGAACCGGCTGGCTGCACTGGAGGAACCACCCCAGTTCGATGTGGTCGAAATGTGTTTTGTCATCCCAGTGTGCAACCTGAGCAAGTTTCGTAGCTCAACAAACGAACTCGATTTCAAAACTCATGTTCTAAAGTTGCGGGGCGCCGGAGCGAGCTATGCGATCTAGCTCTGGCTCTTCGAAACCAAGTCTGCCATTCGCCACGTGCAAGGCGGTGATCGAGGTCGTCGGTGTCGCCTATAACCCCACTGACTACAGCCCGGCTGTGGGGTCAGAAGTCCGCGGGTAAAATTACACGGCGTCCTTCGTTTTGTTTTTGCTGAGTTTGATTTGCGTTGGATACTAAGCCATGAATAAACCCTATGATGATGAAATCTTTTGACTATCACAAACTTGCGTGACGACAGTTTCTTCTTCTACATCGTCGCTACGACTTTGAGGTCTTCAATTCACTTAGCGAGGATCCAACGCGAAGTCGCCCACACAGCTCCTCTATTTCCGTTGCGACAGGAGAAGGAGCGCTCGAGCTGCCTTCGTAGTGTCTACAGTACTAGTAATAGCACTAAAGCTGATCCAGGTGATGGGAACACCGAGACGCCTTGAATCTTGAATCGTCAGGGCATGCTCACGATCACTAGATAAAAACACTTGCAGTGCTTCATAAGTAATAATACTTCAGGTATCTGTAAACTATAGTAGTACTTGTATAATTACTTATGAAGCAATCCACGTGTTTTTTTACCTAGTGGACGCGAGTATTATGGACTGCATTTGTGTCCGCCAACTCGGAGCTACAAAATGCACTTAATGTGCTTCTTGAGAAGTAGGCATGAGTCACGAAATAAAGTAAATGTTAGATAGCTTCAGTAAATTAATTTGTGGATAGGAGTCCATTATCGAGATGTGGCAACTCTCTCGTTCCAGGATACTGTTAACAACTCTATATAGATGTGCCGGAATACGGACCGAACAGCACTTGGGCATTTGCAGCGGCTGTATCTTCCTCTTGTTTCTTGCTTTTGTCTTTCTTGGCATCAGCAGATGAAGACGACGGCGTCCACTTCAGTAGCTTGTTCTTGAACTGTGAGAGTCCTGACGACGCGCTTTCCTTCGTGATGTACCATTTCAGATGCGACTCGAACTTCTGGAGCAGCTTCTTCGTCGTGCAGAGCTTACTCTGGCAAAGGTATGGCGGCAGGTCCAGGTCAAAGTGGCTCAAGTTGACGAAGAAGCCGTTGCAGTTGATCCGCAGCCGAACGTTGCCCACCCGGACGTACTTGACGTAAAATAGTTCGCAATCGTCTGCGGCTGGGGGGTCGCTCTCATCCGGCACTTCTTCGGAACTCGAAGCAGAAGTAGGCGAGTTCAGTCCGCCGACAGTCAACGAGTTGCTGCTGGACTCGATGAACATGCCGCTGTTTGATCCCGCCGAGTTGCTCTTCTTCAGCGGCCGCATTGTGGTAGGTGTAAGTGGTGAAGACGGAGGCGCTCGAGCCTTTGTGAAAGGTGAGCTGGAACCTTTCTGGCCGAATGGAGTGCTACTCGCAGCTGTGGGCGACACAGGGCCGTACGTGGATTTCCGACCGAAAAGGACTTGCTCCGAGTTCTGCGTGCTGGCGGCAGGTGGCGTGATGTTCTCGAAGAAGAACTTGTAAATGAGTTCGTAGAAGTCGGCTGCGAGCTGGATGACGATCATGTTGGACACCTCCGGGAACATGCTGACCTCCAGAACTTCCAGCACGCGAAGCTTTTGCCCGTGAACGCGAACGATCGGTCCACTTTCAGCGCGAACCACCAGCATCCCCTTCTGGTTACCAAGCGTCAGCTTGGAGCTGCTCTCGAAGCGCTTGTCGACCAGGAGTTTCGCCTTCAAAACTGCTGTTGGGTCCTCGAACGCCGCGGAGGAAGGTCCTGGATGCAGGTTGTTAATCTCGAGCCACTGGAGATTCAACGTGAGCTTCGTGCAGTGGTTCGTGAAGTAAGTGTGGCAACCAGTGAACCCTTGGATGCGAATGCTAACGAACTCGTGATCTGCTCCAGAGATTTCAGGGCTCAGACGCAGACGCCACTGCATCCCAACAACCTTAAAAGATATCGCCTTTAGCGCGGTGGATTTGGTGCGGGACGATGTTCCGCGCGTGCGAATTTCTCGATTCCGCAGCTCCTCTTCAAGTAGGACGTGGAGTTTCTTGGTGGACGTGGACGCTACCGGTGTGTTTGGATTCGGAACGAAGACGGTGATATCACTCCCGTCTAGTTGCTGTGGTGCCTCAGTCGAGTGCGTCCTCGGGGTGTACGTACGCTTGGGTCGCCTCGACATTGACGGCGGTGCTAGTAGCACGTGTCGAATCACGTTCATGAGCTGGTAAAATTGATGGCGATCGGTTGAAAGCTGCAGGAATGACAAGTCTACCTCTGTGCTGGTGGCATTGGTGACTCGCGCGTGGGTGTACGACGTGGTAAGACTGCATTCGTCCATGATCTGCTTCAGCAGTGTTGACCCTGAGGCCGAGGGAGAACCCACATCCGCGTGAGAATACCACAACACACCAGCTGAAATGTCAACGTCGATGGGGGCCACATGAGCTGTAACGTTGTCGAAGGTCAGATTCGCTACCGTGTTGTTCTCGCCCGCATCGGTTCCGATCTCGAAGTGAATGTGCTTGGACGCCAGCAGCATATTGCTGCGTGTGTTCTCCTCGCGCACGTTGATCTGCGCATCGTGGATGTCGACCGTGTAAGCTTTCATCGCGATCGCCACTTTCGGGGCGTCGTAGTCGCTCGTGTCTTCACCGAGGCTTCCACGTGAGGAACCGCTGTCGTCGTCAAGAGATCTAGAGGACATTTCACGGTCGGAGTCCTGCTGACTCATGCCCAGCTTGCCTTGTTGCAGCAAGTCGAGCAACGTGTCACGCGTACTGCCCCGACGATTGAAGATTCGCGGAGTCTCGATGCTTGCGTCAACCAGCTCGGTGTCAGTGCTGCTGGATACAAAGGAGGCTGACCGAACGCTGCTGCTCTTGCCAAGACGGTAAGGTGAAGCTGAGGTCGTGTCGGCTTCGCGTTGCTCCTTGCTGGCATCTCGCTGAGCGTTCAGAAGCAGTTGGAGGCTCTCGACAGTCGTAGCGACCATGTAGAAGACGCTGTCTCGGGTTTGAAGCGTCCATAGAAGTCTCATGGAGTCAACTTGGATCGGACACGACCCGTCCTTCAGGAAAAGGTTATCCGTCGACGCAGACCGGCGCTTGAGTCGCGACAACCTCTGCTTGATGTTTTGCGTCCAATTCTTAGCGGAACGGGGCGACTTCGGTGGGGAAATTGCTGCGGAGGATGTTCGCACCGACACGGGAACCTGCAGCATGGGAAGTCTTCCAGTCGGGGTCTCTTGTTTCGTAACTTTCGGGCTGCTGACGATTCCGAACTCGTAGTCGATTAGCGCGAAAGTTTCGTGCATTTTGTCGAAAATTACCGAGTTGGATGGAGCGAACATCGCGGCGACTTCGTCGTCAAGTGCGTCCCAGTCCTCATTGTCACCGGGTGTGTACGTGTTGCGATAACTCGTTCCCAGCGTTTCCAGTGAGAAATTGGAGACCATTTCCGATCCGAAGGGGAGAACGTCAGGGATCGTCTCCTCTGCAACGGCGAAGTCGTCGTCGACTTGAAGCAGATATCCACGGAACAAATGCAGGTAGACTGTCGACTCCCAGAGCTTCCACTGCCGATGGTTCTCCTGTTCCGAGTCGGAGGAGCTGTCCGTCCGTATCACGCCGTGGGTAAGGAACTCGTTCGTCATTACCAGCATCCCGATGTCCTGCGTCGCTGTATCCCACCAAGCGAACTGCATCAAACTGACCGATACATCCCATTGTACACCGATACACTGCAGCCGTTTAGCGTCGTCAGACTCAGTCGCGTTCGCTTTGGTCGACTTATTCGCTGAATCTCCATCGTCATCGTCGGTCGTCATGTAGATCAGCCACGGATACACACAGTCCCAGTTCATAGCAACGAGAGCTTCGTTCGCGATGGGAACGTGCGTTGGTTGGTCCTGCGCTTGCGTGTTCCCCATGGCGATTTCCAACGACAAACTGTACTCGAGCTGGCCGGTGTAATGGATCCCATGCTTCCAGTGAATAACCGCGTTCACCGTGACTTCCGGTATGAAGAGGAACTGCAACGAATCCTCGCCTCGGTGAACTACAGATACAGCACCTTCGTGTTTCTCCACCAATTCCGCGTCCTCGAGCATAACTCGCAGAGGTGAGCACTTGAACCCGAGCATCTGGAACTGACGTAAGTTGAACGCAACTTCGCCGAGTAGTACTCTAGTGACCTTGCTTCCGATGTGGTCGCGGCCGTCGGTGTCGCCATAGGGGCAAGTGAGCTCTGCGCGTTGAAAAGCTACGTCAAGGTTACCAACGTAGCGCAATCGGAAGTTTGATTGTTCTGGTTCTGAATTGGTATTATCCAGTTCTTTCGTGTCGAAAGCCTCCTGGAGGATCGGGACCTGGCGCAACAAGGACTCGAAGGGTTTTCGCTCCATCGCCAAGTGAAGATCTTCTGTCAACACGCTTAAATCAAAGCATAGCGTTCGTGACACAGTGGAGCTCTCATGGTCAGGTTGGTCCCACAGCAACGATTGACTCCACTCCACGTCGGTAATGGAGAAGTGGAGCTCGGTGTCCTGCAACTGAACCAGGGGATTGTCTGGAATTGCAGCACTCAACGCAGTGGCAGACACCGACCCTTCCATCACCATGACTTGGTTCGCGACTTCTGCAAAAGATCGAGTGGCGAGACCCTCCTTCCCGAGACACTGCGCTAGGCGAGCCATTGTCTCGGTAACTTCTCGTGGAGTGCTCCGCGTCATTCTGACTCCAAGCGTGGTAATGGCAATGCTCGCAGTGACTTCCATTTCATCAGCCCCCTCCATTTCAATAGTGAATGCCCCACAAGCGAAGGAAATTCCCTGAACGGAATTCCGCTTGGCGCTGTCACTCTTGTCGGAGGAGCCGCTGGTTAGCTGGTCGAGGCGCAAGAACAGCAGCAACATCCGACTCTGCGGGCGGAGATGCATCTTCAGTACGTTGCAGCGAATGTCACTCTGAACCGGGATCTTGGTGAGGTACCGTTGTCGACCAAGGCTGCTTCTGTTCTGGAACGACGCATCAGTCACCTCGATACTCGACAAAAGCTCGCCCCACTCTAGTCTCGCTCTCGCGCAGTTAAACGCCAGCGTGGCGGACAGCTGAGTCTCTCGGAGCGAAACTTTGGCGTCTCCCAACCCAAACGTTGCCAACTTTGCCACCCCTGGGATATCTACCACGTCCACCATCGTATCTTTCGAGTAAACGTTCGTCCCCACGATTTTCAACGCTGCTTGGTCGATTTGACTTCCACCCACTGGCAGTCGATTCTTCTTCGAAGACGACGAACTCGACAACAACAAATCCAGTTGATCAATGATGTTCTTGATCGCAGCCCACTCCAGCAAGAAAGTTTTGTGCTGGCGGTAATGCCATTTCACGTTAGTGGTGTCGATGTGGATGTCCATGTCAACTTCAGTGACTTCACTCGTCGCTTTCTCCTCTCGATCGACCTTGACAGCATGGAGGTATATCGCTGGAAATCGACTGGGCTCGCCATCACTTTCTGGTAAGAGCCCGTTAATTGAGACGTACTCAAACTTAACCGAAGTCCCGACAGTTTTCGTGTTCTGGGAGGGGTCTAAACACGTACTTAGCGTCACTTTGGCTCCTCCAAACGCTGCTGAATGCGGGCTCAGCCCACTGGGAACGACGTCGACACTGATATGCTGCACCACAATACACCGTTTAACAGACGAGGAACCGTTCTCGCCCGGAACCGGAGCTAAAGGCATCTGGACGGACGTAGCTGTACCATACGCAGTAAAATCGTCCGTGCCTCCATCCCTAGCAAAGGCCTTGAACGACAACATCCACGAAGACACCTCCATCTCCGCCTCCCAGTTAACACGGCCTTCTCGTTCTTGTGCTGCGAGTCGCTCGCCTGTTGAACCACTTGGTCGCTTTGTTAGAGCGGATTTTATCATACGTTTCGCTTCGATCTGGCAATGTTCCACTCGTTGCTGCGCTACAGCCAGCGAGCGGAATAACTTTTCCGAGCGGTGGCTCAAGAAAGCCTCAACTTTGTCGAACGTGCCAGTCACAACTCCACGGGCTTTGGCCGTTTGCTTCGCTCGCATCTCGATACTGGATATGGATAAAATCTTCCTGTCTGAAGCTAGATTGTGAACTCGCGTGTTCTGGATCAAAGCTTCCACGTGCACCCTCACCTCATCATTGCTTTTTACAACGTCTTCCGTGTCGGAGCCTTCACTTTCAATGCTGAAAGATCCGAGCTGCTTCAGATACGTCAGATTCCGAACATCCGCGCGAAACTGAAGCGGGACACAGCCGACAGTCTCCACCTCGTGCACGATAGTAATACTGGTGCGGAAACCAGTGATCTCGATCTCTGAAGGGTACAGTGGTGTTGGTACTGGTGGGGTCGGTGATTCTCCAGAGCAGAGACTTCCAACTGACTTAATACCTCCAATATCCGCCAACCCTTTGCGTATTTGCTCGTTTCTGGCTGATAGTACACGCTCAACAAAAGCTGTTGACACAACAAAACTTGTGGTTTTTTCCTCACAGCCCAACAGTTTGCACCCAAGAAATTTCTGGTTCCGTAAATTGAGATCCACTAGGACGCTGGCGTCCGGAACTTCCAGCCGCACTCCATCACTGCCGTCACTTTCCTCGCGCTCTTTACCATCTCCGAGCTGAGGACCACTCTGTATCACCAGCGATTTCGCCTGAGCCTTCAGCTGTAACATCTCACGCTGGACGAAGACATCCGTGATTCCAACGTAAAGCCCTTGACACAGAAACCGCGTTGTCGTCTCCAAACAATTGGCGTGGAGCCTGATACTATTCACCTTGAGGTCCACAAACCGCATGTAGCAGATCGGATTCGTCTTGGCTAAGAAATGTTAAGAAATGTTAAAAAGTTAGTTACAAATAAATACACTTAGTATAAAAAAATTTCCTCACTTCGAATGGTTGCAGCTGTTCCGCTGCTTGCCGTCATCTTCTTAGGCAGGAGTGCGTCTCGAAGCAGCTCTTCGTCCACTTTGTCGACGTCCCCCACGACTTCATCGATCACCAAGATGCAAATCTTGACCAGTCCGAACGACTCGAAGAACTCCTTGACGTGGTTCTGCACTGCCACTTTGGTCAGCACCAAGCGCCAAGTGCTCGCTCCGCTGCTGCTGAGCTCCACGTTGAAGAAGCAGAGAGGCTGTAGAGACACTCGCTCCACTCTGACCGTCACCGGGCCGAGCTTCGAGTTGCGCGAGCGAGACTTGGATAGCTGAAAGGAGACGGCCTTGGACAGCAGCCAGCCCATCGCTCGGTACCGATACAGGAACAGCCACCCGAGCAGTCCTAGCAGCAGGACCCACTTGCGGTGCCATCCTGTCGCGTCATCCCCTGCCATTATGGACACACGGACGCCTTCCAGTGGATCAATGCAACCTTTCGCGACGCTTGGATCTTCTGTGGTCGGATTTAAAGTGCCCAAGTTGAAGTGAGCCATACAAATATCAAGCCATAAACTTATATGCGCCAGTTTGCTTGGAACGACGTCACCACGTGTGGCTCGTACTATGTTCTTAACGACTTCAGTGTATTACGCTGGGGTTCCACTCAGGAGTTCCCCTTTACAACAAGTTGGGCCAGGAACTCCTGGTACTCGACAGTCCCGGACTGGTCTTGATCGAACACATCGAGAAGTCGAGCCGCTTCGTCGCGTGAAAACCTGCAGTCCAGCACCAACTTGACGAACTGGGCCTCGTTCAGACAGCCCTCTTTGTCCAGGTCGTACTCGCGGAAGGCGCCTTGCACGGTTCCGTGGATCGCGAGTATCCGCTCAAGCATCGTCGTTTTGAGCGCTTCGAGGGAAGGAGTCTTGGACTGAGCCTGTGGCTTGGCAGGTGAACGGCGATAGTGAGTCTTTGGCTTCGAGTGCCCCTTCCCTGGAGACGCACGCTTACCAGCTTTCTTTTGGGTGGGGCTTCCTGCAGCCGCCCCGCTCTCTTTGAACGCCCCGAAGCCAGCGATAAACTCCTTGTAGTCGATAAAGCCAGACACGTCGCGGTCAAGGTGGCGAATAACCTTGCGGATCTCCATTTCCGGGAGTCGATATGACTTCAATACGCTTCGGAACTCCTTGTACTCTAGCAAGCCATTGCCGTTGGTATCAAACTTACGGAAAGCCAGGCGTAAATCTCGGGTCTGGTGCGCCATCCTCTGCGCCAATTCGCGCTCGATCTCCAGGATAGATTCCAGCTCTTCTTCATCGAAAATCTCCTCTGGGGCGGCAGCCACCATCGCGCTGATTCCCTCGGCAGTGCTGCTTGGATTCACGCGCAGTGGATTAAATATGACGGAGAACTCGTCGAGTGAGATCGTTCCTGAGCCATCCGTGTCCAGTCTTCGGATTAATGCGTCGATATCGTCGTTCTTCACGATGCCGTAGCGCTTCATAAAGTGGCGGAACTCCTCGTGGTCCAGCTCCCCATTGCCATCCTCATCGTACTGGTAAAACGCGGTCTCTATGGAGTCATGGCAGCTCAGCACACGCTTCATCCACTTGATTTGAAGGTCTCGAAGACGCGCACGCGCATTCTTCGATTCGACCGCTGGCGCAACGGGTTTAGCCACTAAACTCTGACGAGGAACGACTGCTGTAGAACTCTGACGCCTCTCCTGATCTTTGTTCACACGAGTTTCGTGGAAAATAGTGGCAAACTCTTCGTACTCTATGCAGCCATTGCCGTCAGCATCCAGCTTCTTCATCAGCGACGTGATGTCCTCTTCCTCGCGGATCCCGAATTGATTCATTAGTTTCCGGAATTCGTCGCGAGATAGATCGCCGTTTTGGTCTCTATCGAAAGCTGAGAACGCTGACCGTAATGAGTCATGAGCTGCCAACGCACCACGAATCCATTTTTCCTCCAGCTCCCGTAACCTTGCAGCTTTGTTGATTTTGCTGACATTTCTGCCCTCGGAAGCTTCATTTAAGTTGCGAATAGTCCCAGATCTTACTCCTCTCTTGATAGCACGCTGTCCTTCACCATTCTGACGCTGATCAGTTCGAGCAACGGTCTTTCCACCCCCTTTATAGCGAGCTAGACGCTGCTCGTTGAACACTGACAGGAACTCTTGCAGATCAATCATCCCGGAGTTATCTGCGTCCAGCCGCTTGAGCAACATGGATATACTCGCTTCGTCTGTGATGCCATACTGACCCATGAAGTCCCGAAATTGTTCGAAGTCCATCTCGTTGCGTCCTTCTCGATCGAACTCCAGGAAGGCATTTTCTATCGAGTTGTGGTGACGAAGCACTCGCTCCATAAACTGCAGTTCTTGTTCTTGTAGCGCAGCAAGTCGCGTCTTTATACTCTGCTCGTTCTCAGCTTGGGAAGCTTTTCTCATTGTTTGGGCTGGCCGCGTAGTAGCACCACTATCAGTATCTTTATATCGCCCAGAAACCTGCTCTGTGCTTTTCAGTGATGGCTTTATCTTACGGTCGTACACTCGCGCGAACTCATTGAAGCTGATAGTACCGCTCCTGTCTCGGTCAATTTCATCGATCAAGGCGTCAATTACTTCGCTGTCCTTCACTCCTGACTCGTGCATCATACGGCGAAATTCTTCGTAGTCCAGCTCCCCGCTGCCATCGCGGTCGTACTTGCTAAATGCAGCTTTTACCTCCCCATCCATTTTCGAAGACGGCTTTATCCTACGGTCGTATACTCGAGCAAACTCGGCGAAGCTGATAGAACCACTTCCGTCTTCGTCGATTTCGTCGATTATAGCATCAATTGCGCTTTTGTCTCTCACTCCAAGTTCGCTCATTAAACGTCGGAACTCTTCATAATCCAATTCGCCACTGCCGTCACGGTCGTACTTGCTAAATACTGACGCTATTTCGTCGTTTGGCTTAGGAGAGCGCTTTATCCTGCGCTCGTAGACCCCCGCAAATTCATCGAAACTGATGGAGCCACTGCCGTCTTCATCAATTTCATCGATCAAAGCGTCAATTTCCTTGTCGTCTTTCACTCCCGATTCGTGCATCAAGCGTCGGAACTCTTCGTATTCCAGCTCGCCGCTACCATCGCGGTCATACTTGTTGAATGCTGCAAGTGCTGCGTTATTTCCCTTCGAGACCGGATTTTGACGCCGCTGGCCCTCACTCAACCCCTTGTTACCTTTGAGAGCGGGTCCTTGGATGCCTAACAGGTTTACAATTGTTTGGAGGTCAATTCTTTGTTCCTCTTTAGGATCGACTTCCTCCAGCACAGTCCGCAATTCAGCAGCTTTCAATTTAATGCCTAGTCCAACGAGCAAAGCACCGAACTCCTGGTGATCGAGACTGTTGCTGCCGTCAACGTCATAATTGTCAAACTCGGCTTTCAGATCACGCGCTCGTCCAGTCCGTTGCTTCGATCTTTTCATCGATTCGTCGAACTTGCTTCGGATCGAGTCTAGAATCTGCTGAAGATCCGTCTGCTTTGGTGGTCTAGAAGTTCGTGCAGGTTGAGACTGCGCTGTTGCTTTTGGGGGCGACGATTTATCGATACTTTTGGCAGGCGAGGACGCGGTTTGTGTCGGAGCTACGGGGATAGGCGGCCGATAAAAGAGCAGTCCCGCTGCAAATTCGTCGTAGTCAATAGTTCCAGAGGCATCTCGGTCCAGGTAGTCCACGATGATCTGTGTTTCGTCAGGTGCGAACTTGTACTTGGCCATAAAGCGGCCAAACTCCTCGTAGTCCAGGAAGCCACTACCGTCCGTATCGTACTCCATGAAGACCTCACGGATCGACTTACTATGCCCCATGACTCGCTCGCGCAGCTTCGTTCGGATGGCCTCCATGGGGTCCTGCACCTGCTCAACCGCTGGCTTCTTCGCTCCAGTCTTCGCTTTGCCTTTAGTCTGCGGCTGCACATTCTTCTTCTCCGTCAGTTGTGAGAGTTGTTGCACCTTCTTAGGGGAATTACTGTTCTTAGACGGATAATTCTGCTCTGCTCCGAGCTGGACGTCGCCCATGAAGGCGTGGAAGGACACGCTCTGCTGGTCTTTCGCGCCCAAATGACGCAGCAGCAGCTCCGCCTCGGCGTCCAGGAAGTCGTGGTCCCGCACGAGCGCGCGGAACTGGTCGACGGTTAGCACTCCGGCTCGCTCGCGGTCGTAGCGGCGGAAGACGTCCTTGACGTTCTGCGAGTCGCTGCGCACCAGCACGCGCTCCAGCAGCTTCCGGTGCAGGTCACGAGCGCGCGCCAACATGGCGCCAGCTCCCGAGCCTTCGCGGGCGGACGTCATCTGGTTGGTAAGGGGCCGCGGGGAGTGCGCAGCGACAGCATAAAGCGTGTCACGGCGGAAAATAGGGTAGCCACAATTAGAACGGCAAGTTGAAGTTGCAGGAGTGATGGTCGCTTTATGTTGTCCCTTTTCAACTGCCCCGGTTGAAGTGACGACATACAATTATCCCGTGTAAAAGTGAAAGATCGACCGTGGGGGTCAGTTGATCGGAACGTCGCGTTGAAATCTTCCAGCATTAATCGAGGGGCAACTGGGGGACAATTGCGATGCAGAATGGCACGGTGGTTAACGCGAAGCCTGGGGCTGGGCAGAGGCTGCTGTGGTCGATGGTGGCAGCGCTGGCGGTGTTAAGTCTCGTTCTTCTGGCTTATACGCAGCTCATTTACCTGCCAGCGATGACTGGCGACGGGGGGCACCGTCAGTTCCTACGTGCAGGACGGCACCAACTTTCTGCGAGTTTACGAGAGACCTACAAGCTGCAAGCCGAGACGTTCAATGAAGACCAGAGGAAGGTGGTGGACATGACGCGCCACGCGTGGCACGGATACCGCAAGTTCGCAGACTGGCACGACTACCTGAGTATGCCGAGCCTCGAGCCTGGAAGTGTGTACGGCCACGACATGGCTCTGACGACGGTCGATTCGCTAGACACGCTCTTTATTATGGGACTTCACGACGAGTTCGACGAGGCCAGTGCGTGGGTAAAGGCGAACCTGAGCGAGACCATGTTCCAAGGTGGATCCGTGAGCTTCTTCGAGACTACCATCAGATCGCTTGGGGGTCTGCTGTCCGCGTACTACCTCTCGGGTGAACAGCATTTTCTTGACATCGCTAAAAGCTTGGGCAAAGCTCTCCAGATGGGGTTTATATGCGCAAACCACGTCCCGTGTCGTGCCGTGAATCTTGTTGAGGTTGCTTAAGCGGGTGAATGGCTCGTGTTGAGGTAAAGTGGCTGACAAATGACTGGAATTTCGTACTATTGCAGGGCCATCTGAGCTATGAAGAACCGCTTCTGTCCGAATTGGGGACTTTTCAGCTTGAGTTCGCGTACCTCGCGCACACAACAAACGACGATTCATTCCTGCTCCAAGTGAACCACATCAACAGCATCGTGAGTGATGATACGAAACCCAAGACCGAGTATCTTGAACTAATGAAACCTCTCTGAAAACTATGAAGATGGTCGATCTAGTCGAGAAGCGCTACACAAATGGCTTGATTCCGGTCATGATGGACTGGAATTCTATGATGTACGTACCATTTTACATGTTTCTCTGTTCTTTGTTATCCACTCTAACATTTGTAAAAACTCGTTGTCGTGCTGGACTGCATAGGGCCCAACCAGGCTCCGTCATCTCTGTGGGGGCTCTAGGTGACAGCTACTACGAGTACCTTCTCAAGCAGTGGCTACTTTCGGGCAAGAAGGACAACCAGATGAGAGATATGTATGTCACGGCTGTGGCAGGGATCCAAGAAAAGCTGGTTGGATACTCCTACCCGTCGAATTACGCATTTATTGGACGGCTTCTTGTCACCGGCGATCTAGAGTCTGCAATGGAGCATTTAACCTGCTTCGTACCAGGGATGCTCGCCCTTGGGTACACGCACGGTATGCCGACTTCTCATCTGGAGCTCGCCAAAGAACTCACAGAAACATGTGTCCGGGTGTGTTGCTAAAATCTGATGCGTGTCTGGAGTGTACTTACCGATCCACTAACAAGCATTCGTCTATTAGATGTATCTTCATTCTGCGTCGCACTTGTCCCCTGAGATAACTCAATTTGTCATCGTAACCGACCCTGAAGGCATCCAAGCAACGAACCCCGAGTTGTTTACGTTTCCTTCGCATGACTACAACATCCTGCGGCCTGAAACTGTGGAGAGTTTAATGATCCTGTACCGAGTTACAGGCGACGAAATGTACCGCGATCACGGACGGATGATCATGGAGGCTTTTGAGAAGTACAGCAAGGTTCGCAGCGGATAGAACGATTTAGCGTACGATGCCGAGTAATTATTTCTAACGACTGCTGCGTGTGTGCATTTCACATTAGGTCCCAGCGGGTGGATACCGCAGTACTGTCGATGTTTGGAACGGCACGCCGACAACCAAGCAAGGCGGAATGGAGAGCTTTTTCATCGCAGAGACGCTCAAGTATCTGTTCATGCTTTTCTCGGACGACGATGTTCTACCTCTCGACGAAATCGTGTTCAACACGGAGGCACATCCGTTCCCAGTGTGGCGGTAAGCAGGGGATACTCGCCACGTATGGTCAGTTCATGTGTACCAGTCGGTTTTCTTTTTAGTTTTTATTCGTAATGAGGCTAGAGTTTTTGCCTATCGTTTCCGTTCGAGTAGATCGTAAAAATACTACGATATATTACGATGGATACGCACAAAATGCTGCCGCCGTGGGCACTGCCAGTGTCATCGAGCTGTTGACTCGAATTTCGGAAACAGCGTCCTCAATCAAGATTCACTGCGGCAGAAGGATGCGGGGGTAACGTGAAGGCATGCGGCAGCAAGCCAAACTCACGATCGAGCTCAGAAGTCAACGGGTACGCTTGGATACCATGAGCCCCCGTGTTGAAAACGACGTACCATATTCCACAAATAACAGTTACGCGGTCCATAAATAATGATTAGTTGTGGTTAGTAGAATTTTAGTGTCTAATTATGGTTTGCAAAACTTAAATACGGGTTACATGCAGCTCTAAAGTAATTGCGCTTGTATCATACGAAGTTTGCTTTAATCGTCGCTCCTTTCTACTACGCTGCACAATTGTGCAGAGTCCCACTCGGAAGGAAGGTTAGTATGTAAGTAGGAGCTAGAACCGTTGCGTTAAATAGGTTGCCCTCGGGGGACCAACAGAGACCGGCTTAGAGAGAGGAAATTGTTAGGCAGCCGGAAACCCGAACTATTCTGTGGGCCCGTCCTCATGCCTTCTATAAACCCGAATGTATGTACAAGGGTGAGCGTGGACCCTCCCAGTGCTGACGCAAGCATCTGGTCCACTCCAGGGCCACCACTCCACGACCAAGAGGTCATTGATAGACCCCTCACCCTCTCGTGGTCGCTAACCACGCCCCCAGCCACTCTATGACACACTAAGTTCGTCAAGGCTCGTGTGGAGCAGCGGCCTCGCAGAAATTTCGAGGAGTCGATCTCGCACAAACTCGGCGCGTCTGGATAGTGGTCGCGCCGAACAAATTATTACCGGTTGTTGGAGTAGCGTATCTTCGAATATAGGGCCCAAGTCTTCGCAGGCTTCAGAGTTGGGGGGTTCTTGTGTTACACGCCACGCCGAGCCCCTTGACCGAAGAATGAAAGGCTTCAAACCTTTCCCGTTGTTGGGTAGTGTCGACCCTGTGCCGCAGAACACTACGCGTAGTATGAGTTGCTTTATCTAAACCAGTCCTATCCATATTGCTACTAAGAAATGCGAGGGTTGCCGCTCCATAGAGCTCTCCTAACGAAGTTCCCCTACCTATACCTACCGCCTACCTACAGTCCATGTCGTTTCTTCTTCAAGAAAAACTTTAGGTATCGACTCACTACACGCTCGGGCCCTCGCAGACCGATTGCCGTTTTTTTAACGCGAGAACTTACGTTGTCGGTAATGGCAACATCCACGGAGTCGGCGTCGATGCTGCTCGCGTTCGAATCTACGAGAAATCTCTGTCGGGCACCCTACAACAAGCTGCAACCACGTCTGGTTTCTCGTTGGACTACTTGTCACTACACAAGGTGGAGATCAAGCAGGCGCTCGAGTATCGGCACAACTGGGATTCCCCAAGCTGGGCAGTCGAAGAGGTGAGCTCTAAACGTTTTTTTATTTTATTTTGTTTTACTAACCTCGTTTGGTTCTCGTGCGACTATAAAGCTCACTACACGTCAGGATGGATATGCAGTCATGTCTTGGCCACTTTAGCTCTACGAGACGGCCTAGACCTTGCAAAGCTGCTGAAAAGACTCCCGGCTCGCAAGCCACCCGGAAGACTGCGGAAAGTGCGCCGTGCACTTGACAGAGACGATGAGCATTATATCGCAGTGGCACGCCTCGTGCGGATCCTGACGGAGCAACCGGGGCCGGCAATGAACTGGAAGTGCTCGAAAGAATTTCAAGAAACAGTCGACGGCGAGATGCAGTACTCCAACTACGTGGGCACGGTGTCCTCGTGGGCAAACAGAAATGGAGTGTTTTTCTGGCGAGTGACATTCGACAATGGCGTTGTTGAGCACCTGCTATCGAAGACTTGGCGAAGGCCGTCAACGCCGCGTATATGACCGGTGTTGCGGTTGCGGGACAGTAGCAGTGGAAGAAACTGTTAAGCATGCTTTATAATACATTTCGTTGCACTTTACAATGGTAACATTTACTCTGAACTTCGATCTAACAGCGACCACATGCAATTCAGCCGAGGTACATGGAAATCATCCGTTTCTCCTATGGTACGTGGTTTTCAGCCGAATTGTATATGAAATTAATCTTTTCTCGATCACTATCGTGTGAGCGACTGGTTTGGCATGGAGTTCATTTCGCAATTTGCTCAAGACTTTGGCAAACGTTGACGACTCGCTATGCGTTGGAGCTGCGTTCTGCTTGTTGTTGTGTCCTCCCTATTGGCAGCTTGGGATGGCGTCTCCGCCAACTCGGACTTCCTACCGACAAAGCTCTCGCATGTGGTCGCCGACTCCACCAACGACGGTTCTAGCAGACTCTTAAGAAGTGGGAAGGCAACTGGAAACGACTCGGAAGGTGACAGCATCGGTGACGAGGAGCGAGCATTCGACGACCCAGCGATCACCCAGTACTTGAGCCTCTTTAAAGACTGGGCAAGGAACAAGGAGACCCCCGAGAGCGTCTACCAGTACTTCGAACTCGCGCCTCGCGTGGAGAAGGCGTACAAGAGCGGCAAGTGGGCCAGACTTCTGAAGAACGAGAAGTACATCGTGTACCGCAAGTACGAGAAATATCTGCATCTAGTGAAGGCAGCAGAAGCGCAGGCGAACATGGTTCCGTAATATACTCCTTCGAATGCATTGCAATCGTCGATCAATGTGACAAGTTTACACCCAGAAAAAAAATGTAAAATGCACGATGCTCTCTCTGTTGTTGCGGCTGAACAGGATGAACAGAGCTCGTGTTACCCATGGCAGTCCAAATATTCGGTAAGGGCCTTAGGGCCATCACCCAACCCAACTTTGCTGTCTTGGGTGACCCAAGACAGCTTGAGCCTTTCCACTAAAAAATTATAAAATGTGAGGTTCCAGCTGGCAATTTGCACAATTTTCTTACTGGACGGATCAGCCACTACCAAACTCCAGCACCTCCTGCTCTCGCCACTCTGGAACCCCCGCGACAGCGCGCATACACACACACACACACACACACACACACATACGATGGAACTGTGCCAGGAAGACTCGACCGCGTACTGGAAGGGCCTGTGGCACGGCCTGCTGCTCATGCTGCCGGTGCTCACCTTCCTCTATCGCAAATGGAAGACGGCCGCGGAGCAGTCGGCGGTGCAGCAGCCAGTGCTCGGGTACGAAAGACAGCAAAGAGGAACCTTGCTTGCTGCATGACGAGAGTGTTAACCTGATTGCATTGTGTTGTGTCTTTTGATGCCGTTGAAATGCACCACCAGAACGTACGTGTGGTGCTGCTGTTGCCGCCTTCTCGAGGTCGAGTGGAGTGATAATTACTGTCTGCTGTGCTGTTGCTGCAGGTCCTTCATGAACGAGCTGTTCGCCTTCGAGGTGGTGCTGGTCGCCGGCGCGGAGCTCAAGGCGGTGCGCGACCAGCTCAAGAGCGCCGAGGAAGCGACCCCCGTGAACAAGAAGAAGGTGCAGGCGCTCAAGGAGCGCATAGTCGACGTGGCCACGGTGCTGCAGAAGAAGCTCGAGACCATCACGCCCATCGTGTCGTTCCTGCTGGAGCAGAGCGTCGGCGTGATCAAGGACCACCACACCGACAAGATCGCCGGCACGCCCGAGGACAGCGACGAGTCCAAGAAGGACAAGTAGATACGATAGCGTAGAGATGACAAAATCCCTGTTGCAAGCCCAAGTCTACAGTTACGTGTTGATAGGAGGACGGTGAGCAATAGACATAGAAGTAAACAGAAGAATGCCGTAGTAGTAGAAGACGCATTTGCTTTCTTTGTATTGACGCAGCCCAGGGTCGACACCTACGCACCGTAGCGTCGCCCCGACGCTCTCCCCGAGCCACAATCCCTACAAATGGGGGAGGTCGACACCGTCGCACCGTAGCGCTTCAGATCCACGCTTTCCTCCCCCGCTAAACCAAACTCCGCGCTTCCTCAAATCGTCCGTTGCTTGATCAGAACAGAGTCCACTGCCGATGCCAAGGCATCAGAGACGCAAGTCGCCAGGCGCTTACTTCTTGATGGCGGTCTTGGCCAGGAAGTCCGTGTGCTCCTGGTACGGCGAGGGGCCGAACGTGTGCTGCTCCCAGAGGTCCGGGGTCAGGTACGCGTAGGTGGCACGCAGGGCGTAGAAGGTGGCCTTCACGAAGTTGCCCAGGGTGCGCGTGTGGCCGCGGGCCGAGGTGTAGCAGTCCTCAATACCGGCCATGCCCAGAAGCTTCTTGGGCACGGGGGCGGCACACAGACCGGTACCACGGGGGGCCGGGATGAGGCGCACGCGGACGGAGCCGCACTTGCCCGTCACCTTGTTGGGCACGGTGTGCGGGGCACCGACCATACGGCCCCAGTAGCCGCGGCGCACGGGCACCAGCGAGATCTTGGCCAGGATGATGGCGCCGCGGATGGCGGTGGCCACCTCCTTGGCGCACTTGACGCCGAGGCCGATGTGGCCGTTGCTGTCGCCCACAGCCACGAAGGCCTTGAAGCGCGTGCGCTGGCCGGCCGTGGTCTGCTTCTGCACGGGCATGATCTTCATGACCTCGTCCTTGAGCGACGACTCCAGGAAGTAGTTGACGATCTCGCACTCCTTGATGGGCAGCGAGAAGAGGTAGATCTCCTCGAGCGAGCCGATCTTGCCCTCCTTTACCAGGCGGCCGAGCTTGGTCACGGGCACCCACTCCTTGGACTCCTCACGGCCACGGCCACGGCCACGTCCGCGGCCACGGCCACCGCGGCCGCCACGGCCACGGCCAAATCCTCCACGTTCTCCAGCGGGCGCAGGCGCAGCGTCAGCCATTGTCTTCAGTAGTTCCTCTGCTTCTTCGGGGCGAAATGAACGAATACCCGCGGCCGGGTCAAAGGGAGCTCCCCACGACGACAGCCTCTCCTCCAGTCAACCGAAATGGCGTGGACCACGTGGTACTTGTGTGTAGCACACGAATTGCAGCATGTTGCTTGGAGAGCATGTTGCTTGAAGAAGTTTGCGGAATGATGGATGCGCAACGTAAGCCGGCACCACCGGTATAAATACGATACCTATGCTATAGCATAGTGTTCATGCAGCTACCATAGTAGGTCGAAGTGAACTTGGTCTCACAACATGATATCCTACCATACAGGCTAGTGATTCAGCGACTAAGTACGTAAACTTCTCGAATATGCAACGTACGTGTTGACTGGGCAAAATTGTGGGGCTGGAGTTATTGGATAAAGGGGGCGACATCGTCCTTCAGTTCCGTAGACTCTCGCGATGATGATGCTGGCGACGACGTCGACCCAGCGCCTGCGCCGCGAGGCCGCGTCGGCGCTGCGCGACCCTCGGCAGGCCCGGCGACTGCACTTGCTGCAGCAGGTGCGCGACGCGGCAACTCGCGCTGCCGGCCAAGATACGCGCGCTGCCACAACCCGTCTAACCGAATCCTTGCTGCGCTTTTGTGCCTGCTACAGCAACTGGGAAGCTCGCTGCAGCGCAACGGCGTGCGCGGCGTGCTCCGCGGCGCGCAGCAGAACCCGGCGGTGATGCGCCAGGCGATGCAGTCCACGCGCCCGCACTCGTTCCGTACGTTTGACGCATATTTTATGGTAAAGTATCTATTGCGATGGCGCTAAACTGGTGTTTTGGTTGCTCTACAGTGCGCAAGCCTGCTGCGGAGAAGCCGCTGAGCTGGGCGACGTGGCTGCAGGAGAACATTCCCAAGGGCTTCGGTCGCTTCTACCCGAAGAACGGCGGCGCTAGTGGTGCGGGTGGAAAGGCTGGCGGTCCGCCCAAGGCGGCGCCCAAGACAGGTGAGAAGGGGGCAGGTGACGTTAAGAAGTTGAGCTCCAGGACTGCGGAGAGCAAGACTGGCGGCAGTGGAGGCAGCGGCGGCTCGTCGGGAGGCAGTGGAGGCGGCCCGAGCGGAAAGGATGGCATGGCGTATCTCGTGCCTCTGGCTGTGGCGGCGCTGTTCCTGTCGGACTTGGCCTCGATCGACAAGCCCATGCAGGAAATTACGTACCAGGAGTTCCGCAACACGTTTTTGGAGTCTGGACGGGTGGAGAAGCTCGTGGTGGTCAACAAGAAGTACGTGAAGGTGTTCCTGAACGACATGGCTGGCGCTGCAACGGGAGCGAGCTCGGTACCGGGTGCTGGAAACGACTTCTCGGACTGGCAGGACCCCAACGCCAAGGGACAGCATGAGTACGACTTCAGCTCGGAGCCTGAGCACCATGGCAGCGGTGGTCGTGGAGTTAGCTTGCCTGGCATGGGATCGCGTGGCGGCGCTACTGGCCGTCCGATCTCCAGTCCGACGTACTACTTCAACATCGGCAGCGTGGAGGGTTTCGAGCGTCAGCTTGAGCATGCGCAGCACCAGATGGGCATCCGCCCGCATGACTACATCCCGGTTCAGTACAGCAACGAGATTAGCTTCACGCAGGAGGTGATGAAGTTCCTGCCGACCATTGTGCTGATCGGTTTCCTGCTCATGACGATGCGTGGTGTTGGTGGCGGTGCCGGCGGCGGTGGTGGCGGTATCGGCAACATCTTCAAGGTCGGCAAGAGTCCGGCCAAGAAGATCACCAAGGAGGACATCAAGATCTCTTTCAAGGACGTGGCCGGTGTGGACGAGGCCAAGAAGGAGATCATGGAGTTCGTGGACTTCCTTCGCAATCAGAAGCGCTTCACGGAGCTCGGTGCGAAGATCCCCAAGGGCGCGCTGCTTGTTGGCCCGCCCGGCACGGGTAAGACGCTGCTGGCGAAGGCTACCGCTGGTGAGGCCAGCGTGCCTTTCTTCAGCATCTCCGGTTCGGATTTCATTGAGATGTTCGTCGGTGTGGGTCCGTCCCGTGTGCGTGACCTGTTCAAGGAGGCGCGCGCGAATGCCCCGTGCATCGTGTTCATTGACGAAATCGATGCTGTGGCCCGCGCACGTAGCAAGGGAAACTTCTCGGGCGGCAACGACGAGCGTGAGAACACGCTGAACCAGTTGCTGGTCGAGATGGATGGTTTCAACTCGAGCGAGGGTGTGGTGGTGCTTGCTGGTACGAACCGCGCCGATATCCTTGACAAGGCCATCCTGCGTCCCGGACGATTCGACCGCCAGATCACTGTGGACGTCCCGGACATCAAGGGCCGTCGCGAGATCTTCAAGGTGCATCTCCAGGGCTTGACGCTGGACGGCAACGTGGACGACTTCGCCCGTCGAATGGCTGCTCTCACCCCCGGCTTTGCTGGTGCCGAGATTGCTAACATCTGTAACGAAGCCGCCATTGTGGCCGCACGACGGAATGGCTCGAGCATCTCATTCAAGGACTTCGAGCAGGCCACGGACCGTGTGATCGGTGGACTGGAGACGAACCGCATCATGTCGCCCGAGGAGAAGAAGACGGTGGCCTACCACGAGGCTGGCCACGCTGTGGCCGGCTGGTTCTTGGAGCACGCCGACCCGCTGCTGAAGGTGACCATTGTCCCGCGTGGCAAGGGTTCGCTCGGCTACGCGCAGTACCTTCCCAAGGAGGTGGCGCTGCACAGCCGCGAGGCCCTGACTGACATGATGTGCATGGCCCTCGGTGGCCGCGCGTCGGAGCACGTGAACTTTGATGGTCGGATCACGACGGGCGCTTCCGATGACCTGCGCCGTGTGACGCAGATCGCGTACTCTATGGTGCAGTTGTACGGTATGAACGACCGTGTTGGCCAGCTCTCGTTCCCCAAGGAGGAGGGCGCCTACCCGGACAAGCTCTACAGTGACAAGACCTCGGAGATCATGGACGAGGAGGTGCAGAAGATCGTACACAACGCGTACGAGCGCACCAAGCACCTGCTGATGGACAAGCAGAACCAGCTGCACGAGCTGGCCGAGGAGCTGCTGCAGAATGAGACCATCAACCACTCGGACATCGTGCGCGTGCTGGGCCCGCGTCCGTTTGGCGGCAACAAGACATACATCGAGTTCGTGGAGGAATCCTGGAAGGACGCTGACAAATATGAAGCGGACAAGGCCAAGGCGCCCGAGGCAACACCCGAGGCGACGGCCGAAGCCAACAGCGACAACAGTAGCGAGGAGAAGAAGTACGAGGAGAAGTCGGAGTCGTCCAGCGAGGGCGACGCCGACGTCGACGCCAAGGACGGTGGCAAGAAGTAGGAACTTCTTGCAGCCAGCCAGCCATAAACGCTCCATGCAAATAAACGCCAACGAGGACTTGTGTTGTACATGCATGCATTTGCGTACTGCAGCTCTCCTCGCACGCGGCGCCTATATACAGCTGGCACTTGTTCGCCATCGCTTAGAATATCGTCCTTGGTATTACACTAATGAGGGCGTCGAGCGCCACTGCAGCCAGCCTCCACCACTTCCTGGTCGGCCAACTCCTTCCTCTCCCGCCTTCCTTGAACCTCCTTGTTGAATCCTTATAAAAAAGCACATGCAAACGGCCTTGGGGTTCCTTCTCGGAAGAACTGCGGCTTCTTCTTCTTCTCTCTCTGGTCTTGGCCTTCTCTCACCCCTTTCACATGGAGTTGCGGTGCTGGAAGCCGTTACGGAACGTGAAGGCCCGCTCGAGGTGCGACGACAGGTTGAGCGTACGGATGACCTCCTTGAGCGGCATGCGCGTCACGTCGATGTCGTTGATGGCGCACAGCACGCTGCCCTTCTTGACGAGGCCGCTGTTCTCGATGGTGCTCTTGCGGCCGTCGTACTTACGCACGAAGCCGTCCACGACGGGCGCGCCCGAGTCGTCGCGATCCACCTGCAGCACGAGTCCGCACGGGCCCGGCGGCACGATGATGGTGATGAGCGGGTTGGCGCGCTGCTTCCAGTCCTCCTCCGTCACGGACTCGTCGTCGTCGTCGAGCGAGCTGTCGCCCTCCTCGTCCGGGAACGAGTACGAGTTCCAGGCCTGCCGCCGCTGTTTCCTCCTCTTGGAGGCGGGCGAGGCCGAGCCCTCCCCGTCCTCGTCATGGTTATTGTTGCTGCCCGAGCCGCTGCTCTCTGTGGTGGTGAGGCTGCTGCCCAGCGCCAGGCGCGAGCTCAGCAGATTGAACTTGCTGCGTGGGCTCAGCGGCGGCTCCTGCAGCTTGGCGCGGAACGCGTCCGCGTACGCCTGCGCGCTGCCGTGGCGGCCGCCGTGCGCGTCGTCCGCGCCGTCGTCGCGCGCGTCATCGGACAGCGCGTACGTCTCGCCGCGGCTCAGCAGCAGCGAGCTGTGCTCCGGGTGCTGCAGGTGCTGGTACTTGGGCGGGAAGGCGCCGTACTTGCCCACGACGGCGGCCACGCGGCCGGCCTTGAGGCTGCCCAGCCGGTCGTAGCCCAGGCCGTTGAGCCCCTGGTCCTCCGGGCCGCCGCACGTGCACAGCGCTGCGCCCATGAGGTCTGTCTGCAGGTCGAGCGTCGCGCAGGATCTCTTCGGTTATGGAATCGGTCGGCTGGCTTCCCTTTGGTGAAGCTGAGTTGCTTTGGCTTGGAATTATCCCAGGTGACCCTACCCCTGGAAGGATATTAATTGGCTGAAAATAGGGCGCGACGGTTTCAATTCCGGTTTTTGGCCCTATTTTTAGGATAGTCTCTGCGGCGCGGGTCCAACACACGTGAGCTTATCCCGTGCTATGGCTTCGCGCGAAGGTGGCGGCGGAGACTGGCATGGCAACCAGCGCTGCATGAGCGGCTCGGCATGGGACACAAGGCCCCGGTGGGCTTGTCCACGCTGCGGGCCGGAACGGTTCAGGAACGCGTCTTCAGAAAGGGCGGACCAAATTTGTGATTTGCGCAAAAATGGACAAAAGTGTCTAGAAACAGATAGCCTGTCAAAGTAAAGCAATCATTTCTAGGATATAAACCACAACAACCTCGGATACTATATACCCCGTTCAGGTAGATAAGTGCGAGCAGTGCTGCTTGATCCAGGCGCGAAGTTGAAGTCGGCACCCAATCAAGTCGCGTCGCAGTCGCCGATCGCCAGCCACCGTTTTTCAATGAAAAGTTTTCATGCCCGTCGGCCAGAAGTGCCTGCCGGAGACAACGAGACAACGCGAAGGCACTGAAGAAGGGAGCTGTTCATGGTCGAGCGTTGAAGCCGACGCGTCGCAGTGCGATGCAGTCGACCTGCTGGCAGGCAGGCAGGCAGTGTATCTGATTGGTAGAAAGGTAAGCCAATAGGAGGTCAGTGTAGGTACGACTCACCGTAGGTATAGTGAAACCAAGTTAAAATAGATATGCAGATGTAGGGCGGCTGTGGAGGCTTCGCGAAGCTTCCATCCGCCTGAACTGCGGGGGCGGCACTCTTAGTTCCGCACGCCCTCCCCCAAGACAGCACTTCTTTCTGTTAAACTGGTAGCACTTGTTGGTCCCAGCAACCTGACTACAAGAAGCCCATGCCGACGAACGCCCAGCTACGAGCCGAGATCGACCGGCTGAATCAAGCGATGGCAGAGCGCACGCGAGTGCCCACCAATCTGCCCAAGTTCACCGGCAAGCGGGGGAAGACGTTCGCGAATGGCTGTTCCAGATCGAGAACGCCTGTCGCATCAACGGAATCCAAATCGATGACGCGAGCGCGCGTCTGCCGGGTATCGCCGGGTCGGCGATGGAAAAGCCGGCCTCAGGATGGTTCCTGCACTGGTCATCGACGACGAGAAGTGAGGAGCACACGTGGGGGATTTTCCGTGAGCATGTGCTCCAACACTTCGAAGCTTCGAACTACCAGGCCGTCTTGCGAGAAAAGCTGCAGCGACTCAAGCAAACGGCGGACATCGAGACCTACAACGGCGAGTACTCTGCTCTTATCTTCCGAGTTGAGGGCATGAGTGTACTTGACCAGGTACTAAGCTACGCAAACGGTCTCAAGCCTCGTACCCGTAGCAACGTCAAGCTCGAGAACCCAGAGACGCTGAGCGCGGCTATGGACCTGGCGATCAAGTACGAAGGTACGCACTTTGTGGACGACATGCGCGACCGCCAGTCCCGCCAAGACAAGAGGAAGATCTTCGCTGATCAAGCTCCCAAGCAAGACAAGCCATTCAAAGGGAAACCTTTCCGCGGCAAGGAACAATTCAAGCCGAGGTCTGACTCCAAGCGTACTGAAGGCCGCACCTGCTATCACTGCAAGAAGCCTGGCCACATCAAGGCCAACTGCTTCCTCTGGAAGAAGGAGCAAGAGAAGCAGGGAAACGAGCAACTACGTCAGTGAATGAGGGTCCTGGTGTGGGCGAGAGCGTAACCGGGACACCAAAGATTGAGAATATCAGCTTGAACGTTCTGTGCGAAAACCCTCTGGTCTACAAGTCACGTCCACTGTTCTCCGTAACAGGTGAAATCAGTGTTGGTGACAAGTGTCTCGCGACACGAAGCATGTTGTTGGACTGTGGAGCCACCACGATCTACGTATCCAAGCGTTGGGTCGAGGAGCACCAGCTTCATACAACCAAGTTCAGCGACAAGAACATTCGTGTCAAGCTGGGAGACAACCAAATTGTCGAGGTGGAGCTTGAAATTCTGCTGATAGAGATTCTGGTCTCGAGACTGGACGACGCCTACAAGTGTGTGGCAGTCGTCTACCCGATTCCAGACGAATTCGATTGCATTCTTGGAATACCATTCTTCGAAGACATGCAACCACATATTGACTGGAGAGGTCGACGAATCGAAGGAACGAGAACGAGGACTCTGCACTGGAAGCGAACAGGGAAGACCTGTGAGCCGATCGAGGAAGGCAGACCGGTGATTACCTCCGGGCTTCGGAGATCTGTCGAGGCGAAAGGCCTGTCGGCGAAAAGACCCGATTCCTGTCGAGGTGCCGCGCTGGAAACGGATGTGAAGCTCACGGTTGAAGCTGCTGGTGACGCAGTGCAGAAGAAATCCCCAAGTGTTGTCCGCGGACGACATGATGACGCGCAAGCTGGCAAGAGTTCAGCTGGAGACGACGACGTTGCGACGTCTGAGCGCGAGAGTACTGTAGTCGAGGCTGATGGAAGCAACAGTACCAGGGGTGGAGACAACGCCGTGGAGAAGATGTTCACGATGGGAGTTGTCGACCAGAGTGGTATACATACCAAATACATCACGCGCAAGAAGTTGCGGAAGTTCCTGAGAATCAAGACCAAGACGAGCGACGAGCCTGACTTCATGTTGGTGCTATCGAACGAGACGATCAAGCAAGTTGCACGTTCACTGCAACGCCGAGATCAGCCCGACAACGTTGGGAGAACGCTATCTGGAGACAGACTGGGACACCTTCCGAGAGAATCCAGCTTTCAATCTTCTCATGGAGTATAAGGACAACGTGTTTCGTCCAGAACTACCCGAAGGTTTACCAGAGAAGCGTGACATCGAACACCGGATCGATGTGAAGGATCCAAATATGGCGATGTACCGGCAGCAGTGGCGACAGTCGCCGGAGCAGCAGCGTGAAATCGTGCGCTGGGTCGAAGACATGGTGAAGAAGAAGCTCATTCGACCAAGCATCAGTCCCCACGCAGCCCCAACATTCTGTGTCCGGAAACCAGTTGGCTGGAGAATTGTTCACGACTACCGGTACTTGAATTCGAACACCGTGCGTCAAAGTATCCCGATGACGAGGAAGGAAGACATCCTTGACGCCATGTCTGGTGCGTACTGGTTCTCCACGATGGACCTGGTGTCCGCGTACTACCAAGTGCACATGCGGGAAGAAGACATCAAGTTTACCGCATTCCAAGCGCCGAACGGTCTCTGGGAGTATCTCGTTCTTCCAATGGGAGTTTGCAACGCGCAAGCAACGATGCACAGATTGACATCGAAGCTCTTTCGAGACTTGAAGAACACGAAGTCGTTCTACGATGACATCTATGTTTTCACCAAGTCAACGAAGATCGAGGACCATCTGGGCGCACTGCGGAAAACACTTGACATCTTGCGTGATAACAAGTTGTACGTCAAGCTGTCCAAGTGTGTCTTCTGCTCCGACGAGATCCCGTGTCTCGGAGATTTTGTAGGGCGAAATGGAGTTCGGATGGATCCAGACAAGGTACAGACCATCAAGGACTGGCCTGTACCACGGACGCAAGAAGAGCTTCGCAGCTTCCTTGGCTTGACAGGTTACGTCCAGCGATTCTGTCCAGAGTACGCATCTCTGACAGCCTCCATGTTTGCGCTCTTGAAGAAGAAGAACAAGCGGAACGCCAAGATTCATCTCAGCGACGAGCAGCTGAAGAACTTCAAGGAGTTGAAGCGGCGACTGTGCAACCCGCGAGTATTGCACTTGCCGGATTTCAGCAGCCGCATGCATCTGCGTACCGACGCAAGCAAGTTTGCTGTCGGTGGAGTCCTTTTTCAAGTGGTGGACGGAGTTGAGCGCCCGATAGCGTACACAAACCGGAAGATGAAGTCGGCGGAGCTCAACAATCCGACTCAGCAGCAGGAACTACTAGCGATCGTTCATGCGCTGGTAGCGTTTCGGATCTACTGCCTGGACAAACCACCCATCGTCGAGACAGATCACAAAAGTCTCGAAGGACTGTTCACCCAGAAGATGGCCAACCGTCGACTCGCTCGCTGGTACGACATCCTTGCGGAATACCAGCCGACGTTCTCGTACCTTCCCGGTGCGAAGAATGGCATCGCAGACGCGTTAAGTCGAAGGTCAGACTTACAACCGGAGACGAAGTTCTTCCACGACTTACGGGTGACCAGCTTCGACGGCACATCCTTCAGCCTCGCGATCAGCGAAGTAACGGGTGACTCGGAGCTGATTACGCGCATCAAGAAAGCGTACAAGAAAGATCGTGATGTCCAAGCAATCTTGACAGCAATCAAGCGACGCAAATCCGACTCAAAACCAAAGCGCGAACACCAGCAGCACAAGAAATACCGCTGCTACTCCGAAGCGAACGGGTTACTGTGGTATCAAACGCCTGCAGATGACGCTCCACGGATTGTCGTGCCCAACGATGTGAAGTTGCGACAGACAATTATCAGCGAGTGTCACGACACCAACTACGGAGGCCATCCCGGTGCGGAACGTACGTACTTGACATTGGCGCGCCATTGGTACTGGTCAAAGATGTTGAAGTCCATCCAGAAGTTTGTCGCCGACTGCGAGCCTTGTCGGAGGAACAAACCGCGGTTGACGAAACCTCCTGGGTTGCTCGAGCCACTCAGTATTCCAGACGAGCGTTGGAGATCCATCTCCATGGACTTCATCACTGATCTGCCGCGAACGGAGCGGGGCGTCGACTCTATCTGGGTCGTCGTCGATCGGTTGACCAAGCGGTGTCATTTCGTGCCAACGACCAAGAAGGTGAACGCCGAAGGTGTTGCTCGACTCTTCATCGACAACATCTGGAAGTTACACGGCATGCCGACGAATATCGTCTCCGACCGCGACAGGAAGTTCGTGTCCGCCTTCTGGCAGCATGTCTTCAAGTCCATCGGGACGAAGCTAAGCTTGACCGTTGCACATCGCGCTCAAGGTGACGGACAAACGGAGCGCATGAACCGAACCTTGAAAGAGTATCTTCGGTGCTTCGTCGGTCCACTTCAAGATGATTGGGACGTCCATCTCGCCAACGCTGAGTTCGCTGTCAACTCAACTGTCAACTCCAGCACGAAGCTTGCGCCGTTCGAAGCCGATCTGGGCTACATTTCGCTGAATCCACTTCAACTTGCATCCGAGCAACTTGAGAGTGTCCCTAAGAGTCGCCGCGGAGCAGAGTTTCACGAGCGACAGGCGGCGATTCTCTTACGCTGTCGCGAAGCGTTAGCTCAGGCCCAAGAACGGATGCGCGACGTCTACGACCGAAACCGTGTTGAGCAGATCTTCGAAGTTGGTGACAGGGTATACTTGAGCACGCAGAATCTGAACCCGAAGCACTCCGGCTTGCCCAACTCCACCAAGTTCGGACCCAAGTGGATTGGACCGTACACCGTGGTGCGGAAGATTCATAACCACGCGTACGAGCTCAACATCCAGGCTGGCAACAAACTGCATCCCTTCTTCAACACTGCGTCATTGAAGCCGTACAAGGAGCTGACTCGCTTGTCGAGGCCAAGCGACGTAATCTTAGCGGACGGCAGCATTGGCCAGATCGTCAAGGCATTACGTGGAAAGCGAACGCGAAAACGGCGGATCCAATATCTTGTGGAGTGGGTGGGCGAGGAGAAACAAACCTGGGAACCAGTGGAGAACTTGTCGCAAGTCCCAGATCTCATCGCGGAATTTTGAATCTGCAAGGCGAAAGAAGCGTCGAAAACGGTGAAGCAGGATCAGCTGAAGGGGGGCTCAAAGGCCTACATGTATTCCCGTATTACATCCCCTCTTGTTGCAGAACCTGCTGCTTCATGCGCTTCTCCCGCTTTTTCTGCGTCTTCGACTTGCGCTTGCCGTGGCGACACTTGTATCCTGGTTGCAGGTCCACTTGCGCCATCCATTTCACGTGCTGAATCCACTGCTGGTAACTCAGAGGAAGAACGTCCACCGGCGGGTTCTTGCGGGCATTGAAATTGTCAAGAGCCAGAAGTTGCTTCTCCGGACCACGGTTAACCACGACAAAGCAGTGCCCGACATCATTGCGGCCAGCGCTGACGACGTAAACACCGGGTGCTTATTTGCGGCAAACACCTTGGAGCGTCGTGATGTTGGCACTTGACTCTGGAAGAGCGTTTCGGAGAAGGACGTCGTAGTTCAGTGGCACACTCTTGCGCTGCAGAACTTTGAAGAACTCCGTCACGTCGTCGCGAGACACACCGTACTGGATGGCTTCAGGTCGCGTGTCTTCATACGCATCCCACATCTCCATTGTGACTAGATTCGGCTGTCCGAGATAGTACAAGGCCGAGCGGAAAGCATCCATGAAACAAGTACCAGCCTCCGACGCGGAATCACGCTCCGAGTACCAATAACAGAAGGTGCGCTTGTCTCCCGATTCCTTCCAAGCGTCCACCATCCTCATCATGTAGCGCGTCGACGGTTTGTCGAGCTGCTCCATCCAGACCCAGCTTAGCTGGAGCGGATTGCCTTCCCATTCCACCAAGTAGCAACGGTGCGGAGCCTTGCCCCTGACATCCAAGGCACGGACGATGTCAACCTCAGTGTTGTAATCCCAAGGCTTCTTCGGGTCGTATGGTTCTTGGGGTTGTTCGACGGGTGCTTTTTGGGCGCCGGAGGAAGCGGCATCGGATGCCACGTCGAAGTCTCGTCACCGCGACGCAAGCGCGAGCGGTCAACCTGAGGCAGGTCTTCATCGTCGTCACTATCATCGAAAAGCCCGGATTCATCTTCAGGCGAGGCCTCAAAGGTCGCCCCAAGCGCAGGCTCAGCAGCTATCGCCTCCTCGACAGACAACCCTTCCACATCGAGCATGAAGATCAACTCCTGGAGGCGCGTAGGTGGAGAAAAACACCAGCCGAAGCAACAACCTCACGCGGCGCTGGCGACGCAGGCGGCGGCGCCGGGGACGCCGAGCCCGAATCTGGAGAGCCAAGACCGGGAGAGCGACTGGTGAGCTCTAATTCTTCCCACACACGCACCATCTCTTCGTCAAGACCGGAGTCAGCATCGCTGTCTTCACCAGCAGCGGCCACAACATCGACAATCTGCGCGAGCGCGGCGGCGCATTCAGAGTCTGCCGGCGCGGCCGGCGTGGCGGCGCCAGGCGGAAGCATGGACGGACCATCGAGATTTGCGGTCGCCAGAGGCGACGCAGACGGCGGAGCCTCAACATCATGATCAGCCGTCGCTGGAGGCGAGGCAGAACGCGCGGAAGCAGAAGACTGCATTCCGGCAGCAGTAGAAGCCGCTAGCGACGCAACCATCAGCCCAAGGAACCAATCCAAGCCTCCAACAACCAGGCCGAGGCGAAGGAGAAGCGAGGTCGGACTAATTCCTCAGGCGACAGCCGGAAGTGTCGCGGTTCTCTGTCTTTTTCGGGAATGACAAGTCGGAAGGGCGCGCAGCCAGAGAAGGGGTGAGTGTATCTGATTGGTAGGAAGGTAAGCCAATAGGAGGTCAGTGTAGGTACGACTCACCGTAGGTATAGTGAAACCAAGTTAAAATAGATATGCAGATGTAGGGCGGCTGTGGAGGCTTCGCGAAGCTTCCATCCGCCTGAACTGCGGGGGCGGCACTCTTAGTTCCGCACGCCCTCCCCCAAGACAGCACTTCTTCCTGTTAAAGGCAGGCTACGTAGCGCTGAATACTAGAAGGAATCTGGAGCAGTGAGAACACGCTGAAATGCTTGCGAACAGACTAACTGAACGCTGCACCTTGGTATGAAGGTGCGAAGAAGTATCGTATCAAAAATCTCTAGCTTCCTTGCGAGAAGAGCGTGAACAGATAGCTGAGCGTCTCTGCGATGAAGAAGCTCCCCATTCCGCTCGTCGGCGTGCTGTTCTAGACATCGATGGCGTCGCGGAATCCATCCGCCGGGACTAAACTACAGTTGAAATGCATGCGCAAGTCATAGTTGAGAGGTGGATTGCTCAGCGCCACAACAGCTATTTATTGGCTGTCAGTCAGCGCTGAACCGTTCTACCCACTGCTTACCTTGCTGTGCTTCTCAAAGGCCTCCATGATCATCCGCCCATGCTAGCGGTACATTTTGTCGCCTGTAACTCGATACAGGATCATTTCTACTCTCCACAGTCTGGGGCCGCAGGATGTTGTAGTCATGCGAAGGAAACGTGAACAACTCGGGATTTGTTGCTTGGAGGCCTTCAGGGTCGGTTTCAGTGACAAATTGAGTTATCTCTGGGGACAAGTGCGACGCAGAACGTAGATACATCTTGTAGACGGATTTTGCGTTTAGTGGATCGGCAAGTACACCCCAGACACGAACAACACACCTGGACGGGAAAACGTCAAAAGGTGTATGCTAGGTTGTCGGTATGACAGTATGTTTATGTGGTTCCAAGCGCACTAAGGTGCATGATAAAGCTGCATCAGCAACGAATGCAGTGACTGGTGTGTGGGCTTAGATCCAAATCCATAAAACCCGGGGTTAGGAAGGCTTCTACCTGATGCAACTAGCCCGGTTCGTGGTGTCCATGACTTTGATAGCGAATTGTACGGCTGAGGGACTACAATGAACGTCGTTATCCATTGTAGCTAGGCCTCAGCGTTGCCACAGTTCTACAATACCTACACTCTCCCCCGGTTGGGGGCTCTCACTAGAGCTCCTTCACCCGAAATTCAGATGCAAAACCTACCTAGTACAACCACTCTATAGACGCTTGCGGTTTGCGTTGGTAGTTCCTTGTAGCCACAATAGCGAAGTTGTCGAGTACAGTTGCTCTATATGCTATTATTAGTTGACCGTGTTCGCTACGAGCGTGTCGTTAATAAACTACTGTGCTTGGAAGCTCGATCCTGGGTCTGTATGACCCGACCTCGGCCGAAATACCGCGGCAACCATGTCAGTACGTGTATGATGAGACATGACGCGACGTGATGCCCACGACCACTACACCTATTGACAAACGTTTTCCCAACGCATACAACTTTTGACGTTTTCCCCACCTGGACACATGTTTCTGTGAGTTCTTTGGCGAGCTCCAGATGAGAAGTCGGCATACCGTGCGTGTACCCAAGGACGAGCATCCCTGGTACAAAGCAGGTTAAATGCTCCATTGCAGACTCTAGATCGCCGGTGACAAGGAGCCTGCTAATAAATGCGTAATTCGACGGGTGGGAGTATCCAACCAGCTTATATTGGATCCGTGCCACAGCCATGGCATACATATCTCTCATCTGGTTGTCCTTCCTGCCCGAAAGTAGCCACTGCTTGAGAAGGAACTCGTAGTAGCTGTCACCTAGAGCCCCCACAGGCCTAATTGGGGCCTATACAATACTAACTTTGTAACGGTGTTACACGGAGGTTACCCTTGTGGTTACACGTTTGGTGTACGATACACCAAGGGTTACTCCCTGGGCCACTGGCCAGTCATTGAGAATGAACTAGAGTTAGTTATGTCGATAGTAAGTGCAGGTATTTGCACCGTAGGCGGCTCCGCCCTCATTCTCTTATCTGCGGCTCCGCCGCAGATAAGAGAATGAATACAGTTTGCCTTTTGCAAGAAGTCTCTGACTTGTTTTCGTGGGTCCTCGGATAGGACCCTGTTGGACTCTTTGAGTCGTAAAGTCTTCCTCTACGCAAGGAGCTACGGCAGCCCCGCTGCAAACTTACACAAAGTTCGCTGACTCACCCGAAGTGAAGGCGATGATATAGTGCAAAATTTACCGGAGGCTAACGCACCGTTCTCAAAGTCATGATGCAGAAAACTCCAGCCGCGCTGTTTCAAGGTGAGGTGGTCTAAATGCGATTACATTCCGGCCATCGGTTGTTCTCAAACGAAACTATGCGATGAAAAAACAAGGGTGCGGGAACTCAAATCACGAACAAGGCCTACTGCTACTGCACGCTGTTATAATTGGCTGGTTTACGAGGAACTAACTCCATGCTCGTCCCTGCATGATTTGGAATGTTGAGAGTGTCAGACATCCCTAACTAAAAACTATCCCAACCCGCCAGCTCGAACTGATGTTGCAGCTTACTTGAGTTGTTGGGGCAGCATTTAATTGTAGCTTGACATATCCAGTACCGCCTGCTCACATAAAGATTGCCCATTCTGCGGTTTGCAATGCTGGAATTCGCCGTAGTTTACAATCGAGACCCCGTGGAGCAGTACTGGCCGTTCATTGATTTTCATTGGCATAGGATGGAGTTACATCGTGCACATCACAAAACACCAAAAGATAATAGCACACCAAGATGCTAGATGCTGCTGTGTTTTGATTGGAAACGTCCGCTTGGAGTTGCATATTGCTCTACCGGATCGCCGGCAAATGCTCAAAATCAGTACAGAAACAATATGGGAACGGGATTGACGATTGAAATCACGGAACAATCAATTATTGTGATTGAAAATCTTGGCAACATTACAATCGCAATATCATATTTTCCACAGCTGTGAGTTCGCGTGTTGAGTAGACGCGTCCCAGAGAGTGATACGAAAAAATCTTGGAGCATTAAATGCTCTTTTGAGGAGCTCCTCCCTCCTGCGTATTGCTACGAAAGAAACAAATACTGCTAGACGTGTCTGCCGTCATACGACGAGGCTTCGCCAACAACCTTGCCAAGCTTAGTATGTATGTATTGAGAAACATTCTCCACCCATGCAAACTTGAAGCGCAGCATCAACGCCACAAACCGGAGGGTCAATGCCACAAATAGGACTCATTTATGGTACTCGTTCCCGCTACCCTACCTAATAAAAGTTATGCTACGATGCGACCAAACCAGAAAGGTTATCGAACTTAGCAACACGAACTTAGCTTTGGTCGGCTTTCCTGATTGGCTATTGTTCATCTTAACTCATTACACCCGATTGATTACTATCTAAATTACGACTTTGCGCACCTTGGCTCGCCAAGTCCGCAAACTTCTTTAAGTTATCTCCTCTTATCCAATCACACTCGCCTACAAAACTGCGGTCGCCACTCAAACCGCGACGCCACACAAACAAGAACGCGCTCCGGCCCCTCCCCTCCTCTCGTCCAGTCCACACAGCAGAGCACCATGGTGCAGGTGTCCAAGCCCCTGGTGATCGCCGGCGTGTCCGCCGTGGCGGCCGCCGCCCTCCTCGCCTTCGCGCTCGTGCGCGGCAACAGCTCCAGCGTACGTACAGCACCTGCCAGCTTCCCTGCCATCCTCCTCCTCCTTCCTGCCAGGTTTTGGTGGTGGATGATGGAGGTGTACCATGCGCAATGGTACACTTGTGCACTCTTATCTGACCATCACTCTTGCTCTACACACAGGACGCCAAGAAGCAGGCCCAGCAGGAGGACGGCGTGCGCGAGGTGCCCAACCTGCACAAGGAGCAGCTCCTGAGCATCCTCGAGACCATTTGCACGCAGATGGGCCAGGTCGTGATGCAGCTGGCCAAGCTCGAGGCCAAGATCCGCCAGGAGTCGTCCCAGAGCGGCCGCTCGCTGCCCGAGGACCAGCTGGCCTCGTACCTCATGGGCCAGTTCGAGGAGGCCATGAAGGCCATCGAGTCGCAGGTCTACGCCAAGTTCCAGACCACGGAGGACGAGGTCAAGGTGGCCACCGAGTACTTCGAGGAGGACGGCGACAAGGACGTGGCCAACGCCGTGGCCAAGCTGCAGGAGCTCTACCGCGTCATGACCGGCGGCGGCTTCAGCGACGTCGAGGTGCCCGCCGAGCTCACGCTCACCAAGTTCATCGAGATCATGCAGGAGACCATGGAGTCGCTCAACGTGGCCATGGAGGAGGTCTGCCTCGAGGTCAAGGAGCTCAACCCGGACAACAAGGAGGAGGCCATCAACCAGCGGTATGTCAAGCGCGCAGACAACCTGTCGGCCGAGATCCACGCCAAGCACGGCCTCACGCGCGAGGTGCTGCAGGCCGCCATGATGAAGTACCAGCAGGAGCCCGCCTTCCTCATGGCCATGACGGAGCTGCAGCAGCAGCAGGCCGAGCGCTTCGCGGCTGCCGCGGCCATCTTCAACGGCGAGGTGAACATGGGCTTGACCGAATAAGCCTCGTGTTTACAACTATCTACTAGAAGACTGGAACCCCGATCGATCACACCACGCGATTCAACCAACAGCTCCACACCACACCACACCACACCAGCCCCCACCGCTCTTCCCCCCCCTCCCTCCTACTCGCTCTTTCCCAAGACGTTCCCGGCGCAGCAACGAACGAACGAACACGTCAGTAAGATCCAACGCCGTCCTCGTCCCCAGTTATGATCGCTCACTAGGAGCGAAGTAGGCAGCCGAGAGAGAGAGAAGAGAGAGAGAGGAGGCTCTGTGCGCCTTTTGACTGTCTGGCTGTGCGTGTGTGCGCGTCGGCTGCATCTTGGTTAAATGAGTTGTGCCGATCAAGTCCCGCGTTCGTGTTCGTGTGTCTGCATTGCAGTGGTGCCTGTCTGTTTGTCTAATTGCTGCGGCTTGTGTGTCTGTTGCCTTCAGTGCAGCTCGTCTGTCTGCCTCGGGTGGACCTTAACTGGAGGGTGGCACTTCAAGTTGAAGTGGTTATCCACCCTTCCGTGTCTGCCTCCATGACGATTTCGCTGAGCCAAGAACACTTTCATATTTTTAGTCGCCGCTTTCAAAGCACGCTCAAAGTTCGCAGCTCTCAGTTCGCTTTTAGCTCGGCGGGGCGGGCGGCATGCAGCAGGACCGGCTCGAAGGATGGATGGTGAGACAGATCGAGAACGCCGACCTGGCCAAGGAGACGGTGATCCAGCTGCCAGCCCCGAAGGCCTCCACTGCTGTCCCCTTGTCCGCTAGAGTCGCTCGACCGTCCGCTGCAACACCGCGGAGGCTCAAGGGCGGCGTGGCTGCTTCACGTCGTTCAGTTACTGCGGCTGCAGGCCAAGAAATGTGCTCCCTGCTCCCCTTGCCGTCGCCTCGTCCTGATAGAGAAGCGGCTTTAAGCTCCGTCTCGAGGCATGAACCAGACGAAAGCGTCGAGAAAATGTGGCGCTCCCAGTTCCGTGATCGACAGCAGCCTTGTATCGAAAGTGGCCGTGTGGACCGGACGAAGGTGCTGCACAATATGAAGGAAAAGCGGCAGCACGGGGATGACGAGGACTCGCCGCTGTTCCTTTGGGGTTTACCTCGCGAGCACATTCTCGAGTTTGTCCGTCAATCGTTGCTGCCTTCTTCATGGGCGTACGTAATTACCGAACGAGTAAGTCGGTAGTTGATTGCTGACATCGCTGGCGACTTGTTTTTCTGTAGAAATCCTGCGTCTAGACCGGTAGGCGAGTGGGAAGCTGTGCCGAAGGAAGAAGACGAAGTGGAACGAGTGCGACGCATACTGTAAGTTTTCGTTTTGACATGAGCGAACTTTTAAGGGCGTGTTTAACCGAAGCTGCGTTGTATGAATTATTAGAGCCAATGCTCTAGCGCTGGCGCCTCCCAAACCGTCCAATAAACCTTTATCGCCTCGATCTCCATCTCCTCCTCGCAGTCCGAACAAAAGAACTGAAAATGCGTCAAGTCCTCGTCGAAACGGTGGGATGAGTCCGCGAGTGCAGAGTGTAATTGGTGCAGGCTACATCTCGTCTCCACCGTCAAGTCCAAGATCGACACGGATAACTCCGCGGTCTGAAGAAAGGTACGCGGATCACTACACACGACGATTTTTCTTGCGGATGAAGAGATTGAACACGCGGATACTGTGGTAGAATCCACAAGTTCATAGCTGAACTCCGTGCTGATCCAAGTCTATGGGCAGCGTTCCAAGTACGTTTCCCTTTTCCTTACAGTAGGACATTGAGAAAATTATTGAGTATGCTTATCACGTTTATTGTCATTTGCAGCGGGATATCGAGCAAATTCAACACCAACATCGTCTGGTAAGATGCAGCCCGTGTTGATTAATTTTCTAGAGTTTATTTTCTTACTTTTAAGTTTGCTTGTGTCTACAGAAGCATTACACGAGAGACGTAAGCACACTGATGTATTTCATTCACACTCAGCTACTCCCCACCTCACTCTATTCCCTTGCTTCAGAAAATACGCGAGAACAAGGACCGCGCTAGAACCCCCAGGTCAATCGAAGCGCACGAGCTCAGGTAGGCAGCAAGCATCGACACTCCTACCACAAATTTCCTTCAAGCTGACCGTCTCCGACACTCTACCCTGGCGTGCTAGGAAGAAACAAGCCGCGGAGAGAATGGAGCGTACTCAGCGACAGCGGGAGCAGATTGTTCAGCTAGAAGACGAGCGACTGGCAGCAAAACGCGAGGCCTATCTACGCCGTGTAAACCCCACGAGGCAACTATCAGCCGCGGAGCTGGAGTTGACAGTTCGCTATCGCCGACGCAAGATGTGGCTGCACGTCGTGTCTTTCGCTGCGATCTCGCATCGATGGCACAAGCAGCTCCAGCACACCAAACACGTAATGCTCATGGCGAGGATCGAACGCACCGCAGCATCCACGATCCAGAAGATTTGGCGTAGATGGAAATGGCAGCACGCGTCCAAGCACACGGTCGTGATCTACACGTGGCTGCGCAAATGCATGTGGAAATTGCTGCTGCGAGTGCGTTGTCGTCGCAAGACACGGCATGCAACTCTGCTGCGGCAGTTCATGGTCGACCACTTCACGGAGAGTCACGCCACACGAAACTTTAACCGGATGATGGTCCAGTGGCGCAGCAAAGTCATCCGCGCTCAGAAGGCCGGCATGTAAGTCAAATTTGCCGGTGAAAAATGGCTTGGAACGTAGTGGAGACTAACATTATTGTGTGTGAAGGTCCTTTATCCATTGCAACCGGGCTCGAATGCAAGCGCTGTCCATCTGGTGGGACGAAGTGGATCACGAGCGACAGCGTATGGACCGCCAGCAGAACAGCAACATTGACGACGGTAGACGACTCACGACTCGACAATCTTCCGGTCGCAACCTTCTAGGCCCTGCTCCTGGGTCCGCAGGGTCAAGCCGAAAGAGTTTCTCTCGAGCAGGCTCCATTGCGATACTAGGAGGGATGGACGAGAAGCTGGCCACTATGCAGATGCTTCTCACCCCCATCGAGCTTCAGCGTCTGCAGCAAAATTCAGTTCAAGTTGTGAAAATCCCCAAAAGGTGAGTACTTTTACTATCGCGTGGTCACGTACCAATGACTAAGTGTGTTATCGATTACTGTAGCATCAAGATTCGACTGCTGACGGAGCTCCTGACCAACGCAAGGAAGGACTTCAGACGCAGACAACAAGCGTACAAGGAAATGATGCTCTGCGCAAGCTACGCCAGGTTAATTCTTTTTTCTTACCGATAAAACTATGTTCGAGCTAACCAATTCACTGAATTGGTTTGCGCAGAGAAGTAAAGCTGGAGGAAGCTCGTGCCATTGTGCAGAGCTCTGTGAAGGCTGCGGACAGCAGTCGAAGCATGACGCGTACAGCCAGCGTGAGTCGGAACATGAACCCTCCTCCGTGCTTCTTGCTCTTCTCAGACCCCAACGGAGCCAAGACGATGGAGGCACTTGTGCGTCGAGGGGTGCAGCTCACGTTGGAGGCCGATCCAGAGCTGAAATCGCTTGTCACTCGCCAGCAAGAACACCGATTGCAGTCGCCTCATTCCTCTCCTCGCCGACCTTCAGTATCTTTCTCGGGAGCTGCAGTGTTGTCGGGTAACTCGGCTCCGTCAGCTTCACCATCGGTTTTGCCTTCTCCGAGGTACAGCATCCTGAAAAAGCCCACGCAGAGAAATCTCTTCGCCCCATCCGTCGTGTTCCCACCGTCGGTGCTCGCTGTCTCCACTGACAAGCCAAGCACGCCACCCACTCAAGCGACACCAAGCTCCGCTACACACCGCTGACAATGTTCAACAACATCAATGCATTTTAATTTATTAGCGGCGCGACATAATGAAACTGAGCTTACCACGTCGCCGTGAGCCTCTTTTCCTCCGCGTTCTTTGCCTACTAGTAGAATCAAAAGAAGACTCGACGCCCCCCTCAACTGTCGGCATCATAGCACCACAAGCGAGCAGCAAGCCAAGTTGGTGTGATTATACTCGATCCATGTCTTCAGTCCGGGTCGGAGTAGCAGAGCTGCGCTGTGACGGTGTGTTGGAGCCTTCTGTGCCCGATGTTCGAAGCAGCGCCATGAGCTGTGAGTGGTTGAGCTGGCTATTCCGCATGGCGAGCGCCACGCTGCCGCACACCATTTGGTTCGCCGAGCCGCGACTGTGTCCCTCGCCCTCCATCTCGCCCTCTTCCTCGTCGATGTCCTCGAACACGAAAATGCTGTCGTCCCACGAGAGGTTGAAGTCGAACTCCGTCTCACGGATCGAGTTGTTGGGCTGCTCGCCGCCGTGACTCAGCCGAACGAGCTCCAGCGGCACATCGGGCACCGTCGCCTTCGCCTGGTTAACCAGTGTGGCGTCTTCAATCCGCTTCGACTTGGGCGCGCGACCACGCACTAACGTCACGAGCTCCAAGCTCAGCATCGGCGACTGCACATCAATCGGGATGGCCTCAACAAGGCCGATCGGCTTGGAGATTCCCTTGAAACTGTAGTAGCCGTGAGCCTTGAACTGGAACACAGTCGAGCCTGGAACATCCTTGATCTTCTCTGACTTCGTAATAATCTGCTGGCTCGAGCATACGGCTTGGGCAGCACAGAACGCACTCCAAGCGTCTCCGCCGATAAGCACCTGACCACCATGTGCCGCCTTGGCAATACGCGCCGTCTGATTCACAATGTTGCCGAAATAATCGGCGCGTCCACTCGTCTTGTGCGGGCTTACACTCGCCGGCACGCCTGTTTCAATCCCCATCGACATCGAGAAGCGCAGCTCCTGGTTCTCGTTCTCCATATTCCACTCGCGGAACTTGTGCCGAATACGCAGCTGGAACTCGCCGCACCACAGGATGGCACTGGCAGGCGTAAAGAACGCCAGCATGAAGTCTCCCTGCAACTCCTGACACTCGTAGCCATTGTGTTTACGCAGCAGCTCGCGCGCCACCATACACAGCGTCTTGATGCGATCTGCGAGCTCCTCCGCGTGACAACGAACCAGCGGTCGAGCACCCTCGATGAACGTAAACACCATCGTCACGGGCTTCTGCGCCGACGGGGCGTCACGCATGCCCAGCGAGAGCTGGTGCGGACTATTTAGACTCGGGAACCGTCTCAGCTCCAGATCCCTCGGCAACAGCAACATCAGCAACACCTCGTCACCTAAAACCGCGTGGCAGCCCAAATCTTCCACCACGGGGTTGCCCAATTGCACGAGTTGTTCCTTTAACCGGTCCCAGACGTTGTCACTCAGGATAATCTGTCCTCCATGCGCGTACTCGCTCACCGTCTGCGTCCACTTAACCGCCTCGCACAACGACAACTCGGGCGAAATATCCGGATCTGCCGTGTGGATCACCATTCGCACCCGGAATCCACGGTACAGCAGCATGTTCTTCTTGGTCTTGCCATTGGTCGTCACCGACACTTCCTTCATGTCGTCGAACTGTTTCAGCAACTTGTCGTTCCACGCGGCGTACACCAAGCTCAGTTGCAGGGATAGACACCACTTGGCGGCGTGGAACTCCGAGGCAAAGGCGATCACGAATAATCCAGAGCGAGAATGGGATAAAATCTCCTGGCCGCCGTACTCGGACGCCAGTCTGGATAAAACCGTGTGCTCGTAGAGCAACTTTGCGTCTTCCATGAGGTCTTTGGCTTGCGTCATCATCTCCCGGAAGCCTTGCACGGAAACCTGCACGAGCACGACCTTCTCCCACCGCACGGGGGTGAGGTCGCCCAAGTCGGTTTTAATCTTGTTCACGGCGGATTTTTTGCCCAAAATGGTGCCGTTTGAACCCACCCCGGAGTACTCGGAGCCGGAAACTTCGCCACTTTGGGTGCTGCTGCCCCCCCCACCACTCTCCGCCTCTAACCTGGTTAGGCGAAGCAGAGTGATGTTCTCTCTATCCGCGCCCTGTTGCTTCTGCGAGTTTCCCTGGTTACGCATGGGCCGCAGTCCGTCCTGAGTTGCCGAGATCTCGTGCGAGGCAAGTTGCTCCTTCTGGACACTGGCAGTAGCGTAGTCGCTCGAGTTGCCGCCGTCTTGCATGCTGCCACCGTCCGGCTTTTTCACGCTCATTTTGCCTAACGGCCGAGTTGGGTTCACCCCCACCAGGTCCTGTTGCTGGAGACTCAGCTCGCAGTCCAAGCTGTGGCGCAGGGGGTAGCTCGCGTTCACGTGTCGCAGTGAGTCGCTCGAAGTTGCCGAGTCTTTATCTAACCCGCGCGGGCTCTGGGAGCGCACCCACGGTCCGCCCTGGTCGCCGCCGCGCCGCGGGTCCTCGTCGAGCCCGTCCTCCTGGTGCACGTGCTGCAGGTACGGCGCCAGCTCGCGCACGATGTCGTTGCGCGGCAGGCACTTCTCCAGCACGCGCATGCAACACCACCAGCACATGGCCGCCGAGTCCCTCTCGCTTTAAGTGGTGCTAACCTGTTGTCTGGAGAAAACAAAAATCGGGGTCCTGTGTTCGGGTTTAGAGACTCGCGGTTAAGCCAGTGCTAACCGCCTGTTCCTCCCCCTGCCTGCCTTGGCTTCTCTCTAGGGCGCTGTGCCGTGCTGCGCGGTGCGTTTCGCGTCGCTCCACTGACTCCGCTGCTGCTCCGGGCTCTCCGGACTGAGGCTGTGGCTGGCTGGCTGCGCACTTCCTCCGCTCGCTCCGCTCTGCTGCCCCGACGGAGGGGCTTCTTTTCCGCGATACAGTTGGCAAATGTATGCCGGGGCTCACTGGCGCTCTCTATTGGAGCGTCTGTCGTCGGGTCGCGGTTGCGCCCTGTTTCTGGCCACATGCCCCCAAACCTTCGATGGAATCGCTGCAACCAAGACAAGAAGTTGCCGGGCAGTGGCAGCCTGCCCTGCATGTACCAAAACTCTGCAGTGTAGTGCTCTTCTCCAGCCATCGGAGGCACTGACACGAACGGCACCGACGCCTCAAGATAAGATAAGGTAGGGCGACAACACTGTCCGGCCTTGTCGGCCGACACCTTGCCAAAGTGCAAGAACGGTCCCAGATTATGACGCTCGTTTACGCTCCACAGCACGGCACGGCACGCGATCGCAGAGCGAGCGAACGCGCGACCCATATCCAGGCAAGCTCGCTGTGCCGAGCTCGACGCGACGGTCGAGGTGACGTCGGGCTCCTTATCGTAAATGGCCGTGAACCGCACTCGTTGGGCACCGTTGCCAAGGTGTTAAACATTGGGAAAGTCGCATCTATCGCCGCCACCACAGAAACGATGGCTATTGCCAGCAGTGCCAGCAGTTGCCCGAAGCGGCGCCCCAAGCCTCGTGGCTGGGAAGGGAGGGCAAGACCAGCAAGCGAGCGAGGGCCGAGCGCTCGGCAGCCGTTGCATTTGGAACTTCAGCTTTAGGTGAAATGGTTTTGGCGGCGTCGCTCGGCAAAGGACATTCGCGCCAAGTGTCCGCACTATGCTTCCGAGCTTCAACAAAGTGATGTGATCGCGACTTATTGCGACAATCCGAGGACAGACAGGAGGACACGTGAATGAAGGTCGCATTTACAGCGTATTGCCGCCGTCTACGCCGAGTTGGCGATCATCATGAGCAGCGTGATGTACATCTGGATCTTCTCCTTGATCATGAGCATCAGCGCCGACGAGAGCGCTCCCTGTGGTGGAAATTAAAGCATCAAACGGCAACATCATTAGCCATCCAAGCACCAAAAGATCTACTGCGACCACCGTGAAACAACTACGTACCCTCGTGAGCTCCGGACCGAGGCCGCGGTAGAGCGCGAGCGGGCCCTCCTCCGTGTATACCCGCTGCAACGTGGAGGCGATGGTCTCCTTCTTGGGCTCAGCGCAGGTCTGGCTCTGCTCCGCGTCATCCGCAGCAACCTGCTTCTTCTTGTTGACCTGCATCAGCACCTTGGCGCGGATGTACGGGAACAGAACGAGCGTCGCGATGGACCGCGCAATGGCTCCCAGCACAAACGCCTAATGTATCACCACAAAACCGTCAGAAATTCACCCTCCTCTCCACAAAAGCCCTACTCAATATTTCCTCACCTCCAACGCGCCCAGCGCCTGCGACGCCTGCTTGAACTTGCGCAGATACACGCCCTTGAGTCGCTCGAAGACCGTGTACTGGATGGCCGGCTGCAGACACAGCACGAAGTAGGCCCCCAGCCCCTTGTAGAGTCCTCCGATGCCGCTCTCCTTGACGATGGAGCGTAGGACATGGAGGATACTGCCGCCACTGCCAGAGCCCGTCTGCATGCGCGTGCCCACGAGCTCCATGGGCATCGTGATGGGCAGGTGGCACAGCTCGCTCAGGTAGCCGATGCCCAGGTCCGTGAGCGTGCCGATGGGCTTGCCGCCCTTGGGCGCCACCATCTGCGCCAGCATCGTGTAGGCGTAAAAGTAGAGGAACTTGGAGGTGGAGGACTCCGCCGCCTTGTACTGGATGCCCTGGTAGAGCGACTTAATCTGCGCCAACTGCCGGCTGGGCTTGGTAGAACCGCCCTCCTTGTCCTTGGCGTCGTTCTCTTCCTCGTCCGGGAGCAGCGACGCGCCCGACTGGATGCGCGTCTTGAGCGTGTCCAGAGGGTACAGGATGCTCGTGGACAGGAAGCCGCCCACGCCCGCCGCCGTGGCGGCCGCCATCATCTCCATCGGCTTGCTCAGCGCCATGTTCGTTTGGTATCTGGTCAAGTGGAAGCGACGCACGTTGATTCCGACGGGAAAATGCAGTGAAGCGAGGGGGGCACTAAAGTGAAATGAACCAATCAGAGGCGAGCGTTATGGCTGCAAGTGCGTGGCGACTTGTGACAAAGTCACTTGTGCGCCAAGCAGCCATGAAAAGTCAGGGTCGAGCTGCTGCGATCGCCGAGACGACAGAGCATTACTACATGTACACCGCTCGACCCGGAGCGCCTAGGGATGCTGGTGTGGGGCACAGCCAAGACACTGTTCAGAATGACAGCCACGCAAGTGGAAAGGCTCGCTACCTAGCGGCGAAAGTTGCCAGCGGCACCCGGCTTTCGGATAGTTATCACAAGTTGTAACAGTAAACTATGTTTCTTGCTCCAACAGGTAATGCTCAGTAGTCTAACCGGACTAGCCTGAATGAGCTTGTATTCGCTCGACTACGGCCACGGAGGAGAAAACACACTGAAGCAATGCATGCACATATACGTATGTCGGCGGCATACCGCGAGCAGTGGCGAAAGCTCGCGATCTTGAGGGCGACTAGCGAAACGATGTTGAAAAACTTGCGACTGCAACCAAAGACATCGCCGCTCTAAGCCACACGCTATGACGAGCTCGGAGGCACTCGCTGCTGCGCTATCACTGCTCGTCGAGCTCCACAGCCCCAGCAAGACAATCGAAAACAGCAAATTTCAGGCACATGAGCCACGCAAAAGGCCCACAAAGCACTTCAAGGTGGAAACGAGCACAATCACCGCATCCTTCACAAGCGAAAACGTATTCCACGACCAGCTCCACCTTTCACCGCTGCAGCCTCTCCACTACCTCATATGCGTCGATCTCCCACCAGCGCTGCAGCAGTGCAGCTAGGTGAAGCCTCGCGCTGATCACAGCACAGCGCGCGCAGCTGAAGCGATGAGTCTTTGGAGCGCGGCTCGCAATCTCCACCTCAGGTGTCCCAGTGCTCGGGTTTTATGCACTCTGATTGCGGCACCCTCAGAATCTGCAGGCAAGTGCGTCACTCGCCATTTTGTCCCGGACCCCGCAGATCGAGAGCACGGCAAGAAGCAGAAGAAGAGTCGACCGATGACCGTCGTCGAGCACGCCAGCATGCGCGCAGCGGACACGTCCGCGCGCCTGGGCTTCTGGGGCCCGCCCACCTCCACCATCGACTGGTGCGAGCTCAACTACGAGCACAGCTTCTACATCGCCGAGTTCTGGAACACCATCAGCAACTCGCTCTTCGTTCTACTGGGGCTCTACGGGCTCTATCGCAGCATCAAGCTGGGCTTCGAGCCTCGGTTCCACCTGCAGTTCATCGGCGTCATGGTCACGGGCTTCGGCTCCGCCATGTTCCACGGCACGCTGCAGCACGTGTACCAGCAGTGCGACGAGACGCCCATGGTCTGGGCCATGCTCGTGTGGATCTACATCGTGTACAACAACGAGATCGAGGAGCTCCCCATAAAGAACGCCAGCACGTACGTCATCGCCTCCCTGACCACGATCGGAGCCATTTTCACGGTGGTGCACGCCATCTACCGCTTCACGACGGTCTTCCAAGTGTTCTTCGGCGTGCTCGCCGTGCTCACGTGCGCGCGGCTGTGCATGCACTACGCGGAGGTTAAGGACCAGCGAGCGCGCGCGGTGGCGAGGTCCTACGTCACGTCGGCGCTCATCGGCTTCGCCTTCTGGCTCATGGACTACCACTACTGCCATACGCTGCGCGGACTTCCGGTGAATCCTCAGGGCCACGCCTGGTACGTTTGTTGCCCAACCCATCGGTTATGCTAACTATAAGCTGTTGTCACTGGTGCTGCTGGTTGGCTAACTTGTATTTGACGTTGTTGGTGTTCGTCGTCTTTGGCCTGCAGGTGGCACATTTTCATGGGCATCTCGTCCTACCACGGCCCGATCTTCATGCAGTACGTGCGCATGGAGCAGCTCAAGCGGAAGGTGCGCATCCACGACACTTGCCTCGGCATCCAGACCATCGTCGTGGAGGAGAACGGCGCGCCCTCGAGCCCCAAGAAGCCCAAGCAGTTGTAAGAGCCCCAAGGTTTGCGTGCGACACACATCGAGTTCGTTGCCCCCGTTACGACGTCGCCACCATATTAGCGTTAATTAATATCAACCTACATAGCGAGTTAGTGAGCCCTTCATTTGCATTGCCATGCAGGAGCTTGCAGGCGTTTTGCCCCATTGGTCGGACATGCCGCCGCGTGTGTCGTCGGCAAGAAAACGACGGCCACATGTTTATCCCAGCAGCCGTTTTGTGCAACTTATTCGATCTCACACTGAAATGAGTACTTATCTGAGACCATACTTAGTCGTAGTCAACTTCCATCTGAGATGGCGGGTCGGATACTTTCACGGAGCACGCTAAGGTTGAAGGTGACCGTAACGACTCCCCGATATGCCATTTGCACTCTCGCCGCGTTCTTGAGAAGTCGCATCCGCTCGCTCTAATGGCGACCAGCAGCATGCGTTCGCCCGCCCCCGTGGGCTTCTGGGGCCCGCCCACCTCCACCATCGACTGGTGCGAGCTCAACTACGAGCACAGCTTCTACATCGCCGAGTTCTGGAACACCATCAGCAACTCGCTCTTCGTTCTACTGGGGCTCTACGGGCTCTATCGCAGCATCAAGCTGGGCTTCGAGCCTCGGTTCCACCTGCAGTTCATCGGCGTCATGGTCACGGGCTTCGGCTCCGCCATGTTCCACGGCACGCTGCAGCACGTGTACCAGCAGTGCGACGAGACGCCCATGGTCTGGTCCATCCTGGCGTGGATCTACATCGTGTACAACAACGAGATCGAGGAGCTCCCCATAAAGAACGCCAGCACGTACGTCATCGCCTCCCTGACCACGATCGGAGCCATTTTCACGGTGGTGCACGCCATCTACCGCTTCACGACGGTCTTCCAAGTGTTCTTCGGCATCTTGGCGGTGCTCGGGGCGGGGCGGCTCTGTGTGCACTACGCAGAGGTGAAGGACCCGAGAGCGCGCGCCGTGGCCAGGTCCTACGTGACGTCGAGTCTCATTGGCTTTGCCTTCTGGCTTATGGACTACCACTACTGCCACATTGTGCGCGAACTGCCAGTGAACCCGCAGGGCCACGCCTGGTAAGAAGGTTCTGCTGAGGTTGTTGAAGGTGGTTTTGTGCTGATGGTTGTGTTGCCTTCTTTTGGCTGCAGGTGGCACATGTTCATGGGCATCTCGACCTACCACGGCCCGATCTTCATGCAGTACGTGCGCATGGAGCAGCTCAAGAAGAAGGTGCGCATCCACGACACTTGCCTCGGCATCCAGACCATCGTCGTGGAGGACTGCGCGCCTGCGAGCCCCAAGAAGCCCAAGCAACTCTAAATGGGAGTGCTGATCTCTGTCTATTGCCCATGAATCTATTCCACAAACAAAACCCATAAATGAAGTACAGGTTAAAAGCTCCGAGTAATACTGACACCGCACACGAACCCAAGTGTTGCCTTTTTGGTGTTATACTGCAACATGTACCCATATCGCTTAAAACAGGTCATACATATCGTCTATTTTACCCAATCTAATGGAGTCCGCGTCGGCCCTGCTGCAGCTCGTGCGCGACGCCGCTACTAGCGCCCACAGCGCGAACCTGAGCGAGAGCGACCTTGTCCATCATCTAGAGAGCGCCAGGAGCCAGTTGCTACGCGTTGGAAGCGCCGAAATCGCCCCAGAATCGGCCGCGATCGCAGTATGTCACGTGACAAGTCAAGTTGTGGCACATTTGGTGTGTCATCGGCCCCTTTCAGCGAGTGTCAAGTGGCACAAACGGGTGTTCCTGTTAGAGACCGCGGTGGCAAGTGCTGTCACGGCAATTGCGAGCTCTGGGGGTGCAGTAGATGCAGAGTTAGAGGTGGAAATACCGGATAGGAGGGATATCTGCAACAGCTTCAGTTGGCTCTTGCAAAGGCTCTGGAGGAGGCCACCGACGCCGCGACAAGCGGCTAGTATTGTGGCAATCATGGCGAGAATGTGTGTGTTGCTGGGTTGTTGCTGGTTACGGTATGATCGAGTGGGCAAGCTGGACCAGGTGGAAAAGTTGCTCAAAGGGTGCAGCGACTTCTGCCTAACGCACGAGGGGACTGAGAGGCTGGCCAAGCCTCCGCTGTTCCTACTTGCAATGGTGCTTCTGGTGGAGAGGAAGGAGTATCAGAAGGCGGTGGAGTGCTTTAAGGGTGTGGAGGAGAGCTGTGAAGAAGAGGATGGGGTGCTTTTCTATTGGTACGCAGTGGCGTTGATTCAGAATGGAAGGTCAAATGAAGCTGCTACCGCTCTGGATAAGTGCATTCGGGCAAATTACGAGCCGGTGGTGTGTTTGTCACTCCAAGCGTTGGTGAACTTGCAAGCGAGGGATTTTCATGCTGCAGCGAGGCAGTTGCAACGTGTATTGGAGATTGACTTTTCGCAGTCGGGATCGTTCTCTAATTACGCGCTGTTGATGGAGCGCATGGGGAACTTTGAAGCGCAGCAGCAACTGCTGGAGTATGCGCTTGAGTCTTGTACAGATAATAGTGATCGACGCAGTGGTGCAGTTGATGGATCGAGTGTGGAAACTCTATTCGACAAAGCGGACCTCTCCCCGCTGTTTCCTGCCCAATTGACGCGTGTGAACGCATCGAAGATTCACTTTCACTTGGCAATGGCTGCGATGGAAAACGGTGAGCATTCTCGCGTGTAGACCTTGTGACGCATCTAACGATTTATTTGTCGCCCAGGCAATTGGTTCGAGTCCAAGAAGCATTTTGAGGAGCTACTTGCTACTGAAGAACTGCCTCAGTCTACTGTCGTAGTTGCTGAGGCTACGAGAGATTATGTTTATGTGCTACTCCAGGTAAAGACTTTGCTGTGTTAGAATGATAACATCGGATGTTGTTAACGTATTTTGAGTAATGTTGTACATTCTAGTGTAAGCTTCCGTCGCTAGCGCTTAGGACCTGTGAGCACCATCTGCTCAAGTGGGAAGAACGCAGTACAGGATCCACAGCGCTGCTTTCGGCGATCATGGTGCATCTGTACAAAGCGGATGCGTTGCTGTGCTTGGAGCGCGTTGATGAGTGCTATGAGTACCTCAAGTTCATCGTCGAACCGAAGATCCAACAGCAATTACATCAGCGGGGGCCAGCTAGTGCGTCTGATGCAATCTCTCATGAAGTTGCAGCGTGCCACACGCAACTGCTCAACAACTTAGCGGTGGTCACAGTTTGCCGCAGTGGCGTTGACGCCGCCATCTCGCTTCTACAAGGAGGACTCCAGCAGTATCCGGACTGCCTTGCGTTCAAATTTAACCTCGTTCTGCTACTGTGGAGAAAGAATGAAAAAGCCTCTGCGTGTTGTGTGTGGGCAAAAGCTCGTGGGTGGAACCTTCAAAGTGGCGCTCCAAGTCAAGCTAGTCGCGTTCGTCTCTCAACTTTGAATCAAAATGCTGCTGCGTTTACCATTTCGGAGCACGTTCATGACGACGTTGATGGAGAAGAAGGTGTATCGAGACAACAGCTCTTGTATCTCGACGCCTTGATTTTGAACCACATGCACAAGACTCGGGACTCCAAACTGGAAGACCGCTCTCTTCAGTACGTCGAGTATCTCGAGAGTTTAGGCACATCGGAGGTTCCAAGACACGAGGATTGAGAGCGTGAAACTGTGCAACAAGTACAAAGCGCTCTAAAAGAAGAGGTTTCAAGGGAAGTATTATTATTTTCGCACTTCCTGTGCCTGGACTCGGCGCATCGGAAGACCAAGAAATGCCCGGCAAAAGCTCTCGTCGTGCCAAGAAGAAGAACGGAGCCAATGGACCGCTGACAGTGCTAACTCCGGAGCAGAAATGGTGGAGGGCAGTCGGCCGCCTCGCTCAGTTTCAGCTCGGCTGCAGCCTGTTGATGCAGCTCTCTTACGTGGCGTTCCCAGCCTACAACTTCTCGCTGGCGCTGTGGTGTTTGCTGGCGTGTACCCCGTCCTGGAGCGCCAAGTACACGCGTCTCGTGCCGCTGCACATAATCGCCATCAGCTTCTCGGTGGTGACGGACATCGTGTGGATGAGCTTGTGGGTGTCCGGTAAAGTGTTCTTCGACCAGTTCTGCAACGCCAGCGCGGTCTCGATCGTGAGCTGTGGCGGCGCAACGGATCACTTCCCGGGGTGCAGCACGAACCAGTTCGCTCTGTTCACATTGATTCTGAATCTCCTGGCCAAGATCGCTACCGTCGTGAGCATGCAACGCATCCACGCTATCCACGTCGCTAACCGAGCCAAACACCGCAGCCAGGTGGCAGCAGCCGACAGAACTAGCGACACTTCGAGCGCTGCTACGGGTGCTGAGGTGAAACCCTTGCCGGAAGGCGCTAACGCTGCAGGTGCAACTCAAGAACGAACGAATAGCAACGGAAGCTCAGGCTCAAAGTAACAAAACCCCAAGAAAACCGCAGTTTTTTGCTATCGATTAGCACTATCCGAGTCAGTCTCCGGTTGTTCCCACCCTTCCTGCTCTTCTTCGTCGTCTACCTCCTCTGCTCTTGCAGTGGGTAGAACACTGTCGTCACTTGAAATGTCCTCGGGGATTTCTGGTGTAATGTTCCCAGATGAATCCGCCGTGCTTGCAGCTTCTGGCGTCGGACTTGTTTCCACTACTGTCTTTGAAGGCTTTGGCACGGGTTTAGAGACAGCAAATGGGTCGACCATGCGGTCATCGGGGAGTAGCGACACCAGGCCGTGGTCGTTGCAGACAACCACGAAAGCCTCCATGGACAGCGCGAAGGATTGGTCGACTCCACCCATTAGAGCCTCGCGGAACATGCGCAGGATGCGGCGGTCGCTGAAGTGCGGCTTGCGCTTGCGAATTATGGCGCCGAACTCGTCCAGAGTCAACACGCAGTCGTGGTTCACGTCGCCCTATAAATTTTACCGTAAAACATCGTTAGCACCATCTTACCAACTCCGTAAGTTTTGAGCTGATAAAGTGATCTTACAGCGTCAAAGAGTGCGGTCAAGTCCCTCTTGATGCCATCGCGTCGCTGCTCGAGTGCGTCCATCAGCAGTTTGAGCACTTTGTGCACATCAACCACAATCCGAGGAGGTGGAGGCCGCTGAACACTCTTGTTGGCTTCAGGTGCGTGAATTGAGGAGGAAGAGGAGGAATCAGGCTTTTCACTTGCGAGCATAACACGTCTCATCTCGGCTCGAACTGCAAGACGGTTGCCCGATATCTCCATGATGTTGTGGCCATCGTACATTGCCGTATTGTGCTCGACCTACCAGTACGAATTCGTTAGTTGCACACGACAAATGACTTGATAAATCCAAGCACGAACCTGTCGACAGTAAGATGAAATGCTGTCCTCAGGTAGACAGCTAATATACCACCGCAACACGTTGATAGCATGGTCGAGAGGCACCCACTTTTTCGTCGGTTCGACTTGTACGACGTGCTCTAAGCCCTTAGTAGCCCCACTTTCTTCGCTTTTGTGAGCTTTCTTGCCTTTGAGAGGCGATCGTGGTGGTGGCCGCAGTAAATAATGCCGCGCTTCCAAGAACACGTGAAGGAAACTTCGATCTAGGTATCCATATCGCCGTGGACCCTTAGTAGTGGAATCACAGGTAGTTTGAGAAGCGCTGCTGCTGGTTTTCTTCTTGCTAGTTGCGTCGAGCTTTGGAGCTGAGTCGGTGTGAAGATCATCGGGGTCTTCTTCTGGACTTTTGAGCACATTTGACAATCGAGCAAACAAGCGAACGTGCGAGTTGCGCTGATACGTGTTCTTGATCGAGACCAAAAATCGATACAGGCCGATTTCAGCGCATTGGCGCAGGCCGTGCGTCTTCAGGAAGTACTCACAAATGAATCTAGGCTGTTAGTAAAAACAAGAGAATAAATAAAAATCTGCGATCAGCGCGTTTAGTTCTACAAAACATATTGGGGTTGCCTGTCGTACAAGTTCTTCCCGTGCCACGCCATCAGCTTCATCCGCCCTGTCAGACACAAATTTGTCGTCGTAGATGGCCTCGATCAGGGAAATCACCTGCTCCAGCGAGTAAAAAGGAAATGCAACGACCGACTTGGGCAAGTTTGAGAGGAATAGCACAGTGTGGCTTGGCAACTCCCTGGGAAATGCGCGAGAGCGGTGAGATTTTAAGGTTTTCAACTCGCTTGGAGAATAATTACGCACCATTGCTGCTCAATGCGGTCAATTCGCTTAGCCACTTTTTTCGTGTGCTTCTTACCCTTAGCAACAGACCAGACATCCACATCCTACTCACGCCCATGTCATACTCAGATTTTGCTCGTACAAGTTCGAAGATGAGTCAAAGTTGCCGTTCGGTACCTACCTCACTGCTGCCATCTTGCGGATATTTCCCAAAAGGGTTTGTTTTGGCTGCTTTTGGAATTGGGCGGCCGCCGCAGTTCTTGCAGGCGACAAACGCGTTAAATCTTCGCCACATCATCTTGTGCAAAGCGTTTTTCGATACAAAACGCGGGATTCCGTCCTGTTCGATTGAAGTACATAGCGTCAGTAAGTACTGAGTTGCTGCAATATTGCAATATTTGTACGATCAGAATTTGGGTTTCACCTGGACATCCCACAGCCCATCGTCATCCACTTCGGTTTGTGAGGACCGAGATTCGTAAACGACTGGAGGAATCGCAACAATCTCTTCCAGTTGTTTAAGCGTAACCTCTTGTTTGACAATGAATCGGTCCTTCTCTCGAACGGTCCGTCTAAACAGAAGCATTTATCGTCAGTAGTAAACTAACATTTTGCTTCGAAGTGCTCTCGCCAAGACATGCACCTGAGGTCGTTAATGAGCTGTTTGTGCTGAGCTTGCAGCTAAAATAAAAAACGATTACCTGTGATTAGTAGGATAAAGTTCAGTGTATGGAACAGTCAAGTTGTACCTCTTCTCGGAGCTGCTTCTGGTACTCGATCATTTCTTCGTGAGTTTTCTAACAAATAATTCTCTGCGTTAGTGCTAGCAGTTAATATACCAACAGAAAAGACCCCGCAGCAACCGCACCGTCAGTTGGGCAAAATCATCCCGCAACTTGCGTTCCAGCACTCTTTGTAGAGTTGTTGCATGCTGCAGCTGAAGAATTTGCGCCTCAAGCTCACGTTGATTCCCTAGTTCTTTCTCAATCTCCTTCATCTGTCCTCGATAGTCCTGCAGTTCAATCTCCCGAGCGCGATGGATGATCTCCCGCGCAGCCATCTTTTTGTTAATTTTCACGCACTCCGCGCACTTTCGTTCGTATTTTTCACGCCAGAGTTCGGCTGTCGCTCGGTCCTCTCTGCGTTGCGCCTCAGTTCGTTGCTCATACTCCCAGTACAGTCTCAGCGAAAGCTCAAGCAGCTTCTCAAAGAGCTTCAGGTAGCTCTCCTCGATGCGGAAAAGTGTGTGGCCCAGCTCTCGACGATGTCCCATCGTGGTCTGAGCCACGTCCTTAAACTGCGCCGACAACACGCGCACCGAGTCAATAGCTCGGAGAATTTCCGGATCGCGCTGGACACGTTCAAGCTCTCGCTGTTGAGCTTCAGGGTCTCTCTGCAGCAACGCGCGTGGTAGATATCGACCTGTGACACGATGACACAACGCACTGGCGTACGTAAAGAGCTCCGTATTCTCCGCCTGTTCTAGTCGTTCTGCATAACTTTCCAATGAAGGAGCCACTTGCACGGGCGAGGCGAGCTCCTTCTTCACCAACTTCGGCGCAGCAGGAGGATTTCCATTGGTTGGCGACAATGCATCGTTCTTCCCGGGTCTAGGCAGTGACAGAGGCCCTAACGTTGTCGGTGAGATCGGTAAAGTCGCCTCCGTCTTCTTCCCCGTCTTCTGGTTTTCAGGCAAAATATCAGTGATGGAGAATTGAACCGGTCGCCGCGATGGTCTCAGCTGCTCTTCATGCACTAGCAATGCCTCGGCGGATATACTTGCGCTCAACGCTTGCCTCTTCTTCATCGTCTTCTCCTTCTCCTTACCCGCCGGCAACGCCGACGGGGAGGGTGGCAACAAATTAAAGTCACTTCAACTCACGGTACGTGCGGATGCCAAAAATAAATTGAAGAAGTCCCCAAATTAACCACAAATAATCAGCTGAGCTCCTCCTCAGTCCCCATGGATCCGAGTATGGAAATGGAAAACCGAGTAAATGCCTCGAGTGTCGGCGTAAACCGCGAAAAACAAACCTAGCAGGTTTTATTTTTTAAGCGCTATTAGTTTTCCTCTCTTGGAGTCAGATCAAGTGGTACGCCGAGCTATCAACACCCAGATCTCCCGCATATCTCCATCTAGCACGCCTTGGCAACAGGGCGGTAGACGTAATACTTGGCATCCGCCGATTGTCCCTTGCAACGGTAGTCAAAAACATCTTTGCGGGCATCGGGGAATTCGCAGCACTTCTGGTTGCCCTTCCTGCCATAAACGATCGCGCCGCCAGTCTGGGCGCAGGCCTTCGTGGTGAAGTCGGCGGTCAAGAAGCCAGAGCTCTCGTATCCCATGCCAAAGTCTACTCCAGCACACTGTCTGAGAGCACCGTCACTGAAGGTGGAGGTCAGTAAAGGCGGCATGTGAGTCAAAGTGTCAAGCAGTACTTACATGGGCACCAGCAGAGCGGCGAGGGCAACAATGACGGTCTGAAGTTTCATTTCGAGGAGCGTGTGGAATTCGGTTCGTTGAGGGCGGTGGAGTTATTTTCGAAATGAGCGGCAGCAATGACATGTTGAGAGCCAACAACGCTACAATAGATACAGCACAAAGGAATGCCAACAGTATTGGCAATGTACCTATTTGTCTGTATCTATCGTGCTATCGTGACGACAGGTGGCAACGCCAAACACGAAAATCACGCCAAATTTGGGATACCGTCGCGCAGACAACCTGGGGTCTGAAATTAGTAGGGGTTATCACGGTTAGAAAGTATGTTTGGTGTAGGTCTTCTTGACCAATCAGATCGCATCAAATGTATTGTTTTTTTTTTGCTGGTGAAACCTGCTGGCAAAAAAAAGAGGGAAGTTTGAGTTGGGCACAAAGAATCCAGTTGATTGGCTGAATAAATGGGCGAAGGTTTGATTCGATTCGCCTAAACAAATCGTCGAATAGGAGCACAGAGTGGTATGCCTAGTAAAATAAACTTACTGTTACTTTCCAACCGTGATAACCCCTACTGTAGATGTATATATATTTTTTAATAACGTTGAGGTGTATTGAGTTACTGGCCTTGTGGCCGAACTTCTAATCCCCCTTCCATCCTCAAGAGCAAGAGGAGTGGGTTTGATATGTAAGATGTGCATGTCCCTATAAGCTAAGCCGTGGCTTCGCTTAGAGAGAAGAGGGCATGAGGATTTCTTGTCCTGTGTTCGTGTCTGCCCATTTCCTGTAGTCATTCATCAAGAAGCTGAGAACGCCCGGGTATCGTCGTTCCACCAGGTCCCTATTCATGGGTTCATCCTGCTGACTTCGTCTGGAATCCATAGCGAGGTTCGCAAGACAATCTGCCATCTTGTTGTGGCAACGGTAGTGATGTCTCCATGAAGCTACGCGCACCGAGTCTGCTAGGCGCCGTGCTCTGTCATAAATAGGCTGTAGCACCCGAGCTTTTGGCCGCCTGCGCTCCCGTATCATCCGTAAGACGAGTTGACTATCTCCTACTATGTGCACCTGTTTGAGTTTGCACTTGTCCACGTGGTGTAGCAATCGGAGCAATCCGTTGAATTCTGCGAAATTGCTTGTACACGTAGGACGTAGCAGCGAGATGCTGCTCAACCAGACGATTCATGGTACCCCGCATTCGTCGACCTGGATGAGTACACTTCCACTTCCGCCTGGTCCAGGATTTCCACGCGATCCTCCATCGAAGAAGCCAACATAGTGCTCGGGCTGCGATGGACTCTCTCCCGGAGATACGATGTCGTCTGAGTTTTGTTGGCGCAGACGCTTCCTCGTGTCCATGGCGCTGGCCCAGTCGCCCGCATTTTTCCTATCTAGTTGGAATGTTGAAGCCACAATATCAAAACCGGTCTGTAGCCGAGCGTGAAAAGAGGCGTCCCGTTCATTTGTTGCTCTTCCTGCCGCAGTCGTGTTGTAAATCATATCCACGCGGGCTCACCAAATCGACGCTAGCGTTTCTACCACGGCAAAGCTCCAATATTTGTTGACGACAGCATGAACTGCATCCGTAGTCTGTAACTTGTGCAAACGGGAGTTCTGTCTTACCCACTCCATTCCGTAACGCACGCATTTCCCAGGAGGATATTTCAGTCTACATGAGAAGATTTCGGTAATGCTCGGTGCATTGGACTCAGTATCAAGCTGCGCAAAAATGCTTCGAGTAGTCTTCCACCTCCTTTGCGCGTACGGGCATTCCCAAAAGACATGAGAAAGCGCGATGTTGACGTGATGTGTGCATTCCGCGTGGGGGCATGCTTGGCGCTTGAGCGGTGGGACCCACAGCGACAAAGCACGGAGTTTGAGTCTATACAGGAGTGAGTGCTGGTATGAGGAGGTGCCTGGGATCGAGTTTGCGGCCACCTTGCCGTTCTGGCCCATGTGACTGCCAAGCGAGTCACCAGTTGGTGCGACGGACACCCCGAGAAAAGTGGCTATAGCTTGATCTAACAGTGGTGGAGTGGTATGCTCCAGAACACTAGGCTCCATAGAGCCCCATGTGTGAGTTACGACATGCGCCGGTCCGTCACTAAGCAGGAATTCATGGTGTGGGTCTGGTGATTTGTGGCTGACAATAATGTCATTACTCCTGAGCTTCGTAAGAGCCACCCCAGGAAAAATTGCCAGTATCACTAACGAGAGATCACGGACTTGATGCGCAAGTTGGGACGCCATCGGATATGCAAAATTGCTGCATTTCCACTTGACAACGCCCGGTTTCACCAATTCCCAGTTAAAAACATCAATTACTCTGGACGAAGCCGGTGCCAGTAGAGAAAAGCGTTTGCACATTTTTTCAAGCTGCCCCGTAGTCGTAAAGAGTGGCAGATCGCGTAGTTTCAGCTGCTTTACGCTGTCTCCGACAAAGCGACCGAATCGTTCTTCTAGGAAGCGTGCGTAAGTCTGAACTCCGACGAGTATTGAACGGAGATCACACACTAACTCGCCATTTATCCATCGTGTTGTGACACCGTGTCGCTTTCGAAACTTAGCCAGCAATACGGTCTGTCCGCTGATACTATTTTCCGGGAAGGCTGGTGCTAGTGAGCGCGCCACCCAGACGCTACCATTTGTCCACATCGAATTTCGGAGATTTTTGGGGGTCTTCCTGCGCCACACTGGAGTGATCATCGTCTCTGTTATACCGTCCTGCGAGCGCAAAATATCCCCAACCACTCTGATAATTCCCGAGCTCTCGAGAGCCCAGTCGCCTACGGTTTGCGCGCTGAGGGCATGTAGCTCTACACTTAGGTTAGGCATTGCCAGTCCACCTTCTTTTTTGGAAAGTTCGAGTACTTCTGCAGTCACCCAGCCTTTTACCGATGAGTGTGGAATCGCAAAAGAGCTGCACCATATAAAGTGCTTAAGCCTCATTTCCGCTTCCCTCACGATGGCAGCCGTGGGCCACGCGAGTTGCGCTAGTTTTGGTATGATAATAGCGTTGGCAATATCCACACTCGCTGCGCAGTTGAGTTCGTTTTTTCCACGGCAAGTGCTAGTCGAACAGTTAGCGCCGCAAAAGCTTTACTCCATGCCGTGGCTGTAGTATCTTCACTTCCAGCCCAATGACCCAAGTATCGGCATTCTTGTTCAGCAATTATGGGCATGCCAACATTCATTTCACGAGCAGGGTTAGCCTGAAAACTTCCGAGGGGGATCGCAATTGATTTATTGACGTTGACTTGGAGCCCCGACCGCTCTGAGAAGCGTCCCAACGCTGCGATAATTTCGGCTTGCATGTTCCGGTGCTTGATATATATTGCAGTGTCGTCAGCATATCCAGCAACGTGAAGTCGATAAGCTCCGGTTTGCCGATGTAGCATGATGCCACACGCATCTGCCGTTGCCTCGAGTTCGTCATAGAGGAGGTCGACAGCTAGAATAAAGAGTAAGGGAGCGAGTGGGCAGCCTTGTCTTATGCCTCTAGTAACTGGTATTGGCGCCGAAGGGTATCCATTAGCGAGAAACGTGGCTGTTGTATTGGCGTGCGTCACTTCGACCATGCGGCAAAATTTGGGCGGGAACCCTTTGGCCCGTGGCACTGCCAGCAAGTAGTGACGATCGAGTGTATCATACGCTTTAGCGAAATCGAGTAGGAGTGCTTGAGCGTCTAGAAGTTCTGGGTTGGTTTTGCAAACGCGCTTTGCCGCCTCGAACAAGTTGATAGCGGTGTGTATTCTTCGGCCGGGAACAAACCCAAATTGTGTTTCGTGGACCAGCTTCGAAATGTGAGAGCGCAGTCTTCGTGTGAAGATGCGGGTCAGGATCTTGTAGTCGGAGTTTAGCAAGGCTATCGGTCTATAGTTCAGCGGCAAGCTCGCATCTCCTTTTTTCTTAATACTGAAGATGTAGCCTTGCTGGAAGCTCGACGGAAAGGCTCCTTCCTCTATCCATCGACTGTATAAAATCGTCAAAAGTGGCACCAGAATATCACAATGATCCTTGTACCAGTCGTTGCCAAGTTTGTCTGGGCCTGCGGACTTCCCGCGCTTGCACTTGCGAATGGCTGCCTCCATTTCTGCTTCTGTTATTTTGTCATCCATATCTCTCAGATCGTATTTGGCCCACCCTTTCTTCAGCCGCTCCACATATTCATCGATAGATTTGACGTCCACGCTACCGCTGTTCATTACAGGAAACCACGCATCTGCTAAAATATTAGCTTTGTCCGCAGGATCCCGTTTCGGTTGCAGTCCGCTCTGCTTGAGATCATGAATAATGTTGTCACTAAACTTCGTGCATATTCTGCGAAAGAAAAACTTGGGGTTGGATTTTCCGGTCCAAGTGTACTGACGCGTGAGGTTCCGCCTCCGCAGTCTTCTGCGTTGTTGTTGTATAGCTTGAAGTTGCTCAAGCAGCTGCTCTCTTAGGTCCGAAGCTCCGTTTTCCCTGCTTTCACACTTCTTGAGTTTCGTTAGCACTCTTCGTATGCGCTGCCGAAAACCTCGAGTCATCTTGCGTCGACATTGACGCTTAAGCTTCCCGAGCCCATCTGCTAGCCCCTTCTTGAAACGATCACAGCTCTCAGCCAAACACGGGGCGTCCACTTCGTCCACTATTTCGTGTACGTGCTTGTGAAAATCACCGATTCGAGAAGAAATTAGATGTTTAGCGGCGGCAGTCATGTATTCAGGCATGGGGTAAATTTTTGGCAGGCGTTTGATGCGCAGCGGTTTTTTGGGACTTTGCAGCTGGAGAGCAACACCGTAATGGTCCGAGCGAATTGGACACCCGATCTCGCTCACTTGCTTAATCCACGGCTGCATTCTTGCTGCAAGGTACCACCTGTCTATCCGACTTGAGCCTACCCTCTCATGTGCAAGCTTGTAGAAGTAGGTATGATGGTCAGCCGCAAAATCGTTCCTTGCTTTAGGGTCCATATCGCCCGGCTTCAGGTGGTCCACAGCGTCAACTAAATGTAGCGATTCCAGCCATTGTTGCAACGCAGCTCGTCCTGCGTCTCCGGTTCTAGCGCTCGTTCTCCTATCGAAAAATGAATCGGTGACGCGGTTGAAGTCTCCCACTACTACGAGCTTGACGTTGTCGGGGACTGGAATGTCGACAAGCCGCTGGAAAAATAGCTTGCGCGCCTTGGGATCGGATGGGGCATACAAATTCATTACGAGTAGCTCTTCCCCCTGCAGACTGCACCTAACGAACTGCCTATAGGCCGTCCACAGATGTTGGCTCCAAGGTTGCGCGTTGCGGATTGCCCCGTGCGGGTTGATTAAGATTGCAACGCCTCCATGACGAGGCCGCTTATTCCTCTGCCCGGCATGAGCGGGTGTCCAGAAGGAGACAACCGACCGTGAACTCTGCTTGTATCCCCACACCGTTTTATACTGCTGCTCTGCAAAAGCCGATTCCACCTCATCCAGGTGTGTTTCTTGTATAATCACTAAATCATTGAGTCCATTACGCTGCTGCTCTCGAAATCCTTGAAATAATTGCGGGAGCTGCTTGGTATAAGATGCAAGGCCACCCACATTTTGGGTAACCATGCTGTAAGTAAAATCATCCGGGGAAAGGTCGCTCTTCTGCGTTCTCGCTCCTTGTTTTGTGTTGGTGGTGCTGATCCTTAGCTTTGGCCGAACCTGTCGAAAGCATCTCCGAAGCTGCTTGCTTCTCTGAGTTTCCGACACGTGCGGAAAGAAATCTCATATCGAGGTCTGGATCTGGACCTGACGAGATTTTCCTCCTGTGGCAACTTTCAGCACTGTAGAGAGGTCTCGGGCTGCTTTGTGCCCGCCTCTGCTACATTATTGGTACCATGAATACCAAAGGTGCTCGTTGTTGTATCAGTGGAGCCGGCCGAAGAAGAGTCGGCCATTTCTCCTGCTCGCTGCCGTGCTCTGGTTACCGCATTGGATGCCGTGCGTGCGAGCGTTGCTTGAGCTAAGTTGCCTCCAACCTTGAGCGTAAAACCTTTTTCTGTTAGCGTTGCTTGATGGGCCTTCGTCATGGAGCTGTACCCTCTCGAATCTAGGAGCCCGGTCGGAAGAGAAGAGAAAGTCACTGCTTTGTAGTGGTTCTTAATAACTGGTGGTGAGTTCTCGCTGCCTATGTGAACCGAGCGTGTAAGTACAATCATGACAGGACGAACTCCTTTTCCTCGTAGAGTTTCCAGCAGTTGTAGCCCCTTGTCGGCATGAATGTTCGCGAAAAATGGGATGTCTTCTGCTTTTCCGTGGCGGTCTACTTTTCGATACGCATACATTCCGAGGTATGTGCCACCATCCTGGTGCACATCTAGTACATATACCGGCTCTCGTAGAAACAGAGTTGCCCCATGCAGAATCGTCATATTCACCCAGCAGCTCTGCGGAACGGGGATATCTACGCTGCGCCTTCGCTCTGAGTCCCAGTACATGAGTAAAGCGTCCGCGTTCGAGTGTGTCGTCGTCGGAGTGGTGCTCGATGAATAACTGGTTCCTTGTTCAGTTGCAAGATCAATTACCTTTGCCTCCACAAGTGGATTTATTCTCGCGAGCAGCACATTTAGGATCTTTCTCTTCCACATTGTTGCCTCCTGTATGGTTTTTGGCGTCATATCGAGCACGTCATTTTCAACGTTGTGCGCCGCCGCATAGATCGCTAGCCACCCACACTGCCCATTAGCTTCTACGTCCGTGATCTTCCCCCCAATCGCGTTGAGCCATACCTGGAGATCGCGTTTTGTCTCGGTTAGATTTTCACCCACGCATTCCACGTCTTCATCTTCATCTTGCGTTTCCAGGAGGACCGAAGGTGTCGGCCCACTATCCATCTCCGTCTTCTCCAGATCCGTTCCCTTATTCACCTCATCTTCAGAAGGTAGATGCGGTGCGTCCCGTTCACCGGCAAAAGCGTCAAAAAAAGAGATTGTTGCTTTAGCGCTTTCGGCTCCGCGGCCTGTTGTTTGGTTGGCGACAGAGATGCCACTGAGCACTCTTGCGTTTTGGAGCCTTGACGCGATATTTTCTTTTGTCGTCTTCCTGAAAGTTGCTTAAGTACGCGCCGATGCTGCTCATGGGTAGCAGCGTCTCTTTCGTGAAGTGGCCTCCCATCGCCTTGGTTCCGGGGCGCAACCTCTTGCAGTTCAGCCTCAGTGTTGGCGCGTGCGCGCTGTTGTTGTAGCTGGACCGGGATGGGTTTGCTTGCCTTGTACGCAACAGGTTTTTCCTCATCCAAAGTGGCCTCTGCGTCCGTCTTGGTGCTGGATTGAGCTGTCTCCAGCAAGCGTTCTCTGGTTTCAGGGGTTGCGGCGTTCTTGTCGCTCGAGCTATCGCCTTCCATTTCAATGTCCGTGTCTACATGGCCGTCAGCTTTCTTCGCTTCGTCGGCCCCCATTATGGTCTTGTCATGGTTATCTGAGGGACCCATAACCCTATCATCATTTTCCACATTACCTGGGGTGACCTCCTGATCTTCCTGGTGCTTCAGTTTCGTCTCCGTCGAGCACGGTTTGGTCTCCGGTACGCCCCAACGAGCAAAAAAGTCAAAGAGCTGGTCAACGTTTTGGATTGAGGGACCAACCGATGCGATCTCCCTTTTAATCGAAGGGCTTGCTTCCTGCGGCGCTATCTTCAGCGTGCGTTGATCTGCTGCCTGCTTGCAATTTTCGGACTGAGCGTTGCATCGCATCTGGGAGTGCCACTTGCTACTACACTTCACACAGGGCAAATTAATGTGTACATCGCTCAGGTGAATCAATAGGTGAGTTTTCGGGAGGTGAATGCGCGTGTGCTTGCTGAGCACCAGCGGGCATATTGGTCCCTCGATGATAACTTCCCATGTCGCCCCGGCTCGTTCAGTTTCGGGTGTTTGATCGATTTCACTTGCAGTTTGAGTTCTTTCATTAAGAGCTCATACATTTCGAGTGGCGAGATCTTACCACGAAGCAGCAATAGTGAAAACCGGAAGTGGTCGAGTCGGAGGACAGCGTTCGGGCGTTGATACCGGAGTTCGTTGTAGTCCACCAACTCAAGTCCTTTTCCATCAAATGGGCAAATCATTCCACTCCAACGCTGAGCCGCTCGTCGACTACGGAAGTAAAAGCTCACCACTCTGGTTTCTTGATTCAGTTCCAGTCGGGCTAAGTCTGCTTTCAGCAGTTGTACGTGTTGTTGTTGTTCAGCAACAGCAGCGGATCCTGCATCGATTAGTTGGAAAAGCGTGCTTTGGCTCAGCCGATCGCGAACAAAATGACCTGGCATGAGACGCCCATATAGAGCGTACTGCTGCCCTTGCAGCATTTCCATGAAGATCGCCATCTGGCCAGGCGTGAAGACCTGCAAAAGGAAAGCCGGGGGGTTCACCTCGTCGAGGCGTCGGGACAACAGCATATTAAGATTTTCACGTTTCGCATCGGTCATCGGTCTTGGCTGCATCAGTGGCTCCGCTTGGTCATTTCCAGGTTGCTCGCTACCTGAGGACTTGGCATCAGCTGGGAGTACACCACCGCTACCAGTCTGAAGTGCGTCTTTGTAGCTTCTAGACGGTCCGATAGATTTTGCGGGCATGTATGTTGTTGGGGCCGGTTTGTTAGAGAAGACGAAGAACTGGATCCTGTTGTCGAGCTCCTTCTTCGTGATCCTTTCAATAATCACCCAGTTGTACAGTGTTCTCGCTAGGCTAAGCGCTTCACTCTCGTTAGCGTAGTCCCAGGAGCCTGCGTATTTTGAGTAGCGTTCACGCAGCTTTGCTGGCATATCATCCGCCCATTCATTAAGCAGGGCCGTCTTTTGCTCCTCGTTCTCCATTGAGTGTAGACTTGCCTTGAATATCTCGAAACGACGTTGCCGGCCAAGCTCTTGAATTCTGACCGCCAATTGGTACACATGCTTAGGCTGGGCGGTGTAGCGCAGGTATTCGATCAGTTTGAGGAACGACGCCCTACGGTCGCCATTCTCTTCCCCAGCTTTAGTCGGTTTGCGCGGTAGTGACGTGTTTCTGGGAGATTGTCGCGTCTTGGGCTTCGGGTTTGCTTGCGCTTTTTCGTCCTTGGTGCCATCTCTCTCGTTCACGCTCGTTGCGGCGGCTACCTTCAAGTGCTTTTTCGTCTTTCTGCTCGCATGAGTGCTCCACTCGCTTTCTCTCGACTTGACCGCAGAGTCGTCCGGAGGGCACTCCCGCTCACTGCCTGGCGATGCCGGAGATGTTCCTCCTGGAACACAGTTCATGCTCGCATTCGCATCCGGCCCCATGGCTCCGTTCGCCAAGGGACTCCCTGGGTTTAGTGGTTGGTCGGGCGGCCGACCTGGTTGCTTCATGGGGTCTGGCTTAGCTTCTTCCTGAGTTTAAGAACCCAGGCCACGCGCCTCTCCACGCGTAGAGCTCTGCCGTGTTCTCAGCTAGGACGAAGGGTCACTTGGTCTGGCCGAGGATCTTTGAGAGTGGCTACTGTAGATGTATACCATTTCAAGGTCAAATTGAGAGGAATCGCGGTTCATATCAAAAATTGAGAAAACCTGAAATACCGTATACATCTATCATCTGACCATCTTCGAGATTAGATAGCATTTGACTTGCCCATTACAGACAATCCTCTTTGGAGTGATATCCCGAATAGCGATACCCTCTGGTTAGCACTAATAAAGGCTCTCCCGATGACCAATGGTGTACAAATTCAAGTTAAAACATCCTCCAACCTCCGGATAGTGTTTAGTGATACGAGATTAAGCTTTATCACTATCCAGAGACCGTTAACTATGTGAATGTCCATTCCGTAAAGCATGCCGGGCAAAGTTTCACCACAACGTGGGTCGCTTGCGACCATGAATGGATTCAGGTCCTCTGGGTTCGCGCACATATTATTAAGTTTGACATGTTTGTTATTCTGGAAGTGTATTTATCATATCAGCATGGCGTTAGACTAGATTTCGCGTTGTAGCTGCCTGTGAAGTACTCACAGTTCCATTTGAATAGTGGATAGCGTATCGTCACGCTTCGTGCCATATAGTTGTAAATATTATAGCATCCAGCACAACAAATACTTTTATCCAGTGCTTTAACCACGTATCGAGTGCAATACAAGCTCGCAAGTACGCATTATCACTACACTGGAATGCTGAAACGATATTGTACCGTCGTTGTGGTACAGATTTAGATAGTGATGCCTCTGGATTATGATAAAAAGTGGTCTAAAGGCTATCACTACGTCTGTACCGTGTGGTATGTGTTTTAAAACACATAATGGGCAAGTCAAATGCTATCAAATCTCGAAGAAAATCCCTCCGGAAAGCCTTTTCTTGGATCCTCTAAATTTGATTTTGGCGGCTCTCTACAGTATTTGAACCGCGATTCCTCTTAATATGACCTTGAATTTCAAGTTGAAATTGTGTACCAACCGCCGCCGGCTGGTTTGAAAGTTGCAACCACACTACCCCAGAACAATCATTACAAATGTGATTACAATGATTACAAATGCGATTAATGTACAACTGGTAATTAGGGGGAGGGTCTAAGGAGGGAGAGGGCCATTTTCAAAAAATGGGCATATTGTCATGTTGAAGGGGGACGGACACTCGCGCATTGGCTCTCGTCTGCGGACTCGGCCAGGCGCGGTGTCTAGAGAAAAAAATATCGGGTTGCAGCGCTCGCTGTGCTCGCTCGCGCAGACCAGCCCCGCCTTATCGGCGGGCGTTGGAACGAGTGAATGCACTGAGTGAGAAATGCGCTCGCATCCGCTCGCCCTCGCCCATTCCTCAACAGATCAGAAGCTGACAAACAACGGACCCATTTTCCAAGTTGGTGATACCACGCTCGGGCCCTCCTGAGGGCTAAAGGTGCTGTCATGGAACACCCGTCGGCGAGACCAGGGTTGGTCCTGTCAGACTCCTTTTGGTCGACACCACCACTGGTGAATCGGCTCCTATTCAACGTCGTAGTGAGTCTGGGTAGCGATCATACCACGTACGAGTAGGCGAGGTGATCCAGTATAATCTAGCATGGGGCTTGCGACCAAGCTCTGATGGTACCCAGGCAACTGCTTTGCTTGTGTAGATGGACTAGTATTAATATCATCGTATTCAAGAAGAAGATACGTGTTTTCTCTTGAAAATTCTGGTTGTTCGAGAATCAACCTCACTAAAAAGACACAATAGTTGACGTAGCGAAGTTGTAATTGGCCTACTTTGGCTCACTACATTAGCTTACACGTGTGCGCGTGTATGTGAGGAAGCGTAGCTTAGTTTAAATTAGAGTTAATTATCCTGGTAGTGCTTCGGTTACGAAGTATGGACAGCCCAACCAGGATTAATTCGATGCACCTGATATGTGGCGCACATGAAGTAAAAGTATACTGAAATCAAGTAAAATCAGATAATAATTTCAGAAATCGCATGGTTTCTTGAAATTCACGGAAAAGTAGAGTTTTTTTCGGTGGAGTGCCAAACTAGTTGAGTAGGATATTTGTTTCCAGAGATTACGGGTAAATGTTAAGTACGACGGTGCCAGCTCTGAAAGGTTTGGATGAAGGAGGACTGGTCTTTGCCGATAGCAGAATGCTCGGTGTTCTAGTTGGTATGCAAGTGGCTTGTGCAGCGATATTTGATCTATCTACTAAAGCGCGGAGGGTGTTCGGCGCGCTGCTACCAAGATAGAATAATTCTAAAGTCTAATACATATTCAGCACTGTGCGCCTACGATAGCATGAGCGATGGCGAGATGATGAAGCATCTATTGTAGTCAAAATCACTCGATATGAACTGACACAAAGTAAATTTTCGGACTGTATGAGGACATATATCGATTTTTTATCTGAAAGGTTATGCCGCTTCGTTCAAGTCAACAGAATCAACAACCCGTTCGCCTGTTCAAGTACACGGCAAGTTTGACAGCTCGGTGGAGACCAACGATGGCGGTCTGGTGGTGAACAGGGAGGTGATCCACGTGTTCGCGGCGCGCAGCCCGTCGCCCGTGGGACAACGTCGGCGCCATGTATGTGTGCGAGTCGACGGGCGCGTTCGCGACGCCGGACAAGGCCCACGCCCACTTCGAGGGCGGCTGCTAGAAGGCGGTGAACTCGGAGCCGCCCAAGAACTCCACGCATATGTACATGATGGGCGTGAACCACAAGGAGTACGATGGATCGGCGCCCGTGGTGTGGAACGCGTCGTGTACGAGGTAATCAACGACCAGTTAGGCTCGAAGCGGATGCTTCTCGTGGTGCTGTTGGTGCTGGGGGCTTCGGAGGTGGCGCTGGCGGTCTTGGCCGAGCGGGCGGCCTCAGTGGTGTCGACTTTCGAAGCCGGCCAGTCAAGAGTAAAAATAATTTCAATTCTACAATTTTTTAGTCGCAGATGCTGCGGCTGCGAAGCAGGCGCAGCAGATGCGTATAGTATCGATAGTGTTTCTATAATGCGTAGTCGGCGTATTGTATTCTCAGTTTATTTAATTCGCAAGTGACTTAGTGCGCTGCATTGCAAAGTGCCAGTCACCACGGCAAGCTCTCAACCACGTTGAACGCGGATGCGTGCAAGTATACTCCAAATAATACTTTCAAATACTTTCAGCACTTTGAGTCGTCGTTGTGAGCGTGCCGACCTCTATTGAAGTGCATTCGCCGGCAGGCAGGACTGAAGTGCTTGAAATATGCAATACCAGCCCAAACCTCTAGTACTCGGGCCTCCGAGTATAGATTAATCTAAATAAACGATCCAAATAATGTTGTTGGGTTAAAATGAGAACTGCTCTTTTTGTTTTATGTTTCTGACTTCCTCTAAATGTAATATTCTAAGATAGGAATCTGCCAACGGCTGGTTGGCAGAATTCCAATGCTATGCATGCCGCTCATCGGCTAAAAGATGCTGCTCTCAGCCAATAGGAATCCTAAGTCTCTATGGACCACCCGTCGTGGTGGTCGTAAATGTATGTAGCCTTTGGTGTGTCTACACCAAGGTCGAGAAAGTCTTTCGAACCTTGTGCGTGTAACCTTGTTACAGAAGTAGAATGACATTGAGTGTCGGGTACAGACTGAAACCTGTCGGAAACGTACAGGCGAGTCATACTTCGAAGTAATTCGTCAGCGTGAAGTATAACTCAACCGGAGATTGTCCTCGAAGGTTCCTCTGTAGTCAACGACGCCGTTGACTTCGAGGACGGCGACGTGGAGATGGAAGAGGGTGAGGCCACTTCTAGCAAGCGCAAGGAGTCTATCGACAGCGATAGTCTCGACCCGCATGCCGGGTCGAGACGCCCTCGTGAAGGAGATGACTCGGACGCTTCGAGCTCCAAGCATTCGCGCGGCGAGAACGAAACTCCGCTCTCTGCTGCTGGTGCTTTAAGCTCTCCATGTGATGTGGCGACTTCAAGCTCTCCGCACGCTGCTCAGGCAGCGCGCGGTCCGTGGATGCCGTCTGCGTCAGAGATAGCAGCCCGTGTTGGCAACACTGTGCCTCCAAACGAAATCCTGCTGTACGTATGCAGCGGTATCCACGACGATGCTGTTGCGGAGGAGCAGCACGTTGATCCGTTAACGAATCAAAGGCGCGATTATTACATCGGGCTCTTCCACGAGCTCCGGTACTTCTCCAGCAAGAAGACCTCTTCTCGCAGCAAAGTGCCTGAGTGGCAGGCACTTTGTCAAAGTTGGAACGCTTTTGTTGACAACTTCAAAAGAAGCCGGCTGCTTACCGCGAGCGGGTTAGGCATGCCCGTGAACGCTTCGAGACATTCTCGACGCGCGGGAGGCTGGAGCAGCTCCACAGATCCTCTGTGGACGCTGGTATTCCATGCGCTGTGCCCGAAGGCCATCAGTGCACGTTGTGTCTTCCGGGTGCGGCGCGCTTGAGCGACCGCGACCTAAACGGGTACACGACGATTCGTGTACCTGCGAGCCTCAAGGATCTCCGTGCCAAGTTCTTGGCACGCGAGGAACGCGACGATC